ATCTTCAGAGTCAGTAGGTCTTCAGGGTGTAGGTTGACCCCAGTAAAAGTATATTTATATATTAAGCAAAAGTTGAATGATTAAAAGTAAAGAAAATGTGTAGGAGGTGAGATGAGTAAAGGAAGGAACAAGTAGCAGAAGGTCCTGAGGGCAAGTCGCCAGCGGCAAAATTTATATAAAAATATTTATATAATGTGCGCCGTCAACGACAAATAAAATTAAATGATGAAAGTCATGACCGGTCGACGATGACAACAACAAAAATAAAAACACGGGTGCATTCATGGAGGGGAGAGGAAAAAAGAAAGGAAAAAGGTTGGAAAAATAACCAAAACCCATCACCTTCAATTGTGGGAATGTGTGAGGGAGAGAGGGATTGGGGTCATAAGGGCGCGGGGCCATTAGGGCGCCAGCACTAGAAACTGACACTTGGCGAAACCGAAATTTATGAAAATTTTCTCAAATTTCTTTAACATCCTTGACTACCTCCTCCAGAAATTTCAGAATTTTTCATCGAATATTTCTGAAGTTATAGTCGATGGACCTCGAAAAATTAGGCAATTTACAGAAAACCAACATTTTTGGCCACAATTTCCGAAATTCTTGATCAAAAATTCTGAAAATTTTTGGAGAACGTAGATAAAGGCATGAGAGTTATCAGTGCAAAATTTTATCTTTTTTGATAAGCAACTAACTGTTTTATAAGCTCGCGCCCTAATGGCCCCGCGCCCTAATGGCCCAGTCCCGGAGAGAGGGATTTCGAAATTTTTATTAATTTTAAATAATTTTAAAACTTTAAGTTACTGCCCAAATCACTCAAAATTATATTTCAAGTTTACTTAAATTGCTTTTGAGCAAAAAATTATGCTTAAAAAATTTTCCTAAAAAATTATTTAAACAGATTTTTATATAAAAAATTTTTTACCCAAAATTTCGAAAATTTTGACCAATTTTTGGCAAAATTTACCAAAAAATATGGACCAAAATATACAAAATTTGCCAAAATATGCACCAATATGCAAATATGCGCGAGAGAGCCGAAATATGCAAAAATATGCATTAAGAACCGGGTCCTAAAGTCTCGGACCGATGCAAAAACACCATTTTAGGCCTTCTCTCATCAAGGCATATCCGCATACAAAACATGCATTTGCACAAAACATTTCTCTTTTTCGACATTTTATAAAATAATAAATTCTCTTTTTGTTTCCAAATCATCCTTAATTTTAACCTCAACACGAACTGATTTTCCTTTGATATTAAATAGATATTAAATGAAATAATACATATTAAGTTCTCGTCCATTCCACCTCCGATTGTTCGCTATATTCGTCACTTATTTCAAGTAGAGTCAACGTATTCGAGAGCTTTTTGCTTTATTTTTACAAGGCTGTGTTGTGTATGGGCGTCAGCCCTTAAAGTGTTTAGTATAAAAGCCAGTATAAGCGTCAGTCTAGTCGGATCATACTAGCGGGGCTAGTCACTGATCTCTTTCGTCTGTCCCAGGGTTGGGGTCATAAGGGCGCGGGGCCATTAGGGCGCCAGCACTAGAAACTGACACTTAGGCGAAACCTAATTTCATAAAAATTTTCTCAAATTTTTTTAACATCCTTGACTACCTTCTCCAGAAATTTCAGAATTTTTCATCGAATATTTCTGAAGTTATAGTCGATAAACCGCGAAAAATTAGGGTTTTTTCGGAAAATCAACATTTTTGGCCACAATTTCCGAAATTCTTGATCAAAAATTCTAAAATTTTTGGAGAACGTAGATAAAGGCATGAGAGTTATGATTGCAAAATTTTATCTTTTTTGATAAACAACTCACTGTTTTATGCCCCGCGCCCTAATGGCCCAGTCCCTGTTCCATTCCCTTCGCCTACACATTGTTAATTTCTACATCGGATAAATTGTTATTGTTGTGTTAGTTGACATCAGTTAAATCTCGGACACACCTCGGGTTTAAGCAGGCTGTGAGGACAACTTGGCCGCCTTACAATAATATTTTTTCTCTCTATTTAAACAAAGGTATTTGAATAAAAACGCTAATACGAAAAAAAAACGTTTTAAAAACGATGATCAATATTTTATGATAAAAAAATACAATGTGAATAGAAAAAATATAAAAATATTACCAAATATGTAGGCAAACAATAAAATATATTTTCACTTTTTTCTAACAATATAGAGTTTATTTAAATTTTTTTATTAACATTTTTAATATACAAGCGAAATAAAAAAAAATTTTTTTAATGTTTAAGTTTTTTTATCAATTTTAAAATTTATAGCGGAATAATTTCGGAAAACGAACAGAGTCGAAATAGGTCGAATTATATGTCATTCGAAAGAGCTCGTCGAGTTGAGTCGAATGGTTAAAAAATTTTCATGCGGACTCATAAACGGGCTGAGATATAGGGCTCGAAATGGTCAAATTTATGGGGGGATTTTTGGGGTGAAAAATTCGAATGTACAAATAATAGCTCATTCGAAAGGGCTCGACGAGCTGAGTCGAATGACACCAAAATCAGCTCGCTTGGATGATTATGAACAAAGTTATGACCAACTGAATCTTCGCTGGAAAAAATTTTTGTGCTGCTACGGAGGGTAGGCCGGGCATGGTCTTCGCTACACGATGGCTGTGCTTCGCTGCGGTCGTGCTCGCGGCGACCGTAGCGAAGCGGCGGCCGTCGTTCCGCTATTCATGCCCGGCTTCCTCCGCAGCGGCAAAAACTTTTTTCCGCGAAGACCTTGTGTGCGGGGTAAAAACAAACGGTCATAACTTTGTCAAATCAAGTCAGATTTCGTTGATTTTAGTGTCATTCGACTCAGCTCGACGAGCTCTTTCGAATGAGGTATAATTTACATATTCGAATTTTTACCCAAAAAAGTGCTTGGTCCCCTATGGTTTTTCGATTTTCGGAGGCCTATATCTCACCCCCCTGTATGAGTCCGCACGAAAATTTTTTCACCATTCGACTCAACTTGACGAGCTCTTTCGAATGACATATATTTCGAACTATTTCGGCTATGTTCGTTTCCCGAAATTATACCTTTTTAGCGGGACACGCCCAAGTAGGCGCGCGGCCATAACGGCCCAAAGCCATAACTAACTGGAAAATTTCTGGCACTTACCAATTTTGGTACCAATTTCTTTAGCTCGATGAGAGGAGTCGTTTAATACTAAATTTGGTAAGATTCGGAAATCTTAAAGCAAGTTATGGCTAAGCGCCGTTATGGCCGCGCGCCTACTCAGGCTGTACCCCTTTCTCCGCGACTCTAAATATTTATTTAAAAATTGTGTGTTGTTATGCTTGGCCGCTAAAATTTAATTTTTTGGGAATTTTTTTATTTGCCCAGTTTTTTATATTATTTATTTACTTTTAGAGAGTAAAGATTAATATTAAATCGAGGGATGTTTCACATTTTTCGTACGATAACGTTCATTGGGTATAAATTTATATATAGGGCGCTTTACATAATTTAAACATATTTTTTCATTTAATTACATTTTTATGGAACTTATAAGAGAGATACATCTAGAGGTCGGCAAAATCGCATTCCCGGGATCCCGGAACGGGATTGGGTTTTCAAAATTCGACCGGGACGGGATCCCGCGGGATTAATCCCGTAAATCCCGGAATCCCGGTAATCCCGTTTTCCGCGAAAAACCCGGGATTCCGGGACGGGAGCCCGTAAAATCCCGTACGGAGTCCCGTCCCGTGCCGGGCTCTAGATACACCCTCATTAATTAGGCGAATTAACTAATCAACCCGATTATTCGCGAGCTAGCAAGAAGCCTATATTACAGCATACTAAACAAAGCAGCTCTCGACTCTTGCGAGACGCGTGCTAGTTAACACCGCATGATGCGAGGAATTAGCCCAAGTGTTTTTCGACCTCAATATGGTTACTTTGACCATTTTTAGCTTGCGAATAAATGGGATGTGTACCCAAACTGCATAAGTTCCTTTTATTTAATATTAAGGTTGATTTTATTATAAAATCCGAGTTCTTCAAAAAATCTAATTTCTCAAAAAATTTTTTTGAAATAAAATTTCAGAAGAATTCCAAAGAAATTTTCTTTTTCAAACCCCGAACCGAAGTCCGACCGGGATGGAAAGGTGAACAAAACTCATATGTTTATACTTTTTCCATTTTAATACCAACTACCGTATTTACTCTAATAATCTCCCAGTCTTTATTAATTCCCCAGTCTCTATTCCCACCCTGGGGATGGGTTGAAACAATAATCCCCTGGGGAATTACCAGAGTAAATACGGTACCTATATGTATTACTCTTTCCAAATCCAACTTAATCCCCCAGGTATTACTCAAAATAAATTTCTACTAAATCACAGATATCCACCAAATACTGCGAAAAATCTGACTTAGTGTTTAAATTTTTACTCAAACCCTCTTTCGACCCGAAACCCGATCCGAAGAAGATTTTAGAACAAGATCCGAACCCGGACCCAACCTTTTTCTCAACTCTTGACATCCCTGTTACTGGCTAAATTACAGCCTAAGAATTTGCAGGCGTAAACGGGAAGTATTTGTTTTTGGGACTGAGCCGTTCTGGCGCGGGGACGTTTTGGCGCGAGCTTATAAAACAGTGAGTTGCTTATCAAAAATGATAAAATTTTGCAATAATAACTCTCGTACCTTTATCTAAGTTTTACAAAAAGTTCAGAATTTTTGAGTAAGAATTCGCGAGATTATGGCCAAAAATGTTGATTTTCTGGAAAATGCCTAATTTTTCGCGGTCTATCGACTATAACTTCGGAAATATTTGATGAAAAATTCTGAAATTCCTGAATGAGGTAGACAAGGTTGTTAAAGAGATTTGATAAAATTTTCATGAATTTAGGCCTCGCCTAAGTATCAGTTTTGAGTTCTCGCGCCAAAACGGCCCGGCGCCAAAACGACCCCAACCCTTTGTTTTTTATTAATTTTTATTATAAAAATCATGTTCAGAAATTACTTTAAAGCAATTTTAATCCCATGTATCTTCCATTAAATAAATTCGTTTTGAATGGAAGAACAACAACCAACAAAATTTTTTCCTCAAAATATTTATTTTTATTTATTTTTACTTTTATTTTTTGCCTTTATTTTTTTATTAAAATAATGCCAAATAATAACTACCAAAAATTTGTTAATAAAAATTTTATTAATTCAAATTTAATTGTTGGAAATTTTGGTGAGGAATGCAGTGAAGATGAGGAAAATAGGTTGGTATTAGAGGCTACCCGACCGGTTTAAAGAGCTACCCGACATTTGTGAACGACTTTTGTAGAGTCCTAAGTATTGGGTTAACAAATGTCTTGATTCCAAAAGTCACGTTACGGTATTAATTAAGTGTGTGTCTGAACTATGTTTAGTCTAATTCAATATTCCCAGTTCTCTTTTCTGAGGATTTCAACAATTTCGGTAATAGTTCGGTTTAGACCCCGCACTCTTTTTTCTGACCATTTTTTCATTTTTCCTTCCCTTTCTCCTTTATTTTTCATAAGGCAAGTATTAAATGGAAATAAAGGAGAGAGAGAAGGAAAAATGAAAAAATAGTAATATTTACTTTTTTCAACAGGATAAAAAAGAAAAACATGATACCAAAAAAACTTGAGAAACATCACCAAATTGTGATATTTCCATGAAGAAGTCCCAGCTTTTCGAGCCAAGCATCGAAATCGTTGTCGCTTAATCTTATTTTGTCACCCAAATCACAATAATGTTAAAATTTTTTAGTTGCCCCATGTTGATTATGGAATGATGTAAATGAGTTTTTCCAGAAATTTTCTCATTCATACATATACATATACTTGCATAATCCTTTTTAATACTTGCCTCGTTAAAAATAAAGGAGAGAGAAGGAAAAATGAAAAAATGGTCAGAAAAAAGAGTGCGGGGTCTAAACCGAACTATTACCACAATTTCTAATATTCCAATTATATATAATTCCAATTATAATATTTTATTCAGTTAAATTAATAAATGAGTTTACAATTTGGTAAGGGTTAAGTATAAGTTAAAATTAAAAATTGAGGTGCATTTGATTAGCTTGGGTTCTTTATATAGGGTTGTGCATGTGAATAACAATATTGGGATGAAGGTACAATAATCGGGATTTATTTAATATAGTAAAGAGAGTTGGCAAACAAATATATATGTGGGTTGGGAAATTACTTAAGATAAAAATGTTTATGTGGGGAATGCCAATCGAGAATGGCTTAAACAAATATATATTGAGAAAGCAAGTAAATTATAGATAGGGAGTTCTTATCAAGAATACTCCAATGTCAGATAACTTTGATCGACCATATGTAACTATGTATTCTACCTTAACAAATCTGAACAATTCTTAAATTATACGAAAGCTCCTACTTACAAAGGAGAGGCTTTTGGGTGTCTGTGGGACTTCGGGATGAAATTTGGTAGACAGATAGATCATACCCTACTTTAGTTGTGAATTTTAACCATTTTCGCTGAATGGTACCGTGGACCGAGTTATAAGCCCCCAAAGTTTTAGGATCCCCCAATGATATCTTTTCGACACATAAACAATTTCTATCTAGTGATAGATGTGTTCCTCGGTGGTGCAGTGGTAGCGTTCTTGAATTTTCTATTTTTCCCCCAAGTTTGAATCCTAATTTGGGAAATTAATATTACTCAGAGATTTTCGAATTTTCGAGATTTTTTCGAAATTGAGAGAAATTCTTGTCTTAGTAATAAAATCACCCCTCTAATCATATCAACCAAAAATTCTTTCCATTAGCAAGGACAAAAAATGGAGTTTTGACTGTTGTGGAGAGAAAATGGCGTATTCAATAATTATCGAAACAAACAACAAATTAACTCAATCTCTGGTTTCTGGTAGAAGATTTGATTGTAAACATTTACCCTTAATTAATAAATACAAACTTGCGGATAAATACAAAATTCAACAAAAAATTACTGTAAATTTAATTTTAAATACGTAAATAGGAACTGGGCCGTTTTGGCGCGGGGACGTTTTGGCGCGAGCTTATAAAACAGTGAGTTAATGTCGATTTTCTGAAAAAAACCCTAATTTTTCGCAGTCTATCGACTATAACTTCAGAAATATTTGATGAAAAATTCTGAAATTTCTGGAGGATGTAGTCAAGGATGTTTATGAAATTTGAGAAAATTTTTATGAAGTTAGGTCTCACCTAAGTGCCACTTTTTTGTTCTCGCGCCAAAACGGCCCGGCGACAAAACGACCCCAACCCCGTAAATATGTATGTTAATAATAGCAGCCCTGGTAATTCGGCTGGTAATTTGGTCGAATGGTACCACTCCCAATCTGCGGAAATGGCATAGGCACTAAAAATGGAATGGAATAGGCACATAAAAATCGAAAAACCATAGAGGGGCCAAGCTGATTTTAGGGTCAAAAAGTCGAAAATACATATGTTAGCTCGTTTGAAACAGCTCCTCGAGCTAGTCATATCGGGTACACCCCAATATACCGCGAGGCCAACGTCGAGTTGCATCAAATCATACCAAGGCGTCCCGGATTTGACTATTTTGAACGAAATTATGGCTCTGGTTCGTTGGGCTCGCGGTATGTTGGCCTGCTTCCAGTTATATCGAAGGGTTTGGAGTGGGCCACCGGCTAAAGTATATCCGGGAATTCTTCAAGTGGGCTTTAATAGAAAAGCAATGGCTTCTTTAAGGGGTGGACTTGTATTCTCAATACAAATTCGTTTCGGATAACTTACCTCTGATCGTATCTACGAACAATAGTTACACAATTATATATCAGAGTCAAAGCTGCAGAAAATTAAAAAAAAATTTTTCAGGTCCAAAGGCCTGGAAGTAATAATTTCACAATTGTGACAGCTTCAAATGTCGAATATTTTGATACACTCAAAAAAATTCTGTATCTTCTCAAAAACAAATTTGGATGTTCTCAAAAAATTATTGGATATGATCTTGGGGGTATTAGTGAAAACAAGACTATGGTAAATTTTATTTCGATTAAAATTGAATTTTAAAATTTGATTTTTTAACGCGGCGCGGCATTTGCGAACAGACTTTTACGATAAAATTTGGGGACCGACTTTTGAGGACCGACATTTGAGGATTGCCATTTGAGTAAAAGAATATTATCTAAAAACATCACAAATTTTGTACTACAGGGAATTTGTTCCACAAACAGGGGAACTGTTCCGTCAAGTACAGGAATTTGTTCCAATAACGGGGGAAGGTGTTGAGTAAAAGATAATAATATTTTACTTTTTTTACTCCCCCCCCCAGTCAGTTTTTTCGAAAAATAAGTAAAAATGGTCAGTCTGAACAACAATTGTAGAATCCATCGAGCTGTGTCGAATGACACCAAAATCAACAAAATCCGACTTGATTTGACCGAAATACAGACCCCTAAACCACAGGGGCACAAAATCATAAAGACGAAAATCTATACAAATGATAGCTCTTTCGAAAGAGCTCGTCGAGCTGAGTCGAATGAGACCAAAATCAAAGAAATACGACTTGATTTGACAAAGTTATGACATAAGTCGTAGACTCCGGTAGGTCTAAATAATGTCATAACTTTGTCAAATCTTGTCAGATTTCGTTGATTTCGGTGTCATTCGACACAGCTCGATGGATTCTACAATTGTTGTTCAGACTGACCATTTTTACATAATTTTCGAAAAAACTGACGGGGGGGGGGACTAAATAAGTACCAAAAAAACAAGGTGGCGCTATACTAAAAAGGTGGCGCGATTTTTCAAGTTAATTTGTTTATATTGAAACAAAATTTTACTATTTATTTGAACAGATGGACGAACTAGAGTTGGTCTGCTTACTAGAATGGAGAAAGTTTGATTGGAACATAATAAAAGAGGATATTCATGCACCCAAAGCTTATGCTTGGAAAGTCTTCGTTATAGCTGTAAATATTTTTTAAATCAGTCTGATCACCCATAACACGATTCGGACAGACTGTGTACCATTTAAAAGAACTCAACAAGCTAATTTGAATTACAAAATTTTTGAATTTTAATCAAAAAATCAGCGGCGGTACGACAATTGCGGATACGCACGTGCGGATTCGACAGTTGCGGACGACAACTGCGGATGAGACAATTGCGGCCGATAATTGCGGATATAAAATTTTTAAAAAATTTTATATTTTTTAAAGTTTGTAGTGCCACATCAGCCTAAAAATGATTTAGAAACCGTCAAAAGTCTGAAACTGACAGTCGGGACTAAAAAACGGAATACATATCATTTTAATCAATTTCAAAATTAAAAAAATTTTTTTAATCCGCAATTGTTAAATCCGCAATTGTCGTCCGTAATTGTCATATCCTCACCTGTCGTCCGCAGTTGTCGTCCGCAATCGTCGCATCCGCACGTGCGAATCCGCAATTGTCGTAACACTAAATCAGCTGTGCCCATTTTTGCACCATAACAAAACTTTCAGTTATGTCAGAAGACTAATTTTGGTCTTACTCGACTCAGATCCCCGAGCTCTTTCGAATAACATACTATTTTAAAATTAAAAAAATTTTTTGTTTAAAGGAAATTTATTCCCAATATGATACTTTTATGTACATGGACACTTCTATAGTAATAGACGATGCGGCATCGTTCAACCCTATTTATGAGGCTATAGATAGTGGAAAGATTTCCGAAACTATATTTCCTGGAGGTAAAATTTGTTTTTAAAAATGTTGAGGGATGGCCAGACTTTCGGAGCTAGTGCCGTTTCTGTTGAAAAGTATCCGGTTTTCGTGTTAGGACCGATAGTGTTATTATGTATACACTGCGGTGCATATAGTAAAGCAGCTGGGCTATAGCTATTTCTCTCCTTTAGCTAGTGCAAAAGGTTAATCGACGGCTGGGAGCAAACCAGCATCTTCAGTAGACCGGACTGATGTGTTAGCCATTACACCACGCCGGCTACTGCTCAGCCTTAGGAAATTAATAGCTATATGCTTTCCCATCTTTTGGATACATCCAACTTCCAAATAAAACGTGATGCTCGCTGCTCAGTTCATTTACTTTCGTAAATTAAAGTTAACTGATACATATAATAGTTAATTGAACTAAAATATATTTTGTACCTCACATTTTGAGAGATGAAGAGATTTTGGAAAATCTTTTGTGGAATATTTTGGGAATAAGGCAGAGAATCATGCCTCTATTGCCCAAAGTCGCAATGAATCTATACCTTTATACCCCAAAGTCCCTCCAACCTCGAAACTCAACCCATAAAAATTTAAATTTTTTTCTATTTTAGTAGCAATTCACAGTATCCAATTTGGAACGAACTATAGTGAGTGATAACTTATCATATCATTAGGAAGATTTTTTAAAAATTAAGGGACTTATACTTATCTTCCCTTAGCAGCTCATATGGTTAGATGGGATAGTGCAATGTACGAAGCCAATTTTATTATATTCCATAAAAGCGAGTATACAAGGAATCTGATTAAATGGTAAAAAGATTTAGTGATATTAACACAGATTTTATAAATTCGAGACCCTACGAAAATAAATTCCACAGGAAGGCATAATAAAATAGAACCCCATCTTAATTAAAGTCACCCCCTCTCGTTAGAAATCTACACTGAATTAGAGCCCTAACTTAGTGTCAGTTAATTAGTCCAGTGACAGACCTATTTAAATAATGTTTAGGCAGACTTAACTTAATCAACATTTTTCTTGAAAATGCCTCGTATTATGGCGAAGGACTCTTATTGAGATAGAGATTGACGAGAGTTTTTTAAGTTACAGTTTTTCGTTAAGGAAGAACCTGAAAATAAATTATCTTAAGAAATCCATAGATATCCGTATCCAATACTGAAAATCTCCGGATTCAGCGGTAAATCCACTTAAGTGAGAGATGTTATTGGAGACATTTTTATTAAGAGACTATACTGAATACTTGGGTGACTCGAAAGTAATCTCTACATATCCAGACCAGCTCAAACAGCCATAAAAACTTCCAATATTTAGTTAGATATATCCAACCTCAAAAAAAAATATGGAGGTATATATTATATTCGTACCTCACATTTTGAGAGATCAAACCCGGATCCCCGACACTTTCGACCACGAAGGCTCGGGAAGCTACCCTAATTAAAATTTATTTTAAGCTAGATAATGTTGATTTTTTGTCTCAAGTCTAGTATTATTTTTGGTCTTGAGTCTTGGAGGGAACTTATTTACTTTAACTACCCACCCCATTTATTCGCAGGAAGTTCATCAATCAAACTTAATTTGTTCAGAAAGGTCAGCCTTTCATTCTTCCCCGATGTTACTCAATTTTCCCTGTGGCATGTTCAATGAGAGAAATTAATAAAAAAAGATAAATTTTTCTTTCCAATTTCATCAAAATAGAAGTTAACATTTGAATCAATATTCTTATTTTTGCCATTTCAGTTATTACCACATGGTTAGTCCTTGATTTCCTAAATTCGTTATCATCCTTTTTAATTATTCAAAATAGTGAGTCGTGAATGTTAAGATTTTTTTGATTCGTCCATGTTTATCTAACTAAATAAGCACAGCCGGAGAAGTTGAAACGCATGTAAAAAAGACAAGAATAAAAGAAAATGTACCAAAACAGTACATGGTCCTGCTTAACCATGTGGTAATAACTGAAATGGCAAAAATAAGAATATTGATTCAAATGTTAACTTCTATTTTGATGAAATTGGAAAGAAAAATTTATCTTTTTTTATTAATTTCTCTCATTGAACATGCCACAGGGAAAATTGAGTAACATCGGGGAAGAAAGAAAGGCTGACCTTTCTGAACAAATTAAGTTTGATTGATGAACTTCCTGCGAATAAATGGGGTGGGTAGGTAAAGTAAATAAGTTCCTCTTGGAGTTTTGGTCTTGGTCTTGGAAAAATTTTGTCTTGGGTCTTGAGTCTTGGAAAAATTTCGGTCTCGGACAGCTCTACAAAGTACAGATTTCCGGATATACGGATCCCTATCCCTAAACAACCCTAAGTTGTAGTACTTAATTCAATTTCAAGTACCCATCATTTTAAAGTACTATCAATTTTAAACTCAGATGTATCTAAATAAGATTCATTCTTATAATTATTATCAGGTCACTTCTTTGTGCAGCATCCAAACAGTGTATTGAGCCTGATAACTCTTTCATAAACTGCTCTTCAAATTATAATAATGTTGGAGATTGCCATAGATACGATCAGAGCGTCTTTGGAATTATCAATGTTAATGGGGAATATCAACGTTCAATTCTATCTGCAGGTAAAATCAGAAATCAAGTCAATCATTACAATAAAGTGTAAGTATACTGGAACTATAGTAAAGCAGCTGGGCTATAGCTATTTCTCTCCTTTAGCTAGTACAAAAGGTTATTCGGCGGTGGGAGCGAACCAGCATCTTCAGTAGACCGGACAGATGTGTTAGCCATTACACCACGCCGCCTACTGGTCAGCCTTAGGAAATTAATAGCTATATGCTTTACACTATTCTCTTTAATCTAGGCTCATAATACCATTATATTCGCTAAGGTAGCTGTCATGCCCATAGCCAATACAGTGTAATTTTCGGGTATATCTTAAACGAAAATACCCATTTGCCCCTTTACCAAACCATACCAGTAAGCTTCTCTTATGGGGCACATAAAGCCTGATCAATTCGGCCTGATCAATTCGGCTTCATTAATCTGAGAATTCAGTTGAAAATTATGACTAAATTAGCCGAGCATTTCATGACTTACAAAATATCAAGCAACTGAAATTGGGGTAATATTTAGTTCACTTGAATATGGACCAAGTTTAGATAATAAATAGTAGAAAATTATTAAATTTTGAGATTAGAGTTAATTCAATTTCAAGAGTGATTCTTCAACTCGGTTTAGAGTTGCGTTCAATGGTCTATATTAGGCGGTACGACAATTGAGGATACGCACTTGAGGATATGACAAATGAGGACGACATTTGAGGATTTGACAAATGAGGATAAAAATGAAAAATAAAAAAAGACTTGAAAGATCCATAAAACTCGGAAGACCCCCACTTGGAAGACCAATAATGAAGAATTCTTCTCTTTCCAGCGCCGTAGGCGAACATTTTTGAATTTCAAAAGGTCAAGGATCACCGTTTTTTATTATTATTTTAATCCTCAATTGTCGTCCTCATTTGTCATATCCTCAAGTGCGTATCCTCAATTGTCGCAACACCCTATATCAAAGTCGAGACCTCCGTTAGTTTTCCTTCCTCAAATTACCCGCTTCTATAAATCAGTTGCTACAACAATAGATTGAAACAAAAATTATCAGAGCAGTTATTCAAAAAACTACGGTATCTATTCAGAACTCATAACTAGGGCTCCCATTATATTGATATAAAATCCTGAAATATGGACATAAAATATGGATATAAAATGGTGAAAAAATATTTTAAAAATCAGTATTTTATGTATAAAACCATAATTTTGCTTAAACTTTGCATTTTAAGAGCTAAATGATTTTACGGATCTATAATTTCTGGTAAAATTTTGTCGAAAATAAATTTTTCCTAAAAATTTTCGAAAAAAATTTTTGACCAAAAATTTTCAAAATTTTGAAAATTTTCGCCAATTTTTAATAAAATTTACCAAAAAATGACCAAATATGGACCAAAATATTCAAAAAAGTAGAAATATTGATATAAAATATGGGCATAATGCCAAAATATGGAAGAATATGGATTTTAAAGACCATTCTAGAAACCCTAAAACAAGCCAAAAACATGTTTTTTGTACGTTTCACAGTCATAGGAATTCAGGAAAAAAATATGGATTTCCATATAAATGGGAGCCCTACTCATAACATCACCATAGTTCACCCAAAAATTCCTTGCTAAAAACAAAAATTAAACTAAAAATTATTTTTCAGATAAAAATTTTCTACCACATAACCATGGAGAACATCCTAAAAGAAAAGCAAAATTTAGTGTGCAACGATACAAAAAATTGGATAAAAATTTGGATTTTAGAAAGGGTGTAGATTGTTGTCGATGATAATAAATTAAATTTAAAGTGTTTCAAAATTTTTATTTTTTTTATATTAATTTTCCTTATATTCTTTTATTTTCCAGTTTTTTTAATGTTTAAACGGTTGCAGACCAACCTACCGCGAGGCCAACCTACCGCCGGGCTATAACTTCGTTCAGAATTGCCGAATCCGAGACGCCCTGGTATGGTTCGATTCAGCTCGTCGAGGCGCATCGAATCATACCAGGGCGTCCCGGATTCGATAATTTTGAACGATGTTATAGCTCGGCGGTACATTGGGCTCGCGGTACATCGGGGTGTAACCTGATCTTTTCTTTAATTTATATATGTATCAGTATTTGGTAACAGATACATATAATACAAATAAAAAATTGATAATTGTTTTGATTTGTAAAATACCTTTTTATAAACTTTAAAGTAGATTACATATCCTAAAGCCGGACCAAGAATTTGAAAACCCAGGAGCCGAGGAGAAAGCCCAAGAATTTGAAAACTAAGGGGCCGAGAAGAAAAGCCAGGAGACGATTATTCCAACTTTGAGGCTCCGATCAAGCATAATTTTTATTTTCCAGCATATTTTCTGTTAATAGAAGTAATTCTTCGACTAAATGTACAGTCTGGTTTTAACATAAGTTTAGCCTTTGGGCAGAAATTGGACCTGATCTAATGTCTCAGTTCATTAAATCTGAGTGAATGACTGCTTCGATGCTTTCTCTTTAGTAAACTGTCTTTTATAGCAAAGATTGATATATTTTTGATATAAACTGGCAGCAATTTAGTTAAGAAAAGGGTAAACTCTAAGTAACTCCGTTCATCGTTATCCGATTTGGCAGTTCCCAATGTTAAAAAATAGTTTAATTTCTCTCTCAGGTGAGAGAGAAATTTTTCTCTCTTAGTTGTTTCGGCGTACGACTTGTTTATGCCAGATAAAGATGTGATATATTTTTGAGAAATAAATAATTAGATATGAAGCAAAAGTTGATGCTTCAATAGATCAGTTGTTAGGGGTAGGATGAATGTGCGAGGTCGTTTTTGATGGTGATATTTTGGTGATTATAAGGCAATCTTCTCACCTTTTAATCAATGCCGCTGCCAATTTTAAAATTTGTTTTTTATAAGTGCATTCATGTGAGTGTTTCCTATCATGTGTTATTCACAAGGGAATCAATTCCCTTTTAATGTTGCGCTTTTTAATGCCCTTTATCATTTATAAAAGGCATTGCTATTTATTTTTAAATGCTACATGTCATAAGAAAAAATTTTTTTTCTTCGAGAAAAATAAAAAATAATAACCCGTCATAAATTTATTTTGGATTGTGAACATGAATTCAGACCTTTATCTTCATGTTGACCTCCAATAGGAATTTTAAGATTGGATTTGTTCCATCCAAAGGGACGAGCTCTTTCGAATAAGCTATCATTTGTATACTTTCTCGTCCTTTTGGTTTTTCGCCCCCATGGTTGTTCAATTTTCAGGGGTCTGTATCTCGGTCCAATCAAGTCGGATTTTGTTGATTTTGGTGTCATTCGACACAGCTCGATGGGTTCTACGATTGTTGTTCAGACTGACCATTTTTACATAATTTTCGAAAAAACTGACCGGGGGGGAACTAAATTAGTACCGTGAAATTTTGAGGGGCAAGTTGAATAAACGAGGTATGCCCTTAAAATGCATAAATTCCAAAAGAATAATAATTTTATAAATTTATCTTGTTCTAAGGTACATATTTAAAAATATGAATATTCTTCTCTTTATTTTCTTAATTTTTAATTTATTTTCCTTCAACAAGGCTGAAAAAACCCCGACCCCATTTATTGAACACATAATTAGAATAACTTTTCTTAAAGGAATAATGTCTGGAATGTGTCAGGAAGAATTAAATTTGTTTCAAACTGAAGATGATAAAGGATTCGGGAAAATTTTGGATGAAGATGTTAGAAATGAGTTTAGAATGGCCTTTAGAATGTTTGAGGAGGAGAAGAGGGATATTAAAGTGTGGATTAATACAATTAGGGTGTTATTGAAAAAATCTGAATATGAAGAAAATAATGGTGAGTGATTAACAGTGTTGGGTATTGGGCATTTGTAGCACCAGTCCTGTTACAACCAATTTTGTAACAAGGGTTAAATTTATTTAATTTAACAAATCTTTACCAATAGATTTCCAAACCAAAATTTAACCAAAATTATTTTATTTAAAATTTATTCCAAAAGAAAATTTATATTATAATATTGGGGTTAAAAACAAATTGAGGGAGAAGATGATTAATGAAGCAAGGAATAAGCTGAATATAACAATAATGTAAAGATTTATATAAGCCTAAAAATAAGGTTGAGGGAAATGTTAAAAACTATCAAAAAATGTTATGATTAATTTGAAGATGCAAGAATTTGTAAAAAATATATAAAAATATATTTAAAATAATGAATCATAAAAAATAATAATATTTTAATGTTTCAAATAAATTTTCCGGGGTCGGTCACGACAAGTCTCGACAAGAGCCGGCTATGGCTATCTCTTTGTTTTTAATCACGATTGGTTTTTCATACAGTAGTGTCAAGCAGTCGATCTGTCCGATAAAGTGTGACGATAAAGTCGAACGCAAAAATTTATACATGCGCATATTTGCCGAAAGTTTAAACAGCGGGGTAACGGAAATCGTGTCACCAAGCAAAAACGGATATTGGGCATTGAAATTGTGTAACCATTAGGAATTTTGGACAACAAATGAAAAAAAACAAATTTACACTTTTGCACAGTGTCTGAAATTTGATCGTTCGAAATCTTCCTTATCAAGTGACAGAAAGATAGCTCAAGTGATCTAGTGTCCAATTAAAAGTGATCAGTGGATCAACAGGGAAGGTATTAATAAGTGATATAATGGTCATTCAAGCACGATCAATCCGATATTTACTAAATTTCAAACTTATTTACCTTCATTGACTAAATAAAAATAATTAAAGATTCTTCTCATAATAACAAACAAAAGACAGAAATGCAAAAGCTACAATTTAAAAAATTAAAAAATATTTTGATTGAGGAATTTCAAGAAGTGGAAAAGGCTAATGGAAAGATACTTGTTGCCTTTGAAGATAATGATGTTGAGGAATTGGACGATGAGGGGAATGAGGAGAGAAGCGAGGGGAATGATGAGGGAAGTGGGGGGAATGAGGAGAGAAGTGAGGGGAATGTCAAGAGAAATGAGGGAAATGGTGAGAGAAATGAGGGGAATGACGAGAGAAGTCAGGGGAATGACGAGAGAAGTCAGGAGAATGACGAGAGAAGTGAGGGGAATGACAAGAGAAGTCAGGGGAATGACAAGAGAAGTGAGAGGAATTACGAGAGAAGTCAGGGGAATGAGGAGAGAAGTGAGAGGAATGACGAGAGAATGAAAAGAACTGAGTCTAACGACGAGAGGAGCGATGAAAGGGACGAGGTGAACAATGAGAGAGATGCGCGGAATGATGAGAGGAAAAGGGGGAATGCTCTGAGGATTGAGAAGAATAAATGGAAGAGCGGGGGGAAGAATGAGAGGAACACAAGGGGCAAATACTTGAATGATCATCAGAATGAGAGGGATAATGGGAACAATAAGAAGAATAAAGGGAAAGTTGTAGAGAATGAGTGGTACAAAGAAGGCAAATTTCAAAAAATATTGCAACTTGTGTCTATTGAAATGGCTTGCATTGAGAGGGAATTGAAGGAATCATTCAAGGATTTGGATGATTCTAGCCCTTTGAAAGGTAACAAAAAATTAGAGAGGAGTGAAACACAGAAGAAACGTGAAATTGAAATGGAAGAATTAAATAAATTATATGTTGCAAAAAGGAAAATTGAAATTAATATTGATAATGGAAGGCTAAACAAAGCTTTAGATAATTTAAAAGGTGGGTGAATAAATTTTTAATGAAACACAAGAGTTCTTTTTTTGCTCTTTAGAAAATCGGTTTGAAACACGGATCCTTCTGTCATTATTTCCGAAAACTGCGTGCCTTGGTTTGTTGCCTCGGGTTTGCCTTCCGCGAAATTCCGCTTTTTTACTTTTCCTAGTTAGGTAACAAAAAATTAGAAAGGTGTGAATCACAGAAGAAACGTAAAATTGAAGAGGAGGAATTTATGATAGTATAAAGCTTTCTGCTCTACTTCAATCTCCATTTTACTTTGGATCCTACAGACCTAATAATTCAAAATTTTACAAATTCAATAAATAATCCGAAAAATAAGTGTTATGTCCGTGATTCAAATTTTTACAATATTTTCATCATTTTACTTTTAATCTATTTTGCCCCATTTATTAATATATTCAAATGTTTCCCTCATTCCAACTTTCAAATATTTTCTCCTTTCATCTTATTTCAAATTGTTGCCCTTCTAACCTATATTTCCTCTCAACCTTATTTTATCACTCAAATGTATTTTTCTTATGTTTTTATAATCTTTCCGCCCTTCCTAGTCGCTATAAATACTTATTCCATTCCTCCATTTTCAGTTCTCTTCGGAGCCTCACTTGACCCTAATATGTTTAATTGAAGAAATAAATATTATGAATAAATTCCTCATTAATTTGAGAGTTAGGGTCATTTTAAACTTAATAAAATATGTCTGGACCTCAGACATAATAATATATTTTACAGTTAACAACAAAAATGTTCAACTTATAAAGACACTTTTGCTCTATATGAACTTTTATGTTGAAGCTTATAATATAAACAAGGAAAGCTTGATAAGCCTGCCTTGGTTGAAGAATGTAATTATAAAAATAGGGGCAGAGATAAACTTGTTGAGCATAAACTCGCCTGGAAGGAAAATTTTGATAGATATTGTGAAGAAGGAATGGTCAGATGGAAAGGTCAAAATGTATTTATATAAAAATTTGAAGAATGGGATAACTGAATATGATAGAATTTATGATAGTATAAGCTTGGGTTATTCTGAATCAGAGAAAAGTGTGAAACACAAACAGGTAGAAATTTAGTTTATTATTTATTTTAATGGTTATAAGACATTCGCGGGCAGCAGCGACAGCTGAGGACCATTACATTATATCTAAGGAGCTGAGGACCATAAGCGACAGCTGAGGACCATAACTAAGGAGCTAAGGACCATAACTGAGGAGCTGAGGACCATAACTAAGGAGCTGAGGACCTAAGGAGCTAAGGACCATAACTAAGGAGCTGAGGACCATAACTAAGGAGCTGAGGACCTAAGGAGCTAAGGACCATAACTAAGGAGCTGAGGACCATAACTAAGGAGCTGAGGACCTAAGGAGCTAAGGACCATAACTAAGGAGCTGAGGACCATAACTAAGGAGCTGAGGACCTAAGGACCATAACTAAGGAGCTGAGGACCATAACTAAGGAGCTGAGGACCATAAGCGACAGCTGAGGATCATAAATGCTATCTGAGGCCTTATCTTTTGGTGCAATGAAAGCAAAAAGTCGGTAAAAGGACTTAACCGTCTACTCTCAAACCTCTCTCATCCACCACCCTTAAGCTGGATATGGTAGCTTCCGAAAATTATTATAAATCTACAGAGAAAGCAGTATGAAAATAAATAATATACATAATATCGTTTTTAAATTTTTTAACTTTTTGTTTAAAATTATGCTGGTAAAAACAGAAAATAGTCCTAGTAATTATGAAGATATTTATTAGTGTAAGGAAGAGAAAGAGAGAAAGATCCAGCTGGCTAGCATTTAAAACGCTGACTGCGGGGGTTTAAGATCTATTAAAATAGATCTATTAAAAGAGAAGGTGAAAGCAGCGTCCCGGTAGCTAAGTTGGTAGAGCACCTGTACGTGGTGAGCGAAAGCGCCTAGCAATAACTGCCAGGAGGTCTCAGGATCGAAGCCTACTTTTACCTCCCTATTACTTTAGGATCAGGTGACAAATTCAATTAACGCCCGAAAACCTGAATGTTCACACCACAAAAATAAACGGACTTTAAACTGTAAAGGGAAGAAGAAAATGGCAGATATAAAAGAAACTTTAAACAAAAATAAACATATTATGCAAAATGAATCAAAAAACATGCAAAAAGGAGCAAAAGAAATTGAAATAAAGGACAAGGGAAAGTCTTCAGTTTTAACTAAAAATGAACATAAAAATAAAAGTGAAGCCGAAAATGTCCAAAATGAACATCAATTAGTTGCAGTGAATTTAACAAACAAAAGAATTTCGGCTTCGAATTCGAATAAAGACAAAAGATATTCATTTTGGTGTTGTTGAGGAAAGAAGCGAAGAAGTGAGAGGAAGGATGGCAGTATTATAGAAAATTCATGTATGTGGGTTGGGGTCATAAGGGCGCGGGGCCATTAGGGCGCCAGCCCTAGAAACTGACGCTTAGGCAAAACCGAAATTTATGAAAATTTTCTCAAATTTCTTTAACATCCTTGACTACCTCCTCCAGAAATTTCAGAATTTTTCATCGAATATTTCTGAAGTTATAGTCGATAGACCGCAAAAAATTTGGGTTTTTTTTAGAAAATCAACATTTTTGGCCACAATTTCCGAAATTCTTGATCAAAAATTCTGAAATTTTTGGAGAACGTAGATAAAGGCATGAGAGTTATTATTGCAAAATTTTATCTTTTTTGATAAGCAACTCACTGTTTTATAAGCTCGCGGCCTAATGGCCCCGCGCCCTAATGGCCCAGTCCCATGTATGTACTATTAATAACCAAATCGGATAGCAAATTTGGCCGTTTTTTGGCGAAATTATTATTTTTATTGGAAATTTATGTTTATTTAGTTGTCAAATATTATTTTTTTATTTTTCATTATTTTTTGCATAGTATATAATTTTTAATTTATATTTTTTAATTATAAATGTTATGTACTTGGACTTTTAAATTTTATTTTTTTGTCTATAAGTTGTTTATAAATCATTGATGTCTAGGGAACGGATTTATATGGACTATTAATCGAAAAATATTGACATATAATTTAGACTAAAAATCTTAAAATATGGACTGAAATATGGACTAAAATCCGAAATATGGATCAAATATGGACCAAAAACTGAAAATTTTTAACGAAAATTTTCCTTTTTTAAGCAGAAAATGTTAATTTAGTTAATTTTGATGCATAATATTATAATAAAATTAATTTATAGTAGTTATTTTGTTATAATGTCAGATTAAGAGACGTGTAAAAAACAAGGCAATAAATTTTGTGACACAATTGTGCTTATTTTTTTGTCCTAACTATTCCATTTGTAACCCCGTAACCCGGAACCGGACCAAAAAATACCAGACTCAAATCCCAGACTCTAATTCCCATTCCTATCTTCCCATTTAAAAGTTAATAACTTTCTCTTTTTGGACTTTGCCACCACACTTCCGCTCAATCCAGCTAAGTTGTTATTTACAACTTTTCATTCTCAGCCTTTCCATTATTCGTTCACGTGAATTTCTATTATTGGTACTCTTGTGTTATCTCCCCCCATTTTATTTTTCTTCTCCGTTCTTTTCTTTTCTCCATAAAAAACACACATGAATCCGATTAAGATATTGTTAACCAGCTCTTGGTTTTTTTAGGTACCCAGCTCTAGTGTTTTAAGGCCCAATGTCCATTATTGTGCTTGTGTATGGTAATTCTGGATGGATAGGGCCCTCTTTCTCTTAAAACATTTTGGTACCACAGTGTGTATTGTATATAGAAGTACTGGTACACATACTAATGTTGAGATTGTATCTCTAATTTCAAAACAAGGTAACTCACGACATAGATTCAATTTGACCCATGTGCATTTTTTGAGAAAAATGGAAGGGGAAGAAAAATAAAATGGGGGGAGATAACACAAGAGTACCCTATTATTTTCACTTATTCCCAATCACTTCCTTTTTATCCATTTTATTGAACTCCTTTCATTTCCACTTACTCCCAAACACTTCCCATTATCCATTAATACGAATTCATATTATTTCACATTATTCCCGACCACTTTCTCAACTTATCATGTTTACAATCTCCATTAATCCAACTTGTTAATTCCAACTTGTCAAATTGCCTATTCCATTTCCCACTCCCCTTTTCCCAACTTATAAGGTTTTCATTCCCTCCAATAATCATCAGTCCATCTCAGTCAGTCCAGTCTCAGTTTATCTCAGTACAGTCCAATCTCAGTTTTATCTCATTTTAGTCCAATCCAATATCCTTCATAGCATTTCACTCTATTCATTATCCAATATCCAGTTCCTACACTTTATTAATATTCCAAGTGTCTATTTCGTCCTTCCACAAAACCTATCAATTCGAATCCATCCTATAAGTTCAATTATCAGTTTCACTTTCTCAATCCATTTTAATCCATTTATTAATGTTCATTAAGTAATATCAATTATCAATAAATATGTAAAGTATCTGGTGAATTGGCTTGGAAACGGGTAGGACCTCTGTAAGCCCACTTTCGCACATCCACTAATTAATATCCACACACACATCCACTCAAATCACGAATCCATATACACACATACAACATCCCAAATACCTAATATGTAACTCATTCATCATTAAACATTTACATCTTAAATAATCATATTTAATTGTTTTTTAAAATAAATTTATTAATATAGGAATTTTAGAGAATTTAAATTTAAAAAATTAATAATGCGCCGTCCGATTAGAAAATTGTAAGAAAATTCTAAATTAACTCATTCTTAATTTCATTATAACTATTTAAGTGATATCGAGGTTAAAATCCATATAGTTGTCCTTCGAGATCGAGCACCACAAAATCATTTGTCAAATTCTCAAGCAACCAGCATTCTTAATCACGACCCTTCTGCTCCAGCAATTACTTTTAATGCACTTTATTTTGAGCGTATTCGTGCTCGAAAAATAACAACTCAAGAAACTTTTACTTCTCCACCCACGAGATGGGGCTTCCTAACATTATGGTTTTGCAAACTTTAATAGTAAAGAATAGAAGACTGATGAATTTACATTCAACAACACCGATCAAATCGAACGATGAAATTATATATTTTGTTGTACGTAACAATGCTTAGTAAACACCAAAATTAATCCATAAAAAATGTCAATCAAAAAATAATTTGATTTCTTTGACAAATGGTTTGTTCTCTATCGTCAGCAATTTGAAAAAACTAAAAAATAAAAAATGCAAAAAATTACTAGTTAAAAAAACCTCCATAATATTTAAATCATTTTCGTTATTTTCAAATTCCTCTATGAATTTATTGTTCTCCTTTTGGTTGTACTCCTGTATCAGTTCTTCCGCTTCCTAATAGAAAAATTTTTTTAATTACTGAAAAAACAACCATGCTATGCTCAGACACCCATCGATTAAATCGATGGTTGAAATTTTTCCACTTCACTAAAAAATTTTTCACCATTTTTTATTTTATGATTTAATATCTCTTCTACTTCGTAATTGTTCAACTTAAAAATCAAAAAAAAATTTTTTTAGATATTACCCAACTAATTTTCATATATATTCTTTAATTTTTTTACCCCACAACCACTTGTTAACCCTTAGGATTTCCCTCATAAAATCCTTCTTTCCCTTATGTTTACCCTCCAACCCCTTCTTATCCTTTTGACTTTTCATCCGACCATTTCACATCCTTTAGGTTTGTACGGGAACGATGACGACGACAAAAGGTGGATGTAAACTACTGTGGTTTTCTGACTTAATTACTGCGGCTGCGGAAATTTTTTCCATTTGCATTCAGCTCTGATCGCGATGGTCGTTCCCTGCTTACAATAGCGGCTAAATAAAAAGTAAAGAAAATAAAAATATTTAAAAATATTGCCCTTTAAATTAAAAACAAAATAAAGCTACTATTGTGAAATTTATTTTGTCAATAACGTCTAGCAAAACAAAATTTAAAGTGTCGCAAAGATAAAAAGAAAGTATTTCCGTCTATATGAAAAGCATATGAAAATCTTTCACAAGAGGCGACATACTCGTTTTTAAATTTAGCCCTTCATTTTTGTTTTTAAGCGCTTTTCCTTTTTATGTTTTTTACTTTAACCTTTTTAAATAAATTTATTTTTTCTTTAAACAAAGAAAATTGTATTTTATAATAGGGTGTAAATTGAATAAGTGGTATTGTTTAGACATCCCTTCTTATGTGGTCAACCTTTAGATAAAGTATAGTAAAGCAGTAGGGCTATAGCTATTTCTCTCCTTTAGCTAGTGCAAAAGGTTATTCGGCGGCTGGGAGCGAACCAGCATCTTCAGTAGACCGGACTGATGTGTTAGCCATTATACCACGCCTAACACTGCTCAGCCTTAGGAAATTAATAGCTATATGCTTTCCAATTATAGGATTAAATGCTATCCAAATTAATTTGTCTTGGCTTTATTTTTTCTTTTATATCCCTCTTTTGCCCAATAAACTGTGAAAACTCAAAAAATCAAAAACTTGGGGAATATATAGTTAGCATAACATTTTTGGACGAAATCATGTCAGGAAGATGTGAGCTCAATATGGAACTCAATAATGAATACTCTGGTAGGCGCTTCACTCACCACATACAGGAGCTCTACCACTGAATTACAGGGGCATGACTAATGCTTTCTCTTTTATCCTTTTAGATCGTTTAACCCACGCGTAAGCGTTTTAAATGCTCTAGTGGGAATCATAGGGTATATATGGTATATATTCTGAGTTTCGATCTCGGTGGACCTATACTAAAGTACAGCCGGAATCATCCTTATATTATTTAATCATCATAATTTTTTCATTACTTAATAAATTCGGCGCACCCCCCCCCTAACTCTCCCCAAATCGGCCCCCTTAAAAAATTTTCCCAAAAAACCCTAATGCCCTAATGGCCCCGCGCCCTAATGGCCCAGTCCCTTAGCCAACCCAACTCTGATAATTAAACTAGATCTGTTCTCGTTGTTGGATGGCAAAATTCGGGATGAATTTAAAAATGTAAAATTTGAATACGATACTGTTCATAAGAACAATTCTATAAAATTGTTAATTGCTGCAATTGGAAATTTAGTAAAGAAATTAATGTATAATGACTCAAATAAAATTACAAGTAAAGGTAAATTTGTTGGGTACAGCCCAAGTAGGCGCGCGGCCAGGTAGGCGCAAAGTCATAACTTGCTTCAAGTTTTCTGAATCTTTCAAAATTTAGTATTAAACGATTCTTCTCATCGAGCTAAAGAGATTGGTACCAAAATTGTTAAGGTAAAGAAATTTTTCAGCAAGTTATGGCTCTGCGCCTACTTGGCCGCGCGCCTACTTGGGCGTGTCCCAAATGTTTGTTTAAACTTTTGTATATTATAAATTCAGGAAATTTTAATCAAACGAAAACACTTCCTTTTAATGGGAAATCACAAGGTAAAACTTAATCCACTATTGGATTCTTTTTTGTAACATGGCTGGGTCAGGGGGTCGGGGGAGCAGGCCACTTTGACGCAGCCCACTTTGACGCGCTCCCACTTTAACGCAGCCCACTTTGACGCGCTCCCATTGATTGAATACAATAAAAATACAGGGGCAGGTAAAAAATAAAAAAGAACAAAATATATTTATATAAAAATAATTTATTTTAATCAATATTAAAATTATGTGAATTCCACGTAAAAAATCTAAAACTGTATCAAAATCATAATTATTGCAAATTCTTAAAATTCTTTCATCACATTCCAATATTTTGCTCGCTTCCGGGGTGGTTCATGTCCAGCAACTTGCAGTTCAATATCAGTATCAATAAGTGTAAGGAATTTTTTGAGAGTGTAAAAACAACCAAAGAGAGGGGTGGGACATACCAAGTGCACGTTTAATTTTTCGGTTACAAGCTTCACTATAATTATTTGTGCGGTGAATATTTAAAAGAGTGCGATTGTATACATTCCAAAGTGGGGAAGGAAAGATTGGATTTGCGCGAGTGCCATTACCGCGTATGCGGCCAATGTAAGTGGATACAAACCATGAGATAAGAGGTTCAAAACGATCGTCTAAATGATTTTCTAAAACATTGAGAGCATTAATAACATCATTTTCGGGAACAAAGGCTAAGGCAATAAGCATTTTACATTTTAAAGCGAAGTCAGGGTCAGTATTGTATAGATTCAAAAGATTAGATTGAGAGATATGTTTTCTGAGATTTTGACGAAGATGAAAGAAACAATTTTTCGATTTTCGAGGACCTATAATCTCCGTCTACAGGCATCTCCAATATAAAAGGATGGTACTGCTCGACTCAACGCCTTTCATTACCCTATTTTTTTAAATTGAAAAGAATTTTTTAGAAAAAGCAAAACAATCCAAATTGACTGAACCTTCTCCTAAAAAAGTTAACAGAAAACTTATTTTTGATGGAAAAGATGATGATGCAGGCAAGGGTAAAAAGGTGATCGAAGAAAAAGAAAAAATTAAAAGACAAAATGAGGCCTATAAAATAATTGGGCAACTTTTGCTTTTAGAAATGAACTGTTTAGAATTTAAATTGAAAGGGGAAATGACAGGGGAAATGGAAGAAGAAATGGAAGAGGCTTTGTTGAAAATTTATGCTGTTAAACGTAAAATAGAGCATTATATTGAATATGGATTATTTGCTTCTGAACTTAAAAAGCTATACATTTGTAATTATTTTTAGTTTAAATTACAAGGATTTTTATGAAGCAAAATAGTCGAAATTATACTCTAGTTAAAATCATGAAATTCTGATGGATCCTGTAAGATCTCTATCGAAATTGGTGGATTCCCAGGTATCCGTCCGAATCCCCATATCTTTTTAAATTCACCTTAATCCCAGTAAATCACCGGGTATTTTTCTATCCCTTCAGGTCCATCGATATTTCCCGCTTGACCAACCTAATCCCTCTTCCTCTTTAGCGCCGCAGGCAAAATTCATGAGAATGTTAGAAGACAGGAAGACAAATTTCTTCTTTTTTTCAGCGCCGCATACGAAAATTTTGAGAATTTTGGAAGGACTAGAAGCCTGATTTCTCCCTTTTTTAGCGCCGCAGGCGAAAATTTTGAGAATTTCACAATATATCCACTCCAGTTTCTTTCTTACAAGTCCCAAATTTTTGACATTTTTTCTAAAATAGGTTGAAAATATCTCGTGTCTCGTGGCAAAATACGAGATACGAAATCTCTAAAAAAACACGAGATTTCACGAGATACGAGACACGAGATACGAGACTCAGCCCACCCCTGCTAAGTAGGGTTATACCCGACATGTCGGGATCGGTGTTTATATGTAGGTGTTATGAATGGCGGGGTTGGATCGGGCTTGACAAATCGTCCGGAATAAGGGTACTGTACTAATTTTCGTTTTTCCGAGTCAGTAAAATTTGAAGTTCATTTGTATTTATCGGACGGTATTACGTTAAAGAATAAGTTGCGATACAATATTCTGGGCTCTAGTAAGACCCTAGCTAGAGCCCGGGTAGAGCCCGGTATGTCTTGCTAAAACCTAAGTTGCCTTATATGCTCTAATAGTTACATTGAGACTTAGTTTCAATCTCTCGCTGGAGGTGCATTATTTGAGAGCTGTTATATATCTGAGTGTTATGTCCTAAGGTAGCGGTCTTACCTAGTGACTAACAGAATAACACAAGAATAGAATAACATGTTTATCCGAATAGCAAATACAATAATAATGAAGGTGGCAAAAGGCAGGAATGAATAAGTACAGGCGGCGTCGGTCGACCCAGACTGATCTCTAACGACTCCTTTTATACTAGACCCACACATACCTAACACTGAGAATTTACGGTATACTATATGTTGATGTATACGATAACTCCGCTCTTTATCCCTATAAACCTTTAAATATAATTTATTTTTATATTAAAGTTTTTTTCAAAAAACAATTTTTAAAAACATTAATACTTTATTCGCAACTCTACAACAAAGTATTCAATGAAATTCAGGAGGAAGAAAGACAGTTTACAGATAATTCTTTTTTCTTGACAAGTCTGCTTTCCGAAATGAACAATGAAATATTAAAAATAGTAAATGTGAGATCCCCAAATTTGAATGAGTTAATTCGAAATAAATTTACAAAAATGTCGGAATCGGAGGAAAATATCGAAAATTATTTAATTAAAAATTTAAAGGAAAGTAATGGGGAATATGAGGAGATACCTCAATTTGAAGGGTATGAGGAGGAGAATGGAGGGTCTGCCGGAAGAAATGATTCTGGAAAGGAAGAAATTGGCAATAGCCTTTTTAAGGGTGGAAATATATTTAGAAAGCCTACTGGAGGAAAAAACGCTTGGCAGGGAGGAGTTGGAAGTACCTCTAATAATGTCGGAAAGGAAATTAGAAAGTCTTTAGGAGGGAAAAAATATGGAGAAGAGGAAAAAGTTGGAAAGGATCTTATAAAGGTTGGAAAGGACATTAGAGATCGGACCGTACCGTACTACGGTCGTATTTTTCGGTAGTTATCGGTTGCTGCATTCGCTAATCAAATAAACAATTTGCATTTTCACATGCAAATATAAAGTTGACCTTCTTTTGAGTTATCAATCCATATTTTTCCATATTTAGGCATTCGTCCATATTTTATCCATATTTCGTCATTTTTTGTAAAATTTTGCCAAAAATTCGTTAAAATTTTCAAGTTCATAAAATTTTTGGTCAAAAATTTTATATAAAAAATTTTTTGAAAAAATTTTATCGAAAAATCTTTGGTTAAAAAATTTTTTTTGAAAACCTTTCAAAAATTTTTTTATAAAAATTTTCTGACAAAAATTTTTCAGATAATTTTCGGCCCATATTTGATCCATATTTCATATTTTGAGATTTTTAGTCCATATTATATGTCCATATTTCTCGATTGATAGTCCATATAAATCCCATCCCTACTGAGGCCTCATCTTTTGGTGAAATAAAAGAAAAACTAGGTAAAAGGACTTAACCGTCTACTCTCTAACGCTCCTCTCACCCACCTAAGCTGAGTAGCTTCCGAAAATTAGTATAAATCTACAGAGAAAGCATTAAAAGATCTAAATTATGCTGGTAAAAACAGAAAATAGTCCTAGTAATGATGAAGATATTTATTAGGATCTGACAACAAAGTCAATCAACGCCCCAAAAGCTGAATGTTCACACCACAAAAATAAATTGACTATAAAATGTAAAGGGAAGAAGAAAATGGGAGATATAAAAGAAACGTTAAATAAAAATAAACATATTATGCAGAATGAATCAAAAAACAAGCAAAAGGAAGCAAAAGAAATTGAAACAAAGGGCAAGGGAAAGCATTCAGTTTTAATTAAAAATGAACATAATAATAACAATGAGGAAAGAAATGTCCAAAATGAACACCAATTAGTTCCAGTGAATTTAACAAACAAAAGAATTTTGGCTTCGGATTCGAATAAAGATAAAAAATATTCATTTTGGTGTTGTTGAGGAAAGAAGCGAGGTAATAGTGCAGTTACCGGGCCCTTTTTTTCTCCCCAAGTTCTTTCCTATATAAATACAGAATGGTCAGACTTTTCTTTTCTTCCCTCCCAATGCCTTTCCATATTTTGCCTACAAACAGTCAAAAAGGATTAATTTTTAAACATGAGTAGTGAGAAGTATCATTTTCTAAATTAATAAAAATGGAAGAACTGAAGAATTTCAAGCCTTTTGATTGACAGTTGTGAGGGAAAAAAAGAAAAAGTCTGACCATTCTGTTTTATTTAGGAAAGAACTTGGTGAGAAGATAAAAGGGGGCCCGGTAACTGCACTATTACCGGAAGCGAAGGAGTGACAGGAAATATGTCAGTATTATAGAAAATCCATGTACTATTAACAATCAAATCAGATAGCAAATGGCCGTTTTTTGTCAAAATTATTATTTTTATTGGAAATTTTATTTGTTTATTTAGTTGTCAAATATTATTTTTTTATTTTTCATCATTTTTTACATAGTATATATTTTTTAAATTATAAATTTATGTATTTGGACTTTGGAATTTTATTTTTATTGTCTATAAGTTGTTTATAACTAGGGATGGGATTTATAAGGACTTAATCGAAAAATATTGACATATAATATGGACTAGAATCTTAAAATATGGACTGAAATATGGACTAAAATCCGAAATATGGATCAAATATGGACCAAAAACTGAAAATTTTTAACGAAAATTTTCCTTTTTTAAGAGAAAATGTTAATTTAGTTAATTTCGATGCATAATATTATAAATAAATTAATTTATAGTAGTTATTTTGTTTATAATGTCAGATTAAGAGACGTGTAAAAAACAAGGCAATAAATTTTGTGGCACAATTGTTGGCTTATTTTTTTTGTCCTAACTATTCCATTTGTAACCCCGTATCCCGGAACCGGACCAAAAAATACCAGACTCAAATCCCAGACTCTAATTCCCATTCCTATCTTCCCATTTAAAAGTTAATAACTTTCTCTCTTTGGACTTTGCCACCACACTTCCGCTCAATCCAGCTAAGTTGTTATTTACAACTTTTCCTTCTCAGCCTTTCCATTATTCGTTCACGTGAATTTCTATTATTTTCACTTATTCCCAATCACTTCCTTTTTATCCATTTTAATTGAACTCCTTTCATTTCCACTTACTCCCAAACACTTCCCTTTATCCATTAATACGAATTCATATTATTTCACATTATTCCCGACCACTTTCCCAACTTATCATGTTTTTAAATCCAACTTGTTAATTATTGCCTATTAGATTTCCCACTCCCCTTTTCCCAACTTATAAGGTTTTCCTTCCCTCCAATAATCATCAGTCCATCTCAGTCAGTCCAGTCTCAGTTTATCACAGTTCAGTCCAATCTCAGTTTTATCTCATTTTAGTCCAATCCAATATCCTTCATAACATTTCACTCTATTCATCATCCAATATCCAGTTCCTACATTTTATTCATATTCCAAGTGTCTATTTCGTCCTTCCACAAAACCTATCAATTCGAATCAATCCTATAAGTTCCAATTATCAGTTTCACTTTCTCAATCCATTTTAATCCATTTATTAATGTTCATTAAGTAATATCAATTATCAATAAATATGTAAAGTATCTGGTGAATTGGCTTGGAAAAGGGTAGGACCTCTGTAAGCCCACTCTCGCACATCCACTAATTAATATCCACACACACACATCCACTCAAATCCCGAATCCATATAAACACATACAACATCCCAAATACCTAATATGTAACTCATTCATCATTAAACATTTACATCTTAAATAATCATATTTTTTTTGTTTTTTAAAATAAATTTATAAATTTAGGAATTTTATAGAATTTAAATTTAAAAAATTAATAATGCGCCGTCCAATTAGAAAATTGTAAGAAAATTCTAAATTAACTCATTCTTAATTTCATTATAACTATTTAAGTGATATCGAGGTTAAAACCCATATAGTTGTCCTTCGAGATCATTTGTCAAATTCTATCATTTGTCAATGATCCTTCGAGATCATTTGTCAAATTCTATCATTTGTCAAATTCATTTGTCAAATTCAAAATCATTTGTCAAATTCTCAAGCAACCAGCTTTCTTAATCACGACCCTTCTCCTCCAGCAATTACTTTTAAGGCACTTTATTTTGAGCGTATTCGTGCTCGAAAAATAACAACTCAAGAAACTTACTTCTCCAGCCACGAGATGGGGGTTTCCTAACGTTATGGTTTTGCAAACTTTAATAGTAAAGAATAGAAGACTGATGAATTTACATTCAACAACACCGATCAAATTGAACGATGAAATTATATTTTTTGTTGTACGTGACAATGCTTAGTAAACACCAAAATTGATCCATAAAAAATGTTAATTAAAAAAGTAATTGATTTCTTTGACAAATGGTTTGTTCTCTATCGTCAGCAATTTGAAAAAACTAAAAAATAAAAAATGCAAAAAAATTACTAGTTAAAAACTTCCATAATATTTAAATCATTTTCATTATTTTCAAATTCCTCTATGAATTTATTGTTCTCCTTTTGGTTGTACTCCTGTATCAGTTCTTCCGCTTCCTAATAGAAAAAAATTTTTTTAATTACTGAAAAAACAACCATGCTTGCTCAGACACCCATCGATTAAATCGATGGTTGAAATTTTTCCACTTCACTAAAAAATTTTTTCACCATTTTTTATTTTATGATTTAATATCTCTTCTACTTCGTAATGGTCCAATTTAAAAAACAAAAAAAATTTTTTTAGATTTTACCCATCTAATTTTCATTGTCATCAAAAGATGACGAGAATTTAAAATAAAGAATATTTAAAATATAAATTTAAAAATGATGAATCATTTAGCCAAATAAAAGAAAAGAATTTTAAAGAAAATGTTCAGTTTTTTCAGTTTTTTCACTTTTTCACTCTCTTTTTTTCTAGTTTCTTGCCTTTCTAAAAATTAATAAAATTCTCTCTTTCTTTGAAAATAAATAAAATAAATTTGGAAATTTGAAGTTTAAAAGATTTGGAAAGTTAAGTTAGAATTTAGAGGTTTAAATTTAAATTGATTGCCCTACAAGAGGTAGGAAGGTGTTAAAATATCTTAGTGCTGATATTTTTTCATATTCATATATATTCTTTAATATATTAATTTTTCAAACACGTTTATTTAATTTTATTCTTTCAATTGTACTATTATTCTTGTTCAAATTTAAAGAAAAGGAAAGATTGTATTTGCAAAAAACGACATTAAAAGAACCGATTTATATGTTTTTCTTTTCTTAAAAAAACAAATGTTTATAATTCCATCAATTTGATTCCTTTATTAACACCGACAAGTGAAATAATAATAACCAATGGTTCGGTTATTTTGAAGACAAAAACAAAAAGAAAAAAGTGTCAAGTATAGATTTTACTTGTAATTTTTGATTTATGAGGTCTATGATAAGTGACTAATGCTTAATTAAGGCGACTGTCAATAATATTTCAACTGTCAATAATTAACCAAATCCTTTTGATTTGACGACAAAATGTGACTTTGATTTATGAGGTTTATGATAATTAAGACAAAATCATACCTCTAAGTTTTGCGCGACGACAGTCATGTTCCCCCACAACCACTTGTTAACCCTTAGGATTTCCCTCAAAACAGCTGTTAAAATCCTTCTTTTCCCTTATGTTTTCCCTTCAACCCCTTCTTATCCTTTTGACTTTTCATACCACCATTTCACATCCTCTAGGTTTGTGCGGGAACGATGACGACGACAAAAGGTGTATGTAAACTAGTGTGGTTTTCTGACTTAATTACTGCGGCTGCGGAAAATTTTTTTTATTTGCTTCCAGCACTAGGCGGGATGGTCGTTCCTGCATCGTTAGTCGTTCCCTGCTTACAATAGCGGCTAAATAAAAATTAAAGAAAATAAAAATATTTAAAAATATTGCCCTTTAAATTAAAAACAAAATAAAGCTACTATTGTGAAATTTATTTTGTCAATAAGTCTAGCAAAACAAAATTTAAAGTGCTGCCAAAGATAAAAGGAAAGTATTTCCGTCAATATGAAAAGCATATGAATATCTTTTAAAAGAGGCGACATACTCGTTTTTAAATTTAGCCTTTCATTTTTGTTTTTAAGCGCTTTTCCTTTTTATGTTTTTTACTTTAACCTTTTTAAATAAATTTATTTTTTCTTTAAACAGAGAAAATTGTATTTTATAATAGGGTGTAAATTGAATAAGTGGTATTGTTTAGACATCCCTTCTTATGTGGTCAACCTTAAGATAAAGTATAGTAAAGCAGCAGGGCTATAGCTATTTCTCTCCTTTAGCTAGTGCAAAAGGTTATTCGGCGGCTGGGAGCGAACCAGCATCTTCAGTAGACCGGACTGATGTGTTAGCCATTACACCAGCCGCCTACTGCTCAGCCTTAGGAAATTAATAGCTATATGCTTTACAATTATTATAGGATTAAATGCCATCCAAATTAATTTGTCTTGGCTTTATTTTTTCTTTTATATCCCTCTTTTGCCCAATAAACTGTGAAAATTCAAAAAATCAAAAACTTGGGGAATATATAGTTAGCATAACATTTTTGGACGAAATCATGTCAGGAAGATGTGAGCTCAATATGGAACTCAATAATGAATACTCTGGTAGGCGCTTCACTCACCACATACAGGAGCTCTAACACTGAGCTACAGGGGCATGACTAATGCTTTCTCTTTTATCCTTTAAGTTTTGGCTCCCACTTAGGCTTGAGTCGGCTCCAGTGTTTATAAGCTCGTAACAAAATTCTGTACTCGTACTTTGGTACTGTTATGTACGTGACTTGTATGTCTACGTACTAACAAGAATAACGAGATAAGACAGACTAACAAACTGTGCTTTATCTACAAGACTAAATACAATACTAACGAACAATAGGAATATGGCCGACGCCGAATATGTGGAGCACTAGAATAAGACTGACTGAATAGAATAACACTAACAAACACTAACCGACACTAAACCTGAATGGCTAACGCCGCAGCCTTTTATACTAAGCACATACCCAACAGGTACGAGTACGAGCAAACCTAAAATTTATGAACACTGGTCGGCTCTGAAAATAGCTCCCTTATCCAACTCAACTCTAATAATTAAACTAGATCTATTCTCGTTGTTGGATGGCAAAATTCGCGATGAATTTAAATATGTAAAATTTCAATACGATACAGTTTATAAGAACAATTCTATAAAATTGTTAATTACTGCAATTGGAAATTTAGTAAAGACATTAATGTCTAATGACTTTACTAAAATTAAAAATAAAGGTAAATTTGTTTCTTTAAACTTTTGTACGATTATAAATTCAGGAAATTTTCAAACTGCAACGAAAACACAAGCTGTTAATAGGAAATCACTAGGTAAAACTTAATCCGCGATTGGATTCTTTTTTGTAACATGGCTGGGTCATCTCCAATATAAAAGGATGGTACTGCTCGACTCAACGCCTTTTATTACCCTATTAGAGTTGTCGGTTCTGGACCGAACCGAACCGAAGAACCGATGATTTTTCGGTTCGGATATCGGTTCGGTTCCGGATATCCGAAGATTTTCCAAGAACCGACAACCCTATACCTGATAGTTTTTTTCTTAAAATTTAAAAGAATTTTTTAGAAAAATTAAAGCAATCTAAATTGACTGAACCTTCTCCTAAAAAAGTTAACAGAAAACTTATTTTTGATGGAAAAGATGATACAGTAGAGTCAGGCAATGGTAAAAAAGTGATTGAAATAAAAGAAAAAATTAAAAAACAAAATGAGGCCTATAAAATAGTCGGGCAACTTTTGCTTTTAGAAATGAACTGTTTAGAATTTAAATTGAAAGGGGAAATGACAGGAGAAATTGAAGAAGAAAGTGAAGAGGCTTTGTTGAAAATTTATTCTATAAAACGTAAAATTGAGCATGATATTGAATATGGATCATTTGCTTTTGAACTTAATAAGCTATACATTTGTAATTATTTTTAGTTTAAATTACAAGATTTTTATGAAGCTAAATAGTCGGAATTATTGTGTGAACATTTACTTTTATGGTCTAAATTAGGGTCCTTAAGGGGTCTTTAAGTTTGGGATCGGTGTTTGTAGTGTTACGAATGGTGGAGTCGGGTCGGGCTTGGCAAATCATCCGGCATAAGGGTACCGTACTACCTAGCGTGATTGTTATTTCTATTATTATATTTGTTATTCCGGGTCAGTCAAATTTTGAAATTCATTTGTATTTATCGGTACGGTATTACGTTAAAGAATAAGTTACGATACAACATTCTGGGTTTTAGTAAGAACCTAGCCAGAGCCCGGGTATACTAGAGTCTAGCAATACATTGGTACTTCATTTTAACCTCTCGCTGGAGGTAGCTTATTTGAGAGCTGTTATGTATCTGAGAATTTACGGTATACTATATGTGGATTCGGACCAGGGATGTCACGGGTTGAGAAAAATGTCGGGTCGGGTCTTCAAAATTTTCTTCGGATCGGGTTTCGGGTCAAAAAAAAGTCCGGGTTTCGGGTATAGTTAAAATTTGAACATGAAGCCAGAATTTTTGGAGCTGTTGGGTTATATCAGATATTTAGTGGGTTAATGTGTGTGTCCAATATACTTCCAAATCACCGATATGTCCCAAATTCACCTTTATTCCTCAAATCCCCCTATATTCGGGGATTAAGAGATACTCTTATTCATCAGCGCCGCAGGCGAAAATTATGAGATTTTTGGATGGATTGTTCACCTATTCTACAAAAAACTCGGGTCGGGTTTCGGGTCGGGTTTTGAAAAATAAAAATTCTCGGGTCGGGTTTTAGAAAATTTCTCGGGTCCAGTATCGGGTCGAGAAAAGGCCGGGTTTCGGGTATCGGATTTCGGGTAATCCGTGACATCCCTGATTTGGACGATAACTCCGCTCTTTATCCCTACAAACTTTAAAATATAATTTATTTTTATATTAAAGTTTCTTTCAAAAAACAATTTTTAAAAACATTAATACTCTATTCGCAACTCTACAACAAAGTATTCAATGAAATTCAGGAGGAAGAAAGACAGTTTACAGATAATTCGTATTTTTTAACAAGTCTGCTTTCCGAAATGAACAATGAAATAATAAAAATAGTAAATGTAAAATCCCCAAATTTGAACGAGTTAATTCGAAATAAATTTACAAAAATGCCGGCAAAGGAGGAAAATATCGAAAATTATTTAATTAAAAATTTAAAGGAAAGTAATGGGGAATATGAGGAGATACCTCAATTTGAAGGCTATGAGGAGAATAATAGAGAGCCTGACGGAAGAAAAGATTCTGGAAAGGAAGAAAAAATTGGAAATAGTCTTACTAATGTTGGAAAGAGGTACTTTTCCGTTATGACGTAACCCCCTAAATTAATGTTCAAAATGTCATATTTAGGGTAGAAAAAGGTGCCGAGTCAGCTCGAAATTTTGATTTTGAGACGAGATTAACAAGCTCAAAATGGTCAACGTAAACCTATGGGGCGTAGGCGAGGCGCACTCCCCCATATGGTTTTTGACCATTTCGAGCCCTATATCTCGGTCCACAGGCATCTCCGTGAAAAGAGTGGTACCGTTCGACTCAGCACCTTTTTTACCCTATATATGACATTTTGAACATTAATTTAGGGGATACGTCATAACGGAAAAGTACCTGGAAAGATATTTAGAAAGCCTACTGGAGGAAAAAACGCTTGGCAGGGAGGAGTTGGAAATACCTCTGGTAATGTCGGAAAAGAAATTAGAAAGTCTTTTGGAGGGAAAAAATATGGAGAAGAGGAGAAAGTTGAGAAAAATCTTAAGAAGGTTGGAAAGGACATTAGAGATCGGACCGTACCGTACCACGGCCGTATTTTTCGGTATTTATCGGTATTCCGTATCGGTAGTACGGCACGGAATACGGTACGGCAAAATTTTGAAGTTGATCGGTATTTTTCGGTATTCCGTACCGTTTTACGGAACCGTAAAATTTTGAATTTTATCGGTATTTATCGGTACGGTATTACGGTACGGTATTACGGTACGGAATACTGTACGGAATTATACGGTATTATGGTACGGAATAAAATTCCGATCTCTAAAGGACATTAAGAAGAAAAGCGTTGGAGTGAATGAGGGAATTAGAAAGTCTAGTAGATTGAAAAAAGTAGGAGCTGAAGAAAAAACTGGAAATAACTCGAATAAAGTTGTTGATAAACAGAAGAATGTTAACATAAAAATTGGAGATTCTAGTGAAGGAAAAAATGTTGGAGTGGAAGACGTTGGAACTAGCCTTAACACGTTCAAAAATAATAAAATTAATACTGAGAAAAACATTGGAGAGTATAAGGCTCGTAAAGCTTCTTTTGGAGGAAAAAAAGTTGGAGAAGAAGAAAAAGTTCGAAATAGCCCTAATAAGGTTGGAGACAAGAAGATTAAAGAGTATAAGGACGTTGGAGAGACTAGTGGAGTAAAAAAAGTTGGAAATAACCTTAATAAGGTTGGAAATAATAAAATTAATATTAAGAAGAATATTAACAAGGTTGAGTTGGAGAAGCTAAATACTTCGAAAGTTTAAAAAAGAAAAGTTTTGATATGTGTGATATTAAAATTAAAAAAAATTTTTCTTAATGAAAATTGGTGTTAAAATAATTTAAAGTAATTTTAGTTAGAATTTTCGAAATTTTGATTATTTAAGTCATGAATAAATTAGATTAGATATTTTTGTTTTATTAAATAAATTGTTATGTTTCCCACATGGATGCATTTGGCATCAAAGGCCTACATAAGGGCCTACACATTCCAATAAGTTTTTTAGCCTGAAATCCCGCCTATGGGTCTTGACCATTTTGAGCACTTTATCTCGACTCAAACTTCTTCAATCAAGCCAATTTTTGGTTCATATGACTCAGCTCGATGTACTCTTTCGAATACTCTATTATTTGCATATTTGAATTTTTTATCCCAAAATCAAGTTTATCCCCCTATGGTTTTTCGATTTTCAATTGCTTCTATCTCTGCGAGTTTTCGCGTCCCGCAGAAAATTTTTGCATATTTGACACATTTTTTTACTTATCTCCACCTACTTTTCCTCTCTCCTTGCATCCAAGGTACCTGATTTTCACATTCACACCTTTTTATAAATCTACCTACCAGTACATATAAGCTTAATATTCAACACAAATTTATGTCTAATTATAACAACATATAATTACAATAATTTCAAATTTAACAATTAATGTCCTTGATATTTGTTTAGTTATTCTTTTTGGAACCTTTTTTCGGCACTTTTGCGTTGTTAGATTTTTTGTTTGAATTTTTGTTCTTTGAATTAGTGTTTGTCTTTTTTGCACCAGTATTAGAGGATGGGGCTTTTTTTGCAGCACCCCCTCCGCATCTGACACCTTTAAACAGTGATAAATGTACTAAAATAGGTTAATTAAAAACCAGTATTCTTTGATTTAATATAATTCTTCACTATACGACCGGAGGTAGTCAATCGGTCATCATTGCCTACTTGAGAAGAAGTCGTTCCAGGTGTGAGTGCTGCAGCCCCTTCCGCCTTGTTCGAGATAGCCCAGTTGAGGTTAGAAATTTTCTTACTATCCAAAAAGTTATACCACTCTTGTGTCGAGCCTTGATCCACTCCACCACCTCCACTTGCATCAACAGTTCCGTATTCAGTTACAAAGATACAAGCTCCCTTAAGTGATATTTGTTTAAAATTATTGAAGTGTTAATTCATAATAAATCAGGGATCAACCCAGAAGGTCAAGACCCAGATGATCAAATGACCCAAAAGGTCAAATACAAATTTTTGGCGGATAAAGAAGGATATATGCATATTAAGACGGATTTGTGAGTATTAAGGAGGATATCGCCGGATTTGAGCGGATTAAGACGGATTTGCCGGGATTAAGGGTGATTAAGAGACATAGGATTGAAATACTCTAGCAACAACTGTCGGATAATGCAAAAAGAAGCAGGAAAACATATTCTTGAGCATTAAACACCTTTATCCGCAAAAAATCTGTATTTGACCTTTTGGGTCATTTGACCTTTTGGGTCATTTGATCTCCTGGGTCTTGACCTTCTGGGTCTTTACCTTCTGGGTCCGTAGAATAAATTCAAGGGTAAGGTTACCCGGGTAGCGGCAGCGCCGACTTGACCCTAGGCAAAGGGTTTGGCGCCGCTACCCGCTTCTTATTCTCCCTATTTAGGAAAAAATTCATAACTTTTTTTAAAATGCAGTTAAAAATTTTATTTTTTGGTCATATTATAGATGGGAGTGTTAACTATGGAATACCAAAAAATTAAAAATTTTGACCGATTTTTTTAAAAGTTATGAATTTTCTAGCAAGGTACTACTTTTTCCTTAAAAAATGGCTAAAAATGAGGTCCTTTTTGTTAAAAATTGTCATAAATTAATTTCCAAAGAAAAAATTCTAAAACTTATATCAAAAAATAGAGCACATTTCAAACTATCTAAAAAAATTTAATTTATAATTTTTGCATGAAATTTCAAATTTTAAGGATTTTTTAAATAAAATGTCTACACTGCCCCTTAGCAGTGTAACAATTTTACCCTCGACCTCTACCGTATCCTTTTCCTCTTTCTTTTCTTCTCAAGTTCTTCGGCGCAAGGATTCTTCTCTTTTTTTCGTTTTGTGGGGGAAAAGTTACTCGGGTAACTTAACCCCGAATTTATTCTACGGGCCCTGGGTTCTGATCTTCTGGGGTGGACCCATAAATCAAACCTTATTCATTGCAGCCTGCGCCTTGTCCCTTAAATTTTGTTTATGAGTTGCTGCGTAGAAGTGTAAAGTGTAGCAAAGGTTTGAACCCCTTACAGCATTATTAGCAGCAGTATCAACATCTTGAGACCAAGTTGTTGTACCGAGAACGATGACATTCTTTTTGTCATATTTTCTAATTTCTGCAACAACTTGCTCATGATATGATTTTACACCATTCCAGTCTACTTGTAGTGGCTCATTGAAAGTCTCATAAATGATATTTGGGTATTTAGATCCGTAGTTTTGGGCAAAATATGCGAAGAATTCTTTCTGTTAAGTTAAAGAAATTTTTTATATACTCAAAAAATTGATATTGAGTAAAGCTCGGGTTCTTATCCCGACCTTGATCTCCGTTAATATATCTATCCCCGATTCCGACATTCAATTTTCTAACATGCTCTTTCACCGAAAAAGTACCCTCGACGGTCGTGGATCAGACCTAATTTCATCTTAGAAAATTCGATAAGTATTATATAATTTAGCTTACAGCTTGTTTCACATGTCCCTGAGCATTGTGGTCGTGAAAGTCAATAATAACATACATATCCAACTCTATCGCGGCCTTAACAACTGCTTCGACCTTTCCCCGCTCAACATTTGTGGCATCCAGGTAACCCGGTCGTCCACATCCAGAATATTCTACACCCATTGCAGCTCTAACAACATTAGAATTCCAAGAGCATTTAAGACTATTTACAGTTTCTCTGTTATAAAAACCTTCGCCTTCACCACAACTCGACCAGAAAAGTGACATTCCAACCAGTTGAACTGGTTGTCCATTACTGCCCACTAATTGACTTCCTGACGAAATTTTATTTATTTAAAACTTTAAATAATAAATTAAATACCTTTCACAGATAATTGCCCATATGGAGGGGCAGCATGAACTTGAAGATAAAATGTGAGGGATAAAAATGCTATTAATGAGAGGGAAAACATTTAGTAAATTTTTAAACTTAATTCGATTTATGCTTAATATTAGTTTTTAATTAGTTGCTTTTATATTTTTAAATTTTGAGGAAAGGTCAAACGTTTAAATTACTCAGCAGTCGTTAATAGTAAAAAATTTTAATAAAATTTAACCTCATAAATTTGACATTGAATTGTTCAAACAGAAAATTATCGCTGGGATTTACTGAAGTAGACGAGCACATATTCAGACTTAATTTATCAAATACACAAATTAACAAAGTAGACGAGTGTTGAAAGTAAAAACGCATAGAACTACCCAAACCTAACGAAGAGCCTTTAAAATAATTATAAAACTAAATTCTTAAATCTTAACTTGCACTTTGTAATACTTTTCCCCTTAAACAAATAGCTCAATTAAAAAGGACTTTTCAATTAAGTGAATTATAAATTCTGTCCTTTTATTTGAACAACTTTTCAAAATTACAAAGTACTTTAATATAAATTAAATTTATAAGTATGCGAGTTTTTGTACTTTAAATTAATATTTTAGACTAAATCCTTTAAATTTTTCAAATAAAATTTGTTTGCATAAAAGGTTATTCAAATTTAAAAAAGTCTGATTATTATTTGGACAAACAACATTTTTTGTCGCGTTTCCCAACGCGAGTTAAAAAATAAATTAAAATATATTTAATTAAAAATTAGTCATAAGTATAAAACGTTCCCATACATTCCTTATCCAAGATAACAATCTTAAATTTTTATATTTTCATTGTGGCGATATTTAATTGACTCCTTTTCGCAACAACTTGAACTTCTCTCCTTAATCACTTCCCAGCTTTTCTCACATTCTTTCCTTAGCTTTTAATATTCTTCCTACACATTTTTCACTTCTTATAACCAATTGTATTTTTTAAATTAAAAGAACACCAGTTTCTTTCGCACTTTTATCAACGTAGCTGTCATCGTCATATAGCCATCAGCCAAGACCGTTTTATGGATACTTCTTATCCATCACCTTCTATTACTTTTAATCTTGACATATTCACCAGCACAATGCTATTGGAAGAGTTTTCCTTTATAAAGGAAAAGTTTTCCTTCCATTTTTAACCCAAAGCTGCGGACTAACAAACAACATCCTAAAAAATATATACTAGTGATGTTCTGGAGAAGAAAACCTTGGAATCAAGAAACGGAAGTTGTGTCACTAATATATAGGACATTTTAGCTTGACGACATTTCAGAATTAACTAAAATTCGATTTGGGTCGATAACATTCAGCAATCAATGAAAGTTTAAAATTTTTTCAATAAAGTTCACCTTGTAATAATCGTGCAGAGAATCGATTACACACAAAAAATTTAAAGTTACAATTTTTAAGAGGATGAACTTTTTCATTTTTCTATTAAAAAGTCTGCTTTTTTATTTGAACAGCTTGAAAAATTGTAAAGTACTTTAAAAAATTTACATGGGCAGTAATTTTATATTTGCACTTTTATTAGCTCTCGTTAGCGTCCCATGAGGATATATGTGACCAAGAATATTTATACGTCCCATGAAATACTTTATAATATTTTTGACTTTATAATATTCTTATTTAAAGCCTTAACGACACACAATCCCTATCATTCGCACTTCTCCTCCATTCACTTATATGTACAAATAAATTATTAAATTTAGGGTTGTTTTTTTAATATCAGGGTTGTTTTTATTGTAAGGTGTAGTCTAGCTTGAAAGGCTAAAGGGCACTTTGATTCATCCTTCCGCTATTGTTATTTTCCCAGTAAACATAATTGAAATGTTTATAATATTTATCCGACCATTTATTGTTCGTTATATAACTATTTCCATTCTTCCCATTAGACAGAGTTAGGCCTAACACTTATATTATTTCCATCTTTAATGTAATGTATTCCCATATGAATAAAGGCGCTTATATCATAACGGTAACAACTATGCCTCGGCAAGCCTGAGGACCTGATCAACCCTCAGAGATTTACCAATTAAGGTGAAAGGTACCCCGGACTTAAGTTGTACTAAATGCCCAAATGGAAAGGCCCTAGCCAGCACGCTCCAATTGGCATGCTGTGTTTCTTTATTAATATTAGGGTTGTTCAAGGTTGGTTAACAGAAACCAAAAACCGAATGATGGAAAAAAATAGGATGGAATTTTATAGGATGGAAAAAAAATAGGATGGAATTTTTTTCCATCCCCAAAGGATGGCATTTTTTAAAGAATTTCTCGACCATTTTAATTCCCAAAATACAGATTGCCAAAATATTTTTCTTAATTTTCAATAAATATAATTTCTTTAATTCTACATATTTATTTTTTAAATTTTATTTCTGATTTGCTTTTGTTTTATTGTTTGGTTTAATCTCTATCTCCTATAATCTCTCTACAATCCTTAACGTAAATTGCAAATAAAAAATAAGACGCTATATTTTATCTTGCACTTTTGTCAGGTTTATGCGTCCCATGAAAATTTATGCGTCCTACAAAATATTTTTATGGGTCGCACTTATTTCATAAATATTACATTTTCAAAAAAAATTTCAAAATATCCACCCTTATTTTTATATTTTGCACTTGCCTCATAAATAAAAATGCGTTCTCTCTATAACTAATGCATATAATGGGTTGACCCAGAATGAGCACTCGGATATGAAATTTTTTACTGAAACACTCGTATGGGAAATTCTATCACACCCGCCTTACTCACCGGACATTGCGCCATCTGATTATCACTTATTCCGGTCTATGAAAAATCATTTACGTGAAGCTCAGTTCCAAAATGATACGCAAATCAAAAATTGGGTAACTGATTTTCTAGAGGCAAAATAAGCTACAACTTTTTATCAAAGGGGAATTAAAAAGCTGCCCAGAAAATGGCAACAAGTAATAGATAATAATGGGCAATACAGTGTTTCTGGAATGTTTTTTGTTTTTTTTGTTATAGTAAATTATTTGCATTATCCATAAATGGCTCATTCTTTTTGGGTCAACCCATTAATAATAATTAAGCGGCGGTTGTTGATCATGTTTGGCGCTGTGTGTGGGGAGAGTTAACCGAAACCATAAGCCTGTGTTTTTGGTAAAACCATGGGTTCGAAAACTGGCGAAAACCGAAAACCGGTGCCTAAATCGACCGGTTTCTTTTAGAAAATACACACCAAAGGGGTGTATTTTTTTGAAAATTTCATGTCATTTTAATTCCCAAAATACATCTTGCCAAGATATTTTTCTCAATCTCGTTTTCGATAACTATAATTTCTTTAATTCTATTTATTTCTTTAAGTTTATTTCTCTGGATTTGCTTTAGTCTTATTGTTTAATTCGAATCCAAGGACGAGAATATATAGTTACGAATTTTATTCATTATTTAAAATAGTAAAATTTTTTTTCAAAAATTTTTTTATTTTATCAATAATAAACCCAAAATTTGAACCTAGGTATTTTGTCAAAATTCGGACCTATTTTTCCTTTTTCGGATTTTTTTCTAATTTGTTTTGCTACTTAAAAAACTAAAAATATGAACCCATTACTCACTTTTCGGCCATAAAAAGTCGGCCTCTAATCATAATCTTTATTAATTATTTTTATGTTGTCCCAAATCTAACATCCTTTAAATCTAATATCAATCTTCCCTCAAATCTAATATAACCAATATACACTCTGCGTCAAAAATGGTTGGCCACCTAGTTTTTTCGAAATATTTTTTTCCAACTCTGAGATAGGGTGTTTGTTCTGGGAGATAAAATGTTTATACCTATCGAATTTATCTATCTACCAAAAATCTTATTATTTGATAATAGACGGGTGCGTCAAAACGGGTGTGACTTAAAAACGGGTGCGTCAAAATAAGTTGGCCACTTTCTTTAAATGCCAGTAACTATTTGTTTTTTGCATTAAAATTATTTCTTTTTGTTAAAATTTTTATTATTAGGTATAATGGTTCGTGGAGCATTATTATCTAAAGAAAAACAGGGACAAATTAATGCTTACCATGAGTGTGGATATTCAAACCGGTGGATAGCTAAAAAACTTAAAATTCCAAGATCAACAATTGGTAGTTTTCTTTCAAATGAAGCTTATGGAACGAAGAAAAGGCCTGGGAGGCCATGCATTTTAACAGAAAGGCAAAATCGTGAAATAAGAAGAGAAGCAGCTAACTCAAGCAAAGGTCAGGTATTATGATTTGGGGTGCGTTCAGCTCATTTGGAACAACAACGCTGGCACTTATTCGTGGTCGTATGGATAGCAGGCGTTACCAAGATGTACTTCAACGTGAATTGGTGCCAAACTGTTCGCCTTCTACAGTGTTAAGAGCAATCAAATCCGCTCCAAACCTTGTTCGACGTAAAGCTAAGAAGTGTCCCAAACTAACAACAATACATAAAACTTCAAGGCTTGCTTTTGCTATGGAGCGTCACACTTGGACTCGTGAGTGGCTTCCGGTAGTTTATAGTGGGTGACAAAAAAATAGTTTTTCTTTTAATAGGTGATTTTTTCTGACGAAAAACGTTTTTGTTTGGATGGTCCGGATGGGTACAATTATTATTGGTGGGACAAGAGAACTGAACCACGTGTATTGAAGAAGAGAATTCAAGGTGGCGGGGGTATTATGATTTGGGGTGCGTTCAGCTCATTTGGAACAACAACGCTGGCACTTATTCGTGGTCGTATGGATAGCAGGCGTTACCAAGATGTACTTCAGGATCATTTACTTCCATACATACACCGTTGGCCGAATATTCAATTTATTTTTGTCCAGGATAATGCCCCAATACATGTTAGTGGATCAACTAGGGAATGGCTTGAGACACAAAATGTACCTCTTTTACCATGGCCTCCTATCTTTTGTGATTGTAACCCAATTGAAAATCTATGGGGGGACCTGAGCCGAGCTGTTTATGCTAACGGAAGACAATTTGACTCGGTTGAGGCTCTCTCAAATGCTATTGTTTGTGCTTGGAATTCCATTCCCCAATCCCGCCTTGAAAACCTTATTAATTCAATGCCAAATCGACTTGCTCAAGTGATACATAATAAGGGAGGGTTTACTAGGTATTGACAAATTGTTTTTTTCCACAAATAATTGTATTTTTTATTTTAAATAAATATTTAAAGAAAGTGGCCAACTTATTTTGACGCACCCGTTTTTAAGTCACACCCGTTTTGACGCACCCGTCTATTATCAAATAATAAGATTTTTGGTAAATAGATAAATTCGATAGGTATAAACATTTTATCTCCCAGAACAAACACCCTATCTCAGAGTTGGAAAAAAATATTTCGAAAAAACTAGGTGGCCAACCATTTTTGACGCAGAGTGTATATGGCCACAAATCTAATATTACTCTTCAAACCTACTTATTATTGTTATTCCCCCTTAGCTTTATAATTTTTATATTATATATTTTTATTATTTTTTTATATTCTCTCTATCTCCTATATTCTCTTTATAATCCTAGACATAAATTGCAAATAAAAAATAAGATGCTATATTTTATCTATGCACTTTTATCAGGTTTATGCGTCCTACAAAATATTTTTATGGGTCGCACTTATTTCATAGATATTACTTTCTCAAAAAAATTTCAAAATATCCACCCTTATTTTTATATTTTGCACTCGCCCTGATATCTAAGTTAAAATGATTTCTCTCTAATGCATATACTAAAGTAAAGCTATCCTCAGCTCCATATCTAACTCTGAGATGTCTAAATTTATTATTATTCCTTTATTTTTGATTTACCTTTTGAATATTCAAAGCAACGGAAAATTAATTCAAGTTGAATTAAAAATCAAAAATGATTGGGAAGAAAAAAGAGAATTTATTTATTTAAAAAATGTTGAATTAAAAGAGCGTTTTGATGTGAATATAATTGAAAAGTGTAATAACCAGCACGAAAGTTTTAAGAAAAATATTGAGGGATTTTTGTGTAAAGTTCATTTAAACCTTAAAAGAAATGTTTTTAATGGTCTTGAAATGGATGATAGATATTATGCTATATCTGATCAATTAAAAAATAAAATTGTGATTGAACTTTTCAATAGTCAAATTATTCAAGGAATTTTGTCTGGATTTGTGAAACGGGTATCTTATTTTCTGTTTATTTCAATCCTCAATATATAATAAATTATGACTGTTGTTACCTAGAAGAGAGTGGGCCCTGTCCTTTTAGATACACAACAAGTTCTTCACAATTCATAAGATTTATTTAACGAATTAAATATATAAATTAAGTTTGAAATCAACATAGGTGGAAGGGGAAAAAGCTAGTTGCAAACATAAAACTATTCGAATAATCGGAAAAGCTTAGTTTGTATAGCATTAAGTGGGTGTGTACATTGGCTATTTAATTGTAAAGGAGTGTATGGGAAAATGAATAAAGTGTTTGGAAATAATTGATTGGGAAATTCGTGTCAGGCTAAAATTTTTCCTCAGGACCGTATTTTGGTCGTTCCGCCTTTTGGCCGTTCCGTATTTTGGTAAGACCGTGTTTTGTCTGTTCCTCGTTTTGGTATGGTCCGTATTTTGGTCGTTCCGTATTTTGGTAAGACCGTGTTTTGTCGTTCCGTGTTCTGTCTGTTCCGTGCTTTGGAATTCCTGGTTTTGCCCCTCACCCAGGAAATTAAATAATAGAATTAGGGACTAATATATGAATGTATCTTACAATACCCTTATTTCTTTATTTAAACTTGAGAAGCACAACAGAAAACGACTTCTTTTTATTTCCATTTTTCCATATTTTTCATGTTCCGAGCAGAGCAGTGCTGTGCGTGCGTGCTAAAAGCATAACGCCAAAAATCTGCCAAAAATGGATGCCAGACGCCAAAAGTTATGACGCACAGTTTCCTTCCTAGGCATAAAATAACTTTAAAAAAATTTAAGGTGCTCCGATATAATTATTTTAATGAAAATAATAATTATTTTGAAACTTCTATATTAGATGAGAGTTTAGAAAATATAAAAATAAATAAAAAAGAATTATTAAAAGAAAATATAGAATCCTATAAAAACAAACTTTTATCAAGTTATTGGACGGAAATTAATTTAATTGGATATAAAATTGAATTGTTAGAAAAACAAAAAGTTGAATATCCGAAAGAATTAAAGGATAGAGTTATTTTTATTGGCAATAAAATAAGTAAATTTGTCTTACTTTAATAATTCGAAAATAATTTTCGTTAGGCCAAATTGGTCGTTATCAAAAATATTTTCCCTATTGTAAGGAAGAGAAAAGAGAGAATAGATCCAGCTGGCTAGCATTTAAAACGCTGACTGCGGGGTTTAAGACCTATTAAAAGAGAAGGTGAAAGCAGCGTCCCGGTAGCTCAGTTGGTAGAGCACCTGTACGTGTTGAGCGAAAGCGCCTAGCAATAACTGCCAGGAGGTCGCAGGATCGAAGCCTGCCCGGGATTAAACTTTTACCTCGCTCTTACTCCATAGTGATTAAAATTAAATTTTATTTGTAAATAATACTTAACTTATAAATATTAAAGCTGAAATTATTGAAAGTAAGAAACAACATTGTTTCAATTGCAATATCAACCAAAATAAATACTGGTATATATTTTTAAAAGAAAATTATTTGTGCAAACTATGTGGGAAATATAAACAAAGAACTAAAAAATTTAGATCGGAGCAAGTAAATAGCTGGTATAAGGTTAAAAAGGTAATTCATCCGTAGTCCGTAGTAGCCTTAATCCGTAGTACATTATCGTCATTTTTTGGGTGCGTCTGTATGATTCTAATGATTTGAAAATTTATCACATTGGATGACAACGAAGAAATTTTTCTGGATAAGGGCTATTCACTATCTTGTAGCAAATTTCAAGGGCTTTCAAATAAGCCCAAAATGAAATTTTTATTTTACCTGTAAGGGGTCGAAAATATTTTTTAAAGACGTTTACCCCCGTTTTCCGTTGATTTTTGGATTTCGAGATCTCGATGAGGCGAGTACATCAGAACTTTATTTCTTTTGTATTTTCTCTTGATATGACTAGTTAAGTTTACATGAATTTTTGTAGATTTTTTGAATACCCCTAATGTCGAAACTTGAGGGTGGTCTTATTATTTTGTGTCACTCATTTTTAATGAATTTCACGAAATTTCGCATTACGTTCTAAGTTTTTAAATTCGAAATCGAAAGTAAAAAACGGCGGAAATCAGAATTCCGACCCACCTCTGGGACGAAACGCAAAGTGACAAAATTTACTTTAGGAGGATCGTCATTGCATTAAATGTGGAAGTACAAATACACGAACATGGTACCGTCATTCAGAACCTGGGCAATATTTATGTTATAAATGTGGGCAAAAACGAATGTATGATATTAAGAAGAAAAGAAATAGTGATTTAAACGGTTTATGATTTATTTAAATATGGAATACAAGAAGGAAGATAAAAAACAAGGCATCGAACTCGACCCTTTAGCTTTGCAGTTTTTTTTTTGAATATTCTGCTTTTTCCAGTAATTCTGATTTGTTTCTATAAAGTAAATGTCTCAAATGTCAAAACCGCAATAGTCTGGGCCGCAAGTGTCTGGGCCTCAAGTTGATAGCCGCAAATGTCTGCGCCAAAAATTTCTTAGCCGCAAGTGTCGGGACCGCAAGTGTCAAAATAGGGGCGAGCCGCAAGTGTCTGGGCCGCAAATGTCGGGACCGCAAGTGTACGCGCCGCAAAAGTCGCATCACCTGCATTTGCATCTTTTGTTATTCCCAAGTCCCACTAAAAATGTAGCTTATCTTTACAAAATATTTTTAAATTTTATTAATTTAAATTTATTTTTTAATTAATTGATTTACTTTTTAAAAACTCTATTTTTGGTATTTTTTAAAAATAAATAAAAGCCAAATTTATTAATTCAAATAATAAAAAAATTTTCTCTAAAATTAAAGTGTTTATTCATCCGTAAAATTTAAAAATAAAATTTTTAAAAAAATTTTTAAATAAATCTAAATTAATTTTTTTAAAGAGAAGAATAGTTTATTTACACAGTTTCTCTCCAATTGCCAATTATAAACTTAAATTAAGGAAAGTTGAATTGGGAAGCCAACGTTGAATTTTGGCTAGACTTGTCTAGACAGTTTAGGCGTGCGGAAGCTTCTCAATCTAGTCATGCTGCTTTTTGCGGAACTTTTATGCGGATTTATTTTATGGATATGCGGACTTTTTCGGCATTTTTCTTACGCTGAGGAAGAAAAGAAAATTTTTGTTTAGACTTTTGACCTTGCGAATAAGCATTTGTAAGTCATAGTTAACTAGAGTTTTGTCAAATTAAGACTGAGATAAATTGAGGAGCTTTTTTGAGAAGCTTGCTAAGGCTAATGGGAACTTATGCAGTTTAAGTACACACCCCATTTATTCGCAAGGCATTCCCCCAATATAACTCGCCAATCATCCCATTTATTTACATGCTAACAATAAGCCTATATAAATGCGCTCTATCCCGACCAACCTTTGACTCTCGCGAGACATGCCTAAAACCCTACGTGAAGCGCATGGTTTTGCACAAGCGTCTAGCCAACTCCCTTAGATTTGGGTGACCATTTTGAAACTTTTGACCTTGCGAATAAATGGGGTGTGTACTTAAACTGCATAAGTTCCGGCTAATGAAGCTCCTCAATACTTTTTGTGTACCTTATTTTACGGATCCTCAGTTAATTTTTTGGCTGGTTTATGCAGGACACTGCCAAGCTTGTCTACGGATTTTCCTTTTTTGCGGACCTTTTGCTGACTTTCAATGGATTCTCTGGCTTTCTCTGCCAACTTTCTTTTGTTTATGTCATGAAAGTCATGAGAGAAACCTCGCATTTTTCGAATACGTGGCTTTCCTGGCTGTAAAATTTAATAAAAAAATTTAAATTTAGCGTCAGCAATTTTAAATTTAAAAAATACAAACTAGAAAATCTCTCTTATTTAAAATAAGCAGTATACCCTTCAATCTATCCACAATCCAAAAAACTTTCTAATAAAAATCCTCTTCTAAAATGTCATCCTTTTTTTATTTTTTATTTATTTCTGTTAGTCTTTTGATTATTGCTAATGCTGATGATGCTGGTAGTTATCCTTCAGGGGATGATTTAGTTGAAGGTTCGTTTTACGGAAGCCTCCCCCTCCCCAAAAGGCATTAGTCGAGTTACCCGAATCTCGATACCGGGACATTTCGATACGTCAACATGAAACCAGATCAGAAAGTCTTTTGAACGCCTACTCGATACACAACCCGACGCCTTCTTAATTGGGTTCTTCCGTGGAAATGTTTTAGTAAATGCAGAATGAATAAAAATAACCAATAATAGGGTTGGATGTATTATGTCTGTGAAAAGCATATTTTTATCTAGTTAAAACGACCCTAAACTCTCAATTTAATGAGGCAATCAATTATAATATTTATTTTCTTCAATCATTCAAATTAGGGTCAAGTGAGGCTTCGAAGAGCACTGAAAATGAGGGAAAAGAAACAAGTATTTATAGGGACTGGGAAGGGCGGAAAGATGATAAAAACATAAAGAAAATGATTAAGGAAGGGTTTAGGAAAAGAGCAGCAATTTGAATGAGATGAAAGGAGAAAATATTTGAAAGTCGGACTGGGGGAATTATTTAAACATATTAAGAAATGGGGGAAAATAGATAAAAATTAATATTAAATAAATATATTAAAAATATACAAATCACGGACATAACAGGATGGAAATACTGTCGGCATTAATTTCGTCGGCTTTATCTTTCCACTATCGTCTTAACACGACAAACTCTAATAATAATCTGCAAATTTAAACCCAAAGTAAATTATTTTCTTTAGGTACTACTGATGCTCGACTTCATGCGTCCTCCGACCTACCAGACGATGATGAAGAAGAGGTAGTTTTTTAATTTATTAAAATCATGCATTCGACACAGCTCTAAAAATTATTAGTATTTGACTATGAACTCCTAATTTTGAGAAATTCCGGGAGTAGGGGTGGTAATTTTGAATAGTATCTGAGGTTGTTAGATGGCGGAAAATTTTTTTAAAAATATTTTGGGGTCCCGATAATGCTAACTTGCCGTTCCTATTAAACAAAATCTGGAATGTACAGGGTGACAAGAAATGTTTAGGCCAAACTATTTATGGCATAACTTTTTTCAAATTAAGGATATTGAGATAAAATAAAATTTATATAAAAGAGAAACAACTATGGATCAAATATAATTAAGAATTTTCGAAGTTTTCACCCCTTGTTTGGATACAGAGTAGAAGTCGCGCGAAAAAATTTTTTACAAATGGTCGCACCTCCTCGTGTGAGATTTTCTCTTATTCACGAACGAATAAGAATCGGAGCGACTTCAAACTTTTGGATTATTAAAAACAGACCTTTACCTCAAAAATACTAAAAGCAGTAACCGATCGGGTTCAACTCCGATGAGTACGGTAGCCTTATTTGAGACAAGTTAAACTGGGTAAATTTACTGCGCATCAACCTTGCATTAATTTAGCCTTATAAGACGAGGATAAATTCTATTGAAAGATCCAGTCCCTATGCCAAAATTTACCTCAGAGCTTGGTGGCTAGAAAAAATTTTAAAATATTGCCTGAGGGTATAAGTAGGGAAGAGTGAGTAACGATATTATCGTTTATCTAACAATTTATTTAGTGTGAGTGCGAAGATGACGACGAGACAACGGTCGCAACTCCCATTTCTACACGTAGCAATGGATACCCTTCTAATAACGGAGCCCCAACTAGCACTGGACGTCCTTCAAACAACGGAGGCTCAAACAATGGAGGCTCAAACAATGGAGGCCCAAGCTCTGTCACAGGCTCTGTTATATTGAGAGAGAAATGGGGAAACGGTGCCAATTGTATTTTGGCATTCAAAAATAATGGAAACGCTAGAGCATGTGGTGTCAAGTTCGAGCTGACTCTTGGTGATAATGTAAGATTTTTTAAAATCTAATACTAGACTAAGAGCCGATACTTAGAGTAGCCCTATAAAGCTCCAAGTTACTTGAACATTCTCATTTCGTTTCCACATATCTCACTGATTTTGCTTGAATAAAAAAATGATTGACATGGAGAAGAAAATAATCTCTGACCATTTTCTACGCATCAGGAAAACTCTGAGACTCAAAATAGGGGGGAGGGTGACATATCCATAAAGTACCAAATTGTCTAGTGCTCCGTTTCCATCATCCAGTTGAACATACACATAGTGAAATACCTGTAGTAATTTCTCTTTTCCATTTTACATTAAATATATTAAATTCCAGCAAAGAATCCAAAGCATTTGGAACGTTGAGAAAGTCGGAGACAATGTTTACCGAATTCCGGACTACATTCAACTTGGTCCAGGAGTCGAAAACAGGGATATAGGAGTTGTCTATAATGATGTGCCAGAACCTCTTCCAACAATCAAGGTTCTTGGACAAGAGGCGACATGCAAACAGTACTAAATAAACAATATGGAATTTTACATTTATTAAAAGATATAAAAATTATTAAAGATTGTGAATATTAAAATTTTTGGCAATTTAAAAAATAATGGCAGAATATAAAATACAGTGTGTAACAAAACTATAAGCCAACTAAAATTTTGAAAAAATTTTTTTGAAAAATTATATCACAGGCTATTTTGTAGCAAATTTTATGGGCTTTCAGATAGGCCTAAAAGAAAATTTTTATATATGCCCTAAGGGGATTAAAATATTTTTTGAAGTACTGTACCCCGATTTCCCGTTGATTTTCGAGATTTTAGATCTCGATGAAGAAGGCAGTTAAAGACTTCGTTCTTTTACTTTTCAACAATATATCGATGGAAATGATCACAGAAATTTTTGCAAAATTTTTCAGGCATTTCTAATATGAAAAATAAAATTTTTCCAAGATTGCTTATACAGGGTGCGCCATAAGTAAACGGACACTTTTAAATTCCTTATAACTTTTTTTGTTGTCAATATTTTTAATTGATTTTAGGCTTATTTTTTAGCTCATTCAATTCTCTATTATGGCTAGTCAACGTGATTCTATAATCTCACTTTTTTGCAAAAAAATTCAGTCCGCAAAATTTCATCTCTTTTGATTGTGGCACGCATGTCTGATTGTATTTCGATTTTATTTGATTGTGTTTTAATAAAGTTATGAGAGAAAACAAGTGTCCGGTTACTTATGGCGCACCCTGTAGTTATGTTACACCAACATTTCATAAAAAGCTTGAAAAAAAATTCGAAAAAAAACCGTAATTTTGCTTTTTACCATTATTTTTTGTCGCCTATTTTGGCATTTTAAAGAACATATTTAGGTGCTACGGTTCGACAACCTAAAAGTCCTTATGACTCCACGTTTCATTATTAGTCTTTTATTATTCAGTCATACTTGTCACAATCCTAGCTATCAACAGCTAGCTGAATATAAATCGAACTAAGAAAATTTGAATGTCAAAATTTTATGCCCAAATAACAAAAATACTATTTTTTTACTTTAATCTATAATAAAAATTAATTGAACACACACAGTGTGGAAACAAATTTAAATAACTCTATGTATACTTCAGTATTAATATCGGTAATAGTTTAGTTTGTGTTTCCCCTTTTTCGTCTTACGGCTGTAGTGTAGTGTACCGAGGTAAAAATTCGAGACGTTGCATGTCATTCGATTCGTCTCGACGAGCTGAGTCGAACGGTACCACTCCCAATTTCTGGAAATGATTCTGGACCGAGTTATATTATACCAAAATGGACCTTACTCCCCCATGGTTTTTCAATATTTCGGGACCTATAACTCGGTCCAGAATCATTTCCTGAAATTGTGAGTGGTTCCATCGACTCAGCTCTTCGAGGTGAATCGAATGACATATGTCACGTCCTGAACTTTTACTTCGGTACACTACACTAGCCGAAAGACGAAAAAGGGGAAACACAAACTTAACTATTACCGTAATATCTACCTTTCAGGAATAAGATTGGCGGATTCGGATATTAGAAAAACTCCCAACATGCGTCAACCTTTCAGGAAATAGCTATCTAGTTCCCAGGAATAACTCAAAATTTTTTTAAAAATCCATTTTTCTTGGCTTAAATTGGATTCCAAATCTATTCAAATTCAAAAAAATAAGGAAACTTCAAATTTGAAACTCAGTTGCTCAAACTCCAAGTTCAAGTTTGAGCAACTTAAATTAGAGCTAATTCCTGAAAAATAGCTATTACCTACTCATACCGTAATCATTCTAATTAAATGGTCGTCATTCTATTTTCGGTATTTTATGGATATCTCACCCCCCTCCTATTTTGAGTCTCAGAGTTTTCCTTATACGTAGTAAATGGTCAGAGATTATTTTCTTATCCATGTCAATCATTTTTTCTTCAATCAAAATAAGTGAGAAATGTGGAAACGAAATGAGTGAAATGTAAGTACAAAATTCAAAAATATGTGAAAAGGCGAAATAAACAAGCAAAATACTTGAAGAAGAAAAAAATGATTGACATGGGGAAGAAAATAATCTCTGACCATTTTCTACACATAAGGAAAACTCTGAGACACAAAATAGGAGGGGGGTGACATATTCATAAAGTACCTATTTTTCAATACCTCAAAATACTTTCTTTATATTGGAGGGGTCATCAAATGGAGAGGCCATTTAATTAGAATAAATAAAGTAAATAAATCTACCGTATTTCCTCATTTAGTTCCCCACTGTCGAATAATTCCCCATATAAAAGATAGGTTGAAATATTAATTCCCCAGGAATTAATCGAGAAAATACTGTAGATTAGTATATGAATATGTATGTAAAACTGAACATTTACAAACCAGATTAGGAAATAAAAGTATAAAAATCAGTTCATAAATAAATTAACTGAAGATAGAACTTATCCTGGACAATTGTCATTACCAAAACTTATCTTGATTAACATGGATAAACGGACCTATCCCGTTTTTCGGACCTTGCCCATATTGAACTGTTAACGTTTTACTGAAAAGTGGGGTACTTTATGGATATGTCACCCCCCCCCTCCTATTTTGAGTCTCAGAGTTTTCCTTAAACGTAGAAAATGGTCAGATTTATTTTCTTCTCCATGTCAATCATTTTTCTTTCGACAAGCAGAATAAGTGAAATGTGGAAACGAAATGAGTGAAATGTAAGTACAAATTTCAAAAATCTGTGAAAAAGCAAAATAAAACCAGCAAAATACTTGAAGAAGAAAAAAATGATTGACATGGAGAAGAAAATAATCTCAGACCATTTTCTATGTTTAAGGAAAACTCTGAGACTCAAAATAGGAGGGGTGTGACATATCCATAAAGTACCAAAAGTGGATTATAATGATCGAGATCGTTGGTTATCGTGATCGTTGTTTTCCTAATATTAACCTTATTAAATAAAAAAGCTACTAGGAAAGGCTAGTATCTAGCCTTCCAAAGTAACAATAATTAAAGTTAGAGGCAAATTGTGAGCGCAGTTCGGAACTCTAGTTAGCAAAATGTCTATAAGGATTGTATTCCGTACCCAGTAGTCGGGGAATTAGGGAAAAATTTTGGCGGTGGCTCAACCTCCGATGGCTGGACCAACCCTAATGTCTGTAATGTCTTAATAATTTATTGGATATGAGATTGAAAAGAGCAATCGTAGAAAGCCTAATCAAATACCGACTGATACTATTCACTCTATTTATGCGTTATTTTTGGGCTTTCAGCAAGAACCGACATAATGATAATCCATTTTTCAGTTAGTGACAATTGTCCAGTTTATCTCGAATGATAAAAGAGTTTATATACTAATGAATGGAAAGAATAGGTATCATACAGTTTTTCCGGAGAACGAAACTTGTAACTCGACATTTTAGTCCAAAATAGATGTTAAAATTTATGACATGTTGACTTTAGGTCTAGAGATCTACACAATCTCGATGGATTTACGTGATCTCGTCTCGGATGGGATCTCGTCCCAGTTCAGCGTTTTGAAACTCAATCCTGTCATAAGTTCCCGGGAATGCTATTTTATCAATCTCAATTTAGGACAGGTATTTGTGACCATAGTTAATATTTGCCCCTATAAAATAATCTGACTTTACGTTCACGTGATGGGCGTAAATGTCAAGTTATAATTGTCGTCATTAATGAATCGGTACTTTATGGATATGTCATCCCCCCCCCCTCCTATTTTGAGTCTCAGAGTTTTCCTTATGCGTAGAAAATGGTCAGAGATTATTTTCTTCTCCATGTCAATCATTTTTTTTTCTTCAAGTACATATTTTGCTTGTTTATTTTGCCTTTTCACATCCACATTTCACTTATTTTGCTTGAAGAAAAAAATGTTGACATGGAAAAGAAAATAATCTCTGACCATTTTCTACGCATAAGGAAAACTCTGAGACTCAAAATAGGATGGAGGGTGACATATCCATAAAGTACCGATGAATCTTATAAGAACTTTCTCCTTTCCCGATTTTTCAATCATGTCGAAAACCTGAAAAATGGTCCTGACCGCTGTAATCTTGAAAACTGTTAGGATCAATATCGACATCTCTAACATAATCGTCTCCAAAAGAATATGAATTTCTATAACTTGGCTCGTTGCTTCCTGTGTTACCATGTCCTGATTCTACAATTAAAAATAATAAATCTTGGAGATTTCAGTCTCTTAATTTTTTTATTTTTTAGCAATTTATTTAAAAATAATTTTCCCGGCTTGGGCCCTTTCATCTATTGTAAATTTTTGTTTTCCCGATTTTTCAAGATTTCCCTTTCCGGGTATTATCTACATACGGACTACTCTTTAGAATTACGTGTACAAACCAGCTCCGCCCAAATTTCCGCCAAAATGCTGTCCAAATCGCGAATTGTGGCCTAAATTTATATTAATTTACTAGTTACGGAGTCTCTGACCTCTTTAATATTAGGGATTCGAATAAAACAAATACTAAGCTCAGTTTCGGACTCGCCACACACGATTACATGCTTGTAAAACTCAAAAACATCAAAAAAGCACTACATGACTTTATTCTCGGAACCAGTAGATTACCAGGATTTTGAATATAATTGTGGAAGTGAAATTCAAAATTTTGCCCCTCACCAAAAGTTTGACTTTCGACATATATAGAGTTGTGCTAGAGAGAAGAAAAAACCCAGGAAACGTGAGTTTTATCCGTCCAAATTAACCCGCAATCTCTGGCAGACCTACACGATTTAGTAAAGTTTTCCTACCGGTAGATCCAGGATGATTATGATGATTCAAGAAATCTAAATTGTTATGATTGTTATCAATCAATAATTTAGATTACCTCGTGTATGATAATAATCTATAGATTGGAGGCGTGAATGATCTAATTCGATAATACCTTCAGTACTTGGTGATGTAACCATTCTTGGTGGTAATGCAACATTATCGGGCTGAAATATGCAAAATATTAATTTAGATGTTTTTATATTGACTTGTTAAGAATATAGAAAAAATTGGTACAATTAGGTAAAAGAACTTGAAATTGACTAGAAGAATGAGTAAAAGTATAGCAAAGATGGCAGGATTCGAACCTGGAAGTTGTCTCGGTGACAAAGCAAGTTATCCAAACATCCCATATGGCAATGTTGTTCATCGACAAGACTAGGGTACCCATCAAAACAAGAAAATTTCCCCTTATATTGTAAACCCCACATTCCCCATTTTAATGTTCGTTAAGGTTTTATTTTGTTTATTTTATTTAGAAGAGAAAAGTAAAGGTCTTTATTTGATGTTTGTGAGATTGATTAAGAAAAGGTTACCGACTCAACCTTTTTCTAAAGTCCTACAATGCGATACCACTGCAATGCTCTCTAAGCCTCACTTAAACCTATGTATGCAGTTCCTCAAATACTGGGCTACAGGATCTAAGACTAATGTTTACTCTTTTTGGTCGCTTAACATCAGCCTAAGCATCTTCCTCACAAATGTACTAAAATGCATACCCCCTTTACTAAGTGAAAAATCAACTTGGGCTACTTTCCTCGGTCAATTTTTTATTTCCCGTGGCTAACTGCCGCAGGTCTTCAATTGTCACATTGTGTTTTGAATTGTCGCGTTTTGGATAAAAATTATTCATTTTAAAAGTTCCAGAGGCAATAGTTACCAAAATCAATTTTCGCTCGTTTATTTAATTGACTAATTTTTCGGCAAAAGAGTATTTCCGAAAAAAAAACCTAGGCTAAAATTCCACCCAAAACACTTTAACAAATCTTATTTGTTTAAAAGCGAATATATGATTGATCGGAGAGGAAGACTAAAGAGCTATTAAAAGAAAGGCAAAGAAAAATGATTAAAATGAGAATTGGAAATAAGAACCAGCTAGAGCGATTACTAAACTGTAAGGATGAGAAAAGGATGAACACTAAAAACCATCTGAACACAAGAAAGCAACTGAGAATCTCTTTATTTATCTCTTTAATCTTGGGAATGTTTGGGAAAAAAATATTTTTTATTAACGACGAAAAGGAAAATAAATATAACCAATTGGGAAATTTATTCGCAACGCGACAAATTTTTAGTTCATTTACCATATTTCCTGTGCTCCTTCTTGGACCTTGAAAATTTCTATATCGCATCGTACTCCCAAGTTGCGTGTTGCTAGGTGCACCTTCATTCACCGGACCTGGAGTTCTGTTGCCAGGGCGTACACGTCTATCGCGTCCATGTCTTGTCCGGTTGTTTCTTTGTTGCCGGCGAGCTAAAATATAAGGAAGGAATTTATTTACTTCAACTAAATTTCAATTTAATCACAAGCTCAGAATTGTCAAAGTATCCCTAAGTCGGCGAAACGCTTGTATAATACCCTTTGGTATTTTTGGTTGGCGAATAAATGGGGTAATGGGGTCACGCCCAAGTAGGCGCGCGGCCAAGAGTCGAAAGCCATAACTAGCTGGAAAATTTCTGACCCTTATAAATTTTGGTACCAATCTCATTAGCTCGATGAGAGGAATCGTTTAATACTAAATTTGATAAGATTTGGAAATCTTGAAGCACCTATTCTTAAATTCAAAGTTATGTATTTCCAATTATCGTTACCAGGTTCTCTATCAGTGATATAAACGTTGCTGCGCTGATCTTGGTTATCCTCATCGCGTGTAGCTGCTAATAATGCCGGGTGTATAAAGCCATGCTCGACAACATGACCGTGCTGTTCTTCAATGTCATCACCTTCATAAAAACCCTTAAGCGTTAAAAATAAACGATGATTATAAGAATTTATTAGACTGTGACCCAAAATGTACTATCAAAAAATGTCCTCCCCCAAAATGTCCTAATGAATAAAACCCTCCTAAAATGTCATAAAACCCTCCGTAAAATGCCATACTCAGAAAATGTCCTACCCCATTCCTTCTTTGGAATCCGGCTTTTTAGAATTTTTGTGGCACACCCCTGATAAGTTAGTATTAAGCCAACATTTTTAAATTAATTTACAAAAAAAAATTTTTACATGTTGAAAAGGATACATTCCATCAACAAAATTTGACAAATAATTGGTAAATAATAAAGAAATAAAATAAACAAAATAGTTTGACAAAAGCAACATTTGTTTAATTTTTTAGAAAATTTTTATAGACTAAAATCCGCAATTTTTGAATAACGAATTTAAAACTCGCTTATATCTCAGTTGGAAACTCATAGTAATTTGAGGGGAGCCAGACATATTGGGGCAAACATCAAGGGATAGTTCGATCTGCCACTTTGATTTCGGGACCTACGGCCATTGGGTCCTGAATTAGGGCCACTGGGTCTGCCAGAGGGCTCTGGATTATGGCCACTGGGTCTGCCACTGGGTCCTGGATTATGGCCACTGGGTCCTAGATTACGGCCACTGGGTCCATTGCCATACATATTAAAGATAAAGGTGATTAGCCGATGGACTCATCCGACGGACTTCCAACTTAAACACGTAAGATGGTATCCTGAAAGGTCTGTTCCGATATGTCTCACTACCATTTGAGTAAGGAATCATCCAGATGGTTAGCTTTTTATGAAGCTTACTAAAAAGCTTCCTTGCAATAACTGCCAGAAGGTCTTACTTTCTTCGCTATTTATTTTATTATGAAATTTAAAAAAATATTTTCCCTATATGGTGTGTTAAGAAATTATATGAACACTCATATTTTTCTTGTTTATCTGGGTTCCTGAAGGTTTATCAAGTTGTAATTTTTACAATAGTTATTAAATGTAATTTGTACAATATATCCATAATATCTTAAGTTTATTTATCCGAGAAAATTTTTTATTCCAATTTTTCACAAAAATAGGTGTTAAGAAAAACAACCCTAAGGGGCATTTACTGGAGCATTTAAGCGTTTTTCTTCTCATTAGAAATTTAAAGCTTAATAATTTAATAAAATATTTTTCTAAAAAATAAGATAAATGCCATCATGTAGCAAATTTCAAGGGCTTTCAGATAGGCCTAAAAGAAATTTTTTAAATTACTTTAAACGGGCTAAAATATTTTTTAAGTTACTGTACCCCAATTTCTCGTTGATTTTCGAGATTCGAGATCTCGATGAAAAAGTTATTTAAAGACTTCGTTCTTTTTGTTTTTCTACTCAATATCAATGAAAATACTCACAGAAATTTTTGCAAAATTTTTCAAGCATTTCTAATATGAATAAAATTTTTAAAATTTAAATTTTAAAAATAAAATTTTTAAAAAGTGTTCATATAATTTCTTAACACCTATTTTTGTGAAAAATTGGAATAAAAAATTTTCTCGGATAAATAAACTTAAGATATTATGGATATACATATTGTACAAATTACATTTAATAACTATTGTAAAAATTACAACTGATAAACCTTCAGGAACCCAGATAAACAAGAAAAATATGAGTGTTCATATAATTTCTTAACACACCATAATGCTTATTATTTTTATCAAATGATTAAAAATATTTATTTTGCCGACATCCTCCCCCCTCTCTATTGCCTTCATTGACGTCCCCCTCCCCTACCCTGCCCTCTCTCTATTGCTTTTAGTCACGTCCCCCCCCCCCCATCTCTCTATAGCCTGCACTCACGTCCCCCCGCTTCTCTCTATTGTCTTCATTCACGTTCCCCCCATCTCTCTATTGCCTTCATTCACGTCCCCTTCCTTTCTCTCTATTGCCTTCATTCACGTCCTCCCTACCCTCCCCTCTCTATTGCCTTCATTCTTCATTCACGTTCCCTCTCCCTCATCTCTCTATTGTCTGCACTCACGTCCCTCCCATACCCCCCCCCCCCCACCATCTCCCTATTGCCTTCATTCACGTTCCCCCTACCCTCCCCTCTCTATTGCCTTCATTCTTCATTCACGTTCCCTCTCCCTCATCTCTCTATAGACTGCGCTCACGTGAAATCTATTTATTGGCATTGCCCTGTTGAATTGCCCTTTTTTTGACATGCCCTTTCTAGCATTGATTATTGCGATAGAGAAAAAAAAAATAATTTTAAATTATCGATTCTAAATAATTATAAAAAAATAAATAAATAGCTAGTGTTTTTGATAGCAACAAATGTTTTGGAAATAATTGTTCTTGACAGTTACATTGGAGACTCTCCATTACTTCATCCTCTCTCATACTTCATCCTCTCCCTATCGCTTATAGGGCCAAAACAGCACATTCTGGATTGGCAAGATTTGCTAAGAAATATAAATATCTATGTATTTGAACATAGAAATATTACTATAGATCGTCGTCGTCAGTTGATTTCGAAACACATCTTAATATAAAGAGCAAATAAAAATGGCATGCCGTGGTGGTGAACACATGCGACTTGCAATACGGAAACCCAGGGCTTTTCGGAGACCCGGGACCGAAGGGTTTCCAAATGTCATTTTTTAATAAAAAAAGAAAGAAGAGAAAGTGGGCGGGACATATGGGGGGAAACTACACAAGTACCGAAATATTAACCAAAATATTTAAAAATCTGGAGATATGGACTAAAGATGGAAAATATGGATTGATAACCCTTTATCGGTATTATCAACAATGCTAAAATATTGTTTTATGGGTAATAGTTCGGATTTATTGGCAAGTATTTTGACCCCCCTACTTTTTCCTTTCTAAAAGTATTAAAAAATGTATAGAACTCGTCGAGCTGTGTCGAATGACACAAAAATCAACCCCCCCCCCTTCGGCCTTAACTTTGGGCCGAGATACAGAAAAAACCCTGCGCAAACCGAAAGGTTTTGCAAAATCGTCTCGCGACTACAATAGGATTACTTTATGTCATAATTTTGTCAAATCTTGTTCAATTATGTTGATTTTGATTTCATTCGAATCAGTTCGACAGGCTCTTTTGAATGAGCTATTAATAGTTTAACGAATTTTTAGCCCAAAAAATGAGCTTGGTCCACCCTATTGTTTTACAATTTTCGGGGGTCTGCATCTCGGCCCAAAGTTAAGACCGGGGGTTGATTTAGGTGTCATTCGACACAGCTCGACGAGTTCTATAACCTAAGACTGACTGACCATTTTTTAATACTTTTAGAAAGGAAAAGGAGTGGGGGGTACGAACCGAACAATTAACAATGCGGATTGATAACCCATTATCAGTATTATCAACAATGCTAAAACTTTATTTTTTGTATGGAAATCCATATAAATCCGCTACCTATTCATAAGTAAACACATCAAGTGCCATTGTGGATTTAAAATTGATTTATAATTTTAAATTTAAATTTAAAAATTTCTTTATAACTTTGTTAACTATGTGGATAATCTTTGGTTACCGGATATTAGAAAACCGCTTTAGTTGGTTGCTAATTTTAGGTTTAAAAAATTTTTTTTAATTCTAAAATTGAAAAAATTGGCAGGCTTTCAAACACGCTTGTGATAGATGGGAAAGGACGTTTAGGCTCTTAGCCTTAATGGCGTGAGGGTTAAATTTTGTATAGGAAGACTGAAACTATTAAATTTTTGGGTAAAAATATAGTGATACTGGAAATGGACATTATATTAGTATCCCACCCACCCCCCCCCCTATTTGAGTCTGTTATTAATTTTTCTTTTTTTACTGTCAATTATTATTTTCCTCGCAAATTTTAAGTAGATGAAAAGTTAGAACTGCTGGTAATCTTCCGCTTTACTGGTCCCTCGAAAAAAATCTGGTAGATGTAATTTTTCGATATTTTTGATGTCTGCAAGTGGGTAATCGAGTGTGCTGAGTCCGAATATGGGCTTAGAACATGGCGGTCCGGGGTTCGAAATAAACAAATTCTAAGCTCTGATTCGGACTCATCAAGCTATGCCTCAGAAATGTCAAACTAGCACTTTTTCCTCATTTTTTTCTAGGGATCAGTAAAGCGGAAGATTACCGGCCTCCTTTCTAATTTTTTTCCTTCTAACATGTTACCGTAAATGCTCTAATAGAAGCACACTCTCTGAAAGAAGCACACTCTCTAATATAAGCACACTCTACGAGAGGATCGAAAAATACAAGCACATGTGCTTCTATTAGAGCATTTACGGTATTTACTTAAAATTTGTGAGGTAAGGAAAGATTGACAGCAAAAAATTAATCTGAGCTCAAATAAGGGTATAGGATGGATATTAATAAAGTACCCTGAAATGATTTGACCACCCAAATTTTTAGGTTGAAGCGGTTTGTCTGTCACATTTTCCTGAAATTTTGAGACAATTCCACAATTAACTATTTATAGTGTTTGTTCAAAATTTGATGAGATATACTCGAGCATGTTTTCGAGGTCTGATTTCAGTCAGGTCTGAATTTAAGACTTTGTTCTAAAGTTTAGGGGAGTGCGCCCAAACGGCTCTAACATTAAAATTGAAATTCAGAAACACGTGGATTAATTTAAAATGTTTAACTCTATACTCAATAAATTTTGACTGTTTAAACATTATGGGCATATACGCAAGCGGATGAGGCAAAAAAAGTTTTGATGGGTATTGACTACTTAAGAAAATCCGAATTATACATTTTTATTCAATACATAATATTAATTATTTAAATTAATAAAATCTAAAAAATAAAAAAATAAAATGCTTTATTTAGTATTAATAATATCCTTCTCATCTATCTATCATATCAACGCGGCCCCTCCTTTTGGGCAATTATCTGTGAAAGGTATTTATTTTCTCATTAAATGAACCTTAAAGAGATAACAATAAAATATTTCAGGCAACAAGTTATTGGGCAGTAATGGCCAACCAGCTCAACTTGCTGGAATGTCACTCTTCTGGTCTAACTGTGATGAAGGCAAAATTTTCTACAACGAAGAAACTTTGCGTCAACTCAAATGCGCGTGGAATGCTAACGCTGTCAGAGCGGCAATGGGTGTAGAATCTACTGGGTGTCAAAAACCGGGTTATCTGGATCTTCCAAATGTTGAGCGTGATAAGGTTGAGGCTGTTGTTCAGGCTGCTATTAAATTGGATATGTATGCTGTTGTTGACTATCACACTGAGAAAGCGCAGGACTCTTTAGATAAAGCTGTGAATTTTTATTGGAATTTTTGCTTAATTAACCCAAAAATTAATTTTCAGAAAGAATTCTTCACTTATTTTGCTTCTAAATATGGAAATTACTCAAACATCATCTATGAACCATTCAATGAACCTACATGTGACTGGAAAACTGCTAAGGCATATCACGAGCAGATTGTAGCAACAATTCGACAATATGATAAGAATAATATGATAACTCTTGGCACATCTACATGGTCACAAGATGTTGATATTGCTTCTAGAGACCCTGTAAATGGGGCAAATCTGTGCTACACTTTGCACGTCTATGCAGCTACTCATAAACAAAATATACGGGATAAAGCTCAAACTGCTCTAGATAATGTAATAAATTTGTAAAATTATTTTAATAAAAATTTCTTTTAGAATGTTTGCATTTTTGTATCCGAATATGGTACTGTTGGAGCAACTGGTGGTGGAGGTATGGATACTGCATCTATGAATGAGTGGTGGACTTTCTGGGATAAAAACAAAATTTCATATCTAAACTGGGCAATTAGTAATAAGGGAGAAGGATCTGCAGCTCTTAATCCAAATACTGTTGCATCGGATGTAGGCAATCCTGATCATTGGTCAGCAGATGGAAAATTTGTTCAGTCTCATCTTAAAAACATGGATAACGGGGTCAGCTGTGATGGAAACAAAGGAAAATATCCTTCAGGAGATAATGTAATCACAACAACAAAATCGCCCTCAAAAAATAAATACCCTTCAGGAGATGATATACCATCAACTAAATCACCTAACAACGATAACTACCCTTCAGGAAATAATATAATTTTAACAACAAAATCGCCTTCAACTGGAAATAACAACAATGGAAAATATCCTTCAGCACCTTCAAATAATAACAGCAACGGGAAATATCCTTCAGGAGACCAAGTAATTACAACAAAATCGCCCAAGAATAACAAAGGAAAAAATACCTCAGCACCCTCTAATAATAACAACAACGGAAAGTATCCTTCAGGAGAAAATGTTATATTAACAACAAAATCGCCTTCAAATAATAACAAATATCCTTCAGGCCCCTCAAATAATAACAATAAATACCCTTCAGGAGACCAAGTAACTACAACACAATCGCCTTTAAACAATAACAATGGAAACTCAAGTAATGATAGTGATGGTCAATATTCCATTAGCTTAACAGTTGAAGATAATGGCAGCTGGGTTAGCGGGGCGAACTTCAGACTGGTCTTTAAAAATAATGGAAATGTTAAAGCATGTGCATTAAAATTCGATTTGATTCTTAATTCTGGGGTGAGTATAAATTTAAATTATAGGCATCGGGATAAACTTAGACCGGTCCTGATACAACGGTATCAGGACCTTATCACTCGATGAATTAATCACAACTTGTAGTTCACTTAGAAAATAAACTAGGACACCAACGTTAAATGGAGATGAGTTTGCATAAATGGCATACAAGTCATCATAAGCTCTTAATACTCATTGATATAAAAGCAGCAATTGACTCGAGTTTCGCTGCTATATAAGAATCAAGCTTAACCATAACTGAGACCGGAACGTGATCGGGACCCAGTCTCTTTTTCCGGTCCTTTTTCCCGACTTTTTTTAAAACCGAGATGAAACCGGGATCGGGACTTCCCGGGTTTCCCAATCCGGGTCTCGGTCATTTTTTGACCGGGAAAATGGAGGCGGGAAATCCCGGTTTTTCCGATTTCGGGTCCCGCAGGGTTTCTTCTGCTACAATTTCACGTTCCCGTTTTTTTTTCAAAATTCTGGTCTCTACATATTCTCTACATATTAAAGACTAATAAATCTTCTAATTATTTCTCAAATTTTAGCAAACTATCCAATCAATATGGAATGTGCAAAAAATATCAGGAGATACTTATGTTCTTCCAGACTATGTAATAATTCAAGGAGGTAACAGCTTTACCGAGGCTGGACTTGTTGTCAGTGGTCCAGCAACACTTCCTCAAATTAAAGTTCTAGGGCAGGGTGAATGCAAATATTGAAAATAGAAGTTTTGACTTGATAAAATGATTATAATTAATATTAAAATGTAAAGCCTATTTGAATATTCTTTTCTTTAACTATTCATATTGATAAATTATAGATAACTAATTTATTTACTGACTTTACGGTACACTTCAATTGCGTCCCGAATCCATTCACGTTTATCCTCAAAAGAGGGATGTCGGTAGGATAAAAAAAGTCAAAGGATGAAAACGACAGTAGCATCTTAGCATCAAAACGACAGTAGCATCGACAGTAGCAAAATATAAAGGCATTAAAAGTATCTGGAATTAAAAGTAGAGTAGGTAGTTCCTGAGTAGAGTACTTTCTTGGAGGCAGCCCCTCGAATTTAAATTTAGTAAATATTAATCTGTAAAAATTTTAATTCTAATCAAAATTCGACCTTTTACGCAAAATTCGACCTATTTTGCCCTTTTTCGGATTTTATTAAATCCGTGATCTTAAAACCTCATATTCTTCCTGTCTAATATAAATGGAATCCCCTTACATTACTTAATTTATCTTATTTTACTTAAGTTTCCTGCATTTAAAACAGGCGCGGAAAGACTCTTGTAAAGGGTTCAGTTCTCTTCTTCGGTTCGGTTTCGGATATCCGATTTTTCACCGTTGTATACACCTCAGTTGTCTTAATAGTTTAATAAGAAAGATGGATTTAACTCTCGACTCTCGGCTTTTTTTAACTTCCGACCATCACTACTATACTACTAAAATTTCATAAAATCAGCTTAATATTGTGAGGATAATTAATATAATTTAAAGAGATTTTTACTATTTTTTCATGGGGGCCGTACTAATAATGGGGCCGTACTAATTCAGGGGGCCGTACTATTTTTCAACCCTCATCGAAAGGGCCGTACTATTTAAGGGGGCCGTTCTAATAAAGGGGGCCGTACTATTTCAGTAAATACGGTAATACAATTAAAGTTGAGTAAATATTAAAAAATACAATTAAAAAAACGATTAATTGTTTAAAAAAGTTTATTTTTTGTTATAAGGAGCGATCAAATCTGTTACCATACAATTCTTTTTCACACAATTCATACATAGTTCATTGATTGACCCATCTTTCATAACAACATCTGCCACAAGATCCATTATCCCTTCAATTCCGCTTGGGTGAACACTCGTTATCAGAGAAATATTTTCGACATTTAATTTAAAATGCTTCTTGGTTAATACTTGAAAAAGGGAAAAATTTTCAAAAAAATTTTTAAATTAAATAAACCTCCACCATTTTCATTGTTCTTTGTGGACTCTTCCAATTTTTGCTTCTTCGTCACTGGCTTCTTGTCATCCCCAACAGAACTAACTCGCTTCTTCCCTTTCTTCCTTCCTTGTTGTTTAGTAGCAGAAGAGGTTGTAGGTTTTGAATCCTCAATATACTCCAATTTGGCCTCCTCCTCTTCCTCCTTTTCTTCCTCATTTTTATTTTCTTCCTCTTCCTCTTTATTTTCTTTTTCTTCTTCAATTTTTTCTTCCTCCTCTTCCTCCTCTTCGTCCTCAAAAAATTTAATTTTTTTTCACTTCTATTTTATTTATTTTTTCTTCTTCTTTACTTTTTTTGATTATTGGACCTGAATTTATAAAAAAATTTTTAAGTTTTAAAATAAACAATTTTTTGCATGGCCTTGTTGATTAAACTTTTTATTAAAACAAGTTCCACAAAATTCGCATTTAAATATGATTTTTGTTGTTGTAGTTTTAGCTTCTTTTACCATTTTTTAAAATAAATATGATTTTTTTAAAATCTAAAAATTCTAAAATTTAAGAAGAAAATTAAAAATAAAAAGAGGAGGGTAATTCCAAGGCTTGTCCCCTCATTTTTTAAGAATGTGATGTTTTCATCACATTCTAATGTTATATACCAATGTTAATCGATTCATAAATTAACCCTTTCTTTGTTAATGTCTCTTATTTGGAGAGGCATGTCTGATTTGCATTTTGCCGCAGGGAATTAGAGAAATTGGGGAAGGAAGAAAATTGACAATTATTCATTCTTAAGGAAGGGAAAATGAAAAAAAAGGGGGTGGGCAAGCCTTGGAATTACCAAGAGGAGAAAAAAGAAAAAGATCAATGTGAAAATGATGGATTTAAAATTTGAAAATTAAAAATAAATAAAAGGCGGAAAAAAGAGAAATGGCGTAATATAGAAGAGGAGAAAAAAGAGGGAAAAAGTCAATGGGAAAAATGTCCGAAGGAAGAGAAAATGTATTGAAAAATATAAAGGAGAAAGACAAGAAAAGAGAGAGAGAAGAAAAGAGAGGAATATGCGGAGAAATGTTATGAGGAAGGAGGAGAGGGTCAGGTTTAATTAATAAAAATTAATGAAAAAAGAGGGTTAATTAACTCTTTAACACCCTTAATCCCTCCAAATCCGTCGATACCCCTCTTTCTAAATATGTAGGTGAAAAAAGAAAAAAACCAATTAGCACTACTAATTGGCCAATAAGCCCTTTACCCCCGACTTCGATGACCGCGGGTATTGAGTAATAGGTGTTAATTGACCAATTAGTCACCCTAATTATCAAATGAAATCTCCCGAAAACCCCCTACACCCACAGGATATTGGCGGTAAAATCAAAGAAAATTAGGCGGAAACCCCTACACCCTTTGGTTTCAGCGGACCCCTCCCCCCGACTTCGACTGGCTACTCACGACTAACATTAATTAAATAAAAAATTTAATTTTTATAACGGTAAAATAAGAAGCTGGTTGGTTGTTAGGTAACCTTACGACGGTGGTTAACCACGTGGTTTTCTTATTTTACCGGTTTACAATGACCTTGTGGTTACCTAACCAAGGTTAGGTGACGATGGTTAGGTAATCATCGTCAGGTGACTGAGTTCTTATAGTAAAGCAGCTAGGCTATAGCTATTTCTCTCCTTTAGCTAGTGCAAAAGGTTATTCGGCGGCTGGGAGCGAATCTTCAGTAGACCGGACTGATGTGTTAGCCATTACACCACGCCGCCTACTGCTCAGCCTTAGGAATTTAATAGCTATATGCTTTACATTATTTTACGGGCCCAGATGTCTGTCGGAAATGATGAAGGCGCCGGAAATTGGAACTGTCGGAAATTGGAAATGGCTAAAAGTCGGAACTCTAAAATCGGAATTCCGACCGGTCTATGCTTACAAAGTCAGTTGGCAAACTCTGTGTCCGCAAGTTTAGCGCCACGTCGGATTAAAAAATGAAATAAAATTTTTTAATTACAAACTACTAAAGTATTTAATTTTAAATTTTCTCTAACATCCGCTTAACTATAAAATTTCTTTTTACTTCCGGTTTTAGTCAAATTTGCCAACTCCAATAATCCTGTGTTAATGCATTAAATTTAAAAATTTATCTTATAGAATTGTTAGATTTATTATACAATTGTCGACTGAACAAACACTATTCAAACTAAACGTTGCATAATGCCAGAAGAATATTTTAAATTCTTGAGTACTATTTAAGCCTATAAGATAACTTCTGTTTCATTCATTCAACAAGCTCTCAAAGGTAGTATTTAAGCCAAAAAATGTTTACTCTTCTATTAATATTCTCTTACTTATGTACTTGCAACGCAGCTCCTCCTTTTGGGCAGTTATCTGTGAAAGGTATATATTTTTTCATTAAATGAACTTAAAGAGATAACAATAAAATATTTCAGGCAATAAATTGTTGGGCAGTAATGGCCAACCAGCTCAACTTGCTGGAATGTCACTCTTCTGGTCTAACTGTGATGAAGGCAAAATCTTTTACAATGAAGAAACTTTGCGTCAACTCAAATGCGCGTGGAATGCTAATGCTGTCAGAGCGGCAATGGGTGTAGAGTCTACTGGGTGTGGAAAGCCGGGTTATCTGGATCTTCCAAATGTTGAGCGTGATAAGGTTGAGGCTGTCGTTCAGGCTGCTATTAAATTGGATATGTATGCTGTTGTTGACTATCACACGGAGCAGGCACAAAACTCGCTGGCTAGAGCGGTAGGCTTTTTTTTTACATTATGGGAGTTTAGCTTGATTTTCTAAGAAACATTGAGGTCCATGAGTAGGTAGGCTTTTGAGGTCCATTTCTAGTAATGTGACTTATGTTGATCGCGTGTTATCAGTAATAGGGTTATCGTTTAGCAGCTCATCGTACCTAATAACTAAACAAAATTCAAAAATGGTCTCGACCGTTTAGGTTTTTGTGGCTGTATCTTGTACTAATGTCCGGCTTTATTCATTGTTTCACGCATTGTTTTAAGGTATAAACTGGAGGACCTACCTAGTGACTCTTCTTAGGAAGCCCCAATCACTCCCTCCCAGTTCCTGGAACTTTCTTTGTTTCTTAACATACACCGATTAGTCGTGATATTTATAGATGTGGAACCATTTTCTACTCTAACTCACACATAACATTTTCAGAAAGAATTCTTCACTTATTTTGCTTCTAAATATGGAAAATACCCCAACATCATCTATGAGCCATTCAATGAACCTACGACTGACTGGAAAACTGCTAAAGCTTATCACCAGCAGATTGTGGCAACAATTCGACAATATGATAAAAATAATATGATAACTCTTGGCACATCTACATGGTCACAGGATGTTGATATTGCTTCTAGAGACCCTGTAAATGGGGCAAATCTTTGCTACACTTTGCACATCTATGCAGCTACTCATAAGCAGAATATAAGGGATAAAGCCCAAACTGCTTTGAATAATGTATAGTTTATTGCATAAAATCGTATGACAATAGTCGGGGTCCACATCAGTAATTTCCTATTATACTCCCCAAGAGGAACATCATTAGTGTTATAGGTGATGCGACTTTTGCGGCGCGTACACTTGCGGCTCAGACATTTGCGGCCCAGACACTTGCGGCTCGCCCCTATTTTGACACTTGCGGTCCCGACACTTGCGGCTAAGAAATTTTCGTCGCAGACATTTGCGGCTATCAACTTGAGGCCCAGACATTTGCGGCCCAGACTATTGCGGTTTTGACATTTGAGGCTCCCCCTATTGTGACACTTGCGGCCCGATTTTTGCGGTTTTGACATTTGCGGCCATGATTAAAAAATTAAGTAAATTTTTTGGCAGTATCTGAAAGGAGTGCTCGGATCGCATTTTTCCTTACATTTTTCCTTACCTCGGAATGGGGTCAATTTTCCTTAGTATTTGATTTTTGTCATAAGGCAAAATTGTGTAAAAAATATTTTTTTCTCTGCTTATTTTATTGGGTGAGTGGCACAACTCGGTCTTACAAAGCTCGGTCCAGGCAAAACTTGGTCGGACAAACTTGGAAAGCCCAAGTCTGTCTTACCAAAACTCGGTCCATTATGTTTGGGATTTTTTGGATGAGTGCTGTTATCTTTGGTTCTTTATTTTTGTGTCAGGCTATCTAACGGAACGGAAAAACAACAACAGACAAATTTCACCGAGTTTTGGTAAGACCGACTTACCAAGTTTTGCCTGGACCGAGCTTTGTAAGACCGAGTTTTGCCACTCACCCAACAAAATAAGCAGAGAAAAAATATTTTTTACACAATTTTGCCTTATGACAAACATCAAATACTAAGGAAAATTGACCCCATTCCGAGGTAAGGAAAAATGTAAGGAAAAATGCGATCCGAGCACTCCTTTCAGATACGGTCAATTTTTTAATGAAAAAGTAATTTTAAGTAATTTTTTAGATTTTCCCCTATTTTCCCCAAGCTAATTTTTAAATATTTATTAAAAATCATTACGATTTTAATAATGGGCATGTTAATAAAAGGATTTGGAGAAGATATCGCGGAATTTATGTGAATTAAGAGAAATTAAAAAGATTGGTGGTGGTTAATCCATCTAAGTTCTATGATATTCCCTTTAATATCAACCTTGCATCTCCCTAAAAATTCCTCAAATATACCTAGATTTCTTTTAATAATGGCATTTATCATTAGCAAAAAATAATTTCGTCTCAAATTGTATTAAGTGCATCTGACTTTCATACACTATTATAAACAATAATAATGAAACTAATTACCCAGGGTAATTAATACATTGAGTTAAGGATCTGTGAGTTAAAGATTTGAGAGAAATCTCTCATTATAGATTTGAGAATTGGAATCTAAATCTATTGACCGATATTAATTAAAGATAAATTAAGATTTTTTTAATACTTAATTTTTTAATCATGGCCGCAAATGTCGGGGCCGCAAATGTCAAAACCGCAAATGTTCGGTCCGCAAGTGTCACAATAGGGGGGAGCCTCAAATGTCAAAACCGCAATAGTCTGGGCCGCAAATGTCTGGGCCTCAAGTTGATAGCCGCAAATGTCTGCGACGAAAATTTCTTAGCCGCAAGTGTCGGGACCGCAAGTGTCAAAATAGGGGCGAGCCGCAAGTGTCTGGGCCGCAAATGTCTGAGCCGCAAGTGTACGCGCCGCAAAAGTCGGCTAATCGTGTTATAATATCGGAAGTACTATTAATCACAGGGGCTGTAATTTTAATAAACCCATATTAGTTCGACACACATTACGCTATAAGTTAGACCTTACTATATACACCAGGCATATTGCCGACTCGATTCCCAACATTATGAATTCAATCCCTCTAGATAAGTGAATCAATTAAAAATTAGAAAGCTATGACCCAAAATATGACTCCGGGGCTCAACCGGTGGGACTCAATGATCCTTTTCCATAATTGGGGATCTCTTATATTGAGGATGTATCTTATATTAGAGCGTGTCCTATACGTCTATATATCACCCATTTAATTCTATCAATTATAGAATGTTTGCATTTTTGTATCTGAATATGGAACTGTTGATGCAAGTGGCGGTGGAGGTATGGATACTGCATCTATGACTGAGTGGTGGAGTTTCTGGGATAAAAACAAAATTTCATATCTAAACTGGGCAGTTAGTAACAAGGGAGAAGGATCTGCAGCTCTTAATCCAAATACAATTGCATCGGATGTAGGGAATCCTTCACATTGGTCACCATCTGGAAAATTTGTTCAGGCGCATCTTAAAAACATGAATAACGGTTGGTATCGATTTATTCACGAAGCTATACCTAAGCCAAGAGTTTTGGCAAGCAATAGTCATCCTATTGTTCCCAATAGTATGACAAGCCAAACAATAGTTGCCCTGCACCTTCAATGGAGGGGTGTAATCGGAACAATGGGTTGATCAGTCCTTATCATAATCGCAACAAAATGTACAAGGTGTATTTGATACCTGAGGGTTTACCGAGACTCGGGATCCGAGATCGAGACTTGGGAACCGGGGTCGAGGCTCGAGAACCGAGATTGAAAACCGAGGCGTTAACCGTTATCGAGACCTAAAATCTCGAGAAAAATCTCTGATCGAGACCCTAGATCGAGAATCTCGAATATCACTAATATACCGCATTTCTTCAAATAAAGCCCCACCCTCAATTAAAGCCCCACTCTCTAATACAGCCCCACCTTGGAGGATAGTTGAAAAATACAGCCACATGTGGCTCTATTTGAAGAAATACGGTACTTTAATTTAAAGGTGTCAGTTGCAGTGGAAGCAATTCAAACAATGCTGCTCCTTCACCTTCAAACAACAATAGCAATAAAAATAACGGGGCACCAAGCAAAAACAACGGGGGAACTACCCCCAAGAAAACTGGGACCAAAACGGACACAAACAAAAATAACTCCAAAGGAGGAGGGAAAATCTCCATTAGTTTAAATGCCGACCAAACCTGGCCAAATGGTGCAAACTACAAAATTATAGTGAAAAATACTGGAAATGCTCCAGTCTGCTCTGTAACGTTTCAAGTAGCCCCGGTTGCTAAAGTTGGTTTTTGATTGATTAATAAATTTGGACCTCGGTTTAATATAAAGTTGGACCTCGTTCCCCCTTGTATCCTATCTTAAAGCGAGGGTTTTCAAAATTCGAGGATATTTAAAAACGAAGTCCGCTGACCTCTTTTGTGCGAAAACTCCTTAACTTATAATGTGTTATACCCTTAATTAGGGGTATTTAGTATAGTGCATACTGTACAACCTTACTGGGAAAACGGTCCTTATAAAGAGGTGTATTTAAAATTGGGGTTTATCACTTAGATGGCTTTCTTCCAGTCGTAGCTAAATTGAGGTTTTTGTATAGTGAGGTTTCAAAATTCGGGGATATTCAAAAACTAAGTCCGCTGACCTCTTTTGTGCGAAAACTCCTTACCTTATACTGGGTTATACTCTTAATTTGGGGTATTTAATATGGGTCATACTGTACAAACCTACATGGAAAACGATCCTTATAGAGGTCAAGCCAGAAGATCAACTCCCAGCATTCAACTCCCAGCAGCAACTCACTATTGGTCAAATGACCCTTGGGGTTGTCGGTTCTGGACCGAACCGATGATTTTTCGATTCGGTTCCGGATATCAGAAGATTTTCCGGAAACGACAACCGTACTTTCTGCAATTAACCTTCTGGAGTGGACACATTGTTCAGCCTATTAATGCCAATAAATCACAAAAAAATTTAAAAATCATTTTAGCAATCAATCAACGTTTGGAACGCTAACAACCTTTCTGGAGGAAAATATTCAATTTCTAATGTAAAAATAAATGCTGGAGGAACTTATAATAATGTAGGAATGGGCGTTTCTGGCTCAAGTTCGGCGCCTAAAATAAGTTTAGTAAGCAATAGAAATTGTTGATAATTTGTGGGGAAGGAAGTGGACAGAAGAGAAATTTGAGTTAAAAATTTCTAAAAATTTTTTCAAGAAAATATTTTTGTAATTATGTTAATCCTTTAGAAAATTTTATTAATTAATTTGTAGTACTTTTTTATATTTAAAAATAAAAATACTGATTAAATTCTATTTGGTGAATTCGAGCAATGCGTCAGTGTGTCTACAATGCGTCCATTTCATGTTTTATTTTATTTATCTGATTAGAAAATACTAATTAGCCATAAAAAGGTTCGAACCCGAGCCCGATTTTTAAACGATTTTTTAGTGCTTCACAATTCCACTTATTTCAATATTCCGCATGCTTCACAATTTCCCTGCTTAAATATTCCGCCTGCTTCACAATTCCCCTTGTTTAAATATTCCGCCTGCTTCACAATTCCACCTGTTTCAATATTCCGCCTGCTTCACAATTCCCCTTGTTTGAATATTCCGCCTGCTTCACAATTCCCCTTGTTTGAATATTCCGCCTGCTTCACAATTCCCCTTGTTTGAATATTCCGCCTGCTTCACAATTCCCCTTGTTTGAATATTCCGCCTGCTTCACAATTCCCCTTGTTTGAATATTCCGCCTGCTTCACAATTCCACCTGTTTCAATATTCCGCATGCTTCACAATTCCACCTGTTTCAATATTCCGCCTGCTTCACAATTCCCCTTGTTTGAATATTCCGCCTGCTTCACAATTCCCCTTGTTTGAATATTCCGCCTGCTTCACAATTCCCCTTGTTTGAATATTCCGCCTGCTTCACAATTCCCCTTGTTTGAATATTCCGCCTGCTTCACAATTCCCCTTGTTTGAATATTCCGCCTGCTTCACAATTCCACCTGTTTCAATATTCCGCATGCTTCACAATTCCCCTTGTTTGAATATTCCGCCTGCTTCACAATTCCCCTTGTTTGAATATTCCGCCTGCTTCACAATTCCCCTAGCACTTGACAAATTGAACGTTGACGTCTAGCACTTGACACATGAACGTTGACGTCAAGCACTCAAAAGGACACAGGACTCCGGCAAACGTAGACGTAGAACAGAGCACGGCAATGTTGAGAAGTGTTGGTAGCAGTTGAGGACTGACCAAAATACCCTGCTTTTATACTATCCTCTTACCCTTACAACCTAATTCAACAGGCAACGCTTTACTATAAAAACCCCAATTTTTTCACTCCCCAAATCATTTTACTATAAAAACCCACTTGTCTACTAAAGGACAAACAAAGAAGACTGCTGTTTCAGGTGATGTTTCAACCCGTATTTTAACAGGTCGAAAGTGATAACAGAAGAATAAAAAAGATGGAATTCGAAGGAGGACGGAAGTAATTGTTAAAAAGATATTTTTTGCCCCCTTTTTTCAAGGGAACTCGCAAGTGAAAATTTTTATTTTTCAAGTTGGCCATGAAGCCGAAAGCAATTTATATACAATATAAACAATCAACAATTTACATACATACAATATCTATATACAATCACAAAAATATATATCAACATTATTATTAGCATCCTTCATTATTAGCATTTGATCCTGTTTGAGGCATCGAAGACGTCATTGTGAGAGCTCTGAATCGGAGCTCGCTCCGTTCTGAAGAGCGAGACGTCTTCCCCAGTGACAGGCAAAGTCTGCAAAATAAAAATTTTTTCTTCAAAAAAAATTTCAAAAAAAAAATCAGCACCATATGGTCGATCATCCACCAAGTAGTAGTTTCCGCCTTCCAGTGGACGAGAACATCCTTCACAGCGAAAGCATTGCGGGTGCCAGTAGTTGTCCAAAGCGAAGTAGAACTCCCCAGCCAGGAGTTGTTGGCACGTCTCGAGGGCGCATCTTGGATTGCTGCGCTTAGCATGGCATTCAAGGCAGTAGTGACGGTCGTCGAACAGCTAAAAAAACTTTTGTTTATTGAAAATTTAAATCAAATTTGAATTATTTCTTGCCTGATAGTTGGCATCCAATTGGCGGCGGCAATCCGGGGTGGCGCAACGGAAGTGTTCACGATGCCTGCAAAATGAGAAAAAAAATTTTCTGGACAAAAAATAAAATGAGAGACATACCAAAGCTGCCCCAGAGCGAAGATTGTAGGCTGGTTTCCGACCTCCTCCAAGCATTCGGGACAAGTTGCGCGCGAAGCCTGAGCCATTTGATAGTTGACAATGAAGACGGCTTTGGTGACCAGTGGTGAATGTAGATTGATTAATTTAATAGGTATCGAAGTAGGCTTTTTATAGTAAATTTAGTTGGACTTCCTGTTGTGTATGGGCGTCAGCCCTTAAAGTGTTTAGTATAAAAGCCCAGCCAATAGTTAGTTCGCGCTCCCAGTTTTAGTTCTTCTTCCTACAACCTTCGTCTGCTTTGTATTTCTTTGTGCGATAAACGTTTCTGTTAGCTTCGTCTTCGTAAGCGGGGTCATAACAGATTTGGCGCGACTTCCACTTTACGAGGAAAGGTTTCTTGGATGTCGTTTTAATGTGAGCTAGTGAGATACATGGCGTCAAATTACCTTGAAGCCCAAATGTAAAATCTAACCGTAAAAATGATCATGGGAATTGTTGTGTATGGGAGTCAGCCCTTAAAGGTTTAGTATAAAAGCCAGTGAAACGTGATAAATTGTTATTGTTGTGTTAGTTGACATTAGTTAAACCTCGGACACCTCGGGTCGTAACAGGAATTATCATCGCGCTTAGTATAAAAGGCGAAGCCTTTTAGTAGTCGGTGTGTGAGACTTGAGTCAGTCCTTAGTCGCCAGTTAGTCTTAGAAGCTACATTCTATTCCAGCGCATAGTCTCGTCGTTTCTATTGTATTGGTACCTTTGTGATAAACCTTGTTAGTTAGCAGTTAGTCTTTAGTCTTTCTGTTAGTAACGGACACACCGCAAGTCGATACATAACAGCCTCTCAAAAATTGGGAATAAAGGGTTCAACCAATGTTCTGTATCGAAAGAGTTGCTAGAACTGTGACAACAAAATTAGGGCGCCTGCGGTCTCAACTATGGCGGCCCATTCTCGTTTGACATATATACATAGCATGTCCCAAAATTAAAAACTCAACGAAATTATAGTTGAGCCTAAAAACTCTGCTATAAATTAACAAGGGAAGGTTGCGAGGTGTCCGAGCTAAAAACGGTCGAGACTGGCTCATTCGATAGAGAATATGCCCTTTCTAGCAAGAAATTTTTTGCCGTTTTTTGATTTGGCCAAGATATGGCCCTCCAAAGTCCCAAAATTTGGCATAATTCATTGCCTCTCCTTGTAAGATTATTTTTTATTTAATTATTTTTTAACAATTTTTATTTTCTTTTACTTAACATTAACAGATTTTTAAAAGATAACACCCAAAAAAAAACAAAAATTTTCTTAATCAACAATATTCTTAAAATTTTCAACCCTTCTTCTCAGTCAAAGTTTGATGACACTTTCCACAATAATGTCTATCCTTGTGTTTAGCCATAAAAATCCCAGCACCACAAGTGGCAGAATTACATTCAATACGTTGACGTTGAATTTGACCGTTGTCATCAATCTGGAGGAAAAAATTTTTTTTGAAAAATTTTCAAAAAATTCTTTTGAAAAAATTTTTAAGGATCTATGAGTCCATTATAGTGATCGAGATTTTTGAAAAGCCTGGGTTTTTTCTTGGGTTACGGGTTTGATTTATTGACCTGGGCCGGATCCTGTGCCTGTAGTCCATGAAAAACTTAGTAAGGTTTAAAAAAATACCTGTGCCTGGACTCTTGGTCCACTGAAGCCTATGAGTCCTAAAAACCGTTGTGAATCCATACAAAAGTTTATGAGTCCAATAGACTCCTCCTTGATCTCACAGATATTTTTTGGACTTTACAGGACTCATTAGTGATCCAGATTTTTGAAAAGACTGGATCTTTCTGGTTTTTTCTGGACCCTGGAGTTTGATTTATTGACTTAGGCTGGATCCTGGGCCTGTAGTCCAGGAAAACCCCAAGAAAGTCAGAAAATGCATGGACCTGGACACTGGGTACAGGAAAAACCCAGGCCTTGGTCCAGACCCAGCTTGATCAACAGTCAATTGAAGCTTTTTCCAGTCCAACGAAGCTTATCGTGGCTAATTGTGGATTCCTACTCCCTTCCAGAAAACCAACAAAATACCCCCTCAGAAACCCCAAAAAATCTTTAAAAATCACAGATCAAAATAAAAACCTTATAAAGCTTGAGAACAGCCAACTTGACCTTCTTGCGGACATGCTTCTGCTTTTTGGGTCCAGTGTACTGCTTCTTCTTACGCTTCTTACCACCACCAAGCAAGCTGAAAATATAAAGATTGATGAAACTTCAAAGATTTTTATTTTATTTTTTTGCAGACAAAACTGAAAATACATCAGAGGCCTTAGTTTTGTGTCTGGATATTTCAGTTAAGAACCTACGAAACCCCAAATTGTTTAGGTCCCAAATCTATGGATGAACTTCCTCCCCTTCCCCCGCCGCCCATAGAGAAAAAAGTGTCGCACATGTCTGGGCCTGACCAGACCAGTCATTCCTGTGGCCAGGAATTTATGGTTTCGTCTATGTAGTAAAGATCGAGCCGGGTCTGTGGACAAAGGCCTGTGGTTTTCCTGTACCCAAAGTCATTATGAGCCCTATGAATCCTTGTGGGTCCATACAAAAGTTTGAGTCCAATAAAATCTTCATTGGTCTCACAGATGTTTTTTGGACTCATAAACTTTTACGGACTCATAAAGCCTCAAAGGACTCTAAAAAGCTTCAATTGACTCTAGTGATGAGATGGATCTGGACCAAGGCCATTGTTTTCCTATACCCAGAGTCCAGGCCCAGGCATCTTTTGACCTTTTGGGGTTTTCCTTGGCATGCGTTTTTCCTGGAATACAGGCCCAGGATACGGGCCAGTTGAATAAAACAAACCCCAGAGTCCAGAAACATGTCTAGGCTTTTGAAAAATCTCAATCTCTACCATGTAGGATCTTGACCCCGAACCCCAGTTAATTCCAAACTTAAAAACAGATTTAAAAAAGTATAAACCTAAGCGACAGATGAACAGTCGAATGTTCCTCCAACTTGTAATCAGCCAAAGTGTTTCCATCTTGGAACTGTACACCAGCACAAATCTTTAAAACAAAAAATTGAGTAAAAAGGAAGAAAAAAGTCTAAAAAATAAACCAAGCGTTGCTCCTCCACGGGAGTATTCTCCAAATTTTGAATTTTAGATTTGACATGTTCAACGGTATCGGAAGCGTCAACATCGAAGATTAGAGTCTTCCCTTCGAGAGTCTTCACAAATAGTTGCATGATTTATTCTATCTGTTTTGAGAAAATTGAACAGTAGAGATCGAAAGAGACGGGTTCAGTTCATTTTTAATGGGTTGGGGGTCATTTTGGCGCAAGGATTTGTCCGAACCATTTTTGTAAGACCGCGTTTTGCCCCTCACCCCATCATTTAATTCAATGGAAGATCCAACCGGAGTACCGAAATTTGGTCCATTGAACTGGGCCTGAATCACGAAAAACAAAGGGCCAGGAGATTCGTGGATCTACCCCCCACTAAGAACTCCGCTATGACTTGGAAGAAAAACTCCGCTATGACCACAGTCACAAAATCCCATTGGAATAGGGTTGTCGGTTTCGCCAGTTATTAAGGTCACCAATAGGCAAAATTTCGCAAGAACAAACCGAAACCTTTTGGATAATCGAAAACAGAACCAAAACTAGTTTACGGAACAAAGACAGAAAATTTCGGTTGAAACCGACAACCTTACCCACAGAAACGCAAGGGAATAGTCCCTAGAAACCCTCGTAACTCAGTCAATACCAATTTCGATCTCTACTAAACAAAAGACGTCAAAAATTCCCCTAAAAATCTTAACAAAATACCAAAAATTTTACTACAAAAATAAAAATTGCCCTTAGAAGACTAGCCCATATTTAGCCAAAACCATATTTTGCCAATAAGGTTAAAATACCACATTTTGTCAACACTGCATTTTGACAAAACACAAGTTTTTAGCCTTATTGGCAAAATATGTTTTGGCAGAATATGACAGGCTTGTTAAAAATCGTAAAGAAAATGGAAAACCAAAATAGTAGTGAAATAAGTGAGAGTACAAAAGAAATATACTAAAATTGAGATTTTGAAAGCTCACTTTGATATTATTGTCAAAATGGTAATTACAAAATGTATACTCTAAAAATATCTAAAAATTAATAATGTCTCGACAAAATAGTACAACGGGTAAAATACGACAAAATGATACTAAACAAAATGGTGCTATCAACAAAAAATGCCAATTTGTAGCAGGGAATTTGTTAGAATGGGACAGCCCAAGTAGGCGTAAAGCCATAACGGCGCAAAACCATAACTTGCTTCAAGTTATCCGAATCTTACCAAATTTAGTATCAAACGATTCGTCTCATCGAGCTGAAGAGTTTGGTACCAAGATTGATAAGGGCCAGAAATTTTCCAGCAAGTAATGGCTTTGCGCCGTTATGGCCGCGCGCCTACTTGGGCGTGTCCCTTGTGAAAATCACCCAAAAAATCAAAAGTTTCTCAATATTCTTTTGTAATCTTCTGTTGAGTACTGCGCACTAGACGGGTAGCTAAATTTTCATAGCGAGAAAGGACTTCCCGAAGTTGAGTCAGCTTTTAAAAATTTAGTCATTAATTAGTCCAATTTTTGTCTACTACCTGTGAGCTTCTCCGTTCAAATTCCTTTTTTGCATTTTCCATTGCGATCTTTGCATTTTCAGCCTGATTTAGACACTGCTCTAGATGTTCAGCCTCTCCCCTAGAAAGATTAATCAGTCATAAAACCCCTCTGGGGTATTGCTCTTTCAATTGAAGCCCACTTTCTAATAAACGCCCACTCCCTAATAAACGCCCACTCTCTAATAAACGCCTACTCTCTAATAAACGCCTTACTCTAATAAGCACCTACTCTCTAATAGACGCCCATAATAAACGCCGACTATTCCATAATCACCTACTCCCTAATAAACGCCCACTCTCTAATAGAAGCCTGTTCTCTATAACCACCTACTCTCTATTAAAATTCTCACTCTAATAAGCGCCTACTCTCTAATAGACGCCCATTTATTAATAAACGCCTACTCTTCTATAATCACCTACTCCCTAATAAACGCCCACTCTCTAATAAACGCCTATTCTCCGTTAAGCGCCGCACTCTAATAAACGCCTCACTCTAATAAGCGCCTACTCTCTCTAATAGCCGCCCACTTATTAATAAGCGCCTACTCTTCTATAACCACGTACCCCCTAATAAACGCCCACTCTCTAATAGAAGCATACTCAAAGAGACATATTGCCCCAGGGCTTCAATTAGAATATTTACAGTACTTTAATCGAAGAACATCAGCATCCCTCTGCTGTCTAAATTCTCTCTTTTCAATTTCAAGCAGAGCTCTTTCATTAAGAATCCTTGCCAAAAGGTCGTGTTCTCGCCGTAAAAATTCCGCCTTATCCACCTCTAATTGTTCTTTAGCTTTTTCAATCCAATCGAGTAACTGAGTCTGTTCTTCTTGAAAAGCTCGCCTTTCGATGTGACCAACTTCGCGTTGTTCTTCCAACCATTTCCTGCCTTCAACTATTTCCTTAAAAATTAAAGAGAATTTAGCGTGAACTTAGAAATTTGCCCATCCCCCATTCCAACTCGCCCCTTTTCCCACCCAACATTTGAGGACCCAAGCTTTAAAAGGGGGACATATCTTTGAGAACCAATTCATTCGATTCGCCTTAGTCATTCGATTACTGGTGAATCTTCGCCATATTGATCACTCGATCGTAGCTGCAATCGAATAGTAACTACGGTAGGGGACACTTCAGTCCCGGGACGTTTCAGTCCCGAGCTCTATAATTCGAGAAGGTTCGAGTAGTTTTTGGAACTCTTGGTATCGTTGGATAGAGGATTAATTAAGCTACAAAATAAGCTAGTTATCGAAAAATTTGATCGACAGGTCCCAAAGTTATGATCAAAAAACATGCAAAAAAATGACTTATTTTAAAAATGGCGGTTTTTTGATTATAACTTCATTATCAGTTGATAAGATTATTTTATCTTTGATATCATTTTGTAGAGAATTTAATCCTCTATCCAATGATACTAAAAGTTCAGTAAATTATTTCCAAATTCCCGAGTTACAAGCTCGGGACTGAAACGACCAGGGACTGAAGTGGGACGTTCCGAGTAAACCAGCCTTTTGATAAGATTCTCTCATTTGATCCATCTCCTTCTCCATTGTCCTTATAGAATTCTCCAGCCTCTCTCTTTCTTCGTCTAAACGTTTCCAATGCTCTAATTGCTGTTCATGCCATTCCTTTGCCATTTTATTGTTGCTTTCATTAACATTTGCTACTAAATCCCTCACTTGAACCAACCCAAAATTTAGGCCTTCCAATCGTGTAGCCATTGAGTCGAAATGTCTATAAAGTATTGATCCAAAAAGGCTCGAGATTGATTAAGCCTCTAAGGCTCTCCTATCGCTAATAGCGTTAGACAGGGTGGAAAGCGCTTTATTCAGTGCTGTAAAGAAGGAGGAAATCCCGTCACGTATGTTTGAGCTCACTAAGCAGAAGGATGTCGGATCTAGATCCGAAAAAGACCGGATATCCGGAAATTTTCGGTTCGGATACCGGATCCTGATATCCGAAGATTTCCAACCGTCCGGCAGCCTTACTAGACAGGAAGGAGTTTATGCTCTATTAAAAGAGAGTGACTCTCAGTAGCTCAGCCGGTTGGGCACATTTAAATTCAAGTACAATAATTCTAATAGAGACCCATGCCATATTAAAAGCCTAACAACCCTATAACTTCCAAGATTTGCAGAATCGATGCCTGTCGTTGGTTAAACATTTATCTATCTTACTGTACAGATTAATGTAACAACTAAGCTTTGAGTACATAGAGTGGGAGGGGTACTGCGTTACTTGAATTATTGAGATCATACTAAGGTTGCGGATCCGATATCCGGACCGAGATTTTCGGATATCCAGTCGTTTTTCCGGATTGGATACGCCAACCTCCAGGCTTCTTATATCTTGTCCCCAGGCGTTTTGTAGTATGTTGCCGAGGCGCTTGATCAACCCCTTATCTTTTCTCAAATTTACCCTTGTTGTTCTCTAATGCTGTTTAACATCTGTGCACTTCTATCCGCTTCTCGACGAGCTTCTTCCTTTTCACGTTCATTCCTTCTAGTTAATTCCTGCAATTCTATCTTGGTTTCTTCTCTTATTCGCTCATTGCTGCGTTTGTGTTCACTTTGTTCTGTTTCGAGTTTCCGCCTTAACTCGCTTATTGTTTGTTGGTCTTCAGAATGTTCGTAACGCAATGAGCTTACTTCTCTTGAGAATAGAAAGAATGAGTTTAAGGGAAGTTTCTGTGGTTGTTTTTGGAATAAAGACGAACATCATATATTGTAGGATGTTCGCCTAGAGCAGTTAAAATGCTTAGGCGGGTGTTAAACGATCTAAAAGGATAAAAGAGAAGCATTAGTCATTGCCCCGGTAGTTCAGTGATAGAGATAACAGTAAAGAGGTCGCAGGTTAATCCTGCCCGGTGGCTAAACTTTTGCTAAACTCCTTCTATATGGAGTCAGATCAATAAGCCTCCGGATATCCACCTATGTTATATCCGCTGTATATATCCAGATACGGATGACAAAATCCGTATCCATGAGCAGGCCTGCCTCAAACACTATATAATTGGGCTCGACCCAAATCCGGGACTACGACCATTTTGACTATAACCCCGACCCAGATACAAATTTCAACCCGACCCTGAACTATTTTTTCGACCCGACCCGGATATTCGAACCCCAACCCTAACATTTCGACCCAAATGGCGGGGACCAAGTTTACTATATCACTTCTAGATAGGCTACGTATTTTTAAATAGGGCTGGTCACGAGTAGGGTAGCGTATCAGCCCTATTAAGACAGCCTAAATGAGTATCTAGAAATGAGGTTCGCCTTTATAACTCTTATCAATTTTAACTTTGGATTACCTCTTCAATTGGTCCAATTCAGCCTGAATAGCGGCAGATACGCTTATTTGTTGTTGAGATTCTTGGTGTTGTATTGTTGGGGTGGGACGGCTGGGAGGAGGTTGCTCTACTCTTTGACTGCCAGTTTGAGGGCGGGAAGGAGATGGGCCACGTCTAGTAAAAAACTTTTTAGACCAAAAACTTCTAAATTGGTCCCCCTCAGTTAACTCACTTACATTTGTGGAACGACATTTGCGGACAAAACTGCGGCCTATAGGATTTGGAAAAAGCGGAAAATGGAAATGTCGTTTCCTTGCAAATGTTCACATATGTCGCATTATTCGCGAGTGTTCCCAAATGTCGTTCACTTATAGGCATTCGCAAATGTCGTTCACATTAGAAATGTTCGCAAGTGTCGTTTCATTGGTAGTGTTCGCAAATGTCGTTCACTTAAGTAATGTTTGCAAATGTCTTTTACTAAGAAATGTCCGCAAATGTCGCTTTACCCAAATGCCTAATTTAATAAAATTACATTGGGGCAGACGACAATTGAGCAGAACTGCTAGGTGTTGTACCCCCTCCAGCTCTTGCACCCCTCCTCTGTTCCCCTGAAGAGCCTCCAGAAAAGAGAGAATCTAACAGAGAAGAAGAAACTGGTTGTGCAGGAGGCTCTGGATTTGGTGGTGGTGGTTGTTCATCTTGAAAAGTGACTCTAGGCCTTTGTCTTGAAGAACTAGCCAGAATGTCGTCTATTCCGCCAGCTTGCCTCTTAATAAAGGAGTTGAGGATTAAAAGAAGACGCAATCGGACCTCACTAAGATTTGGGTCAAAAAATCGTACCTTATAATGAGGTGTATCTTAAATAGAGGGTATCGCTTAGTCCGCTCTCTTCCTAGAGGTCAATCAAAATTTAAAAAGTATGGCTTACGCATAGAGCCATACTTTTCTGATCTAATTGAGGATAGCCGCGAGGTCTCTTCTAGTGGGGGTATCTTAAATAGGAGGTATCCTATATAGAGATTTTGGGCGCAGACCTGTGCGTGGACACGGATTTTGGTATCCATACCCGGATATTTACGGCGGATACAGGCGGATATCCGCAGGCATCCTGATATTATTTGTTTCCATATCCGTATCCATGCACAGGTCTGATTGGGCGTATCTTATAAAGAGGATGTCTTATAATGAGGTGTATCTTAAATAGAGGGTATCGCTGAGTTGGATCTTTTCCCCGATTGGTCAATCAAGGCATCTTAATTAGAAATGTATCTAATATTGAAGGTATCTTATAAAGAGGTTGTGTCTTATAATGAGTGCGTTTTAAATAGAGGGTATCGCTTGGCAAGCTCTCCCGCTCAATGGTCGACCCAATTTTATAAGTCTCTTAAATAGAGGTCTATCTAAGTTTGGGGGTTAGTCTTATATTGAAGCTTTATAGTAGAGACCGGACCGAGACGAGATCTCAGTCAAAATTCTCGGTTATCGAGATCGAAAATTTTTCGAGATCTCGATTCTTGTATGACTCTCCCAGTCCGGTCTCTATAGTGTTTATTTTATAATAAGGTCCAATTACTTCAAACAACCTTTGGTCTATTCGAAAATAAGTCGTTCACAAAACTGCTCCCCGGAGCAGTCCCTCCTTCCTGAAAATTTTTGTGACTAAAATAGGATTTATAAAGCTCACATCGGGAAGATCAAAATCGTCGTCCATCTTAAAAAGTTTAAAAAATGTGAAGGGAAAAGAATAAAAATTTAAATGCCTTAGAAAGTACCCCTATATCGGTTGTCTTGACGACGAAATTTTAAAGCTGGCAATAAAAAGGGGAATTTAAGCCTAAAAGAAAAGAGTATAGAAGAAGAAAAGAAAGAGCAACAGACTTGCTGCTTCGGTGGTGCAGTTGGTAGAGCTTCTGCACCTTGGGGAGAGGGGTAGAGGGTTCGAACCTTGATGTGGTCAAACTTTTTTTAATTAATAAAAAAACAACTAGAAATACACCTAAAAATATTTTTTGTAAAAGAAACTCTAAAAAAATTTTTTTTCTTGAAAATGAGGACCTTTGTAGAAATTTTAAGACAAGATTAAAAGAACTAAAAATATTTTAGTTTTCTTAATGACTCAGTTGATGAAGTCCACAACACGAAGTTATAGGGTTGTGGGTTCGACCCCTTTTGGTTGTAATTAATTATTTCTCTTGTAAAAAAATCGAGAAAGAAATTTTCCTCAAAAAAAGACGCCCTATCTTTCCCTGGAAATTTTTTACGAAACATATGTAGAGTGGTCCTGTCAGTAAAACTTTCGTAAATGCGTTGGTGAGGTACAAAGTTCGATCCCTTTTGGGTATACATATTTAAAAATAAAAATTCTAGCCCATTAGCTAGAGCTCTTCAATCTGCTTCGAATGATACCATAATCAGCTCGATTGGATAATACTGACAATGAGAGCAAAATTACGAGTACAACTGTATCTTTGCTGTAAAGCCTTTGAAGGCAGATCACGGATCCGATTCGCCTCCTCGAGCTGAGTCGAATAGCACCAAAATCAACAAAATCCGACTTGATTGGACCGAGATCTAGGCTCCTAAAAACTGAGCTTCAAAGAGGCGACTCAGCTCATCTGAGTGGGCCGACAATTCACCGACAATCTACAGACAATTCACAGACAATCTACAGACAATTCACGGAAAATTAACAAAAATTAGAAATTTTTATTTATTTTTTAATAAAATTCTCTTTTTTAATTAAATATTTACATTTTTCAATTTTTTTCATTTTCCTACAATTTTATTTAAATTAAATACCACACACAATGAGAGGACAAAATTCCTTTTTCCCCTTCATTCCAAATTTCCCCACAAAACTTTTTACACGAACAATCATCAACATTCAACAGACTGTCAGTAAAATGACTAAAAAATAATTAAACGAGCTAAATGAATAAATAAATTTGTAGTGATTTGGCCAAATCAGTGGTTTGGATCTTTTATTGTGAAAAAAGGCAGTCCGACAATTCACCGACAAGCTACCGACACCCTAGACAATTCACCGACAGGTTACCGACAATTCACCGACAGATTCCGACAACCCACCGACAACCTATCGATAATCCACCGATAAACTTTATGTCTGCTAATCGTAGGTAACTTTCAACGGGTAACTTCAACTAAACAATACCTCCTATTTAAATAGCCTCTTTATAAGGTACGCCTTTTCTGAACCAATGGGAGTCGAACCTTTTAATGAGGTTCGTCTGTGTCAACTTTTCGGTGAATTGTCTTAAAGGTATTTTGACCCATATTTTCAATAATACCCCTATTTAAGAAACCCTCATTATAAGGTACGATTTATTTCTGACCCCTTAGGATATGTTATAGGGAGGTTTTGACCTTTAGTCTTGACAATTCACCCTTTTTCGGTGAATTGTCTGTAGGGTATTTTGACCCCCTTTACCGACTGTAATTTGTCGGACGTCATTTTGCCCCCATTGCGAACCTATTGGAGAGAGATAAAAATATTTTTTTAATTTAATAGTGGGAGGAGGAATTAATTAGCGCCACTTTTTTAGTCTATTTAATAGTCCAGAAATTAATTAAAAAATTAATTATTTATTTCCCCCCTAATTTCCTCCTAATTCTCCCTTTAATATTCTTCACTAAAAAAATTTTTTTAAAGTCCAGACTCGGACAACAGATTTTCGGATGCTCATGGCGACGAATAAAGTTGAACTGCATGAGTATTCCAAAATCTGTCATCCGTTTCTGACTAGTTTATTTAACTGACGGTATTTTGTCGGACGGCATTTTGTCCCCATTGAGGATTGGTGCTGGGAGGATTATTAAGGCACCCTTATTATAGGGCTGAAAATCTCGTATATTAAATAGATGTGTACCTTAAATAAAGGGTAAATTGAAATCGTACTCTAAATAGAGGGGTACTTTATAATGGGTTGTACCTTAAATAGAGGGTAAATTTTAAAGTGTATCTTAAGTCGAGGGGTACCCTATAATGAGTCGTACCTTATAACAAGGTGTACCTTAAATAGAGGTATAATGAAATCGTGCCTTATAATGAGATGTACCTTATATAGGGGGTAAATTAAAATTGTATCTTAAATAGAGGGTACTCTATAATTATGTGTATTTTGAAAAGAGGACATCTACTGCACCCCTTACCCAACCTCAATTTTAAAGACGTATCTTTCCTGCTGGGATTCGGGACTGGAATCCGTCGAGAAACTCCGATAGGCCTTTTGTCGTATTGTCTAAATGTCGCTTTGTCTAAATTGTCGTCAAACTTAATTAACGGCCGGGACACGCCCAAGTAGGCGCGCGGCCAAGTAGGCGCAAAGCCATAACTTGCTGGAAAATTTCTGAACCTTATCAATTTTGGTACCAATCTCTTCAGCTCGATGAAAGGAATCGTTTAATATCAAATTTTGAAGGATTCGAAATTTTGAAGCAAGTTATGACTTTGCGCCTACTTGGCCGCGCGCCTACTTGGGCTGTACCCTAAACGGCCAGTTCTACAGTGTTTAATCGACTTTCCTCGAATAAAGGCACTGAAAGGGAAACTAAGAAGAGAAGAAAGCCTTTTTGAGTGCACAACGTTGACTGACTTAATTTTCAGATTTTTTCTAATTTTTTAACGTAAAATTATTTTAGAAAATGCAAGCAGCTAGAAGGTTAATTTCTCTTCGTGAAAATAAATTTTTGTTGGAAAGTAATGCTCAATTGATTTCTTTTCAAAGTTCAAGGCATCTACACATTTGGTTTCCGGATGCTAAATTTACGAGAATGTTCAAGGTTTTGTAGTTAATTGGTTTTTTGGCTGTATTTTGGGGTCATAGGGTGGTCGTGGGTTCGAACCCGCTTGCGGTCAACTATTTTTTACGAACCTTAGAAGGCGCGAGTTGACCATTTTAAGCATTTATATTTATTTTTGGACTCGGAAAAATTTTTTACCCCGGAAACTCATCGTTTTAGTCATGTCTGAGTTCATGTGGAGTGAGGTCGTGGGTTCGAACCCCCTTGGGGTAAATTATTTTTTAAGAACTTTCAAAGACAAAGCTAGACCATTTTGAGAATTTTTATTTATTTTTTGGGCTCGGAAAAATTTTTTACCCCGGAAACTCATCGTTTTAGTCATGTCTGAGTTCATGTGGAGTGAGGTCGTGGGTTCGAACCCGCTTGGGGTAAATTATTTTTTAAGAACTTTCAAAGACAAAGCTAGACCATTTTGAGAATTTTTATTTATTTTTTGGGCTCGGAAAAATTTTTTACCCCGGAAACTCATCGTTTTAGTCATGTCTGAGTTCATGTGGAGTGAGGTCGTGGGTTCGAACCCGCTTGGGGTAAATTATTTTTTAAGAACTTTCAAAGACAAAACCAGACCATTTTGAGCATTTTTAGTTAATTTTTGGGCTCGGAAAAATTTTTTTAACCCAGAAAGACATCGTTTCAATCATGTCTGAATTCATGGGAGTGAGGTCGTGGGTTCGAACCCCCTCAGGGTCAATTATTTTTTAAGAACTTTAGAAGGTATAAGTTGACCATTTTGAGCACTTTTACTTATTTCTGACTCTTTGCATTTTATTTTACCTGAAATTCATCGTTTAAATAATATCGACGGTCATGTGGAGGTGGTCGTGGGTTCGAACCCGCTTGGGGTAAATTATTTTTTAAGTTGCTTAAAAGGCAAAGCCAGACCATTTCAAGCACTTATATTTATTTTTTTGGACTCGTAAAAATTTTTTACCCCGGAAACGCATCGTTTTAATCATGTCTGAGTTCATGTCGTGGGGGTCGTGGGTTCGAACCCACTCAAGGTCAATCATTTTTTAAGTTGCTTTAAAAGGCAAAACCAGACCATTTTGAGCACTTTTAGTTATTTTTTGGGCTCGGAAAAATTTTTTACCCCGGAAACTCATCGTTTTAATCATGTCTGAGTTCATGTGGAGGGGGTCGTGGGTTCGAACCCGCTCAGGGTCAATTATTTTTTAATTTATAAAAAGGCAAGAGTTGACCATTTTGAGCATTTTTAGTTAATTTTTGGGCTCGACGGATTTTTCCACATTAGAAAACCCAATTCAGAACAGAAAGTATTCTTGACTTAACAAAGTCCGCAAAAATTTGTCCGCAAAAATTTTTTTTTAATTTTTTTAAAAATTTAATCATTTTTAGGCAATTGGTTCTACTCCAAAAGCAGCACATCAAAGTCTTTTTGTATAATTTTTTAATTTATTAATACAGTCGAACCTCACTTTTAAGATACCCCCTTAATTTGGTTGGCCTCTACTTTGGGATGAGGCTGAAATTCGAAACCGTCCTTACTTTGCTTTCTTAACCAGGCCCATTCCCTCTACGTACTCCAAAGTTTGTTTTTAGAATATCTGCCAGGATCAGAAATCTCACGGATTGATCTTTCTTCCAAGTCGGGTCGGGTCTTCAAAATTTTCTTTGGATCGTGTTTCGGGTCGAAAAAGTTCAGGATATTGAGTACTCGTGGCCGTCCCTGATCTTGAACCGTCCTCCGTCCCTCGATTCGTCCTTGATTTTTCCTTAAGTCTTGAATCTGTTCAAGGGCTTTAACTAAAATTAGGGGTTCCCCCGGTAGGTCAGAACGTGTCACACTACCCAGAAGGTCCTTCTGGGTCTTGAACTTGTGGGTTGATCTCAAATCAAGGCAAAGATTCTTTGCGAGGTTTTCTATTTGACTATTACCTTATGGGTCGGTTGACCACATTGGTTTGGGTCTTGACCCTTTTGGGTCTTTACCTTCTGGATTGATCCAAAATCAAGGTCTTGGTTTTTTTGAGGTTTGACTGTGCCAACCAGGGATGGTCGCTAGAAATTTTTCATGGCGCCAAACGCAAAATGCCAAAAATCGTCTAGAAATGGACGCCAAAATGCTAGCGCACATCCCTGGTGCCAGCTCCAATTCTTACAAAATTCCCTCCAAAAAACAAATTTTTTCAGCGTGAAGCCGGTTCCGTTGAACGTATGGATCCAGATGATTTGGCCAATCCTAAAGAAGTGTTGGAAGCAATCGATAGAATGAATACATCCACATGTATTTTTTTGAATTTTTAAATTTAAAAAATTTTTACAAAAGTTGATGGAAATTTTGGCTATCCCAGAGAAAAGAAAATCGACAATATGATTTTAAATTTTGGCCCGAACCATCCGGCAGCTCACGGCGTTCTGCGACTTATTTTGAAATTGGAAGGAGAGGTTTGGGTTTTTTGGGGGTAAAAACTGTGGGTCTCTTGGACTGATCCCCCGTCTAGTTCCGCAACCCGTAGGTACCCACTCTCCATTTCCAAACCTGGGGGAACCCCTTCCTCTCGTTACCCTTCTCTATGACTCTTGGACTAATTCTCCTAGTTCCCCAGCCCGTATGGAACACCCGCCCTCCCTTACCCAACCTGTAGGTTGGTACCAACCTCCTATCCTCTTACAGCAAAAATTTCGAGAAACTTACAAGTCAGGGGTTGCCTAAAAACCCACATCGGGACGATATCGATCCAACTTGGCTTGTCGAACTGACAGCGAGTCGATTCGACTTACCAGTGCTATGTTTTGCGTTTTTGTGGTTTCGGCTCTTGCCTTTTTTCAAGTCATGGTCAATTTCTTGAGTAGGGTTGGGGTCCCTGTCCGAAAGATAGAGTCGGGTATCAAATTTTGGCCCGAAAAAGACTCGGTCGGGCCGGCCCGAAATAAATGACTCGAACGTCGGCCCGACTCGAAAACCCCAACCCTAGTCTGGAGTGAGAGTACTGGTACGAGTCGGCTTCAAGTCTAGCTCTCGGAGTCATGCTAAGCACTGGTAAAGTCCGCAAGTTTCTCATAAGTCCGCAAATTTACTAAAAGTCCGCAAGTTTTGTCCGCAACTTTTTTTTAATTTTTAGGTAGTTATCAAAGCAGTTCCACACATTGGACTTTTGCATCGTGCAACAGAGAAATTGATTGAATATAAAACATACACACAAGCTTTGCCGTATTTTGATAGATTGGATTATGTTAGCATGATGTGTAATGAACAGGTTTTTTTGGGTTTTTAAAAAAAATTTTCAACGTTTTTTAAAGGCCTGGTCTTTAGCAGTTGAAAAATTGTTGGGAATTGACATTCCGCCTAGAGCTAAATGGATTAGAAGTATTTTTTGTTTTTTGGGGTTTGGGGTCTAAAAAAGTCCGCAAAATCATTTAAACAATGGGTCTTTCCTATCAAGCGACTAACCAAATTTTAGACGGCGTATCTTAATTTAAGTCTACCCAATATTGTATCCAATTTAACATTTATAAGGCCATTACTGACCTGACTATAAAGATACCCTAATGGCTTGAAACCAGGGTGTCCCTTTTACCTCTTTTGGGAGGCATTTGCCGTGGCGGCTTTTTGGCTTTTTTTACCCCTTTTTGGCCTTCTCGGCCCCTTTTTCCCCTTTTTTTGATCTTTTCAGAAATTAGAAGAATCTATTTTCTGCTCTTCCATAATTCTCAAAATTTTCGCCTGCAGCGCCAAAAAAAAGAGTATTTTCGACTTCTTGGCTCTCATAAGAATCCGAAAAAATTTTAGTTTAATTTCTTTTAGGCATATTATCTCTTTATTTCTTATCCTAATTTGTTCAGTTGCGTTAGACTAGTTAAAAAAATATGAAAAAATGTTTTTAGGTTTTTAAATTAATGCCCCCCCCCTTTTTTGCCTCCTTTTGGCCGATTTCGCTCCCTTTTTGCCCCATTTTGGGAAACCATACCCTCTTTTGGTGATTTGTAAAGGGACACCCTGGTTGAAACAAAAGACCTTATAGTAAGGTTTTTTAATTTAGTTGACCAATGGATGGTTGAAATATTTCCTAAAAATACCCCATAATTAATATACACCTCATTGTGACAATCATTTATTGATAAAAACAATTTTTAAGATTTGCGGACAAAACTTGCGGACAAAACTTGCGGACTTTTTGTAAACCTTAAAAAAGAACCTTTTTCGCATTCAATTTTATTTTTTATCAATTTTTAGCCCTATTTGCTGAACTAACTCGAATTCAAAACCACATTATGGGAATAACTACACACGCTTTGGACGTTGGTGCAATGACCCCCTTCTTTTGGATGTTTGAGGAACGTGAAAAATTGTTTGAATTTAGTGAGCGTGCAAGTGGGGCGAGAATGCATGCAAATTATATTCGGCCTGGAGGTTGTTTTTGAATAAATTTTTTGGTTAAATTAACAAGAGATTATATAGGGAGGACAGGAAAATTTTTTTAAATGCGAAGAATTTCGGGACAGTCTCCCCTCCCAATTTTTTCCTCTTGAAATTTGACTCCTGGATACCAAGGGCGTCAGGCCCGTAGCCAGGATTTTTTTTGGGGGGGGGGGGGGGGGGGGCAAAGGGGGGAAAATTTTTATTTTCAGCGCCGCATTTTCAGCGCCCCCCCCCTACCCCCCTGGCTACGGGCCTGAAGGGCGTAGCCAGGGAGAAGACTGTTCTTGAACACCCCTTTGTAGGGAAAAATCCGGAACGTCTTGTAATGCCAAGAACCTGAAATATGTACTAACTCCTCAAAAACGCTTGAAATACCAAGCCGTTTTTATTTTCCGGATTTTCCGGAGCGAAAATTTATCAACTGACCCTAACCCAAAGTTTTGATATTTATTTGGCATTTCAATCTTTTTTCCACGGCTTGGTATTTCAAGATCCTGGCATTTCAAGATCATACCGAAAAATCGTTCCATGTAAGGATGAGTATTTTAAATTGAGAAAAATTTTGCGGACAATTTTTGCGGATTTTTAAAACTAAATTTTTTTATATTTTTAGGAGTTGCCTGGGATATTCCTCTTGGACTTTTGGATGATATTTATGATTGGTGTGTCAAATTCCCTTCGCGGATTGATGAACTTGAAGATGTTTTGACAGAAAATAGAATATGGAAGAAGAGAACTAAGGATATTGGGGTTTGTTATTTTTTTGACAAATTTTAAGGACAATCCGCAAGAATCTTGCGGACAAGTATTGCGGATTTTTATTAAATTTGACAAATGTCCGCAATAATTTTGCGGATTTTTCCTCAAAAATCTTACGAAAAAAAATCTGAAAATATTTTACGGATTTTTCCTGCTGACCTTTTTAATCCGAAAAATCCGCAAGAATTTTGCGGATAATTTTTACATATTTTATTAAATTTGAGTAAGGTCTGCTTTTTGCGGACAATTTTTGCAGTTTCTTTTTAATCTGAAAAATCCGCAATAATTTGCGGATTTTAAAATTCAATACTACCTCATAGGAACTGTCCGCAATTTTTAACGGATTTTTATTATATTTAAATAAGTCCGCAATAATTTTGCGGACAAATTTTGCGGATTTTTATTAAATTTAAACAAATCCGCAAATTTTTTTTCTGACAATTTTTGCAGTTTTTTTAAATTTAATAGAAGTCCGCAATAATTTGCGGATTTTAAAATTGAATCTATACCATAGGAAATCTCCGCAATTTTCAGCTGATTTTTATTACATTTAAACAAATCCACAAGAATTTTGCGGATTTTTTAAATTTTAATACAAATCCGCAAAAATTGTCAGCATTTTTAAATAATTTTGCGGACAAACTTTGCGGATTTTTTTTAAATTTAAGAAGAATCTGCATTTAATCCGCAATAATTTTGCGGACAAATCTGGCGTATTTTTATTAATTTAATAAAAATCCGCAAAAATTGTCCGCATTTTTAAAATAATTTTTTGCAGATTGTTAAAGCTTCTGACGCTCTGAATTGGGGCTTTTCTGGTGTTATGTTGAGAGGTTCTGGTATAAAATGGGATCTTAGAAAGACGCAGCCTTATGATGCTTATTCTCAAGTTGAATTTGATGTTCCTGTTGGTACGCAGGGTGATTGTTATGATAGGTTTGGATTTTTTAAAATTAATTTTCTGGCTCTTGTCCAGTTTATGCGTCCAATCGCATCTTTATACGTCCAACAACCTTTATAAGTTTAATGAAAAGTTTATACTTCCAAACATTTTTATGCGTCCAATAGAAAGTTTATGCGTCCAATCACATATATTTTATGTACCCGCTTCTTCAATTTAGTACCATAAAATCTATGAGAATAGGAAGCCTTACTGACCCAGTTTTGATACACACGGTATTACATAGTTTTTAACACAAAGAACCGGGTATTTATAAATGCGATTGGACGCATAAACTTTTTATTGGACGTATAAAGTTTGATTAGACGTATAAAAGTGCGATTGGACGCTTAAATGAACGAGAGCCAATTTTCTTTTATGGATCGAGCCCATTCCTTCGATAATCGTCGTTTAAACCTTAAAAAAATTTTTAGAATTTGAGACAAATTTTGCGGACTTTTTTTTTTTTAAATTAAAGAAAAATCCGCAAAAACTGTCCGCAACTTTTTTTAAATAAAAAAATTTTTGAAGATTTTTTTTATCGAAAGATCGGCTCCGGTACAAAATACCGAATCGTTAAAATATGGAATAGTTAAAATCGCGAATAGGCTAAAAAGGGGTTAAAATACCGAATCGTTAAAATATGGAATGGTTAAAATATCGAATCGGGTAAAAAAGGATTAAAATATCGAATCGTCAAAATATCGAATTGATAAAATGTCGACACGGCCAAAATGGGTCAAAATGTCGAATTCCTTTAAAAAAGGGTCAGATGAGGGTCATACGTTGATTGTTGATAATTTTATCAACTTATAAACTTACTGCTGATAAGTTGGGGTTAAAATACCGAAAAAAACGGTACGGAATACCTGAGTTCAGTGTATTTTACCGAGTAAAACCGGACCGGATAAATCAAGAAAATCGACCGGATCCGGTCCGGCATGATCGTGCGGATCCGGAAGACAACGCGATTTCTTGATCCGGAAAAATTAGAGTACCGTACCACGGTACGGAATACCGAAAAATACGGTTCACCTTTTAAATTTTATCGGTCAGTATTCCGCCCGTACTACCGATACGGAATACGGATAAATACCGAAAAATACCGTCGGTATTACGGTACCGTCCAGGTTCTAGTTTGTAGCACAATTTTTAAAATAATTCGACATTTTGACCTATTTTGGCCGTGTCGACATTTTATCATTTCGATATTTTGACGATTCGATATTTTAATCCTTTTTTACCCGTTTCGATATTTTAACCATTCCATATTTTAACGATTCGGTATTTTAACCCCTTTTTAGCCTATTCGCGATTTTAACCCATTTTTACCCGATTCGAGATTTTAACCCTTTTTTAGCCTATTCCATATTTTAACGATTCGATATTTTGTCCGGACACGGAAAGATCTGATTTAATCAGTTTAAAAAGCTAATAGAGATCGAGATTTTTGAAAAGCCTGGGCCTGTAGTCTAGGAAAACCCCACGCCATGGTCCAGATCCAGCTCGATCTCTAAAGGCCACACGTTTTATAAAGTTTTTGCGGATTTTTTAAATTTTGCGGACTTTTTTATTATTTGCGGAGATCTTTCAACAAAATTGTGAAATTCATAAAAAAATTTTTATATTTAAAAAAGTTGCGGACAATTTTTGCGGACTTTTTTCAAATTAATAAAATGTCCGCAAGAATTGTCCGCAAGTTTTATAAATTTTTTCGAATTTTAAACTTTTGTCATTACTGGGCTAACAATAAAATGTAAGGATTGAGAAAAGAGTCGGATCGAATTTTTGGCGACCAGTGGAACCCTATTATGGGGCAGGATATTTTTGGTTCATGATTAGTGTTGCCGTTTTCGAACCGGGTCAACGTTCTAAGCATTTTGCGGGCCTCGTTTTTATCGACTCGGTCGTCTTTTTCAAGCCTAAATTTGATGTCCGATTCGATCTTTCGACACGAACCTGGCCGGCAACCCTAATTAGGATCAAAGTTTTGCAGATTTTTCTTAAATTAAAAAAATGTCCGCAAAATTTGTCCGCAAGTTTTCTTTAAATTTTTTTTTCGAGTTTAAACGACCATTAAAAATTTTCCCGTTTATTAAAATACACGACTGTTTAAATTTTTTTTCTTTTATTACAGATATTTGTGTCGTTTAATGGAAATGCGTGAAAGTCTTCGAATTATACTTCAATGCTTAAATAAAATGCCTAGAGGGGAAGTTAAAGTGGATGATCAAAAAATTATGCCTCCAAATCGAGCAGAAATGAAGGTTTATTAAAAAATTTTTAATTTTAAAATTAGGCATTAGAAGAGGCGGATTTTTCAGCTTTTTGTCTGCAAAAATTGTCCGAAAAAATTTTTAGTCCTAAAAAATTTTTTTTATCCGCAAAAATCTGTCCGCAAAACTATTTTTTGTCCGCAAAAATTTTTCGTCCGCATAAACACGTTTCTATTTCATTAGAACGCCTTAAAAATATTTTTTTAATAATAGGCACCAATTTTGGAAGAAAATTTATGTTAAAAAAATTTCTTGCGGACTTTTTTTTGCGGATAAAATTAAATTAAGTTTTGTCCGCAAAAAGTTTTTCTGGAGAAAAATGAGAAAAATATCCGCAAAATTTTGTCCGCAAAAAAATTTTTTGTCCGCAAGAAATGTCCGCAAAAAAATTATTTTGTCCGCAAAAATATTTTTTGTCCGCAAAAATTTATTTTTTAATAAATTTTAAATTAATTTAAAGGAAAGTATGGAAGCATTAATTCATCATTTCAAATTCTTTACTGAAGGATTTCAAGTTCCGCCTGGTCATGTTTATGTTCCTACAGAGGCGCCTAAAGGGGAATTTGGTGTTTATTTAGTGGCTGATGGAACGAGCAAACCTTATAGGTTTTTAAATTTTTGAAAATTTTTGAGGAAAGGGGGTGAGAAAAAATTAGAAAAAATTTTTTTTGAAATTTTTTTGAATTAAAAAAAAATTTTGTGGTGGTGTGGGACCGAACCTCCATCTCCCATTAAGCGCAGTTTAGTGTGTTAACCACTACACCATAGGAAAAAAATTTTTGAAGGGAAGGGGGGTGAGGAAAAATTTTTAAAAAAATTTTTTTGAAAATTTTTTGAATTAAAAAAAAAATTTTTGTGGGGTGTGGAATCGAACCTCCTTCTCCCATTAAGCCTAGTCTAGTGTGTTAACCACTACACCACCGGGCCAGGCTAATTTTAAACAACATAAGCGTTTGTGTGCCAGCCAGCTTTAATCGACTATAACTTTCTTAAGCTCTATTCAATCCGAACAAATCTTATATCATTCGAAAGCCCTCAAAAATCGCTATCTTTTTTCCAACTGGTTGGATCAAGTCTGTTCACTTATTAAAAAGTTATGACTCGTTAAGTGCATTTATTTTGTATTTTTCGAGGTTATCGTCTTCTAACTTTTTAATGGGTGATCAGACTTGCTCCAGCCAATTGGAAGAAAGATAGCGCTAATCAAGAGCTTTCGAACGATATAAGATTTGTTCTGATTGGATGAAAACAGAAAAGGTTATAGTCGTTCAAACTTTGCTGCCACCCCAGTGTCAACCGCCCCCTAACCCACTTAACCACAAAAACAATTTTTTCCAAATTTTTTTCAAAACTCATTTAGATGCTTTATTCGTGCTCCGGGATTTGCTCATTTGGCAAAAATTCATGATATTAGTTATATGCATTTAATTCCTGATTTGGTAGCTATAATTGGAACGTTGGACGTTGTTTTTGGAGAAATTGATAGATAAATATTTAGGAAGGAAAATTGTTTATATTAAATTTATGTATTTGTTTTTTTGACAAAAAAAATAAATTAGGACTTTAAAAATTATTTTTTTGGAAGAAAAGTGTTTTCTTATCATTTTGTAATATTTTTTCAACTAGAACGACATTTGCGTACACCGTTAGAAAAACGACATTTGAGTACACCGATAGAAATCGACATTTGTGTACAACGACATTCACGAACAAAGACCTTTCACTAAAACCCTATTAACAAGCCGGGATAGTTTTAAACAGTAAAACACCGGGATAGTACAACATACTTATGTCACGATAGCTGAAATGTCCCAATATCCGTTTGTGCCAATTTTGGGCCAGTATCCATTTGGTCCAATTTCAATGGTCTTCAGACCCCCCCCCCCCCCAAAAAATGTCGGTCTACGCGAATGTTTCCGTTATTTAAAAATTTTTGCTATAGACACGGTCCCAGTTCATCCTTTACAAAACAATATTAAAGGAATTCCGTGTTGAGAAAATCGGGGGGGGCTGTCGAAGGAGAGAGGCAGGGGCACTGTCTAAGGGGATAGGCAGGGGCACTGTTGAGGTGGGATTCCGTGACAGTCGGAATATGTTACAAAAATTTTATTCTTTTCCCTCTCTTTCACCTTTAAGTTGACCACATTTCCTTCCTTTTTAGTCATCGGAAAGGCCATAAGAGAAGGAAGAGAAGGACGCGAAGACCAACACAAAAAATAGGGGAAGCATAGCCTGTAGGCTTTGGCCCTACGGTCTGACCGGCCTTTTGCTGCTCACGCACTTTTCCCCCTTTTTTGACTAAAAATACAACAGCCACAGGCCTTTAGGGCGAATCGATTGGACAGGTTAAATTATTCCCTTTTTTCGTTCTCTCCCTCCATTTTTCTTCTCTTTTTGGGAAAGCGGACAGTAAATTGCACTAAAATGACTGTTTCCCCTACAGGGCTAACTTTGTCCTAAAAAACGCCTGAGGCGAAATTTCAAAAATCCGCAAATAACGCCCCTTAAGTGCAACTTTTTTTGCACTTTTAATTTACCCTTAGGGCAGTGTTTGAATATTTTTTATTTTTTGTAGGAAAGGCTATTTTTGTAAAGGGGTTGGGGTCAATTGGGCGCGGCAAACTAGGGCGTCAGCAAACTTTGATGGCTATAACTTTTTTGTGCCTGATTCAATCCGAATGTTTCTTATATCATTCGAAAGCCCTTGATAAGCGCTATCTTTTTCCCAGTTGGGTGTATCAAGTCTGATCACTCGTTAAAAAGTTAGAGATCGATAAGTGCAACTATTTGGTGTTTTTCAAGGTTATTGTACTCTAGCTTTTTAGTGAGTGATCAGACTTAATCCATCCTGTTGAAAAAAAGATAGAGCTCATAAAGGGCTTTCAAATGCTATAAGATTTGTTCAGATTGGATGAAAACAGAAAAGGTTATAGTCGACCAAATCTAGCTGGCGCCAAGCTGGCTGCGCCCAGTTAACCAGTTCCGTTTGAGTTAGTTTTGGGGTTTAAAAATTTTTGCTTTTCCCCCAAGAAAGGTTTTTCACCTCGCTTGAGTTACAAAATTTCATAATTAGCCCGATTAAAAGGGCATTAACTCTATCAATGCCTTAGTGCGATATATCCCTTTCCCATAGGACTTGCACTTCCCCCTCTAGACATTGTTCACTAAATTCTCTCCCCCCAAACAGTCAAATCGACTAAAATTTTTATTTCAATTTTGTACACCCCCGGCGGGCAATCCTTGCTTTCCACCTATCACTTGTAATGTTGACAGTCAGGCAAACAAGCACAAAAAAAGGCAGGTTGGGGGGACCTGCTGGCAGCAACGACCGGCTGGCAGTTTTTTTGTTTGTTGTGTTTCTTTCTCTTCCCGAGCGCATCACCAACCCACAGCCAAAGGGAAAATATGATTAGAAGAAAGGGAATGAATAGTTGAGCAAATTGGAAGGGCGCACGCATTAACCCACAAGGTAAGGGACGATTGAGTATAGCTGCTTCAGTCTTGAGGTCATATTTTGGGCTATAACTTTTTTGATTCTGAACCGATTTGAATGATTTGTGGGTCATTCGAAAGCTCTAAATGTGCGGATTAGTTTAGCTAAGAGGACTGACTTGATCAGGTCATCCTACCAAAAGTTACACTTGGGTAAGTGCGCGCAATCGTGATTTTTGATCGTTTTTCGGCTATAACTTTTGATAGGTTGTTCTGATCAAACCAATCCTTTTGGCTAAAATAATCCTCAAATCAAGAGCTTTCGATTGATATAAGACTCATTTAAATCGGTTCAGAATCAAAAAAGTTACGGTTCAAAAGTTACAGCCAAATAAGGACCAGAAATCACGATTTCGCGCACTTACCCAAATGTAACTTTTTTAAGGATGGTCGGATCAACTCAATCCTGTAAGCTAAAATAATCCTCAAATAAAGAGCTTTTGATTGATATAAAACTTATTTAAATCGGTTAAGAATCAAAAAAGTTATGGCCCAAAATACACCCTCAAGACTGAATCGTCCTTTACCGTCAACTCACAGCGCCATCGGCGAAATTCATTCCTCGCCTCTTCGCAAACATTCATCCCCCCTCACCTCTTCTTCTTTACTATCCACATCTCTTCTTCTTCTCTTGTTCCTCCCAGCCACTGATTGTGTAAATAGGGAAAAAAGGAAAGTGAATGTTTGGCTGCCGGCGGGCTGTTGTTGATGATGGCCCAGCCGTCTATACAGAAGTACTGTCAGCAGCGCATCACAAAACTGGGGCCATATTGACAAATACGCCGCTATTTCTCATTATTCCTCATAAAATTTGCTCTTCTAATATCCCAAAATTTTTTTATTTTATTACAGGCGAACCTCGTTATAAAATACCCCCTTGGGATCGACCTTATAATGAGGGTGTTCATAAACTGGGAAGTATCTTAGATTGCGTATCTCGGCCCTCTCTAACTAATGGGTTGTAGGAGCTGACATAGAAGTCTATAACGAGGGGTTTCGAACAAAACTGAAGAGGTGTCCGCAAATGTCGTTTTCTCTGTAATGTTCGCAAATGTCGTTTCTTTTCCTCTGGGATTTAAAATCGTATTTTATAATAGGGTGTTTAACGAGGGGTATCCTAAATTGGAGGTATATCTTTGTCGACTCCCAGTAACCAGTAAGGGGGCATCTAACATCCAGCATCTAACGGACATAAAATGCCCCCATAATTTGGGGCATCTCTCTCTAACCAGTGGGTATGACCCTCACTAGATACTAGGGTTGATCCCCGTCCCCGAAAATCTGGGAATTTGAGAGATTTTTTTGAAAATTCCCTGTCTCCCCCCCCCCCGTGGCGCTGCCTCCTCGAAAACCTTTCCCCGTGCCCCCCCCCCCCCCCCCCCCCGTAGGGTATCAACCCTACTAGGTTCCCCTCCTTATATGTACGATTTTCTAGCCTGAGGGGGTATCTTATAGCGAGTTTCGACTGTTTTCTAATTTTAAGATTTTAAAGTTCAAAAAGTGCCTTTTCCTTATTTGCCTTATTTTCCCTTCATTTTCTGCCTTAAATGACAGCAACCACCAACAGCTCAATTCACATCAACTTGGAAGACCCCAACTCATCTACAAGTAGCCCACAACCATTGGAACAACAATTAAGTCCGTTATTGCCTAAAGAGGCTGAATATGTTGAAAGAAAGGTGAAAAAAATTTTCAAAAAATTTTTCAAAAAAATTTTTAAAAATTTTTAAAAATTTTCAAAAAAAATTTTTCAAAAAATTTTCAAAAATTTTCAAAAAATTTTTTTTGGAAAATTTCAAATTTTTTTAAAAAAATTTTTCAAAAATTTTTCAAAAAAATTTTTGGAAAATTTTCAAAAAATTTTTGAAAATTTTAAAAAATTTTTAAATAATTTTTTAAAATTTTCAAAAAAAAATTTTAGAGGCCTCTAGCCATTCAAGAATTGCTTGAGAAAAAAAGAGCCAGGTTGGCAACAATTCCGAAACAAATTCAAATGGTCGAAAATGGTGAGGAATTTAATAATATTTTAGTTTTGAAAGCCCAAAGGCGTGGACAGACATTTGCGAACATACCCTAAATCCATGGTCGCAAATGTTCCCTTATTATTAGTGTCCGCAAATGTCGTTTCCTAGTAGGCGTTCGCAAATGTCAATTGGCACTCCTCTCTTTGCCCAACTTTCACATCTACCGTACACGTTGGTTAACTCCTCACTGCACCTTTTCGGGGAGACCTGGGTTCGATACCTCTCGACCGATATTGTCCTTATTTTTAACAAAAAAATATTTTTTCCAAATTTAGACAGTTCCAACGACCTCCAGCACATATTTAATAAATTTTGCGAGACAAAACTCGACCAGAACAAAAATAACGAGAACGATTTTAACCAAATATGTGAAGACAACGTCATGTTTTACAACGCAAATGGAGGGGAAGACGTCGAAACTGCCAGTTGTAGTTCCGGGGGATGCCCCTCTTTTAACTGGGCGTTGTTCGAAGGCATTTCAGGGTCCATTACACCGTCTATTAATTCACAGAAACAACCGAAAAATGTTAAAATTAATAATATGACGACGCCTTTATTGTCTTCTCCTCTCAAAAATTGTTTGGAATTTTCGCCTACTTCTAGTATGGAGATTGGCGATAATGCTTTGGCTAAGTCTGTCCCTTGCGATCGGTTAGAAATTAATTTTTATAAAGATTTGGGGTTGGATACGGTTGGACCTCACTCAAGAAAAAGTAGGTCCATGAGTAAAAACGACAGAATGGTACCGAGGCTAAAGAACGATAAAACGGTACCTAGAGAAAAAACGACAAAATGTTACCAGGTCTAGGGAATGACAAAACGGTACTTAGAGAAAAAACGACAAAATGGTACGAAGGGTAAAAAACCGACAAAATGGTATCCATGGTAAAAACGACAAAATGGTCTCCATGGTAAAAAACGACAAAATGGTCTCCATGGTAAAAACGACAAAATGGTACCAAGGCTAAAAAACGACAAAATGGTACCCAGGGTAAAAACGACAAAATGTATCACAGTGTAAAATCGACATAATGGTATGTGACAAGACGGTACCAAGGAGTTTTAATGAAGTTAGGCAACTCGCCGGCCCAATGGCCCACTAAATTTTAGATGTCTTATATTGGGTGTATCCTAAAGTGAGGTCCAACTTTGACTCTGAAACGTAACAGGAAGAACTAAAAAATATTTTCAGAATTTTTGCCCAAGTTCCAGGCAGACTTTCTTTACTTTCAAACGTTGTGAAATATAAAATGACTGTTGGAGAGGTGAAGAGGCGATTAATGGGACCTGAATCTTTTAATTTTAGGTAATTTCAACTAAAAATAGTATGGGAAAATAGGAGAGACAAAGAAGGGAGAGATTTTGCGGCCAGACAAAATGTACTCAGGCTAGAAGGCGACAAAATAGTACCAGGGCTTAGGAACGACAAAATGGTACTAAGTCCTAAGAACGACATAATGGTACTTAGGGCTAGAAGGCGACAAGATGGTACACAGGGTAAAAACGACAAAATGGTACCTAGGCTAAAGGACGACAAAATGGTACCAATGGCAAAGAACGACATAATCGTACTTAGGCTAGAAGGCGACAAAATGATACACGGGGTAAAAACGACAAAATGGTACTAAGGCTTAAGAACGACATAATAGTACTTAGGGTAGGAGGCGACAAATCATACCAAGGGTAAGGAACGACAAAATGGTACCTAGGCTAAAGAACGACACAATGGTACGCAGGGTAAAACACGACAAAATACAAAGACAAAATGGTACAAAGGCAAAATGGAAAGATCTCTCCACTTTTTCCACACTATTTTTATATTCCGAGCCGAGCTCCAAAGCCACTAAATTTAAAATAAAATTTTATAGCTTGTTAGGAGCTTTATTGAGACGTGCAAAAATGCCAGAAAAAAGTCAAATGCTTATAGAAGAATTAAATCAAGTTGGACTTTCTATCCCACGTGGAAGAAGACGTCTCTCTCAAGTTACTTTGTTGTCTGCTTTAACTGAGGCTGAAAGTTTACAACTTGCTAATGATTTTAAAAAGGTGTGTGTCTGTGTGTTTTACGTAGGCTTGGCTCCCAAAACCCCGACTTTTTGGCCAAAACCTGACCCCAATATTTGCAACACCGATAAGCCCCGACTCGGACATTTTGATCCGGAAGGGTCAGGGTCCATCTACACAATGTAGACGAAAGTGGGAGTTGAGGGGGGCATTGAGACCCCCCCCCCCTGTTGATTCCTTGAGACCCCCCACCCCCCTGCTGTTTCCTTGAGACCCCCCCCCCCTGTTGATTCCTTTAGACCCCCCCCCCCGTTGATTCCTTGAGACCCCCCCCCTCTGTTGATTCGTTTAGACCCTTCCCCCCGTTGATTCCTTGAGACTCCCCCCCTCCCCCTGTTGATTCCTTGAGACTCCCCCCCCCTGTTGATTTCTTGAGACCCCCCCCCCCGTTGATTCCTTGAGGACCCCCCCCTGTTGATTCCTTGAGACTTCCCCCCCCCCCTTGTTGATTCCTAGTGACCCCCTGTTGCTGTTTCGAGCAGACGAAGAAGGGCAGGGCTATCCGGCCTAGCTTTTATACATACTTCCATAAGTCAACTGCTTATATAGCAGGGATGGGCTGGCTTGGGATCAGGCTCTGATCGGGTTCGGGTTGAAAAAGGGCCGGGTCTCGAGTAACCCAACACATCCCTGTTACATATAGCCTTCTTAACAGATTACAGAATCCGAATTCCCTACAAGGCTAATGGCTATAGAAGCACTTGATTCCTTCAAACAGTCAACTCCATCAATCCTTCCTGGTACTTGTGAAAATTTAAATTCAATTCGTCTACAAAAATTGCAAGCTGCGATTAAATTAACTAAGCAATTTTTGGAGTTGATGGGAAGAGATACAAGTCCAATGATGGAAAATGTAATTTAAAGAATTTTTTGAAAAAAATTTTGTCCGCAAATTTAAAATTTTAATTTCTTCTTTTTAAAAAAGAAAATTCAAAAAAAATTTTGTCCGCAAAATTTTTGCGGACAAAATTTTGTCCGCAAAAATTGTCCGCAAACTTAGGATTTTAAATTTTCTAAAGAAAGCTTCAAAAAACCTAAAAAAAAATTTTTGTCCGCAAAATTCTTGCGGACGTCCGCATAAATTTGCGGACTAAATTTTGTGTGTTTGAAAACAAACAAAAATTGTCTGCAAATTAAAACCCAAATTTTTAATTTTCAGAATATGGAACCACTTCTTGACGAGGAATTACAAGCGCCTCTCTCCACATTTTCAATGTTAACCCATGGATTCGGTAGTTTAAAAGGATTCTTTAAAAATTATTTCAAAATATTTAGGCAACCCAGCTATCCAAGTTGGGGTAAATTGTTTTTTGCGATTTTTGGAAGAACAAGTAAAAATAATTTGTGAGCAACAAGAACAGAAAATAAATTTATTTCCGAATACTAAATGAAAATATGGGAGGATATTGCTATGAGATGATACCCCCTTTGGGCGTGAAAAAACTCGTACCTTATAATGGGGTGTGTATTAAATAGAGGGTATGACCATGTCCTAAACTAGGTGTATATCAGATAGTGATGCTCGGGAGAAGAAAAAACCCGGGAATCGGGAAACGGGAGTCGGGTCGGGAAATGACCTCGGGAGTCGGGATCGGGAGTCGGGAATTAGCAATAAAAAAATTTTCCAAAAATTTCAAAAATTTTTGGCGCCTTCGGCGCCATATATTCCGATTTTTTGCACCACAGGCAAAAATATTGAAAATTTGGAGCCTTACTAGCGCCGCAGGCGAAAATTTTGAAAATTTTAGATCAAGAAGTCAGATTTCTTCCATTTTTTGCGCCGCAGCCAAAAATTTTGACTCTCATTTGAGTGAAATAGCAAGGGGTCTTGAACGATCTTTAAGGGTAACTTAAGAGTTTATTTCCACGATTATTTGGAAAGATAAGCCAACAGCCTACTCAAAAAACCTAGTAACGCCAGAGATAATCAGTGTTGGATATTGCTGGGGGCTTTTTCTTTGAGCCAGAGCCCAGCTTTGATTTATAGTTGTTGTCATTGAGCTTAATTTCTTAGAATCCCTCCATTGGAGTGAAATAGAGGAAAAGAGAGTGAAGCAGAGAAAAATATTTTTACGTTCAATTTTGGTGTAATTTTGGTGAACTAGCCAAATATCTCTTCATATCCCCTCTATAATATTAACACCCCCCATGCAACATCATCCATTTATATCCCTCTTTATTACTGCAAATCCCTCGTTATCTCTTCAAATTCACCATAATCCTAGTAAATCACCGAAATCTTCTATACTACAACTCCACAGATTCTTCTGTTTTCAGCGCCGCAGGCGAAAATTTTGAGAATTTTAGGAGGCCAAGAGGCCAGATTTCTTCATTTTTTATAAATGAAAATATAATTTTGTCAGAAAAATCCATTCTTAGGGGTGTAAAAATTTCCCGACTTAATCGGGAATTGACACCGGGAGTCGGGATCGGGATCGGGAGGCCAAAAACTCGGGAAATTTTCCCGAGTCGGGAGTCGGGATCGGGATACCCGAGCATCACTAATATCAGAGATGTCACGGGTTGAGAAAAAGGCCGGGTTTCGGGTAACCCGTGACATCCCTGGTGTATATTAAATAGAAGGTGTACCTTATAATGAAGTGTCTCTTATATTGAGGTGTACCTTAAATAGGGAGTAGGTGCCTTGTAAGGAGTTGTGTCCTAAATAGAGGGTAAGATCGGACCTATAATGAGGTGTATATTAAATAGAAGGTAGCCTTTTAGAAGCCTCGCTATAAAATACTCCTTGGGGCTGAAACACGACCTTATAATGGAGTGTAGCTTACATAGAGGGCATTCTTGGGAATTCATTGGCAACTTATTACAATGGCAACTTTATCCATTGGTTATTTAAAAAACCTCATTATAAGGTACGACCTCTTTATAAGATACTCTCATTATAAGGATGGATATCCCTCGTACCCCTTATTATAACCCCCCTCCCACCCAATCCTAGATACAATACTGCTTGAAAATACCCCCAATTTAAGGAACACCTCATTATAAGGGACAACCTCATTACAAGGTACACCTCATAAGGTACAACCTCCTTATAAGGTAAGACCTCCTTACAAGATACCCCTCATTATAAGATACCCCCAATACTAGATACACACTCATCTGGGGATACTGCTTGAAAATACCCCCAATTTAAGGAACACCTCATTATAAGGTACGCTAGTTTCAGCTCCAAAGGGGTCTCTTATAGTGAGTTAAATATTGGCCTGCTCAGTTTAAAATGCCAAAATGTCTACTATTTTTTAAATTTTTTTTCTATTCATTATTGCAATATTATTCACTTAGCAATCCTTTAAATTTAAATTTCACTTAAAGAAAATTTGTCTTTAGCCCCCTGTGATTTTTCTATTAAAATGGCAACTTTATCTATTTTGTTTGCAGCCTTAATTTTTGAAATAAAAAAATAAAATTTTGATTTTTAAAAATATTTTGGTTCCTCTCCGACTCTTCATAGTCTGTTCTTTATAATGCCAACTGAATCCCTACTCAACTTAGTCCCGGACCCTATAACTTTTGAAGGGAGTGTCACTTCTTTATGTTCTTGGTACCAATAGATAGAGCATTAAATAGGCTACAATATACATAAAAATTACAATTTTTGAGCTACTGATAAAAATGTTATGATCGATAAAGTGCCTTGTAGTGCTCTATATATTAGTATATATAGATTCCGGAAGGGAGCCGGTTCGTCGGGGTCTTTTACGAACCTACAGCCCTACTTTAGTGTTGATCTATAGGGGTTGATCAGCTGGATGTTGACAATTTTAAAAGTTTCTCTACCCAGCAAGCAAATAAAGAAATTTGAGCTAAAAATCCTTTTAATATAACGGTCACTCGTTCTTTGTTTGATTTAAGAGGGATCGCGCAAAATGCTCGTTCTTAGTCTACTTAACAAAATTCACAAAAAATAATATTTTACTATTTTTAAACTTTAAGAATGGCTCTAAAACTCAACTTGCTCCTAAACATTTTATTAGTCTATCTTACAATCCAAAAATCATATGGGACCAAATGTCCAGATATCAACTGTCCCCCGACCAAATATCCAACGACCAAATGTCCTATACAATTAAATTATAAAATTGCCGGTGCCGATCCCCCCTCTCATTGTGAGCTTCCATCAGACCCAAACAAACTGTCTCCATCAAGTCTTGAAAGCTGGTTTACTCGAGAAATGTTCGACGACCTCTTTCCATTTTCAAATCTTGGCTGGGGATCCCACCCCTGTTCGCCATACTCTTTCGAGGCTTTTATAATAGCTGCTCGTTATTTCCCGCGGTTTGGGGAGGAAGTAGACTTGAAGAATGGTTTCACACCGAGGGAGAATGGTCGAAGAGATGTTGCGAGCTTTTTGGCACATGCGATCCAGGAGACTGGACTGAATGATGTTTCAGTCTACCAAACGAGGTGAGAAGTGGAGCGACATTTGCGAACAGACATTTGCGAAGCGACATTGAGAATGCCCACCAGGCTTTCTGTTTTGACTACTACTTCAGTCGGACCTCTTTTTTACATACACCCATGAGGCTTAAAAGCTCGTACCTTATAATGAGGGGTATCTTAAATAGAGGGTTACGGTTAGGCTGCTCTCCCAACCATTGCCAACCAAATTAAAAAGCCTTATTTTAAATTAAGGTTTTCTAGTATGGGGGTATTTAAAAATGAGGTTCGACTTAATGAAAGTAGTACGTTAGGTATAAGCCAACATATGAATACCCAATATTCATATGTTCCCAGATCAATCTGTCCGCAAATGTCGTTTGTTCGCAAATTTTGTTTGTTTGCAAAGATAGTTTGTTCGCAAATGTCGTTTGTTTGCAAATGTCGTTTGTCCGCAAATGTCGTTTGTTCGCAAATGTCGTTTGTCCGCAAATGTCGTTTGTACACAAATGTCGTTTGTCCGCAAATGTCGTTCGTACACAAATGTCGTTTGTCCGCAAATGTCGTTTGTACACAAATGTCGTTTGTCCGCAAATGTCGTTTGTTCGCAAATGTCGTTTGTCCGCAAATGTCGTTTGTTCGCAAATGTCGTTTGTCCGCAAATGTCGTTTGTTCGCAAATGTCGTTTGTCCGCAAATGTCGTTTGTTCGCAAATGTCGTTTGTTCGCAAATGTCTCTAACAAACTATAAAATAGTGGACTGAACTCCTCACAAGCGGATGCCTGTTTTTTCCGCGGTGGCCTCTTCAACTGGTTTGAGGGAGGGCCAGTCTCCGCGTTCTTGGCACCCTCAACTAGCATGAAACCCGAGGGAGGGGAGAAATGTATTGCAAGTGGAAGATACTGCTCCCCTTCACCATTTTATGGGTGCGGAAATGAAACTGATGGAAAATATTTCAAAAGTTGTTACTTTGGAAGGGGAGCTATTCAGGTATTTTAAAGGGCCTAGGATACCCTTAAAGTAGGGTGCGACCTTTCGGGGCGGGGGCTGATCGTACGAGGAACTGGGGTTGCGGGGAATTCGGGGACGGGGAACGGGGGCTCTGGGGGGAGACCTCCTCCCGTTCCCCGGGGAATTCCCTTCCCCGGGGACGGGGTCGAACCCTACTTTAAAGAACGTAAGCGTCCCTTAATGGGTTTTATAATAACCTGAATACTCCGCAAATGTCGTTTGTACACAAATGTCTCCTCTGTTTATGAATCGGCGTTTCGGTCTCGAGGCTATATTTTTGGCCATAACTTTTTTGATTCTTAACCGATTTGAATAATTTCTACATCAATCGCAAGCTCTGGATTTGAGGATTATTTAAACTAACAGGACTGATCAGATCAGAGCATTCAATAAAAAGTTACACTTGGGTAAGTGCGCGAAATCGTGATTTTTGATCGTTATTCGACACAACTTTAGGTAGGATGATCTGATCAAATCAGTCATGTTAGATAAAATAATCCCTAAATCAATAGCTTTCGATTGATGCAAAAATTATTTAAATCGATTCTGAATCAAAAAAGTTATGGTCGAAAAGTTGCAGCCAAATAAAGACCAAAAATCACGATTGCGCCTACTTACCCAAATGTAACCTTTTGTAAAATGGTCTGATCAAATCAATCCTGCTAGATAAAATAATGCACATATTCAGAGCTTTCGATTGTTATAAAAATTATTTAAATCAGTTAAGAAACAAAAAAGTTATGGCCAAAATTCTGGCTTAGAGATTCTACTAGGTTAGAGAGCTGCCTATAGTACGGCGACCAACAAAGGTAGCCAGTCTCCCAAGTAGCCAGCAAAATTTTAAGTCATATTTTAAGATGTGTCTAATATTGGAGGTATCTTATAGGGAGGTCTGTTTAATTTTTCAGATTTCATACAATTACAACTATGGCCAATTTGGAGAATGGCTAAAAACACAAAACATTAGCGTCGACTTGATAACCCACCCAAATCTTGTGCTCACAAAGAGAGACCCACCACTAGCCTTACTTGCCTCTTTGTGGTTTTACATGTCTCCACAACCCCCGAAACCGGCTATGCATGATATAATTCTCGGTTAGTGGTTGAGGCTTCTTTTCCTTTGTGCTGCCAAAAATCCGCAAGCACAGACAGTAAAACCTCTGTATTAAATACAACTTAGGGCTGAAAAAATAGTATCTTATAATGAGGTGTCTATTAAATAGAGGGTCCCTCCCACCCATCGGACAGCCAAAACCTCATAAGAAACCGAACTGGGGCTGAAAACCCGCATCTTAAATAGAGGTGTACCTAGTAGCGAGGGTATCTTATAGTGAGATTGTGTCTTATAATTGGTATATGTTAAATAGAGGTTTTTGCCTAGTCACTCCGATAGTCACCAAATTTTAAAAAGCGTATCTAAAATTGAAGTGTACCTATTAGATAGAGAGAGAGAATTGTACCTTATAATGAGAGTATCTTATAGAGGGTGTATCTTATAATGAGATGTATCTTAAATAGAGGTTTTGTTCAGAAAACTCGCCCATCCTATGGCCAACCAAATTTGAAAAGCAGTATCTTAAACTGGGTGTACCTTATACTGAGAGTATCTTATAGAGGGTGTATACTATAATGAGGTTTTAGGAGTACAAAGGAAAGTAACCATTTAACCTTTAAAAAAGACATTTTAAAGGTCAATGGAATGCTGGTAGCGAAAACGAAGCAGCGGGGTATTCCGGCCCCGTCTTTGGCCCTACAAGCCTTATAATTAATAATGAATGTACTGGAGAAGATCCAATAGCCCCAGGAGGCGGTGGAGAGAATCGGAGGATTCGGGCGTTTAAATGGCTTTGCAACTATTTTGGAGTTCCTGTGGATAGGAATGAGTCTACGCTTACGTGCAAAATTAAGTTTTAAACTTTTTAAAGATAAAGTCAAGGCTCTCTATTAAACGCCCCTCTTCGGGCCAAAAAATTGTACCTCATAATGAGAGGTATCTTATATCGAGGGTATATAAAATTGAAGGATACCTTATAATGAGGTGTATCTTAAATTGAGGTGTATCTTATAACGAGGGGTATCTTATAATGAGATGTATATTATAAAGAGGTGTACCTTAAAATGAGGGCTATCTTATAATGAGGTGTACCTTAATCAGGTGTATCTTATATCGAGGGTATTGCCATGGGTGTATCCTATAATGAAGGGTACCTTAAAAAGAGGTATAGCTTAGGTTATATCTTATAACAAGGATACCCTCTATTTAATGTACATCTCATTTAAGACACATCTCATATTTAACATTGAGGGTGTATTTTAAATAGGGAGGGTGACTTCTATTCAACCCCTCTAGCCGTCGGAAACCCAGCATTTTAGAACCGTATCTAAATTGAGGTGTATCTTGTACGACAAAATGGTACCAAGGTTAAAAGTGACAAAATGGTCAATAACAAATACACCCAATTTAAGATACGTTTTCTAAAATGAGTTTGGCCACAGGGTAGGTAGCTTCCTAACTGTGACCCTCTATTTAAGATACCCCCCATTATAAGGTACGATACTTCAGCCTCGAGGAGGTCCTTTAAAATGAGGTGTAACTGTTCTCTTTAAGATTTTAGATATGCCTAAACGTTTCGATCAAATACCGCAGAATGTCAGTTGGGAGCCAGATTGGTCAACAACATGGAGGGACGACAATCCGTGTCAATGTGCACCGGCAACTTATGCTGGTCTTTTTTTAAACTATAAATTCAGAGAGTAATTACAGTCGAACCTCATTATTAAATACAACCTTGGGAAAAATTGTAACTTAAATAGAGTGTATCACTTGGGTAGCCAATGAACAACGAACCTGCTTGGTGAGTTCGCGGCAGACAAAATAGTCAAGGCTTAAAAACGACAAAATGGTACCAAGGGGTAGAAAACGACAGAAAGGTACAAGGAGTAAAAACGACAAAATGGTACCAAGGGGTAGAAAACGACAAAATGGTACCAGGGGTAGAAAACGACAAAATGGTACAACGGGTAAGGAACGACAAAAAGGTACAATGATTGAAAACGACAAAATGGTACCCTGGGTAGAAAACGACAAAAAAATACCAAAGTATGAGTAACGACAAAGTGGTAACAAGGGTAAAAACGACAAAATGGTACAAGGAGTAAAAAACGACAAAATGGTAACAGGGGTAAAATCGTGTATTAAACTGAGGTGTATCCAGTAATAGCTAATATTGGGGGTATTTAAAAATGAGGTTCTTCTTATAACAGGACTAATACCCTATTATCAACCTGGCTTCTATCCCCCACACTTTGTAAACTTAAACGAAGAAAATCGTCAAAAATGTGAACAAATGTTGAGCGAGGAAAAATACGCAAAATTATTTGGCTTGTTGGACAGGTCAACAACTGGGTGTTTAAATTTTACATTAAACACAAAAGAAGAAAATTTAAAAAATAAATTTAATATTCAACTAGAAACAAATACAAGCACAAATTTAATGAAGGAAGACAATGTGGAAAAAATTTTAGATTTATCGGGGTTATGAAGGATAAATTATTTTAAGAAATTTATTTTAAATAGTGTCCGGCAAAATGATTTTTAGTATCCGGAAAAGGAATACCGGATTTTGTACTAATGCCAGAACGGATCCGAGTTAATTATTCCTGATTATTCCGGATTTTCTAAGAAAAAAGGCTCTATTACACAATATACGTCCAATCAACTATTATGCGTCCAATCAACTTTTATACGACCAATAAAAGTTTATGCGTCCAATCAAATTTTACACGTCCAAACATATTTGGGGCATTACTTTTGTCCGCCTCAAAACCCAACTACTTTCATTCATTATCGCATATCTTTTTTAATATTAACAATTAGACAAACATTTTGTGCTTATTTTGAAGCAAATGAATAGGGGATTATTTGGGGGAAAAACAAGCTGAAAATTATTTCGAAATTTTGGCAGTTATTTTCAAGAGATTGGACGCATAAACTTTGATTGGACGTATATTGTGTAATAGAGCCGAAAAAAATTTCCGGAAAAAATTTTCGCTGATCCGGTCGAGTATTTTCCGGATGTGGTCGGATCGAATGTCTTCAAGATAAATATATTCCGGATCTGTTAGAAACCTTCCGGCAGTAGTTACAGCCCCCACCGTCCAAAGGGATGCCGAAAATGTCATCCTTTAGGTCGTTGGGTTAAATCAAAGGGGCTATAACTACTTCCGGTTCTGGATTTTCCGGACCCGTCAGAATATTTTCCGGATCCTGTCAGTCCAGAAAATAAGAAAAATTTCGGATTCGGGATTTTCCAAACTCCAGAAAAACCCGACTTGATCCGTTTCGGCGCCGTACACTATTCAAAAATATTAAGCAATATCCGATCCCTGACCAAGGCAAATTATAAAAGAATGTAGCATTTCTAATAAAGAATCGATCGCTTTTGTCTTTGATTTACCCGAATCACATTTTGAAATATGCCTGAGAGTGTAGAGAAGTTCTGAATTATTTGAATATTGCAGAAGGGCTAACATACAAATATCCTAAAATAAAAAATTGAAATAAAAAAATGCGGACGTCCGCAAAAAAATGCGGACGTCCGCAAAAAAATGCGGACGTCCGCAAAAATTTTGCGGACGTCCGCAACTTTTTTGCGGACAAATTTTGCGGATTTTCTTTTTAAACACCCAAAAGCCATGTCAACACAAAAATAATAAAAAAATAGAAGAAACCAAATTTTGCGGACAAAAAAATTGTCCGCAAAAATTTTGCGGATTTTCTTTTTTAATACCCAAAAGCTATGTCAACAGCAGTGCTTCAGATTTGCTCGTAACCGTACTAGTACCAGCCTAATTTTTTTGCACGTACTCGTATTTCTTACACAAGTAAGAGTACAAATTTTGGTACGAGCTTATAAGCACTGGTCGACAGACAAAAATAATAAAGAAAAGACCAAATTTTGCGGATAAAAAAACTGTCCGCAAAATTTTTGTGGGTAGTCCAAAATTTTTTAAGCTAACCACAACTCACAAACGTCAAATCTCCAGGCCAGAAATAATACAATATACCTTTAAACCTCCTCCATAAGCTAACGTTGGAATTGCAAGTACCAAGGGTAGAAAGATGGGAAGAGTTTGTCCAGTAATTAAACGAGCTGCCAAGCCCCTTTCCAATAAAAAATTTAAAAGGCGAGTGCAAAGGTATTTATCGGCTAACTGGAAAAAATTTGAGGGGAAAAATTATTTGAAAAAAATTTTTTTTCTGAAAAAAATTTTTTTGCGGACAAAAAAATTGTCCGCAAAAATTTTGCGGACGTCCGCAAAAAAATTTTTTTCCGAAAAAATTTTTTTGCGGACAAAAAGTTGTCCGCAAGAATTTTGCAGACGTCCGCAAAAATTCAAAAAAAAAATTTTTAAATTGCGGACAAAAAAATTGTCCGCAAAATTTGTGTGCGGACGTCCGCAAAAAATTTTTTTTTAATTTTTCCCAAGGAAATTTTCAAAAATTTTTTTTGAATTTTTTTTAATTTGAAAAAAAAAATAAAATTTACATAAAGCAATGATGCGCATGTTTGTGCATCATCCACAAGAGTACAATCAATGCCAAAAGGACAGCCAATTGAAAAATGCTTTAAAAATTATTTATTATTTTGCGGACAATTTTTGCGGATTTTTCCTTAGAAAAATAATATAATGAAAAATAAAAATTGCGGAGAATCCGCAAAAATTTTTGCGGACAAATTTTTGTCCGCAAAAATTTTTGCGGATTTTTCCACGCCAAAAATTTTTGCGGACACTTTTTGCGGATTATCCGCAAATCTTATTTTCGACCCAGAAATTCAAGGGTACCAGTTTAAATAAAAAAAATAAAATAATACCAAAAATTTAATAAAATCCTCTTGTGAACAACAACAATTTTCCTCTTCCGAATCAAAAATAAATTGGTCTTTATATTCAAGTTTCTGAATAAATTCGCTTCCAAACATTCCCTTAAAAAATAAAAATTAAAATAAAGGCATTGGACTGCTGGGTCCCTGAACTGAGCTAAAAAAGTTTCTAAAAATTGGAGAAAAAAAATATTTTAAAAAAATGCGGACAGCTTTTGCGGACAGTTTTTGCGGACTTTCTCCCATTATTCATTGACCATAGGCCATATTTTGGGGCATAACTTTTTCTTATCCTTAACCGAGTTAAATAATTTTTATATCAATCGAAAGCTCTTGATTTGAGGATTATTTTACTTAACAGGATTGAGTTGATCAGACCATTCTATAAAAGGTTACATTTGGGTAAGTGCGTGCAATCGTGATTTTTGGCTTTATTTGAATGTAACTTTTGGGGCATAACTTTTTCTTATTCTTAACCGATTTAGCTAATTTTCATATCAATCGAAAGCTCTTGATTTGTGGTTTATTTTACCTAACAGGATTGATTTGATCAGATTATCCCATCAAAAGCTGTGGCCAAATAACGACCAAAAATCACGATCGCACGCACTTACCCAAATGTAACTTTTGGTAAAATGATCTGATCAAATCAATCCTCCTAGCCTAAATAATCCTCACATTCAAAGCTTTCGTTTGATATAAAGTTTGTTTAAATCGGTTAAACACCAAAAAAGTTATGGCCCAAAAGTTACAGCCAAATAAAGTCCAAAAATCACGATTGCAGGTACTTACCTAAATGTAACTTTTGGTAGGGTAGTCTGATCAAATCACTCCCATTATCTTAAATAATACACAGATCAAGAGCTTTCGATAGATATACAACTTAAATAAATCGGTCTAAAATCAAAAAAGTTATGGCCAAAAAGTTACAGCCAAATAAAGACTAAAAATCACGATTACGCGCACTTACCCAAATGTAACTTTAGGTAGGGTGATCTGATCAAGTCAGTCCTGCTAGATAAAATTATGCTCACATTCAGAGCTTTCGATTGATATAAAACTTATTTAAATCGGTTAAGAATCAAAAAAGTTATGGCCAAAAGTTATAGCCGAAAAACGATCAAAAATCACGATTACGCGCACTTACCCAAGTGTAACTTTATTTAGAATGGTCTGATCAACCCAGTCCTGTTAGCTAAAATAATCCTCACATTCAGAGCTTTCGAATGATATAAAGCTTATTTAAATCGGTTAAGAACCAAAAAAGTTATGGCCAAAAATATGCCCTCGGGCGGCCACAAATATGGCCTATACTAAAACGTCCCCTCTAGCCTTAAATTAATTTAAAAAAAAATCTAAACCGAAAAATATTCATTAAAATTGCACAAGTCTTCTTTTAACACCGTCAATAAATGTTGTCCTTTACTATTACGAAAGTTGAGAATTTCTTCTGTTGAATTTTCAAAATTTTTTCCAAGTAAAAGACATTTTTGGTCGTTTTTCGAAGCTTCAATAGGTATAAAATTGCTAATTGATGTTGTAGAGGATTCCAAGAGTTGGTGGGGGAATATACAGGCTAATGTAGCTATTATATCACAACATAGAGTTGCCTTAAAAATTTTAAATCTTATGAGAAAAAAGCAAAATAAAAAATTGCGGACAGTCCGCAAATTTTTTGCGGACTGTCCGCAACTAAAATCAACGAGTGGTCTCAACTATGGACCGAAATATAGGGCTCGAAATGGTCAAAACCACAATAAGGCCAAAAAACGGTTTCAAAAGTGCTCGTCAAACTGAATCGAATGCACCAAAATCAGCTTTATTTGAGGTTTTTGACCATTTCGAACCTATATCTCGGCCCATGGTTGAAACTGCTCATTAATTTTGGTGTCGTTCGACTTCTCTCACTCTTGAGAGTATTCGAGAGTATTCTTAAGTTTTTCCTATAAAAAAGACCCCAAGACCTGATTAGACGACCCCCCCCCCCATGTGGGTTGAAAAATCGTATCTTATAATGAGGTGTACGTTAAACAGAGGGTATTGCTTAAACACCACTCTCTATATGTGGCTAAGATACGAATATCTTAAAAAAAGGGAATTAGAAAAATTGCGGACAGTCCGCAAATTTTATGCGGACTGTCCGCAAATTTTTTTGCGGATTTTCTTTATACATATCTCGCTCTATCGATAAAAATGTATCCTAATCTGAGGTGTATCTAATATCGAGGATATCTTATACATAGTAAGGTTCGATGAATAAAAATAGAAACCTCTTTAGTGCCGTCTTCAAGTGAAATTTCATTTTGCGCACATTTCCGCAACAAATCTCCAAATACATCAAAAATAGCTTCAATTGGCCGAAATTTTAAAAAGAAACGAGATCTGCGTTCAGGCTGGCGAATTAAAATCTAAAATAAAATTTAAAGAAAAAATAACAAATTTTTGCGGACAAAATTTGCGGAAAAATTTTTTTGCGGACAATACACATTTGCGGCAAAATTTTTTGCGGACAATACACATTTGCGGACAAAAAATTTTTGCGGACAATTTTTTGCGGACAGCCGAAACAATAATGTCTCCATATTTTCACAAAAAGTCCGCAAGATTTTTACTTTTAGAAATGCCTAATATTCTTGCGGACAATTTTTGCAGAAAAGAAAAAAATGTCCGCATGTGTGAGAGAGAAAAATCTTGCAGACAATTTTGCGGATATTTCTATAGATATTAGAAAAGTCCGCATAAATTCTGCGCAAGAATATTGGGCAATTTCGAGAAAAGTGAATATCTTGCGGACAGATTTAGCGGATTTTTGCAGAATTAGAAAAATCCGCAAAAAGTGTCCGCAAAAAATTTTTTCTGAAAAATCCGCTAAAATTTGTCCGCAAAAAAAAATTTTTCCCGAAAAATCCGCAAAATTTTGTCCGCAAAAAATAAATTAAAAAATAAACCACTGCAGCCATTAATGTATAAATTCTTTTATTTTCCTCATCCGTAGAATCCAAAAGATTTTTAGTTGGGTCCATTTGTGTTGTAAGTAGAATATATTCCCCCATTCTAGAATCGGCTAGTAAGGCGTGATCAGACAAAAGTAAACGTCCAAAATCTCGGCGCACGTCACAACGACCACATGGGCGGGCATAACTGAAAATTAGTTGAAAAGGGAAAGCTCACTATAAGGTACACCATCAGGGCAGAAATTGTACCTTATAATGAGGTGTACGTTAAATGGAGGGTATCGTTTAGAGAACACCCCCTAGACAATTAGGTTTGCCAAAATGGACCGACTCGGACCGGAAAACTGAGTCGGCCATAGGATATTTGGCCCAAAAAAACCTCGTACGGCCCGTCTCGAAAACGGCAACCATATAGACAAGAGATAACCGTTCTAAAAGAACGTATCTTAAGTCGAGGCATAACCTCGTCCTTAAATACCCCCCTCCCTCCAATACAAGATACACCTCTGTTTAAGATACGCATTTAAAGCTTGGCTGGGCACCGAGTGGAAGAGAGCTTTCCAAGCGATACCCTCAATTTAAGATACATCTCATTATAAGAGACAATATTTCTCTCCAAGGGAGAATTTAAAAACGAGGTCCTATTGTATAAGAAAAATTAAATTTTAAAAAGAAAAACCGATTTAATAAGCAATTCCTTCTTATAAGCCTCGAAATAATAATTCGTTGAAAATTCATTTCAAGCAATAAAGGCAATCCGCTTTGATGACAAGAAAGTCGACGCAATGCCCTAGCCAGACGGTTATCCATTTCTGGGGCTTCACTTATATATTGAACTAGTAGAGTGATTACCTAGAGAAAGAAAAGAAGAAGTTTGTCCGCAAGTTGGAAAAAGTCCTCAAAATTTGTCCGCAAGTTCAAAAAAAGTCCGCAAAATTTGTCCGCAAGTATGAAAAAAGGTCCGCAAAAATTTTGTCCGCAAGTCTGGAAAAAAGTCCGCAAGTCTAAAAAATCCCCGAAAAATTGTCCGCAAGTCTGGGAAAAATCAACATGTATTATTCTAAAGTGATTTACTAGAGAAAAAACAAGAATTTTAACAGGTTTTGAAATTGCGAACAATTTTTGCCGAAAATTTTTTGCGGATTTAGTTAGACTGAAAGTCTGAAAAAACTCTCCGCAAGTCTGGAAAGAGTTCGTAAAAAACGTCCGCAAAAGTTGTCCGCAAGTTAAAAAAAGTCCGCAAGTTAAAAAGAGTCCGCAAAAGTTGTCCGCAAGTAATAAACGTCCGCAAAATTTTGTCCGCAAGCTGAAAAAGTCCGCAAAATTTTGTCCGCAAGCTGAAAAAGTCCGCAAAATTTTGTCCGCAAGTTAAAAAAAGTCCGAAAAATTTTGTCCGCAAGTTAAAAAAAGTCCGCAAAATTTTGTCCGCAAGTTAAAAAAAATCCGCAAAATTTTGTCCGCAAGAGACACTCCAAGGAGCCCAGGTAGGATTAAAAATTATTTTCAAAAATAAACCTCTTGATTAATCAAAAAAATGCTTTGCTTTTCCTCCTTATGTGAAAAATGAGCAATTAAACGAATTTCAATGTGAACCAGCTAAAATAAAAAAATAAAAAAAATTTTTTTTCAAATTAAAAAAAAAACTTTTTGCATCAACCGCAATTCTTTTTCAAAAGATAAATTGTCATTTTCTGTAACCTTTTCTTCTTTGTTTTCAAATAAATCAATTGCTGATGGATCTAAAATAAAATTAATTTTAAAAAATTTGTAGGGATAGAAGCAGACAAATTTGTCCGCAAAAATTTGCGGACAAATTTGGATTGTCCGCACATTTTTGTCCGCAAATTTTGTCCGCATTTTTTGTTTGAGGACAAAAATTTGCGGTCAATCCAACTCGTCCGCAAAAATTTGCGGACACAAATTGTCCGCAATGTACACAAATTTTTGTCCGCATTTTTTTGCGGACAAAAATTTTTCTGTCGACCATATCTCAAAAAATCCGCAAAAAATGCAAGGGATAAAAGAAGAATATAAAATTGGCATAAAATGGAACAGTCCGCAAAAATACATAAAATTTTAAAAAAAAAGTCAGCAAAATAAATCCCTAAAAAATATACAAAAATTCTAAAAAAGTCCGTAAATAATTTCAAACGAAAAGCGAAGTCGGAAAGAAAAATGCGCAAAATACGAGAAAAAAATCCGCAAGAAAAATGCGCAAAATCCGCAAGAAAAATGCGCAACATAAATCCAGGAGAGAAAACCTACAAAATAGTCGCAAGAAAAATCCCCCCGAAAAAAGTCTGCAAAATAACCCTTATAAAAGTTTACCCCCCTCCCATCAACAATAATGCCAAAAAAATAAAAATCCGCAAAATTTTGTCCGCAAAATTATTAAAAAAATTGTTGTTACCATCAGGCTCAACTTCTCCAGGCGCTGCTTGATTTGCACTTAGCGGCGATAAAGTATCTCTCGTATAATGTAAATAATCATCGAGTAAAAAAGAAGTTGAGGGAGTATAAAAAGTTGTTGGGGGAGGAGAGGAAGAATCATTATTTGGTGGAGAAGCACTGGGACTTGAAGAAAAATTTGATAAATTGCAACTGGAGGAAGGTGACATGGCTGGTGACCAAGCTGGATTTTTTACCAAGTAGGAAGTGGCTAAATAGAAAATTAAAATTTAATGTGGAAATGCTAACATATTTGTGGACAAAATTTTTTTTTTCCGCAAAAATTTTTGCGGACAAATTTTTTTATCCGCAAATTTTTGCGGATAAAAAAAGTTCGCAAAAATCTGTCCGCAAATTTTTGTCCACTTCTTTGTTATAAAAAATTTTAATAAACAACTTAAAAAATCACCAGCAGAAAAGTCTTTGCAAAGTGGCCAGAATTGTCTATCCTTCTAAATAAAAATAATTAAAATTAAAAAAAATCAAAAAAACCTTTTGTCTATCATTATATGGCGGATCAATTCTAGCAGGAAATAAAGGTTTTTCTTCTGGAGAAATATATTCAATTTGGCATTTGTAGGATGTAGAGTCCAAATAACATCGAATATGATTGAGAACGCAAGGGATAAAATTGGGGTGCTAAATTTAAAAAGAAAATTTTTTAAATAAAAGGTTGTCCGCAAAAAATTTTGTCCGCAAATTTTTGCGGACAGAAGTTGCGGACAAAAATTTGCGGACTAAAAATTTTTTCGGACGATTTATGGATTGCAAACCAGTTTTTATGTATTCCAATGGTACTGAAAAATCGTATTTTATAGTGAGGTGTATCTTATATAGAGAGTTTCTTAAATAGAGGGTTTCTTAAATAGAGAGTTTCTTAAATAGAGAGTTTCTTAAACAGAGGGCAAAGCTTCTAGAATACTTCCCTCGAACTAGTTGCCTGAGGGGTATCTTAACTGAGGGGTATATATTATTGAATGTCTCTTATACAGGGTGTCAATTATATAGAGGGTATTAAATAGAGGGTATATCTTAAATAGAAGGTATCTTAAATAAAAGGTATCGCTCAGACAGCTCCCCTCAACTAGTAAGAAAGCATATTACAAAAAACCCATCTTATATTGAGGTCTCTTATATAGGTGTCCCTTATAAGAGGTGTATGGTTAAAATAGTAGGTATCTCATGGACATCTCATCTCGATTTATTGGCCTAAAAATAGAAAATATATCTTAAACCAACATGGTCTTAAAAACGTACGTAAAACAGAGGGTCTCTTATACAAGGCGTAACAGTCTCTTATATAGAGAGTGTATCCTAAATAGAAGGTATCACTTAGACAGCTCCCCCTACCCAGTAAGAAAGCATATTACAAAAAATCATCCTATATTGAGGTCTCTTATATAGGGGTATCTTGTAATGAGGTCAAAAAACTAACACGAATAACAAATTCTAACGACTCGTCATGTTGAAGAGAACAAAGACTCTCAAAAATTGTAATTTGAATTTTAATATTTGGAATTAATTTGAATTTTGTCTGTCCAGGAATCTCTTGATAAGGCTCCACTCGTTCCAAAATTTTATTCAATGCACTATTTCCTAGGTCCCATTCTTCAATACGCATATGTCGACGAAAATAACTGTCCTTAAAGTTAGAGAATTAAAAAATTGAGATTTGCGGACAAAATTTTGCGGACTAAAATTTGTGGATTAAAATTTGCGGATTGAAATTTGCGGACAGATTTTGCGGACTAAAATTTGCGGACAAAACCTGTGGGTTTACATTTGCCGATAAATTTGCGGACATTCATTTGCGGACAAAACTTGCAAATTTAAATTTGCGGACAAAAGTCGCGGACTGGAATTTGCGGACAAAACTTAAGCCTATTGTGAACTTGGAGCCTTATTTCTTCTTAAAAATTTTGTTTAAATTTTGATTGACGCGACATTTGCGGCTAAAATTAGGCAAGCGATATTTGCGGACGAAATTTGCGGATTTTGGGAAATGACTTGATTTTTGCGGACTGACGTTTGCGGACAAAATTTGTACCACCAAATGTCGCTTACTTACGAATAGTCTTGCCCGCAAGTGTCGAATACTTAGTTGTCGCTAATGTCAAGATTAGGGTTGAAGGCCCGGTTCGGTTCGATTGATCGAATAGGGCTTCGATTTTTGGCCCGAAAAAAACTCAAACGGCCCGACTCGATAAAAATGGGGCCCTAAAAAATGACTCGAACGTCGGCCCGATTCGAAAACCCCAAACCTAGTCACGAACCCTACGACTAAATTTTGAATAAAATTTTCAAAAATGAGGGAGCCAACATAAATTTAAAAAATTTTCTCACAAACCTCACAAAAGAATAAAGGAAACCTTGAGGCGTGTGAAAATTTTTTTAAATTTTTTAAGGAATTTGGGTAGCTCCCTTATTTTTTCTTAAAAATTTTGCTTAAAATTTGATTACCGCGACATTTGCGGCTAAAATTAGGCACAAAATTAGGCAAGCGATATTTGCGGACAAAATTTGCGGACGAAATTTGCGGATTTTGCGGAAAACATGATTTTGCGGACTGACATTTGCGGACAAAATTTGTGCTGCCGAATTCGCTTAATATTTTTAAAAATTAAAAAAATTTCTTCACGAACCTCAAGAAAAGAACAAAGGAACCGGCAATGAATATCCGTCAATTTTTCTTTATTTTCTTCCAATTCGAGTAATTTATTTATTGAGGTTTCACCCAAAACCGAGCGTAATTCTTGTGAACAACGAACACAGCGAAGTATTAATTCAATCCATTGACTTTCCAATTTATTGTTTGACCCGTTTGGGCATTTTATTAGAAGTTGTAGACAAAGCTGAACAAATTCGCTTAAAAAATAAATTACGAAAATTTTAAACTTTCTATCAGAGGAAGGTCAGAACAGTCAGAGGTGTCGGATGTCGGAATTCCGACCCACCTCTGCCTTATACGCTTCCTCAAACCATGATAGGTGTGTGTGTCAGTCTCTTTCGCTTTCGTGTTTCGCCTTTTAGAGTTTCGACTTTCGAAAACACCTAAGCATGACCTGACAATGAGCTGATGAGCATAGCACCAGGGGTATGCCTAACAAAATCTATAAAGTTAAAGCGAAAATACGAAATCCATAAAAAGGCGAAGCGCCGAAAAGACGAAATGCGAAACATAAAGACGAAATAACGCAAAAGGCGAAACCGGCACACTCCTGCAATGCGATTACCAACCAAGGGCGTAGCCAGAAGCTACGTGGCCCACCCCTGGCTACGTGTCTGTGGAATAGGCCAAGTGTAGGTCCGATTTCTGCCTAGTGGCCAAATTTAAGTTGGATTTCTCATAGAACCCACTAACAAATAGGGCTGGTCCCCGACGGGGAGGGGGCCACGGGGAGAACTTTTCAGGGAGACAGCGCCACGGGGGGGGGGGGGGGGGGGACGCGGACGGGCAAAATTTTTTTATTTTTACGGAGGGGGGGGGGGGGGATTTCCAAAAAATCTCTCAAATTCCACGACTTTCGGGGACGGGGACCAACCCTAATACAAAAAAAAAGTCCCAAAAATAAAAATAAAAAACCTGCACTCCGAAAATTGTTTATTAACCAATTGAGGATGAAATTTAAATAAATTACAAAGAGTTTGCAGAATTTCTGGTTGCGTTTGAAAAACGTCAATTTTATTATTTTTGCTTTTAACAATGTATTTAACAATGAATAAACAAGCATTGGAGCGAAGAACACTCTAAAATAATTTTTAAAAATTAAAAAGAATTTTTTTGCGCTACTGCAGTTTATGAGTCCAATCAGATTTTTGTGAGTTACGGGGTAGGTCGGCAAATCAACGCTGACAATGGAAATAGGAGATAAGAATATCTGGATTTGTGGAATATCTGGATTGCTGAATTTGTGGGATTAAGGAGGAATAAAGGATAAAAGACGGTAATTTTCTCGCGCAATTGTCAGATAAATCAAAAGCGAGCAGACTTACGTATTTATAAACTCGAATACCCTTTATCCACCCAAATATCTGAGGTCGACCTTCTGTGTCAGTCGTCCACTAGGGTGTCGACCTTCTGGGTTCCGACCTTCTGGGGTGGACCGCGTTGACCATTTTGAGCCTTTTTATCACGACACTGAAGGAGTCACGCTGAGTAAGTTCGCACGAAATAGGCGATAAATGAAGTAATTATGAGTTTATACAAAAAGGTTCAAAATGGTCAATGTAAACCTATTAGACTCATAAGGTTCGATTGGACTCATAAACTGCAGTAGAGCCAAAATTTTCAACTTTAAATGATTTTTTTAAAAATTTTTTGTTGCGGCGATTTGGCTTTGGTTTAGTTTGGCACAAAGAATCCATATAAGATCCTGAGGAAGGCCGACACAAAAAATCGATAAAAGACAAATAGCGAGGCGGCTGACTTGAGGAAGGCGGCTGAAAAGGGAAAATATGAAATATAGGGACTTTAATTTGCGGACGTTTATTTTGCGGATCAATTTTGCGGACGTTTATTTTGCGGATCAATTTTGCGGACGTTTATTTTGCGGACGTTTATTTTGCGGACGTTTATTTTGCGGATTAAATTTGCGGACTTTTAATTTGCGGATTTTTTTGCGGACGTTACGTTTAATTTGCGGACTTTTTTTGCGGAAGTTTAATTTGCGGACGTTTAATTTGCGGACGTTTAATTTGCGGATTAAATTTGCGGAAAGTTTTTGCGGACGTTTATTTTTCGGACTTTTTTACTGCAGTTTCATCATGGTCCAGAATGCTCCCTCTAGTCTAATAGTATCAAAAAGTACACAGTTTTGGTTAAAATTCGAAAGGTAATTTAATAACAAAAATTAAAAAAAGAAACCTTGGAAAGTTGGCTACGTTTGGAAAGTAATCGGAACACCCTCACTGCTTGCTCTACAATTTTTGGGTCATCCAATTTGAAGCAATTCACCACTTTTTCAAGTAAAACATGATTTAGCGCGATTATTTGAGCCGTTTCCTTCAATTCACACAAATTTCCGATAAGCCGTAAAATTGCTGTTTTGACTGGTAATTGTTCCTTTTTGGAGAGAAAGTAAAGATATAGACGAATTAGAGTGGTGTTTTTATCGCGAATCTGAAAAAATTTGAATTAATTGGGGAAAGGGATCTTATAATGACAATAGTTCAAAGGAAATGCCAACCCACCCCCCTAGCATTTGAAATAGCATTTGAAAAAAAAACATTGGAAATGACCTTGAAACGCCAAACCTCCCAAAAATATGTCAAAATTCATTACTTGAGATTCCACAGGCTTTTGGGGGGTTAGCAATTAAATGTTTTGGCATTACAGAAGCCCAGAAACGATAATATTCAACCCGCATATAACAATTTTTTAGATGAATCGGTCATAGGCTTTCACTTTTTCGATCATCATTCTCCCCCCCCCCCCAATTTTTCCCCTTTCCCCCATTTCGGGAGGGAACCCCACTGGCTACGCCCTTGCTTGACAGTGAAATGACTCATGGGTGTTGGACGAGTTTAAACTGCCAATCTCGTAAAACGTTAAGAAAAAACTGTGTTATATGTGGGGGACGATAAATGTAAAAAACAAACCTCTACACAAGCCAAAACAGAAAGATGACACATATTAGCCAAAATACTAATAATTTCTTTGGTAATCGAATAAATTTCATCTTCACTCAACGAAAGATTACTAAAGAAAAATTATAAGAATAAAATCAGACACCAATATGAAACACCCCAATGCGGTCGAGAAAATTGTATCTTATAGGGTTGTATCAAGGATGAACCCTTTTCAAACTACTAAAATAGGCCAGGAGTCCAGACTTTATTTTTAGGGCGAAAGGCCAAAAATAGGGCAAATGTCCTGTAAATGAGGTAAATAAATGAACACGCTAGTTGTACCCCGTCCTCTATTTAGAATACTTAATTATAAGGTATTAGAGATCGGCCTGGGTCTGGACCAAGGCCAGGGGTTTTTCCTGTACCCAGAGTCCAGGTCCAGGCATTTTTTGACCTTCTGGGTTTTTCCAGGGCCTGGGTTTTTCCTGGACTACAGGCCCAGGATCCAGTCCAGGTCAAGAAAACAAACTCAAGAGTCCAGAAACAGGTCCAGGCTTTTTAAAATTTCCGATCTCTATAAGGTATGATTGTTTCTGATACAAAGGGGGTATAGTGAGATCCGACTAAACCATTAAAAAATAAAAAAAAACCTTTTGATTCCTTTATCCCGTTGTAATTTTTCATTAAAAATATTCATCAAATATTGCATTAAAGCATTAAAGCATTTTTTGTTTTGATGATTCAAAAATGTTAACACACGCTCTTTGGTTGTTAAATGCTAAAAAAATTTTTTTTGACTTTATCTGAATGTAAAAAATATTTAGAGAGGGGGGAAGGATTGGTTGGCTTGTACCCCTGGAATTACGCCCATTTTTTCGGCCTGAAATCCCATCCAATTTTGGCACTTCTATCGACCGTTAAAAGTATCCCGCACCAGGGATGGGTCGGGTCGACGATTGCGGGTTGAGATTTTTCTCATTTTCTTATATATGGAATTAATTTGAAAAAGTGTATAATGAGTAGGTTAAAAGGAACCGGAGCCTTTGTTTTTGGTCCAATTTTCAAATAATTTTCTATTTGTATAGCGTCATGTTTGACAGACAAACTGCCAAGAATTGGACAAAAAATCTTAACTTCTGTTCAAAAAGCAGGCATAAAAAATTATAAAAATTTAACAAAAATTACTCCGTATACACTTTTTCAAATAATTTCAGATATAAGAATATGGGCAAAATTGCAAACCCGCAATTGTCGACCCGACCCATCCCTGTCCCACACCCAGTGGCATAACAAACTTTTAATTTGACTCATAAACAAGACTTGAGCCAACATTTTTTAATCCTTCCAAAAATTATCCTGGAATCAGGCACTCAATTCTAATCAGGGTTGCCGTTTTCGAGTCGGGTCGACGGCCGAGACATTTTTTGGGCTTGTTCTTATCGAGTCGGGTCATACGACGAACCTTTTTCGGGCCAAATATTTTAGATCCGACTCGATCTTTCGGCCAGAGTCGATCCATTTTGTAACCTTAATTCTAATAGTAAGGACAGTAAACTATTGGTGAACCCTTTTTTTTAATATGACCCAGAATAACCCACCTAAGTCGATCCTAAAAAATTTTTTTAATTCGCAAACCTTTTTAAGTAAATAAAGCTCCTTGGTAATTAATTTAACATCATTCGAAGCAATTGCACTAGCAAATGAATCAGGCTCAAATTCTTCTCCAGAAGGTTCTTGTATTTTTAAACGCTTTTCTGATGAAGTACCGACATCGGTTAAAGACGAAGATTTTCGCTTCAAATCCATTCTAGCAAAAATTTTTAAATAAAACCGAACCGAAAACCGTCGAAATGCCAAACTTGAAATTATGTTGAAATTAGAGCCCGGCGCGGGACGGGACCCCGCGCGGGATTTTGCGGGATCCAGTCCCACAATCCCGCATTTTTTCGATTTGCGGGAGTGCGGGACTTTGCGGATTTATCCCGCGGGATCCCGTCCCGCAAACGCGATTTTGCCGACCTCTTGTTGAAATGGCAAACTGTGGAAATATCGTTGAAATTAGAGCCCGGCACTTCGTACCGTCATATTCCGTACCGTAATACAAACTGTAATACCGATAAATAGAGTAGTCGGTTCTAAACCGAAACGAACCGAAGAACCGATGATTTTTCGATTCGGATATCAGTTCGGGAAAATTTTGGACGGGAAAATTTTTGGCTCGGTTCTTTGGTTCAGTTCCGGATATCCGAAGATATTCCAAGAACCGTACGGAAATTTGGCGAAAAACGAAAAACGGCGAAAAACGAAGTAAGAAAATTTTAACAAATATTAAACAATTGCTAAAAATTGTTAAAGAATTGTAAAAGAAAAATCACTGGTGGAAAATTTTAAAAATTTATTTAAAAAGTATTTTAAAAAATTTCAAAAAAAATATCACATATTTAATATAAAAGTCATTTGGAATTATAAGAAAAAATTTTTTAACACCCCCCACTAACTTTGCCCTTTAGTGTAAAGAGAGATATGATTCATATGGGAACATTAAAAAAATTCTTAGGAAGGGGTTAAAGAATGAAATAGAAGAGAGAGAAAAGAAAAATGTCATCCAAGGAAAGAAAAATGATATGTTAGAGCAAACAATGTCAAGTAAGGTTTGGGGGTTCGACAAGGGCGTAGAGTAGCTAGTGGAGGCTAAAGCCCGGCCCGTAACCAGGGGATAGGAGGGGAATTCCCCCCCCCCCCCCAAATGGGGAAAAGGAAAAATTTGGGGAAGGGTTTGAGCAAAAAAAGGAGATTTTTGGCTTACGACTTTCTAAATTCTCAACATTTTCCCCTCTTCGCCCACCCCCCCCCCTCCGAAAAAATCCTGGCTGAAGCCCCCACCCCCTCCCGAATTGGGGGAAAGGGGGAAAAATTAGGAAAAGGGTGATCAAAAGAGTATATTTTTTTCGCCTACAACCTCCAAAATTCAAAAAATTTTCGCCAGAGGAACTGAAATAATAATCAAGGTTTAAAAATTTTGGCGTTCGGAACGCCAAACGCCAAAATTCTGGCGCACACCTAAATTTATCCCACCGAAATAAAAAAATATAACCCCCTGGCTACGCCCTTGCGATTCAACCCACCCCTAATAAAGAATAAAAATTGGAAAAAAACCTTAAAAAGCCAAAAAAATTTTTTTTAATTATGCACGTCATTTTGTACTACAAGTATGAGTTTCCAACAAACAAATCCATTCCTCCAAAAATTTTCGTTCATTTGTCAAATCTGGATGGTGAAAACCGTCGTGGAGACAATGTCTAAGTGAATCCAATTTCTTTTTTGGGTCTTTGTGTTGACAGGCAATTTTAAATTCTTCCATTGTTGCTTCGACAATACGACCAAGTCCACTAATGGGAAAAAATTTTTTAATGAGCAAACCTCTGTTATACATATCCCATGATTCTTAAAAATTCGTACCTTATCATGGCCGTAACTATCAGGAATCCCCCCACCCTTCGAAATGGGAAAAAGGAAAAAATTTGGTGGAGGGGATTGGGTAAGGTGAAAATTTTGGGGCATTTGAAAATTTGAGGCCTTCATGGCTACGTCCTTTTTACTTTCTATTTAAAAGAACCTTACTATAAACTTGATTTCTCATGGTTGTAATGAAATCTAATTTAGAGATATTTTTTGAGGTCCAACGGTACCTATCAGGGATGGGACTGGTTACCCGAAACCCGGAATTTTTTCGACCCGAAACACGATCCAAAGTAAAGTTTGACCCGACCCGACTTTTTTCTCAACCCGTCCCATCCCTGGTACCTATAAAGACCATTTTTCAGCACCAAAGGGTGTATCTTATAGTTAGCGCTGTTCCGCATCGAGGTTGGGCAGCGGATAAAATTTTAGGCAATACAGCGCCGGGGAGCAAAAACAGGACGGGGTTCGTCCCAATAAAACCCCCAAAAAATAAGTAGAAACAAACTATAGCGTGTATAACAATTCTTGTCGGTCGCCAGACTCCTTTAAATAGGTAACATAATATTGAGCAGCCTCAGGTCTCTCCATCAAAATTGAACGGAAAATTGGATTGTCCAAAGTTCGTTTAATAAATAGGATGATCTAAAAGTAAAAGGTATAATGATGCCATAACGCCCCCTCCCGCAAACCGCCGAAATGCCAAACTGTGGGGAAGTTGATGAAAAGACAAAAACCCCTCCAAAAAAACCGCCGAAATACCACTTTACCAAAAAGCAGCAGACAAAATTCTAACAATAAGACTCCAAAAAAACGTCAAAATGTCACAATGTGGAAATAAAACAAACATAGGTATATGCCCCAATTATGATGGTTTTTCCAACGACGGAGGGAATATTGTTTAAATATCAGAAAGGATTAGGTATTTCGGCGGCTTTTTTGGGGGTTTGGTATTTCGCCGTTGTGCCTAAAAATTTGATTCCAAAAAGCTCCCAAAAAGGTAATAGTTTAGAAGTCGCCCCTCTTTTTCACACTTCCTTGATCATTATGAGCTTTTTTGCTAGCTATATAATTTATTATAAATCAGATTTTGTTGATTTTAGTGACGTTCGATATCAAATGGGTCTTTCAAATAGTCTGTAATTTGCCATAGAATGAGAAAAAATACAAAAAAAAGTAGAAAGGAAAAGAGGGGGGCAACTTCCAAACCATTACCCCAGAAAATTTAAAAATAAAACCGTAATAACAACGTCCCAATTTCCAGATTCCAGCCCTTCATCCAACAAATCAAGTTTGTCCTGTTTTGAAATGTACAAGTCCAATGATGTTGGCTCACAATTACAAAGCCTTCTCACAGTTTCGTTTATAGGTAGAGGTTTAAATCGGTTTTTATAATCTGCCTTAAAAAGTTTTAATAGATACCATTTTATGCCTTAAAAGGTTTAATATAGGTACCTCTTTGGGACTGAATCGACTGTACCATACGATAAGAAAGTTAGGAATTTTCCCGGGTAATGTGACTTACGGGAGTTATTTGTTTATGGACTGATTGAGTCAATTGATATGTAATTCGAAAAAGCTCGGAAATTGAGTCGAATAAGGTGAGGATGAAGTCAATCGGACACTCAGGGAACGAGTTACAGACCCATGATTTTGAAGAGAAGAGGGGAATAAGTTCATTTTTGGGTGAAAATACGAAAACACAAATAAAAGCTCATTCGAAAAAGCTCGAGCAGCTACAGACTAGCTCTTGAGAAACACCTCTATTTAAGACACGTTTTTTTTAATTTGTTTGACAAATGGGTGGAAGAGATGCCTAAATGATGTCCCATATTTAAGAAGCTTCATTATAAGCCAAAAGCGTGGAGCTTCGCGGGCTAACATAAGCCCCCCCCCCCCCACCACGAAATGTGGAAAAAGAAAAATTTTTGCATTATGGTTTAAAAAATTTGCATTCAAAACGCCAAAATTTTGTCGCATACCCCATCTTGACTAGAGGTCGGCAAAATCGAACTTCCGGGATCCCGAGGGATAAATCCCGAAAAAATCCCGGATCCCGAAAATCAAAAAAATCCGGGAGTTCGAGATCGGGATCCCGGAAAATACCGTCGGGATCCCGTCCCGCGCCGACCTCTAATCTTAACCCCTTGAAATCGACCACGGGCACGCCCTTGTCATAAGCTAAGATTTTTCAATTCCCAAAGGGGTTATCCAAAATCGAGTTAAAACAATTAAAAAAACCTCAAAATATTTTTTTAATTTTCTATGTTCAGCCTTCAAACGAGAATAATCCAGTTGAATTGTAGAGTTGCTTGAAGTTTTGGTAGTAGAGCAAATTGAATTATTTTCTGATTTGGTTGAACTCTTAGCCGTTGGGCATGAAGAAGATTGATGGGAGGAAGGGGAGACCTGGAAAATTTTTTTTAATTTTAAAAAATTTTTTAGAAGTAAAATAGGCTCAGAATAAATGCTAAACTAAAATAGGCCAGTTCTGTAACTTAATTAAATCAATTCCCGTCAAGCGGGGTCGAACCTGGCACCTATTTACTTCCAAATTACAGCTGAACCACTAAACCAAAGGTCATAAAACCTCCTATTGGCAAAAAACATATAAAAATTAGGGGAATTTAAGTTTCCATTCCCGTCGTTCCTTATGGGTGGAAGCTAACTCGAGGAATTTGAATTCACGGAACAGACAGGAACAGACATCTCACAGAATGACCAAAACACGGAATATTTTAAAAATCAGAATATTCTTAGAAGTCAGAAATTTTTCAGATTTTTTTAAATTCTATTTTTTAAGATACTCTAGTTTGTTAATTCAGTTTCTTCAAAGAATTTCGATTTTTAAATTATTCCGTGAGTTGTCCGTTCCGTGAGTTAGCCCGACGGTTTCTCATCCCACCTCAATGGCGTTCTCCCAGTAAATTTACCCGAAAGGCCGTCATTTCGGGCAATAACAATAAATAAAAATAACCTCTTTACACTCATTCGAAACCGAAGCAAATTGTTGTTGTTGCTGTTCACTACCAGCATCAGACTGTGGCGATTGCTTTTCTGCTTGGCTTCCCGTAGACTGTTTAAAATTCCCATCAAGCTCCTCAACAACCAAATGTTCTCTAAAAACATCCGAGAGGGAATATGAAGAAGTTTGAGGCTGTTGTCCATTTGAAGGGGAGAAAAGGCCATCCCAAATGTCGTTATTTACAAAATCCTTTAAAAATAAAAAAATTTTTCCTTTAAAATAGTTAAAATAACCTGGCGTGATGACGAATTTGCAGACAGCTCCAAATAATCTTCCTCACGAGAGCCAACAAAATTGGACATTTCTCCACTAAAATGCCGACAAAACAAGGATTTTTTAGAAAATTTCCCTCATTCTAGGGGCAGTTGAGTCCCGTCTAGTTTTCTCTAATTTTCTCTCGTTTTAAGCCTTACTCTAGACTTTTTTTTTCTATATTTCCTACTTTATTTTTGGCTATCATAATTTACCAATACACATTTTGCCAATAAGGCTAAAATTCCACATTTTGTCTACAAACAATAGTGGTAAAATGTGTTGTTTTACCCTTATTGGCAAAACATGGTACTGGCGAGATATGTTGAAGACGCGATTTTTTTCCTTGTTTTCTCTAATTTTCTCTCGTTTTAAGCTTTACTCTAAACTTTCTTATTCTATATTTCCTACTACATTTTTGGCTTACATATTTTACCAATACACATTTTGCCAATAAGGGTAAAATCCCTCATTTTGTCTACAAACAATAGTGGTAAAATGTGTTGTTTTACCCTTATTGGCAAAACATGGTATTGGCGAGATATGTTGAAGACGCGATTTTTTTCCTTGTTTTCTCTAATTTTCTCTCGTTTTAAGCTTTACTCTAAACTTTTTTTTCTATATTTCCTACTACATTTATAGCTCCAATTTTTGCCAATACACATTTTGCCAATAAGGGTAAAATCCTACATTTTGTCTACAAACAATAGTGACAAAATGTGTTGTTTTAGCCTTATTGGCAAAATGTCGAACTGGCGAAATGTGTTGAGGACTCGTATTTTTTCATTTTTTCCATATTTCCCCTAAATTCACCACAAAATTTGGTTTGTTTTTCATTATTTTTTTTAATTTTAAAGGAATAGTCTATGTAATCGATTCTTTGTGAAATTTTAATGTCAACATTTTCCTATTCAACACCTTCAAATATTCCAACTCAAAAGCTTTCAACAACTCCAATGAATTCTTCAACTGCTTCCACTGTTTCTAATAATCCGCAACAACCTAGAGATGTAAATTGGGGTTTTTTTTAATTTTTGGGGGGATTTGTAAGATAAGGGGAGAAGCAATTCCAGGGGATTTTTAGTGGCTTTTTCTTGAACTTTTTTGTGGACATTTGCGGACATTTCTTGCGGACTATTGTTTTTGGGGACATTTTTTGCGGGCAGTTTTTGGGTGTTTTCCAGGGCTATTTTAGGGTATTTTTATGGGGACTTTTTTTGTTTAATTTTTGCGGACATTTTTGCGGACTAGTGTTTTGGGGTTTGGGGACATTTTTTGACATTTTCTTGTGGACACTTTTTGTGGGCTTTTATTCTTTTCCAACACTTTTTGGGTGTTTTTCCAGGGCAATTCCCGGGGATTTTTAGGTGACATTTTCTTGTGGACTTTTCTTGTAAAATTTTTGAGGACATCTCTTGCGGACATTTCTTGCGGATTTTTTCCTGCGGACATTTTTGTGGGCTCGTGTTTTTTGGGGTTTGGGGACATTTTCTGACACTTTTATGCGGAATTTTATTTTTTAACATTTTTTCGAATTCTTTGCGGACTTTTATTTTCGAGGATTTATTTTTTTCCGACACTTTTTGGTGTTTTTGAGACTTTCTTTGTCTTTTTTTGTAAAATTTAGTTTTTTCGGATTTTTCTTGCGGGCATTTTTTGGGGTTTTTGCGTTCTTTTATTTTTTGCGGACTTTTCTTGCGGACAAATTTTTGCGAACTTTTATTTTTTGCGGACAAATTTTTGCGGATTCCTTAGGTATTTGCACACCCTTTCAATTGCCATTGATACTCCAAGCATTTATTTTTTAATTTTTAGTCCCCAAATTATTCCCAACAATTTTTGCTTCAAGGACACACAAAAGGTGTCGCTTCCGTCAAATTTTCTGCAGACGGACAACTTTTGGCTTCAGCTAGTGCTGATAAAACTGTTCGGATTTGGTCTGTAGAAGATGGGAAATTGGAAAAGAATATTCAAGGTTATTGTTTTTTGTTTAAGTAGGTTGCCTTTCTTCCCCATCCACATAAGTTGTTTGGGTTTTTACTAGAGCTCACAATCAGACCAAACCCGTAGCCAGGAAAAATTCCCCACCTCCTGGCTCAAACCGGGCCCCAAACTCTAGTCTCGATCAAAAAATCTTTGTTATCGAGATCGATATTTTCCGTGATATCGATCTTAATTCTCGTATGGCCCTCCCAGTCTAATTTCTAGTTTTTACTGTTCCTCTCAGCTCCAGAGCGGTGCGCTTAAGATTTTTCGGCCAAACGGCAATTTTCCAAATTTCTAAAAAAATTTTCCATTAAATCTTAAAACTCCCGACTAGTCAGCCATCCATCTGGATCTCTTCCTTTTTTCATTACACCTACAAATAAGATTGATCCCACCCAATAATTCTATCCCCGATCCAGATTCCCTACTGACCCACCCCAATTGTAAAAAAAAATTGATCATTATTTTTAAACTTTATAGGTCATAAATTGGGCATAAGTGACGTTTGTTGGTCCTATGATAGTCGAATGGTTGTTAGCTGTTCTGATGATAAAACACTTAAACTTTTTGATATTACACAGGTTTATTTTTTAAATTTCCGGAATTTTTTCAAAATTTATTTTCTAAGGGAAAATTAATCAAAACGTTCCGAGGCCATCAAAATTATGTTTTTTGTTGTAATTTTAATCCGCAATCAACTCTTCTGGTTTCTGGCTCGTTTGATGAGACGGTTAGAAAAAATTTTTTTGTGGGGAAAAATGGGGCGTCTAAAAAACTTGTTAGTCTTTGGCCAGCCCCTATCCACCCTGTCCCCCGAAAAAAATCCTGGCTATGGGGTGGGTTTGTAGGAAGAGGATTTTATGGACAAAATATCCCAGTAATTATTTGGAACTCCAAAAAACTTTTCTTTTCTCCTGGGAAATCCTCGTATACCGGGTTGACAAGGACCGACTTTTGCGAATAAATCGGGTCCCAAATTTTTTGCGGGTCCAAAAACACATGTTTTTTCCTTGGAAATCTTATTGTTAGCATACCCGTAGCCGATACCCGAACAGAAAATTGCGGGACAGGCCAACATTTGCGTATAGACTAGGGTTGTCGGTTTCCCCAGATTCATCTGTTAAACCGAACCGACCAACCGAACCGAAATTTGGTTAACCGAACCGGCAAATCGAACCTAAAGTCTTCGGTTTTTCGGTTCGGTTTGAAACCGCAGCACTAGGATAGACACATACTGACCGTCCGCAACTGTCGGGTTCACAATTTTCGCTTCTAGATATCCGTAATCACCAGCCACAAATCTTTTTAAGTCACATTATCCTTTTTTGTCCGCAAATTTTGTCCTCAAAAACTTTTTTTAGTTTATGTTTTATAAATTTACAGGTCCGAATTTGGGATGTTCGTTCAAGTACCTGTGTCCGTTCATTGCCTGCACATTCTGACCCTAGTAAATTTTCTTTTTTTTTTGTTCAAAAAATTTTTTTTAATTTTTCCTTTTAAGTTAGCGCTGTAGGTTTCAATAGAGACGGTTCTCTAATTGCTACAAGCAGTTATGATGGCCTTGTTCGAATTTGGGAAGCGGGTAGTGGTCAATGTATGTCTACACTTGTTGGTTTGTTTTTTTTTTGAGATTTTTAGAGAGATTGAAGGGATGGGGTTTGCGGATTTTTTTGATTTGCCTACATTTTTGGTCTTTTTTCATTCTTTGAGGAAGAGTCCGCAAGCAAGGAGTTCTCGAAAAATCCGCAAAATCATGCATTTAGGGGGGTCGTGGGTTCGAACCCGCTCGGGGAAATTATTTTTTTAATTTTTAGAAAAAGGGCAAGGAACACTATTGTGAACAGTTAAAGCAATTTTAGAACTTTACACATTTTTAAATTAGAAAAAACATGATTTTAGAGCCAAAAACATGAAAATGGGGAAGAGGGGGGGGGGGTCGTGGGTTCGAACCCTCTCGGGGAAATTATTTTTTTAATCTTCAGAAAAAGGTCAAGAAGTACTATTTTGAGTATTTTTTAATATTCTTTCGGTCATTTTGCATTTTATTAGACAATAAAAATATCCCCAAAATTTGTCCGCAAAAAATTATCCGCAAAAATTTTTATTAAAAATAAATTTTAAGATAATGAAAATCCGCCAGTTTCTTTTGTTAAATTTTCACCAAATGGAAAATATGTTTTGGCTGCTACAATGGATAGGTTTTTAAATTTTTTTAGATTTAAAAAAAATCCGCAAAAAATTTTTGCGGATAAAAAATAAATCCGCAAAATTTTTTGCGGACAAAAAAATCCGCAAAAAATTTTGCGGACAAAAATTAAATCCGCAAAAAATTTTTGCGGATTAATGAAATCCGCAAAATTTTTGCGGACGAAAAAATAAATCCGCAAAAACTTACAATCTACAAAAAAATTTTACTTTTTTTCCAGTCAACTCAAATTGTGGGACTTTAACAAAGGCAAACCTTTAAAATCATATCAAGGACATAAAAACGAAAAATATTGCATTTTTGCCAATTTCTCAGTTACTGGAGGTAAATGGATTGTTAGTGGATCGGAAGACAATCAAATTTATATTTGGAACTTACAAACACGTGAAATTGTTCAACGATTGGAAGGCCATACAGGTTTTTATTTTTGGGGTATTTTAAAATAAACAAGCGAAAATTGTCCGCAAAAATTTTGCGGACAAAAAAAAAGTCCGCAAAAATTTTGCGGACGAAAAAAAGTCCGCAAAATTTTTGCGGACGAAAAAAAAGTCCGCAAAAATTTGCGGACGAAAAAAAGAGTCCGCAAAAATTTTGCGGACAAATGGTTATGGGTTCCTTAAGGTTCTTGCGTCCTCGACCCACGGCCACTGGTATACATCAAAGATTCCAGGCTACACGAAACCTGGTCGTTTTTCGACCCATCCCTCTCATAAACCAGCGCGAACCCTTCGACTTTGTCTCAAAGAAAGGGAATTCTCTGGAGAGGAGGGAGAGTCTCCAGTTGACCGCGCTACTTTCCCCCTGGGAATTTCCCGGACCTAGAATCCCCGCAACTCCTGTTCCCCGTAGAATTAGTTCCCGCTAGTGATCGAGCTGGGTCTGGACCAAGGCCTTTCCTGTACCCAAGTTCCAGGCCCAGGGATTTTTTACCTTCCTGGGTTTTTCCTGGACTACAGGCTCAATGTCAGTATCCGGCCCAGGTCAATAAATCAAACCAAGGAACAGGCCCAGGCTTTTCAAAAATCTCGATCATTAATCATCGCTCTCGATAGGTTGCACCCTGTTATGTACCGGATAAAAGCCTGTAAAAACGTCTAACATTTATTTTTCTTAAAGATATGGTCTTGTGTACAGACTGTCACCCAACAAAAAATATTATTGCTTCGGGCGGGCTAGAAAATGATCGAACAATACGTTTATGGACGAGTGATTATTGAAAAATGGAGAATTTTTGAGGAAGTATTTTATTTTTTTTAATATAAAATCTCAATTTGTGTAAGAATTTTTTCGGTTTATTTAATGGTTTTTCTGTAATTTTTTAATAAAAATGAGGCCAATTTTTTATAAAAAATTAGGAATATTTTAACTAACCCGAATTCCCCTCACCGCCCTGAAAATGCTTAAAATAGGCCAGTCTGCAAAAAAATTTGTCAAAATGCCAATTTGTGGGGAAATTTTTTTTGAGATCCAGCCTAGTTTTGCGGACAAAATAACGGGATTGGAACTAGGACGACGACTTGCTGATTTCCTCCAGCCATTGACTAACACAAGTCCTTCGACGGGAGTAGGCCGATATTCCACGAGCCAAGTATACCACCGGGCTATAACTTCGTTCAAATTGTCGAATCTGGGATGCCCTGTATGGTTCGGTGCGGCTCGACGAGCTGAATCCAGCTATATCAGGGCGTCTCGGATTCGAAAATTTTGAACGAAGTTATAGCTCGGCGGTATATCGGGGTGTACCCTCCTTAGGCAGGCATCGAACCTGCATCCCTTTAAAGTCAAAAACCTGGGAGGGAAATAAATTTTTAAATATTTATACATTCAATTCCACTACCAGAAATGATACAACTAAAACCTTTTTTATCTGCTTCCTCTTCGTTCAATTCTCTTCTTGTTCGATTAGGTAATACAATTAAAGCTGCTGGGTCAGAAATTGAAAGGCAAATTTGAATTTGAGGAATTAACTAAAAAATATATAAATTAATTTTTAGGATCTTGTTCGCCATAAGACCTAGGAAAAATCCGAAAATAATTTTGCGGACAAAAAAAGACCGCAATAATTTTGCGGAAAAAACGCAAAAATTTTGCGGACATAAAAAAAGTCCGCAATAATTTTGCGGATTCGAAAAAGTCCGCAAGAAGTTTGCGGACAAAAAAACGCTAAAATTTTGCGGATTCGAAAAAGTCAGCAAAAATTTTGCGGACATAAAAAAAGTCCGCAATAATTTTGCGGATAAAAGAAGTCAGCAAAAATTTTGCGGACAAAGAAACGCAATAATTTTGTGGACAAAAAAACGCTAAAATTTTGCGGACATAAAAAAAGTCCGCAATAATTTTGCGGATTCGAAAAAGTCCGCAAGAAGTTTGCGGACAAAAAAACGCTAAAATTTTGCGGATTCGAAAAAGTCAGCAAAAATTTTGCGGACATAAAAAAAGTCCGCAATAATTTTGCGGATAAAAGAAGTCAGCAAAAATTTTGCGGACAAAGAAACGCAATAATTTTGTGGACAAAAAAACGCTAAAATTTTGCGGACATAAAAAAAGTCCGCAATAATTTTGCGGATTCGAAAAAGTCCGCAAGAAGTTTGCGGACAAAAAAACGCTAAAATTTTGCGGACAAAAAAAACGCAAAAATTTTGCGGATTCGGAAAATCCCAAAAGTTTGCGGCCACCCAAGTACTTTATGAGGTGGTATAATTTAAATCTTGAAACCTCATTTTTGTCAGGAATATAATTTCCAATACAAAGTCGACAGTCTAAAGCAACACTTGCAATTAATAATGTTGAGTCTTGAATTGAAGATTTCCAAATTTTAAGCGCTAAAAATAATTTTTTTTATAAATTTAAAAAAAATTCAAGTCGGAATTTTTAGAAAATTCAATAAAATTTAATTTTTGCGGACAATCCGCAAAAATTTTCAAAAAAAATTTTTTTTGAAAAAAATCACAATTTGAAAATTTTTCCTTTCAGAAAAATCCACAAATATTGTTGCGGACTTTTCTCATAATTTTTTTAAAAAAAATATTAATAAAACAATCCGCAAAAATTCTAAAAAATCCGCAAAAATTTTTGCGGACAAAATTTTTGCGGATTTTTATTATGATTTTTCAAATAAATTTTTTTAATTAAAAACCTGTTATAGTAGAGGCATGCAAATTAACAAAAATATTATTTTCCACATTTCCAAGAAGAGAATCAAAAGTTAAAATTGAGATTGAACCCGATTCAGAACCAATAAGGATAAAATGTTGATGATTATTGAAGGGAGAGATTTCAGTAGAAATAGCAGAAAGTCCGCATTTTTCAACAAAATAAGGCTCATGAATTAAATCCTTAAAAATTAAAATTTTTTAGTTAAAAATTAATTTTGCGGACAATTTTTTGCGGATTTTTGATATAGAAAAAATCTGCAAACTTTGTCCGCAAATATTTTGCGGACTTTTTTTTGCGGATTTTTTTGCGGATTTTTTAACTATGAAAAAGTACGCAAAATTTTGTCCGCAAGTATTTTGCGGATTTTTTTTCTATTCTTGAAATGGAAACAAAGAAAAGGGAAGGAAAATCCGCAAAAAATCCAAAATTGTCCGCAAAAATTTTTGCGGACAATTTTTGCGGATTATCACAGCTTTCTTTAAAGGAAAAAATCCGCAATAATTATTCGCAAAAAATTCACCTAACAACATTTGCGGTTCTCACGTGACCAACTTTTGCGGACAAAATCCGCAAATTTCAAAAATCTGATCTGAATCTGAAAAAATCTTAATAAAGGGGTGTCCGCGAAAATTCTTTGCGACAACTTTTGTGTAATTTCTCTTCCAAATTATTTAGCAAAGAATAAAAAGGGGGAGAGAAAGAGAAGAAGAAAAAATTAGCAAAAATCCTAAAGTGTCCGCAAAATTTTTGCGAACACTTTTTTGTTTGCGGACAATCTTTTGAGGACAATTTTCTGTGAAAGAATTCAGCAAAAAAGCCCATAGAAAATTCTTTTAGCAATATTTAGTACAAAATCCGCAAATATATTTGCGGACAAAATCCGCAAATTTTTTGCGGACAAATCCGCAAGATTTTTGCGGACAAAATCCGTACATTTTGAAAAAATTCGCAAAAACTTACAATTTTTGTTGTTCCATTTGATAATATCAACAATTTAAAAATATATAAATATCCCGAAGTTGTAGTTGAAAAAAGAAGTTGAGAACGAGAGGTTGTCCCTTCAAGTACTCCAGCCAAATTTATAGAACTAAACATTGCCATAGAACAAAGTTGGAAACGACTGGATTCGACAATTGATTTTGTCAAGTAATTTAATTGTAATATTCTTAAAAAGAAAAGTTGGCTTCCTCCAATCATTTAAAAAATTAGAAGGAAAAATGCGGACAAAAATTTTGCGGATTTCTACTTGTCCGCAAAAATTCTACAAAATTTTGCGAATTTTTAATTATAGAAAAAGTCCGCAAAACTTGTCCGCAAATTTACCACGGACTTTTTTTAACTATAAAAAAATACGCAAAATTTTGTCCGCAAGTTTTTAGCGGACAAAATTTTTTTGCGGATTTTTTGAGTATAGAAAAAATCCGCAAATTTAACCTACAGCTTATTTTAACTATAGAAAAAATCCGCAAATTTTGTCCGCAAGTTTTTTGCGGACAATTTTTTGTCAAAAAAATGCGTGCAAATTTTTGCGGATTTTTTGACTGTAGAAAAAGTCGCTAAATTTTGTCCGCAAAAAAATTTGCGGACTTTTTTTAATTATGATGAGATTGTCTGCAAGTTTTTTGCGGACATTTGACAAAAAAAGGTTGTCCGCAAATTTTTAACTCAACCTCTCCTAAACTTTTAAAAAACCTTATTGTAGCATCAGAACAAAGAACCACTGCAAATTTTCTTCTACCACAAATCCATCGAACAGAAAGGACACGAATATCATCAATATTATTTTCATTTTTCAATTCGGTAGAAAAAAGTAAATTAAATTGAGGCGCATTTTGCTCTAAAAATTTATTTTTAATTTTTTATATTAAAATGGGATCTCGCTTGAAAGTACACCTTTAGGTCAGAAATGTGCATTTGTGGTAGGTGTACTTACAAACAAGGGCGTAGCCAGGAGCAGGCCATCTTACCGCGAGCCCAACTTACCGCAGAGCTATAACTTCGTTCAGAATTGTCAAATCCGGGAGGCCCTGGTATGGTTCGATGCGCCTCGACGAACTGAATCGAACCATACTAGGTATTCCCGGATTCGACCATTTTGAACGAAATTATAGCTCGGCGGTAGGTTGGGCTCGCGGTAAGTTGGGGTTTACCCGCGTAGCCAGGGGGCTTCTGAGGCTAAAGCACCCCCCTCCCTCGAAATGGGGAAAAGGGGAAAATTTTGAGGGGAGTGGACAAAAAGCAAATTTTTTTCGCCTATGCCCGTCCAAATTCAAAAAATTTTCGCCTATGGCGCTGAAAAATGAAAATATGGTTCAAAAAATTTGCGTTATGAACAACAAAGTAAACGCCAAAAATTTTGGCGCACACCCAATTTTAGCCCCCTGAAATCGACCCTCTAGCTACGCCCTTGCTTACAAGTGAGGTTTTGCCTATATAAAAATTATTTAAAAAACCTTCAAAAATCAATTCCCAGCAAAACAATTCTGAACGTCCCCCACCACTTAACACCAAAAAATTTGAATTTTCTTGTAAAATACAAATTGTTTCCACACTTGAACGATGCATTTGGACAGAAGAATTAATTTTAAATTCTTTAAAAAAATTAAAAAGATTTAATAATTTTGTCCGCAAAAATTTTGAGGACTTTTTTATTAAAATTTTTTGTCCGCAAATTTTGTCCGCAAAAATATTTGCGGACTTTTCTGTTAAAATCCGCAAGTCTTGTCCGCAAAATTTTGCGGACTTTTCTATTAAAGTTTTTTGTCCGCAAGAATTTTTGCGGACTTTTTCCTTAAAATTTTTTATCCGCAAATTTTGTCCGCAAAAATTTTGCAGACTTATTCCTTAAAAAAAATTAAAAACCTTGATTTTCATTAAAATTGGAGCAAACAATTTTTCTATCAAGAGAACCACTCAAAATAAAAAAATTCTTTTCGTTTTTAATGAGAAAGTCAAGCGCAGTAATGTTTTCTGAGAGAGGGATTGCCTAAAAAATTTATTTTTTTTTAAATTTTTGTCCGCAAAATTTTTGCGGACGTCCGCAAAAAATTTGCGGATTTTTTATTTTTAATTAAAATTTAAAAAATAAACCTTTACAAAATTTAAAAACAGAGGTTTGAGAATATCGCAATAGAAAGAACCTTTTTGAGCATAAAACAAACTGAAAAGAATTGCATAAATCTGCAAAATAGTTTTGCGGACTTTTTAAAAGAACGTTTTGTTAAAGAAATTATGTCAAAAAAATTTGTCCGCAAAAAAATTTTGACAGAAAATTTTTGCAGAAAATTTTTTGTCCGCAAAAAAATTTTCGTCCGCAAATCTTGTCCGCAATAAAATTTTTTGCGGACTTTTCCACCAAAATACATTTTTAATTGAATAGTCCGCAAAAATTGTCCGCAAAAAAATTTTTTGTCCGCAAAAATTTTGCGGACTTTTTCTTAAAAATTATTTTAACCGACTTTTTGGAGAGTCCGCAAAAATTATCCGCAAATATTTTAATTAAAAATTTATTAAAAAATACCAAAGTTCATCATCATTCTCCAAAAAAGTCCCAGTCCAAAGTTGCCATAAACGTTTTCCCCCTCCCACCAAATATTTACGACAGGCGATAGAATTTGTAGTTTCATCAAACATAACAAAATAATTCTTAAAAAAATTTTTTTAATTAATTTTTTAAAATTAAAAATAAACGTTTTGAAATCCAGCAATTAGTGAACGTCCTCTATAATTTTTTATAAATTCACAAGGCCATTCAAAATTTAATTTGGAGAAGGAAATTAATTCTAGTGAAGATTTACCTTAAAAAAGAAAAGAGTGAAAATCCGCAAAAGTAAAAATCCGCAAAAAATTTTTTGTTCGCAAATGAAAACATCCGCAAACTTTGTCAGCAAAATATTAAAAAATGTCGGAAAAGTTGTCCGCAAAATCTTTCCGCAAAATTGACCCAAAAATATAAAAATCCGCAAAATGTGTCCGCAAAACTTTAAAAAATGTCCGCAAAAAATTTTAGTCTGCAAAAGTAAATATCCGAAAAATGTGTTCGCAAAAATTTTTTATCCGCAAATTTTTTGTCCGCAAAAATATTTTTGTCCGCAAATGCAAGAATCCGCAAATTTTGTCCGCAAAAATTTTTTGTCCGCAACTGTAAAAATCCGCAAAATTTGTCCGCAAATGTAAAAACCCGCAAACTTCGTCCGCAAAAATATTTCTGTCCGCAAATGTAAAAATCCGCAAAAGTTATGCGCAAAAAATTAATAAAAAATTCCCTAACCTTTATCAACTTCCTCGTTAAAATCCAATCTCCATTTCTTCACATTTCCATCCCTTCCAATAGTACGAAACTCAGCCTTGTTATTTTCACAGATTTCAATTGCAGTCACTGTATCTGTTCCGTGTGCATTTCCAAGTGAACATAAAAGTTTGCCGTTTGGTTGTTCAATGGAAAATAGCAATAAAGCACCTGATCGAGTCCCCAATATAAGAACCGAAATAAAAAAAAATTTAAATTGAAAATTTTTTTAATAGTATAGCCTCACTATAAGACACCCCCTTGGAAATAATTGAGAAAAATCGATAAAAAATATTTTTGCGGACGTCCGCAAAAATTTTGCGGACGTTGAAAAAATTTGCTGACATCTGCGAAAATTGTAAGGAAAAATTTTTGCGGACGTCCGCAATTTTTTGCGGACAATTTTTGCGGACGTCCGCAAGTTTTTGCGGACGTCCGCAAATTTTTGCGGACATCCGCAAATTTTTTCAGCGTCCGCAAATTTATGCAGACAAAGTGAGGTGTATCCCGTATCAAAGGTATCTTATAGTGAGATTCGACTGTATTTACTTTTCCGAGAAGAGATGATTAAAGCACTTTGAGGTAATGATTTACGGCTGCTAGTTGGTGGAAGCATTGAAAATGTGCAGAAAATAACACAACAAGTATTCTTGTCAACATTTGAATTACATTTGTATAGGGTCTGGAAAAGGAAAAAAATTTTGTCCGCAAAAATCTGCGGACAAAATTATTTTTAAGAAAATTTTTTGCGGACAAAAAAAAATTTTTTGCGAAAGTCCGCAAAAATTTTGCGGACAAAATTTTTTCTGTCCGCAAAAAAGATTTTATCCGCAAATAGTTTTGCGGACAGAATTTTCTTTCCTAAAAACTAGAAAAAAAAATAAATTTAAAAATAAACCGCTTTTCCAGTATATTCCAAAGAAAATAAATAGGCACAATCTTCAAGTAAATCATCTGAATTAATCCAAAGAATTTGAGCAAAATTTCCATCAAATCGAATAAAGAAAAAATCAAAAAGTTGTTGCCCAATTGGAAAAACTGGAAAAAATTTTTAAATATTATTTCGAAGAAAATCTGCAAAAAATTAGCGGACAAAAAAATTTTTTGTCCGCCAAAATTTTTTTAATCCGCAAAAATCGTCCGCAAGTTTTTGCGGACAAAAATTTTTTTCAAATCTTTAATTGCCAAATTTCATGCACTTGATGTACATACAATAACCAGAAAAATTTTTTTAATCCGCAAAAATTGTCCGCAAGTTTTTGCGGACTCAAATTTTTTTAAACTTTGATTGGCAGATTTCATGCAGTTAATGTACAATAGCAAAAAAAAAGTTCAAAAATGCGAAAAAATTTTTGTGGACAAAAATTTTTTCAATCTTTAATTAAATCCGCAAAAATTGTCCGCAAATTTTTTGCAGACAAAAATTTTTAAATTTAAAAATTTTCTAAAAAATTCTTAAATGTTTAATAAACCTTTTAAAATATTCAAACAATTTTGTGAACAAACAGCAACAAGTTCAACCTTTTGAGAATAAATAAACAGATCTGGACGAAATTCTTTATCATCAATTAGCAATTCAGAATTAATTTTATTAGAAATTAAAGCTGAGGGATTTAGAGTCCATTGAATTTTTTGGGAGTCAAAACATAATTGGTGGACAGAAAAGTGTCTAAAAAATAAATCTAAAAATAGGACAAGATTAAATCGATAGATTTGAGGACTAAAATTTGCGGATAAATTTTTTGTCCGCAAGATTTTTGCGGTTTTTGTAAAATAATTTGCAGACATTTCAGCGGACAAAATTTTTGCGGACAAAACTTTGCGGAAATTTTTTGAACAATTTTATAAACTCCGATAGGAACATTTGCGGATGAAACGCTTGTCCGCAAATTCTCAAATTTTTGCAGAAAAAATATGCGGACAAAAATTTGCAAAAATTTTTTGGACAATTTTATACACTCATTTTTGCGGAAAACCTGCTTATTTCAAAAAAATTCGCAAAAAATTTGTCCACAAAAACCTTGTCCGAAAAAATGTCCGCAAATTATTTTTAAAAAATCCTCAAAAATTTCAGTCCGTAAAAAATAGCGAACATTCCTCATATTTTACAGATTTTCAAAAATCTTTAAAATATAAACCTTAACTCGTCCAGAGCAAACAACATTGAAAAATCTCCAATTTTTGCTACAAAAAATGAATTTAGGTTCAAGCCAAATTCAAAAAGATGTTTTGGTTCAAAATCGGAAAAATGATAATCAACTTCGAAAAGAGGAAGACGAACACTGACCAAAGCACCCATCCGAGATGAAATTAACTTTAAAAAATTTAAAAAGTCCGCAAAAAATTTGCGTACAAATTTTTGCGGACGTCCGCAAAAATAAATTTTTTTGAGTATCCTTTGGGAGTATCCTATAATGATCTTTTGCGGATGAAGTTTGTCCGCAAACTTTTGCGGACAAACTTTTGCGGACGTCCGCAATTTTTTTGCGGACATCCGCAAAATTTTGCGGACAAACTTTTGCGGATGTCCGCAAATATTTAAAAAATTTTTTTAGAAAATATTTACCAAATTAAGAATTCCCGATTGATTCTTAAAAATTGGAAGAATACTTTGAATTGTGCCAAGCGAATCCGAACCAAATTCAATACGTCTTTCCAACCTCAAGTCAATCCTTTTATGATCATCATCCTCTGTTAAAAAATAATTATACAGACAGACCTCACTATAAGAAGCTGAAAAATCCTATCTTATAATGAGGTTATCAAGTAATGAGAATGATTTTTGAATGAATTTTAAGAGTATCCTATAGTGACCTTTTGCGGACATCCGCAAATTTTTGCGGATGTCCGCAAATTTTTTGCGGACAAACTTTGTGGACTTTTTCCTTACATAAGGGGTACGACGTAGGTGGTTCCCTCACATAGTGGCCATCTGACAGTGACACCCCATAAAAATATTTGCGGACAAATTTTGCGGATGTCCGCAAAAATTTGCGGACAAAATCAAAAATTTGTGGGTCTTATATAGAGGTCCGAGACTATTTCTAAAAAAATTTATAAAACCTGTCCATCGCCAAATATTCAAGTACTCATCAACCCCACCCGTAAAAGCCATTTTTTCTCGTTCAAAAAGTTCCAGAACAAAAGGGCGAGCACCGTGTCCATATATTTCGCCAATCTTAAAATTAAAAAAAAATTTAAAAAAATTTTTTTTTAATTAAAAAAAACCTTAAGTCCATCCATTGTCCAAACACGAAGTGCTCGATCATCCCCTACGCTAAACAACCAATCTCGATGACGACGAATGGCAAAAGGCATTCCCTAAAATTTTAATTTTTTATTTAAAGATTTTGTCCGTAAAAATTATTTTTGTCCGCAAAAGAAGTTTTTGTCCGCAAAAAATTTTTTTGTCCGCAAATATTTATTTTTGTCCGCAAAATAAATTTTTTGTCCGCAAATATTTATTTTTGTCCGCAAAAAATTTTTTTGTCCGCAAAAAATTTTTTGTCCGCAAAAATTATTTTTCGTCCGCAAAAATATTTTTGTCCGCAAAATAAATTTGAGTAAATAAAAATATTTGCTGATAAAAATTTTAAGGAAAAATAAAACAATAGACCCAGAGGAATCGAACCTCCAACGAAAAAGGTGAAATTCAACAACTCTAACCAATACACCACCGATGCAATTAATTAATTACTCAAAATAAATTGCTATAAGCACAGGAGAAATAATGTAATATTGAGGGCAGTAAGTTCAACTGAGTCCCGACCCTATAACTCAAGTACTGGTTGATAATTTTTAATATTCTTGGTACCATTGGATAGAGCGTTAGCTGAACTACAATATACCAAAAAATCAAAATTTTCGATTGATTGGTAAAAAAGTTATGATTTAAAAACTAACTTTTTCAAGAAAATCTGAATTTTCGGCACTTTATCGATCATAACTTTTTTGCCAGTAGGTCAGGAATTTTGATTTTTTGGTATTTTGTAGCCCATTTAATGCCCTATCCAATGGTACCATGAGCAGAAAAAATTGACCATCCCTTCATAAGTTATAGGGTCCGGGACTCAATTGAGTCGGGACTCGATTGAGGTGTATCGTTACCTTTTAGAATTTCCCCCACATTCAAAATTAAAAAAAAACAAAAGGAAACTTGAAAACCTTATTTTAAAAATTAATTAAAATATACATTGTTTCCTTCAAATGTCCGCAAAATTTCTACTCCATTTTTAGACGGCCAAAATTGATTTATATGACCAAGAGAAGTACAAGCAAATATTTGTAATGATTCCCAGCTGTTACCGTCCAATAAAGAACAAGTTCTTTAAAAAAATATGATTTTGATTAGGAAAAGGAAAAATTATTTCAAAAAAGTCTGCAAATTTTTGTCCGCAAAAATATTTTTTTGTCCGCAAAAGTTTTTTTGTCCGCAAAAGTTTTTTTGTCCGCAAAAATTTTTGCGGACAAAAATTTTTGCAAACAAAAAGTTTTGGATTGATCAGAAAAAACATTAAAAAACCAACATAACTGATCGTCCTTTTAAATAAAGTTGACATTTTGTTTGAATATTTGAAAAATTGGATAAATCGAGTAATTTAATAGAATTAGTTGCAAAATGAAGGACAATCTAAATTTTAAAAAATAAAGTCCACCGGATTTTTGCGGATAATATCTGCGGACGAATTCCCTAATAAGTTAAAAAATATCGCAAGAAATTTGCGCCCGAAAAAAATTTTGTCCGCAAAAATTTTTTGTCCGCAAAAATTTTTTGTCCTCAAAATATTTGCGGACATCCGCAAAAAATTTGCGGACGTCCGCAAATTTTTTTTTCCGCAAATAAAATTTGACACCAGCAAGAGTAAATCAAACAAACATTTTTATAAAAGTATCATCAAAATTTGTTCGCTGATATGTATTGTCCGCAAAAATTCAGAGATGGAAACAAGACATTAAATATAAAAATACCCCAGTTCCATCAACACATTTTGCGCCAATTATCCAATCATCAAAATATAAATTTTGGCGTTTTTTGACAAGAAATTTCAAATCAGTTCTATCGAGACATACAATTTGGCATTCTCGTTCACCAACACAAAATAATGCTTAAATTTAAAAATTAAAAAAAATTTGTCCGCAAAAATTTTTTGTCAGCAAAAAAAATTTTTTGTCCGCAAAAAACTTTTGCGGACATCCGCAAAAAAATTTTCTTCTGCAAAAATTTTTGCGGACATGTGCAAAAAAATTTTTGTCCGCAAAAAACTTTTGCGGACGTCCGCAAAAAATTTTTTGTCCGCAAAAAACTTTTGCGGACATCCGCAAAAAAATTTTCTTCTGCAAAAAATTTTGCGGACATCCGCAAAAAATTTTTTTGTCCGCAAATTTTTTTACGTTTTTTAATTAAGCAAACCGTCATTTTCCAACCAAATAATTTTTTGAACAGAAGATTTTGTATTAGAAAAGATATCCAAAGTTGAAAGAAGTTCAAATTTGTCAAAATCCTCATCAGCCGATTGACTATAAACTCGATAAATTTCAACAGTATTTCCATGGCCTATAAAAATAATCGGATCTCATATAAATAGCCGAACCTCACTACAGATAACCGCAATACTACACTCTATTTAAAAAACTATTTTAAATTCCGTCCGCAAAAAATTTGCGGACACTTGCGGATGTCCGCAAAAATTTTTGCGGACATCCGCAAGAATTTTCCTCAAAAATTTAAACCAAGGGACATCCTACAACGAGGAATCAACTAAAAATAAAAACCTGAAAAAATTATAACTTCATTTGAATCATCCAATTCCTGCATTTTCAACTCTTCTAAACAAAGTCTTTGACCAAAAAATAATGAGCTTGTGTGTTGCATCAATAATTTATATAAAATTTTTTGAAAATTAATAAAAAATAATTTCAAAAATAAGTTTTTGTAATTCAACAAATTTATTAAAAAATTTTTAAAAAATTCCCTCACCTGCCCCTACTCCGATTCGGTCATTTGAAAGAGTTTGGCGAACTGAGGTGAACTCAATACTGAGGCTAAAGACACCAAAACTGAGGCATTTCGGCCCTAAGGCATTTCCGAACCTAAAGGATGGTATTATTCGACTCATTTCGTCCGGCCCTTTCAAATGATATATCGTCTGTACGAATTGTAGTATGGGACTTATGACGGGATTTTTTCAAAATTTTATATAAATAAAAAATTATAAAAAAATTATTAAAACCTTTATCTACAAAAATTTTTAAAATTGTCCGCAAAAGCAAAAATTTGTCCGCAAAAATCCAAAAATTTTTTCTTCCTTCATTTATTGTAAACATAACATCGAGGAAATGCCTGCTCAACTTTTTCCAATTGTTCATGTAAAAATGCCAAAGCGTGCACATCCAGACTGAACACGCGACGTTGCCCATCTTTTGTAGTCAATTCCATTAAGAGTTCGTGGTCACCAGACTGGACTTGTCTTTGGGTTGAGGAGAGCTGGAAAAATTAAAATTTTCAGTCCGCAAATGTTGTTAGCAAATATTATCCACAAGAGATACAATTTCATTTTTTGCGGATGTCCGCAAAAATTTGCGGACATCCGCAAAAATTCTTGCGGTCAATTTTTCTTAAATAGAGGTGTATTTAGCATTGAGGGTATCTATAATTGAAGTTTGTCGGTACAGGCGACCCTCAATTATATACACACCTCTACTTAAGATAGGGGTTTTAAATTTGCTGGCCACTGGATGGGGAAATTTCCTAAACAATAACCCTTGAGATAAAACCTCATTATAATGTAAGGCCCTTTTCAAACCCACGGGGGTGTCTTTTAGTAAGGTTAGATAGCTGTAGGTACCATTTTTATGGAAGATAGAACCTCATATTTAGTTTTTCCGCAAAAATTTTGCGGATTGTCCGCAAAAATCTTGCGGATGTCCGCAATTATTTTTCGGACAATTCCTCTTAAATAGGATATAAGAGGTCCGATCTATTGGGCACCAGAACCGTCAGAAATCCCCAGAAAAATAAACAAACCTCACATTTATATCAAAACGAAACTTGCAATCCTTGTATTCACAGAAAAGCGTCTCTGGCTGCGAAGAGTTTATAGTTTTTGGATCAGCGATTGTGTTGCTGTTAGACTTGATTTCGTCGTTGCTGGCCATTATTTATTTATAAAAATCTAAACTAAATATTTTTAGAAATTAAAAAAAATATTTGCGGACAAATTTTGCGGACTACAATAATGTCCGCAAAAATCCCCATAGAAATTGTTCACAAAAATTATCTGCAAAAACTGTCCGCAGGAAATCGTCCGAAAATATTTTCTGCAAAAATCCGTCCGCAAAAATCTCCACAAAAAATTGTCCGCAAGAAACTTCTGAAAAAAGAGGACTGCAAAAACTGTCCCCGAAAAATGTCCGCAAAAAACACCACAAAAGTTTGTCCTCAAGAAAACTGTCCGCAGGAAAACATTTACAGGTAAACAACAGATAAAAAATATTAAAAATCGTTTAAATAACGACACAAAAAAAAATTTAAAAATATTCCGCCTAACATTTATAAATTATATTAAATATTTTAAAAATAAAATTAAAAGAAAACCTAAAAAAATCCCCCAAATCACCTCAAATCACCCAATAATTCCTCTCTTCCTCAAGTCTTCTTTAGCTTCAGCCACTTCTTTAATTAATCCCTCTCTAGCATTTTTGCAGTCATTAAAAGTTGCGACGCCATAAATAACAGTCAAAACCGCATAAATTCCAAGTGATCCAACCAAAATTAGAGGGGAATAAATAAGTAGCTGGATTCGTTGTTTAATTAACCAAGGCATAAAATTGAAGAAAGAAGGCTGAAAAAATAAAAAATAGTGAGGTTTTCAGTCCGCAACTTTTTTTGTCCGCAAAAATATTGCGGACAAATTTTTTACGGATGTCCGCAAAAATATTGCGGACGAATTTTTTACGGATGTCCGCAAAAATATTGCGGACGAATTTTTTACGGATGTCCGCAAAAATATTGCGGACGTTTTTTGCGGACCTCCGTAAAAATATTGCGGACGTCCACAAAAATATTGCGGATGTTTTTTTGCGGATGTCCGCAAAAATTTTGCGGACAAATATTTTTGCGGACATCCGCAAAAATATTGCGGACAATTTTTCCTAGAGTATCCTGTAAAAAGCGTCTCGATACTGGAACGACCTTAAAAAGTCAAAAAAAACCTTTAATAATAGAATTGTCCAAACTGTCAAAAAAGGCAAAAATCTTAAGAAGAATAAAGTCAATTGAGTAGCCATATTAATTTTCTAAAAATTTTTTTAAAAAATACATATTTTTTTAATTAAATATATTAAAAAAATATCAGCGTGAGTTAAACGCGTGAGAAAAAGTATGCAAGATTTTTAAAAATTAAAATTTATTAAAAATCCGCAAATATTTTGCGGATTTTCTAACGTAAAAAGTCTTTTTTGCCAAAAGTCCGCAAAAATAATCCGCAAGAATTGTCGTCAATATTTTTGATTGTACGCAAAAACTGAAAAAGTTTTCTAGTTAAATTTAACTACAAGATGAAAAAAATGTCCGCAAAAAATTGCGGACATTTTTTGCGGACTTTTTTTGCGGACTTTTGTTACAACGGCCTTATCAACAAAATTTTTGCGGACATTTGACAGAAAAGGTCCGCAAAAATTAACAAAAGTCCGCAAAAACTGTCCGCAACAATTTTTGCAAATTTTTAGATCTTTTCATCATCAAAAATTCAAAATTTATTGTATTGTATTAGACGACGATTGTTGCTGTTGTTGCTCTTTCTTAACAATTTTTTGTTGATTTTCATTAAATCTATCTTTAGCGCTAATTAATCCTGCCCCATAATAAGTATATTGAGAATTCATCAAATCACTTTAGAGGAAAAAAATAAAAAAATAAATTTATTTAAAGGGGGTTAGGGCTAACTTAATAATACCAACTCAAGGAGCAGAAAAGTCAAGGAAAGGACAAATCGAGGAAAAGACAAGTCAAGGAATGACCAACTCATGAAATATTTTAAAAATCGGAATTTTTTGAAAAATCTGAATATTTTTTAAAAATAAGAAGTTAAAAAAATTAGAATTCTTAAAAAAACAGAATTCAAAAAAATTCTGAAAAATTCTGATTTTTCAAAAAATTCCATGAGTTGGTCGCCCCTTGTTTTGTTTGTTCCTTGACTTGTCGTTCCTTGATTTGTACGTTCCTTGAGTTAGCCCGACACGATTTAAAAAAACCTGTGATATTCCTTTTGAAATTTGCGCCGTTTGTGGTGAATCTGAAGGAAGGAAATTTTTTTTGTTAAAAAAATTAAATCTAAAAAACCTTCAAAATTTCTCTCAAATCTTGATCTGTTATTTGTTCTTCACCGCCTTAATAAAAAATAAATAAAAAATATGGATTTTCTCGCGGACAATTTTTGCGGATTTTCTAATGTAAAATGTCCTTTTTTAATCGAAAGCCTGTAATAATTGCCCGCAAAATATTTGCGGACATTTGATAGAAAAAGCCACGAGTCCGCAAATTTCTTGCGGACAGTTTTTGCGGACTTTTAATTAGCTAAAATGCTCTTTTATTAAAAATCCGCAAATATTTTTGCGGACTTGGTTTTATTAATCAAAAGTCCGCAAAAGTTTTCCGTAAATAAATTTGCGGATTTAAAGCTTTTTTTATTAAAGATCGCAAAATTTGTCAGCAAGAAATGTCTGCAAAATTTTTGCGGACTTTCGATAAAAAAGCCTTTAATCCGCAGAAGTTACTTGCGGACTCTTGGGGTCTTGACTGATCTCTAAAAAATTCGACAAAAATTTTTGCGGACTTTTAATAAAAAATATTAAATCCGCAAATTTCTTGCGGACAACTTTTGCGGACTTTTGATAAAAAAAGCCTTGAATCCGCGAAAATTTCCTGCGGATGTTTGGGGCATCTGAACTTTAACAAATTCAACAAAATTTCCGCAAGAAACAAATAATTATTTTAAAAAATACCAGAATCCGCATCAGATTCCTCCAACAATAAATCCAATAACCATTTCCTTTCTTCATCTACATCTTCTACGTTGTAAAGACATTTTTTGTCTTCCTTTTGTTTTTCGGTGTCATCGGCCCAAATATCCTTGAAAAAATTTTTTTAATAAAAAATTTAAGGGATGAAATTTTTTCAGCCAAAGAAGTATCTCATAGTGGGGTCCCGACTTTTATAACAAATTACTTGCGGAAAATCCGCAAATTTTTTGCGGATTTTTCTAGTCCGCAAACTTTATATAAAAAGCCGCAAATTTTTAGCGGATTTTTTTTAAAGCTCGCAAACTTAATAATAAAAGTCCGCAAAAATTTTTTGCAAAAAATTTTTTTGCAGATTTATTTAAAGTCCGCAAATTTCTTGCGGACCGCAAACTCTTCAATAAAAGACCGGAAAATTTTTTGCGGCCTTTTGATAAAATTTGATACTAAAACTTGCGGACTTTTTGGAGGAATAAAGAAGAAAAAAACCTCAACATACATCAACTGACAAAAGATCCCTCTTTGCTTTTCCAGGAACATGTCTACTTCTAGCTACTTGACCAGCAGGACACATTGAAAGCGTACTTGGAATTCTACAAAAATTAAAGAAATTAAGTTCTAATTAAAACCCTGAGCTTCTATTTCTCAATGAGCCCCATGGGAGGGGGGGGTTCATTTTTCAATAGGTCATTTTAAATTGGCTTCTATTAGAGAGTGGGCGTTTAATCACGATAGGCCTCCTTAAGTAGGGTTCCAATATAGCCGGGCGTCTATTAGAGAGCGGCGTCTATTAGAGGGAGGGCGTCTATCAGATCATTTAGGCAGGCCACCTGGGTAGGCTTCTATTAGAGAGAGGGCGTTTACCTACGATAGGCCTTCTTGATTAGGCTTCTAATAGAGCCGGGCGTCTATTAAAGAGAGGGCGTCTATCTGTACATTAAGCCCCTTCAAAAATTAAAACAAACTTGATTGGTTGATCAATTAACCGTCTCAATTGTTCACAAAATTTAGTCATGTCCAACGCTTTTTCCAACTCTCTTAAACCCAGTGGTGGCGCTGCCCTTCTTTTTCTATTGTTGTTGTTGTTGTAAAAATGTTGTTGAGAAGAAGATTGCTGGGATTGTTGTCCATGCAATGGGAAATTGGCCGACATTTTTTAAAAATTTTGTCTGCAAAACAATTTATTGTCCGCAAATAATGTTCGCAAAAAAATATTTTAGTCCGCAAAAATATTTTTTTGTCCGCAAAAAATATTTTTATCCGCAAAAAATATTTTTTTGTCCGCAAGAAATATTTTTATCCGCAAAAAAGTTTTTTGTCCGCAAAAATATTTCTGTCCGCAAATAATGTAAAAAATTTTGTGTCCGCAAGTAACGTCCGCAAAAATATTTTTTGTCCGCAAAAAAAAATATAATATTTGTCCGCAAAAATAATTTTGTCCGCAAAAATTTTTTTGTCCGCAAAAATTAAATTATTAGAAATGAAAAATTATATAAATTTCCAAGTAATAAAATGATCAAAACATCATTTAAAAATAAATCAGTCACAAAATAATAAACATAATTTATTAACAAATATAGGTATATTATTTGAATATCAACTAGAAAATTGTTCTAAAATTCACATTAAATTTAATTAATGTAGGCTTAAAGAAGATCTAGTCATTTTCAAGCTGACAAAATTTTTAAAAATATAAAGGGGTAAAAAATCTAGCAGCATTTTATATTAAAAAGTCCGCAAAATTTGTCCGCAAAAAATAAGATTAAAGAAAAAAGTCCGCAAGTTTAGGCCAGAAAAATCAGCAAAGTCCGCAAATTTTATATTAAAAAGTACACAAAATTTGTCCGCAAAAAGAGTATAGCAAAATGTCCGCAACATTTTATAGTAAAAATCCGCAAAAAAAGGTTAAAAGAAAAAAGTCCGCAAATTTATGTGGCAATTTAGTCCGCAAAAAAAGGTTAAAAGAAAAAAGTCCGCAAACTTTGTCCGCAAAAAGTCAAGACAACTGCAAAAATCGTCAAAATGAAAATTCGCAAAAATTTAAAAAATATCCATAAAATCCCACAAAAATTGTCAGCAAAAAAGGATTAGATCCTCCATTATAAATCCGTGTTCTCCCCCAAATATTAAAAAAAATATAATACCATTAATTAATTCTCAAAAAATTCAATTATAATCCCGTGACGGAGAATTTTCACTATTTCCACTACTTTCACGTCTATGCCCTTTCAATTCATATTCTGCTGTGTGCTTTCTTCCTTCTCTAATGTCCAAATTTCTGTTTTCACGTTCAAAAGTTTCAACCTTTAAAAAAGATTTGAGATCAAAGCGAGTTGGTGGCCCCGTCCGATCCAAAAAATCAAGTCGTGCATCAAAATTTTAGCCCGAAAAAAGACCCGGTCGGATCGGTACCGATAAAAATGAGGCCCAACAAATGACTCGAACATCGGTACGATTCGAAAACCCCAACTCTACTTGGGGGTTTGGTATTACGACTGTTTGGTATTTTGGCGTTTGGCATCACTGCACCATACCGAATGACTCTGTAAGGAAGGGAAGAGACCCGCTTACATTAAAATTAAAAAATGCTTATGTCAAATTGATTGGGAGTTCTTCACCTCCCTAAGAAAGTGTACTTCGTCCCATAACCGAAAATCCGTAAATTTCGTCCGCAAAAAAAGGTAAAAAAAACGCAAGGAGCAACCATCCAGACAACAGCCCAATCGATAAAGCTAAAATCGTGGCAAAGGTGGGTCGGAATTCCGATTTCCGGTGTTTTTTTCCTTACAATTTCCGAAAAAACTTTTGATTTCCGATTTCCGACACCTCTGACTGTTCCGACCCAACTCTGAATCGACCCAACTCTGAAAAACCTATCACTAATGGTGCTACAACCCATTGCAATATCATTCATGAATGCGACAATTGCGGACATAATTTGCGAATATTGGAGATCTTTGAGGATTTTACCGCCTTAATAACTGGTAGGAGGGCGGCAAGCCTGCTCGATGGTTGACAGATGCTCTTACACTATTTAAAAAGAAAACCTGAACAAATAAATCCTCATTTAAATCAAATTCTATATCAGTAATTTCATTAAAAAGTAAATGAGGAGAAGGTAAATCTTCACATCCAATTCTCCCAAAAAATGAGAGAATATTCACTAAAATTTGAGAAATTAATTAGAATAGAAAATTGGTGAAGCTCAATATAAGATAAACCCTTGAGCTTATAATGAAGTATTTTATAACGAGGTGTATCTTAAATAGAGGATGTCGCTAGGACAGCTCTCCCGAGAGTGGTTAAACGAGTTTTAAAAACGTATATTAAAACGGGAGTATCTTGTATCGAGGTATCTTACAATGGAACGTGCCTTAGAACGAGGTGTATCTTATATTGAAGGGTATCCTAAATAGGAGAAATCTTATGGCAGACACCCCCCCCCCCCCAGTAGTCTACAAAAATTAAAAAACGTATCTTAAAACGTGGGTATCTGGTACTGGGTCTATCTTATAATGGGGCTTACCCTTTATCATAGAAAACATCTTTATAAGGTACACCTCATTATAAGGTGCGACCTACCCTCTATTCAAGATACACCTACGTACAAGGGACGGCATTACCCTCTATTTAAGATAATCTCATTATAAGGCCCGGTCGCAACCTCTATGTAAGATACACCCCATTATAAGGTATGATTTTTTTAGCTCCAAGTGGGTATCTTATGATGAGGTCCAACAAAAAATATAAAAAATATACTAATATCCCTGTGAAGAAAACGAAGAGAAGACGGATGAGACAAATCCATTGCTTGAGCCAAATCAATTACATAAACAGTAGAAGAATGATACAACAAATTAAATTCACTCAAATCGCCATGTACCAAATTACATTGTTTGTACATTTGAACCAAAATCTTTTTTTGAAATTTTTTAAGATAAAAATTTCTTTCAAAAAAAACCTGTCGAACTTGAGCAAAAGCATCAATTTTCATTTCTTCTGATTCCCATTGAATTTCTCTAAGTTGAGGGGCGGGTATTGAACTTCCAATCATTGACATTAGTAAAACCTGTTAAAATTAAAATGAAACTAACATAAACAATAATGTTAAAGGGTTATCCGGAATTCAATTCCCAAAATACAAAACCAGGTCTTTATTTGAAACAAGAAATCCGAAACTCAATCCGAGAAAAAATTTTGAAAACACGATCCAAAATCAGACACCCCCCCCCCTCCTATTTTTCCCACATCCGTGACATCACTAATTCCAACAAGTAATGTCCCAGTTCTGGAAGCAGGTTCCGAAAACCATAGAACCACCAAAATTTTGTAAGTGTCCGGAATTGGAACCATGGAACGGTCCAGTGCCTTAACCGCAAAGAACTGCGTTTAAAACGCCGATCCAAGCACAAGTTTCGGATCAAAAATTGGAATATGTGCCCATAATTCAGGTGAAATATTCATACAACCTATCTTCTCCTCACTCCTACTAAATGGAAAAACAAATTTTGGGAAGAGAAAAAAATTATTGCCCTTATAAGACCATGACGTAGAGCAAAAATTTTTTTCAAAAAAAAAAACTAAAAAAAAACTAACATGTTTTTTCAATTTAATTGGAGTAGGACATTTTATATTTGATCTGCGTAGTCTAAAAAATTAAAAATTCAAATTTTTAAAATTTTTGAAATTATCAAAAATCAAAAACCTTTTCATATTCATAAATTCTTTTTCAGCCCAAACTTTCATTACACTACGAGGATTTTTAAATCTAAAGTCATTCTTTACATATTCTGCACGATTTTTGAAACCGGTTAAGGTTGTTCGATAAACCTAAAAAAAGTTTTTTGGATCAGCATTTCCCTTCATTTCACCTTTCTTAGAAAAATACAAAATGGTAAAGGGCACATAATGGTCAACAAATAGAATTTTTCAGATTGTAAACTTTATAAAAACTCCTTCGTATAATGGAACCGACCCTATTAATAATCTATGCTCTTTTTCACATATTCAAAAAAAAATTAAATTTGGTTAAAGGTTCATAACGGTCAACATAAAATCCCAAAACCTATTAAGTCTATTTTAGATTGGGAAAAGACTCATATTGACTGTATTATTTAACGTGACCATTTGTAATTTTTGGAAAAATGGAAGAAAAAGAAGCCAAAGGAAGATGGAGATGGGATGGAAAAATCCCTCAAAAGTCAGTGGTATCCGGTAAAAAAAGCTTGGATCCAAAATCTGCGACCCGAAAATGATTCCCAATGCCGTCATCTTCCCAACTGTCCCTAATATAAAAAAATTTTTTTTAAACCTTGACGGCGTAATGCACTTGACCAGAACCAATGTTCGAGGGAACTTCCAACTCTTCTTTCGAACTTTCACCACATTCACATCCGTCAGAAACAGCATGTAAAACAGCCGATTCTTTTCCAGTTGCAATAATACCTTCAACCCGATCAATTTCAGAACTGTTAATCCATTTTAGCAAAATAAGACGTGTTTGAACATCAACAGACAATTCATTTGTTTCTTTTTCTTCTTTATCTTTAAAACGCAAATTCCGTTTTTCGTCCAATTTTGCAAAGCTACGCAAATCGTTGAGAATACGTCTTTAAAAATAAAAAATAGGAAAATAAAGTTGGATCTCCCGAATAAATGTCCCATTAAAATAAAAATTGTGTCAAGGACGTATCCAGAAGTGGATTTCGTGAGGGGGAGGGAGAGGGACACAAAATTTGAGAACGCGCCAGACTGGATCACCCTTTAAAGGTGTAGGCCGATCCGATTCCAAAAAATCGTAAATTCCCGATGATTCTTGGCATGTGAATTCACAAAAATCGTGAATTTGGTTTTCTGTCGGCGCGATCCCTGACTGTAGCTTATAATCTTCACTGTAAAAATAAAGAATGTGTCAAAGGTGTATCCAGAGGTGGATTTCGTGAGGAGGAGGGAGGGACACAAAATTTGTGAAAGCAAAAGACAGGGCAGTAGCCAGGAAAATATTTTAAGAGGGCCAGGTAGGGAAAATCATTTTCGGTACTGAAGGAGCCAAAGCTGGTTTATGCGCTGAAGGCAAAATTTTGAGAATTATGGAGGGCCGTAGGCCACAAAATTCACTTTTTTGCGCAGCAGGTGGAAAAAAGTGTCTTCAAAAAAGTCTTCACCGTTCCCCAACGCCATGACGAAAAAAAATTTTAACCGACCCCCCACCATTGTGACAAGAAAAAAATTTTCCCGTCCCTCTCCCTAGTGATCTGTCTTCTCAAAAAAATTTTTTCAGAGAATAGGAATCCCCGACCCAGTGCTCTAACCAGACCTGATGATGGATACGGATACAAATAATAACAGGATGCCTGCGGATATCCGCCTGTATCCGCCGTAAATATCCGAATATGGATACAAAAATCCGTGTCCATCCACAGGTCTGGCTCTGACCTAGTGGCAATCTAATTTTAATCAAAGAAAAAAACCTTCCAATTCGATGATCAATTACATCCCCAGTTTCTAAACCTAAAGGCAATTGCATGGCTTTTTTGCTTCCTTTGCGCTCCTCCAATCCTTGATCGTGTTTGGTAATATAAGTGCCATCATCTTTTTGATAAAATCCACAAGGGGGAAATGTTAAAGATTCTGGCGATTTTTCTAAAAAATAAATTTTAAAAATTAGTTGGCTCTTCTGTAGCTGATCATAAAAATATAAATTCAACCAAGAGAAAATCGTATATGTATTGTGACCCCAAAACCCCTGTCAAAATACACGATTTCCGGGCTACTAGGCCAGGAATAACCGACCTCAGGACCAGAGCTGCGTTGAAATTCGATTTTCGATGTTTTTTTTCTTACGATTTTCAAAGAATTTTTTGTTTTGACGTAACTCTGTTCAGGACAAATCTCACTATATTTACAATTACCCCCTTTTTCCCTACATTTCTATAGATTTTTGGGGTCAATTTTTGTGACAAAAAGTGACTTTTTCACTCACATTTTTAACTTCTCACTTCACTTTTTGTCAACTTTTGAGGCGAAAGCTACTAGATGACATTAAGTTCGTCATAGAGTAAGATTCGACCCTAAGGGGCGAAGACCAATTTCACGTAGAATTAGGGTTCTGAAGAATTCCACCAAAGGATTCGGGTTCAAAATCCTCACAGGGTCTCCACATCTGTGATGGAGTAAAACCCTATTTTAAACCTTATAAGAGGAACTGGACTAGAGCCAAAAATTAAAAAAACCATAAAGAAGTTTAGTTGCAAATTCTTTAAATTCCTCCTCATATTCCTCATCCGAACTTTCCTCATGATCCTCATTCTGCTCTTTTATATAACGCGACGAATAGGTTTCCGAGGACAAAAGGGCTGTAGCCTTTCCTGTTGCAGCTCTGCTTTCTTCAAATTTCTGAAAAAAGAATAAATGTAAAAACGGAAAAAGGGCGCCATCTAGAGGCTTCTTATTTTACTTCCTCTAGTTCCCTTACTTTACCTAACGCGAACAATATTTTCCGACAGTCATCAAGAGACTATTTTCTTGAATTGAGATATTTCCAGAATTTACACCCTTCCTATTTGAAGACTCAAAATTTTCTTAAAGAAGGCTCATAATGGTCAGACTTAGTTCCATTGGAAGAAAGACCAAAATGGTCAAGGAAACAGGGAAAAGGGGGTAAGCCGAAGATTAAAGGCTCATAATGGTCAGACTTAATATTCCTAGTTCATAAGGGAAAAGGGTAGGGATATTGGAATTACAGAAAATAACACTTATTGTTAGGTATTTTAAGGAAATATGGAGAATGAAAAAGGAGGATCTTTAAAGATACTATTACCCAAAAAAATTCCGAAAGGAGGGAAAAACTTGAAATCTAACTTAAAAGATTAAATCTATTTTACTACAAAAAATTCCAAATTAAAAAACCTGAGAAAGTTCCAATTCCCTATCATATTCACGTTGTAATTTAGCCGCTAGAAGCTCGTCAGCAGAACAATCCGGGTCACGAGACAATTCGAGTGCCAAAAAATAATCACGGGAACAATCAACCTCACACTGAGAAACATCAAAATCAAATTGGCCAACCATTTCAATTTCCTAAAAATAAAAAACAAACAAAACTCATTATAAGATAGACACATGGCCCGAAAAAATCGTAGCTATTAAAAAAGTATCTCATCTTAAATCAAGGGTAAGATCGTGCCTTATAAAGAGGTGTATCTTAAAAAGGGGGTACCGCTGACCGCTCCACCTCCTCAAGCCCGTAGCTAAGATTTTTTCCGAGGGCCAAGGGGGAAAATTTTCTGTCCCGAATTTTCAGCGCCTGCACCTCCTAAAACCAACCAAAATTTAAAAATCATACGTAAAATAAAGGTGTAAAAAGCGCTGTATCCTCAATTGTATCCCCACATCTATTTAAAATACGCTTCTTAATTTTAGTTGACTAATGGATAAGGAAAATATCCAAAAAAACCTCAATTTAAAATTGTTTCAGACCAATGGGGCTCACAGTCTTATAGTGATGTCTGAATTTAATTAAGCAAAAGACAAACCTCATTTTTCTCTTGTTCTTCCATTATTTCAACAAAGGATACTACTGGTTGTTGTTGTTCGACATCCTCAGAAGTCTTGCCCCAAGCCATTTTTGGTTTAATACCTTCCGCCATTTAAAAAATAAGTAAAAAATCTAAAATAGAAAAATAATTTTTTTCCAAAAGCTAGAAAGATAGCGCCTTTCGAGAGCTTTCGAATGATATAAAATTTATTCTGATCGGATCAAAAATAAAAAAGTTATGGCCGATCAAAGTTTTGGCTTTCAGTTGACCGTTTCCGGAAAAGACAGAATGATATTGATATTTTGAAGGATTTACTCAAATTACTGTTGAAATGGAAACTTCAATTTGGTAAAATCAAAATGCTGAGAAAAAAAAGTGCCGACAAAATGGTACATTGGGTAAATAAGACAAAATGTTTGTTCGACAAAATGGTACTTAGGGAGAAAAAAGACAAAATGACCTATCCGACAAAATGAAACTTAGGGTAAAATGAGACATAATGGTACATCTAGTAAAATAAGACAAAAAGGTACATCGAGTAAATTAAGACAGAATGGTACTACTGGTAAAATAAGACAAAAGGGCTTATCCGACAAAATGGTACTTTGAGCAATAAAAGACAAAATGGTACTCAACATAAATGGTACTTAAATAAAATACTAGTGGTAATGGCAAAATAATTTTGCTTCTTTTGTTGATGGATGTTCCCAACAAAGCTTACAACAACCCTTTAAACTGTTTACGATGCAATTCGGTTATTTTTACAATTTTTTGCCTTTAAATTTTCAAAATTTAGGCAATGCAAGATCCCGTTCGTCTTCCGTGTCAGCACCATTTTTGTCGGCAATGTGTAAATTCTTCAGAATGTACCACTTGTTTGAGGCCATTTAACTTGGCAGAACTTACTACTGATAAGGTTTAATTAAATTTTTGGAGGGTGTAAAAAAGAGGAGTGTGAGGGGGTGGCTATTTAAAAATAGACAGCAAAATGCCCTGTGGTAAAGTGGGATATGGGTCGGTGTAAAGGTCTGTGGTTCGAGTCCGGTTGTTGATAAATGATTTATTTTTGCTCTTCAAATATTCGAATTTGTAGAATGAATAAATATAAGGGAATTTTGAGCTTCTGGAATTTTTTTGAGCTTCTAGGGCCTAAAAATAGAGAAACTCACATCAGTGGGAATCGAAAAAATGCCTTTAAAATCTTATCTCTCTCGTTTTCAGGTATTAAATTACATCGTTGAAAGTTCTCGTGAGGCAACAGAAACATGCGCAAATTGTGATAAGGTAATTTATATTTTTCCTAAAGTAAGAGAGAAATGGGAGTTTAACTCGAGTACCGATCCTGCGATCTCATGGCAGTCATTGTTGCGAACCCGGAGTGGGCTAATTTAGCATCTTTCAGTTTTTTCACAATTTCCAGCGCGAAAAGCCTCGCATTTTGCATTTCGCTTTTTGTTTCTAGATTTCGCCCAGCCCTGGTACGAGCTTTCGCTCACCACGTAAAGGTGCTCTATCGACAAGTTAATGGGGAACTCCGTTCGGCTTTTCTTTATTAAAACTTAAAATTCCGTTGACAAATGTTGAATTTTTAAATTTGCCCGTTTTAGGTTATGGTACTTATGAAGATGGAGGTGCCCTTTCTGCGGACTTTTTTTTGCGGACTTTTCTTCCTTTCCTTTACATATTTTACTTGTAGCAACTAACTGTCAAAGACCCTCCCCCTATTATTTTTCTTACCTAAGTTTGTACATAAAGGTCAGATTTTCTGCTTCCTTTCCTTCCTCTATTTGCCCTGTGGCATATTCAAACAAGAGACATTGGTGAAGAGAAGATTAATTTCATAGTCATACACTTATTTTTTGCCTTCGAAAACAATTTAAACAAAAAAAGAATTAAATAAAATTGATTTGGTGTATAACATTATGAATTTCTGTGTAAAAACTTTACATTCTTACTTATATTTAAAAATATTGAACAACTGAAAAAAAATCGTACTCAATATTGAACAACTCAATTAATTTTAATCTTCTCTTTATCAACTATGTCTCTTGTTTGAATATGCCAAGCTCAAATAGAGGAAGGAGAGGAAGAAGAAAATCTGACCATTTTGTACAATCATAGGTAATAAAAATAATGAGGGGGGTGGGACAAGGATTGAAATTACCCGAATTTCTGTTCCAAAATCACAAGTTCTCATTCTATGAAGCATTCCGAGATCAGTAAGCCATTGTTGAAATTCAGTTTCGGGCAATTTAATTTAATCATGTAATTTAGTAAAAGTAAAATTTTTTATTGATTGTAACATTTTTAGCGTCTATAACGTTTAAATTAATTGTGAACACATATTTTTCAAATGGCATACAAAATAATCCTTTGATAGTTAATTGCTACTAGCAAAACTTGCTGAAAGCAAAACAACAAAACATTTAAAAAGAAAGGAAGAAAAGTCCGCAAAAAAAGTCCGCAGAAGGGGCACCTCCATCTTCATAAGTACCTAGGTTATTTTTTGCAAAAACCTCATATGGCTTTCCCTACTTTCTTTCACTCGTTTAGGGTCGAGGCCCGGTTCAGTTCGATAGATCGAACCGGGCATCGACTTTTGGCCCGAAAAAGGCCAAACGGCCTAGTTCGATAAATATGAGGCTTGTAAAAGACTCGGCCGGTCCGTCCCGAGAAAATGACTCGAACGTCGGCTCGGTTCGAAAATCCAACCCTACTCTTGTTCCTTATATCAATTTTAATTTTTTCTCTTTACAGATTTCTCAACCAATGTATTTTTGTGAAACTTGCCAACAACCATTATGTGCTGAATGTCGAGAAATCACCCACAGGGTTTTATTTTTAATTAAATTATTTTAAATTTTGTGTTTTTTCAAGGCAAAAATATTTTTATTGCACAATATTGTTCAAATGGAGGAACGCGGAAGGATAAGAAATCGTCCATTTTGTTCGGCACATAATGAACCTTTTATTTTATACTGCCTTGAATCTAAGGTTTTTTTTCGTTTTTTTGGACTTTAATTTCCGGGGTTTTTAATTTTATATGATCCACCCTTAGCGCGGCGTAATGCCAAAACGCCGAAATACCAAACTTCTCCAAAAAGCGCTGAAGTGTCAATTAGAAATTTGGTTCCATAACTGCGGAGGCCCTAGGCCTTCTAGAATTCTTAAAAATTGTGCCTGCGGCGCGAAAATAAAATTTTTTTTATCTAATTTAGGCTCGTAGCGGCGCCAAAAAATTTGACGCAGAAAAATTTTCCCCTTGCCCCCCGAAAAAAATCCTGGCTACGGGCCTGCTCTTATTTATTGTTAGACTGTTCCAATTTATTTGTCAAATTAATTTTTTAGGAGGTCAATTCAAGCTTTTTGAGTCAACTCTATTTTTTGGATTTCTAGGGGTTCTTTGGACTCTTAGGCGTTCACTGGACTCCTAGGAGTTTACTGGACTCTTAAGCATTCACTGGAATCTTAGGCGTTCTCTGGACTCCTAGGAGTTTACTGGACTCCTAGGAGTTTACTGGACTCCTAGGAGTTTACTGGACTCCTAGGAGTTTACTGGACTCCTAGGAGTTTACTGGACTCCTAGGAGTTCGTTGGGCTATTAGGCGTTCACGAGACTCCTAGGAGTTCGTTGGGCTCCTAGGAGTTTACTGGACTCCTAGGAGTTCACTGGACTCTTAAGCGTTCATTGGACTACTCCTGGCCTCCTAGGAGTTTACTCGACTCATATTCGGAAATAGAGCCTTATTTTCTTTATTTTAGTCTTTAATGTGTATCGAATGCTTCAATTCCTCTTCTCTTGAACGACGAGGCCATTTTCTAAATATTGATGTTGCGCATAAAATTTGTTGTGATAAATTGGAAAAAAGTGCTGTTAATCTCCGTGCCTTTCAATCAGAATTGAGGGAACAGTGTGATTTGAGACGTCGACTTGTTGATGAATTGGAGAAAAATTTTGATTTTATGGCAAAGGAGTAAGTTGTTTTTGGGGAATATTTTCTAATGGGTTTGGGAACGATGTGCCTCGAGAATGGGTTGTCCGCAAAAAATCCTCTGCATTTCTGTCCTCAAGAGATACCCTCATTTTTGTGCTTAAAAATTGTCCGTACTTTTTTATTCACAAAAAAGGTCTGCATTTTGTCTGAAATAATGTCCGCACATTTTATGTTTAAAAGTCCGCGTTTTTGTCCGCAAAAAATGTCCGCATTTTTCTGAAAAAATGCCCCATATTTTTTGTCGCCAAAAATGTCAGCAAGAATATAATCGCACATTTTGTTTTCAAAAATTTGTCAGCCAAATGTCCGCAAGTTTTTTGCCACAAAAATATCCGCACTCTTTTGTGCTCAAAAAATGTCTGCACTTTTTATGCTTACAATTAAAATTTGTCGCATTTTTGTCCGAAAAAAATCAGCATTTTAGTCTGAAAAAATGTCCGCAAAAAATGTTAGCACTTTTTCGTGCTCAAAATGGTCTACACTTTTTTGTCCGTAACGAATCTCCGACTTTTTTTGTGCTTAAAAATGGTCTGCAATTTTTGTCAGCAAGTTTCTTTTCCGTAAAAAAGACGAAATTTTTCAACAAAATTTTTTTTTGATTTTCTTAATTTTAAATATTTTTTAGAGTCACCAACAAATGCGACGAAATTATTTTTCGAGTAACCCAACTAAAATATTATTTATTGGACAAATTGGATGTCGAAAAAACTGAAAAGAAGGACAAAATAATTGAACAATTAAATAATTTTGAATTTTTGGAGGTTTTTTTTTTGAAATTTTTTTAATTTTTAAAATTTTTTTTTAAAGAGTCCCTTAGCCATCAATCTTTTGAGTGTCTCAATTTTTTGTTCATACGCCTCCAAAATTGATTTATTACATTGTTATGGAGATCTTTCTAAACTTATACAGGTTTTATTACTATTTTTATTAGGGTTACCGTTTTGGAGTCGGGCCAATGGTCGAGTCATATTTTCAGGCATTTTTTTCGGTTTTTTTCATTTATCGAGTCGGGCCGGTATGAGTCCTTTTTGGTCTTTTCTTTTATTGAGTAGGGGCCGTACGTCGAGTCATTTTTTTCGGGCCGAATATCTCAGGCCCGACTCGATCTTTCGGTCCGAATTGGGCCGACGGTTCGGATCCCACTCTCCATGAATCAGACCCGTAGCCAGGGGGGGTGAGGGGGGGGGAATTCCCCCCCCCCCCCCGAAATGGGAAAAAGGAAAAAATTTGGGGAAGGGCTGGCCTACGGCCTTCTAAAATTCTCCAAATTTTCGCCTGCGGCGCTGAAAATAAAAATTTTTCCCCCATTGGCCCCCCCCCCCCCCCGAAAAAAATCCTGGCTACGGGCCTGCCACGAATGTAGATGTCGAAATGCCAAACCCATATTTTGGCAAAAGTCAAGAAAACGGGCCACTGAGAGGAGTCGAATGACACCAAAATTACTAAGCGGACTCAACTATGAGCTGAGGTACAAGGGTTAAAAATGCTCAAAAACCATAAGAGCGACCAAGTTGATGTTTGGGGTCAAAATGTCGAAAAAAAATACGGAGAATATGTCAGCATTCTCATTCGACTCCACTCGCCGAGCTGTTTCGAATGATTGACCAGAAAGTATTTTTGCGGACTATTATTTTTTCTCCGCAAATTTTTTTTTGCGGACAAAAATTTAAAAAAATATTCATTATAAACTTTAAAATTTTTCAGCAATTTTTATCTTCAAATTCTCAACATTTACAAAAAGTTAAATTTGATTCAAATTTAAATATTGATTTTGCCAAAGAATTTAATTTATCAATTTGTAAACCTTTGGGATTTATTCCACCTCCTCCTACAACTGAAAATGTTTTAATGTCGAATAAATTGATTGGGAATTCTGGAAAAACGGCTAAAACTGACAGGTTTTATTTTTAATTTTTGTATTTTTTCGACACTCTGACATTTTATGAAATTTGAGGGGGTCTGGCTTTATCCATTCGAGGATCCAAAGCTCCTTTTTAGGGGTTGGTCTGGGCAAGGCCTTTTAATTTTTTCAACACTTCGACATTTATGAAATTTTGAGGGATGGGGGTCCTAAAGTTCCCTATTCGACCCTAAGCTTCTCTCTAAGGTTTGTGCACCTCTCTATGACTGTTCAGTTCTTAAAGATTGAGCTAAGTCTAGGCTAATACCTGAGGGACTAGATGAGGGAGGACTAACCTTAGGACTCCAACCACCCCAGAGCTATCCAAGACTGAAAATTTTCCAGGGCTCGAGACCAAGACTGGAAAAACTCCCGAGAAATGTCTTGAGTCAAGACCATTAGTCTTGGAGGCGCAAGCCCATGAAGGTATTGAAGTCTCAAGACGCCCCTCTCTTGGAGTCTCAAGCCTACGAGAGGTTTTTGAGTCTCAAGACTCCTCCGTCTCAAGCCAATCTCAAGCCCTCTCAATCTCACCCTCTCAAGTCTTCAGCCTATCCTACTCAAGCCCTATCCATATCCCCCGGTCTTTTTTAACCTCATTTATTTTATTTATTTAAAGGCTCAGGTCTATAAACCAACCAACTTCAACTGAAATTAATGTTCCGACTTCATTTGAATTTTTATTTGGACCTGACCCATTTATCTCATCAAAATTGCCGTTTAATAGGGAATCGAATACCTTCAATCCTATGAATTCTGAAAGGTTTTGAATTTTTTTCTAATTTTTTTTAAATTAAAAAAATTTTTTTTCAAGTGATTCTCTCATGGAGCAACGATTTATGGACCAATTTCAATATATCACTATCCCTCTGCAAAAATTTACCAAGGAAATTTCGTTCATTTCTTCAAGTTTAATGGATTTGCACAAAGATATAGTAAGGGTTTAAGTATTTTTTGATTCTAGTCTATGAGTCCAATGAGTGTTTGAAAAGCGTGACGGTTTGCACTTCTAAGAGGGCGTTTCATTGCGAGGTTTTCTAAATTTTGGGATATTTGGAGGGGACTAAATTTATTTTTGTCTCAAAAAAGTCCGCAAAAATTTTGCGTAAAATCCGCAAAAATTTTGCGTAAATTTTTTTTGCGGACCTTTTTTGCGGATTTTTTTTTCTATTAAAAGTCCGCAAAAAATTTGCGGACGTACTTTGCGGATATTTTTCTTCGTGAAAAAATCCGAAAAAAGCCTGATACCTTCTATTTAAGATACCCTCATTATAAGGCACATTTCTAAGCCAAAGTGAGTGGTATTTTACAGTACGTCCGCAATTTTTTGCGGACTTGTATATAATTAGGTCGACTTTATAAGCCTCCAATTAATTTTCAATTAAATTTCAGGTTCTCCGTCGTTGTGTTGTTAATGGTGAAGAATTAATTAATAGGCTTGCATGGTTTTTTTTTAAATTTTTACAAATTAAAAAAAAATTTAAAGTTGTGAAAATGCTTGGGATCAATTGGAAGCACACAAAAAGAAAGTACAAATGATAATTCAACAATCTTTAAATCAAATTTGGAGGCGAGATATTGAAAGAGTTCAAAGGTTTGTTATTATATTTTTGTCGTTTGGATATTTTTTCGGACCTTTTTTAATGATAAAAAGTCAAAAATGGTTCGCAGATTTCCGCGAACTTTTTCATTAAAGTTAGAAAAGTTCGGTAAAATTTTGGCAAAATTTTCTGCGGAATTTTTTAAGCCAACATAAAAGTCCGCAAGTATTCAGTCCGCAAATGTTTTTATGGACTTTTGATGTCAACAAAATCGCAAATTTTTTCGGACTTTTTTTTTCATCAAAAAAGTTTGCAAAATACGACCGCTTATTTTTGTGGATTTTTATGATGACAAGAAAAGTTCGCAGATATTTGCGGACATCTTTGTATAAATACAAGAGAAATCCGCAAATTTTTTACGGATTTTTTAAATTTTTTTGCGGACAATTCACAGAATATTTCTGGATTTTTTAGAGACAAAAAAGTTCGTGAGATACGTCCGCAAAATTTTTTGCGGATTTTTTATGTTACAAAATGGTCTGCAAAAACCCATCCAAGAGACACAAATTCCGTCAAAAATTTAAATTTTTTAGACAACAACATTTGGTCAAAGAAAAATTAGAGGAAATGAAACATTTACAAAAATTGGCTCAACAGGCACTTAAGGTTTTTTTTAGAAAATTTTTTGAATTTTCACAAAAAAATTTTTTTAAAAAGATTTCTCAACATTTAAAACCTTTTGCTGTTCAAATGGCTGGAATAATTTCTGTTATAGATGTTAGACGTACAACTTTAACTGTTCTTTCCCCAATGGAACAAATTTGTTCAGAAATTGGACAGATTGGTATGGATAGTGAAATTAGGGTTGCTGCTATTGATAAGGTTTTTTATGGAAAATTTTTTGGTTAGGTATATGTAGGAGAGGGAGCACACGGCCGAATAGTCGCACGGCCATAAGGTCGCCAAGCCATAACTTGCTTTAAGCTTTCCGAATCTTTCCAAAATTAGTATTAAACGATTCCTCTCATTGAGCTAAATAGATTGATACCAAAATTGATAAGGGCCAGAAATTTTTTAGCAAGTTTTGGCTTAGCGACCCGTGCGACTATTCGGGCTGTACCCGGTGTGGAAATAGGAGAAAGCACTACCTGGGTTGTAAAACACTCATTTCGCTGCGAGCGGGTGTTGACCTGGGCATGATCTTAGGTCATGAAAACCACCAAAAAGCTTATGAGCTTTGGATATAAGAAAAATTTCCAGACCGCAGGTTTTGCCCTGTGTTTGGCACGAATCCCAGGGTCTCACATAAGGTTGGTCAAATGCACTAGTTCAACAAGGGGAGACTCGAGCTCGTATAATCAATGCCCAAAAAATCAGGCATAGCTCCTTAGTGTTTTTTTTGACCGAGGGCGTATCCAAGGGTTTGATTTCGGGGTGGCCTCCTCCAAAATTTTGGAAGTTGTAGGCGAAAAAAATTCACTTTTTTGATCATCCTTCTCCTAATTTTCTCCCCTTCTTTCTCATTTGTAGGGGGGCTTCAAGTCCAAAATCCACTCTCTCTAGCCACACCTCCAGACCCTGGATACGCCCTTGTTTCTGGCTCAGTATTTGACCCGGTTGCTTGTTTTTCCTATGTCTCTATAGACGTGGGCTCACTTGGTTTCCTATAAATTCCTTTATGAGCTTTTAAGACCCGAGTCTGGATTATCTGTCAGTTTCTAACAAGTTTTTTTAAGGAAGAAAAATTGAGACAACAAAAAATTGCAAATTCATTGGCTAACCAAGCATTACAAAACGATGCTATTTTGGCGCTTAAAAATTTAAAAGTTGTGACTCCTTCAAGTCCAAAATCAACAACAAGAGGGGGAGGAGGATCTCGTCAAATTGTAGAAGTTGATAGGACCCGCTCTGATGTTTCTTCTAAACATTGTAAAAATTCGCTGGGAAAACGGCAGCAAATTCTAAAGTATTTTTTTAATTTTGGGCCACTTAAGTATAAATTTCATCCTTCACCCACCAAGGTTTAGGGTAAATAACTGCTAAGTCGTCGGCATTATACATTTTTTTGCGAATACATTTTTGCGGACTCTCGGATTTTTTGCGGACACTTTGGATCTTTTCCTGTGATTTTTTTTTATTATTAAAATTTGATTGGGCACTGGATCTGATTGATCTATGCACCTCTTCCAGTTGATTGTAAGCACTAGCTATGGAAATTTCGATTTCCAGCCTCTCCAGCTGTCGAGTTGATTGTAGGCATCAGCTACGGGCATCAAACTTTTACGAATAGGCATCCAACTCTTCCGATTTACAGCACTTCTAACCGCACCGATTCACTTCTTGTGGACACTTTGTCCGCAAGTCCGTGTCCGCAAAAATGTCTCTTCTAAATTACCCCTTTTTTAATTTTTAAAATAATTTTCTAGTCGAGCGCAGCGAAAATCAGAAGGTGCCTCTTCTTCAGACATACTACTAGCAACAGAAAGTATAACTACAGGCAATAATTTACCTGAAGAAAAAGTCAGAGAAATAAAGCAAACAGCAGAATTTTCCCCCCTTAAAGAAAAAGCAACAACAAAAATGTCCGCAAATCTGGATGCGGATGTCCGCAAGAATATGTCCGCAAGTCTGAATGCGGATGTCTGCAAAAATATGTCCGCAAGTATGGATGCGGACAATAAAATGTCCGCAACTCTCGATGCGGATAAAAAAATGTCCGCAAATCTGGACGCGGACAAAAATACGTCCGCAAGTCTGGATGCGGACAAAAAAATGTCCGCAAGTTTGGATGAAAAAATGGATTGTTCCCCGTCTGCTGATTCAAAAGAAGCAATTAAACCAAAATTAATTTCATTTGGAAAGCAAATACAAAAAGATAAGGATCCAACTGTTCTTATGGCAAGAGAAAAATTGTTAGAATCGATTAAAGAAAAGGTTAAAAGAATTGATTAATCTTTGATTTTTATGTTGGGATATTGAAAAGAAGGTTTTTTTAATTTTTAAAGGGTTCTTTTCGGTTATAGGCATGAAAATCCGCAAATTTTTGTCCGCAAAGAGGGTGGGCACTTATAGAAAAAAGACGGGGACCATAAATGTCCGCAAATTTTGTCCGCAAAAAAGGAAAACGGGGCCCGGCATACAAAAGCGAAGGACTCATGGATTATGATTGGCCTTCCGACCTTATAAGGCCGCTTCTTTTATAGAAACGACCTCCGACCGTTTTGGTCCCAAAACTAACCCATGAATGTCCGCAAAAAAAAAGTAAAACGGGGCCTGGCTTACAGAAGCAAGGGACTTCACGGATTATGGTCGGCCCTTAAAGTCTTCCTACCCTATAAGGCCTCTTATTTTATAGAAACTACCTCTTGACCATTTTGGTTCCGGTCTTCTTCCTTTAGGTTCCCATCTTTTTTGCGGATAAAAACTTGCGGACATTTGTGCCGATAACAGAAAAGAACATATTAATGATCTTGAGAATTGAATCTGTATGTATATTTATGTAATTTTGATTAATGTGCAATAAAATTTTGCGGACAAAAAATTATTTTTGCGGACAATATTTGCGGACAAAAAATTCTTTGCGGATTTTTTGTCCGTATTGCAGTTGGTACATAATTTAATTACTAATAGACCTCAATATTTTAAAGGGGAATGGGAAGGCCAAAAATTAGAATTTGTCCGAGAAAATTTTTTTGTCCGCAAAAATTTTTTTTAAATTACTGATATACTCCAATATTTTAGAGGGAAATGGGAAAGCCAAAAAAATAGAAATTGTCCGCAAAAAAATTTTTTAATTACTGATAGACCCCATTATTTTATAGAAATAGGAAAGATAGAACATGTCCGCAAAAAATTTTTTTTGTCCGCAAATTTTTTTTAATTTTTAAAAATTTCTAACCCGATAAAATTAGATTTTTATATTTCTTATATTCGTTTAAAATTTGTTTATTTACTACAGGAATATTTCTAAATTTTTTTTCACTTAAAAAATTTTTCCCCTTTAAGAAAATGAGACATTTAGCTGCTCGATTTGTTCCAAAGCTTGCAGAAAATATTATTTCACTTTCAAATCAATGTCAATTTAACATTACTCCGCTTCATGTTGTTGACCCAAATTTGGATTTTAGAGAGGAATTTGCAAACGGTTTGGATTTTTTAAAATTTATTTTAGTAAGGGGACCTCACTTTTACACACTCCCTTGATCCGCAAAAATCGTGCTTTATAATGAGGGGTTCATTAAACTGAAGGTATCTCATAATTGAGGGTATCTTGTATATAATGTTATCGTAAAAACCTCATTATAATTTACCCCCCATAAGATACCGCCAATTTAAGTTACTTCATTTTAGAGCACCCTCGGTTTAAGATACTCTCAATTTAAGATACTTCCATTATTAGATCCCTCATTATGATGTACCCTTTGTTTTAAAATACCCTCAATTTAAGATACTCACAAGAAATTCTTACTTTAAGATACCACTCAGAATAAGATACCACTCATTATAGGGTACCCCTCGTTTTAAATTACTCCTTATTATAAGGTCCCTCAATTTAAAGTACCCCTCATTATAAGGTACCCCCGTTATAAGATCCCCTCCTTATAAGATACCCTCAAAATAAGATACTCCCTCATTATAAGGTACCCCTCATTATAATGTACACCTCGTTATAAGGTTACTTCTATTTAAGATACTCCTCAATATGATACCCCCGTTATAAGATCCCCTCCTTATAAGATATCCCTCAAAATAAGACACCCCTCATTATAAGGTCCGATTTTCACCCCAAGAGAAATGTATCTTATAGAGAGGTTCAACCTAAAATTTTAGTTGAAAAATTGAAGGAAAATCTTAAGAAAAGGCAAATGTTCGATTCAGTTTCAAATTTGCCTAAAATTAAAGACGATTATTTTCGCTGGTGGAAGGCTTACAGCAACCTGGTTAATTGTGGTGTGGATAAAAAGGTTTTAAATTTTTTTTGGTATTTTTTAAAGAAGAGAATCAAAGCTTTAAGAAACTTAAACGGTGGTTTGTCCGCAAAAATATTTTTTGTCCGCAAAAATAATTTTTTGTCCGCAAATAATTTTTTTTTTGTTCGCAAAAATAATTTTTGGCTCTTGTCCAATATTATGTCCAATGAAATGTTTATACGTCCAAACAAAATTTTTATGCGTCCAATCACATATTTTAAGTACCCGGTTCTGCACTATACTACCATAAAATCTATGGGAATACAAACCTCTACTCCCCTAGAGTTATGATACACACGCATATTACCAGAACATAGGTTCTAACACAGAACCGCGTACTTAAAAAATTTGTTTGGACGCAAAAATTTGTTTGGACGCAAAAATTTGTTTGGACGCAAAAATGTGATTGGACGCAAAAATTTGTTTGGACGCAAAAATGTGATTGGACACGTAAACTGGACAAGAGCAGAATTTTTTGGTCGTGAAAAAATTTTTTGTCCGCAAGGATGTAGGGATTCATGTTTTAACGACACATTCATCTTATACTTAAGCAGGAGCCAAAAATCAGAATTTTTTCCCAAAACACCCAAAAATGCATTTGTCCGCAAATATTGTCCGCATGTTTTGCTCTCTTCTAAAAATATCAAAAATCTTGTTTAAAATATTTTCCCCTATTTTTAAAGGACCCCAATCAACGCGATAAATATATTGAGGTTAGAAGCGAATTACTTAAACATTCTGAAGGGCTTTTGGGTGCATTGGCTTTGCCCAATTATTTGGATGTTGAACCAGAAATTAATCAAAAATTTGTTTTGAACAACTTTATTGGGAAAGATTTGGATGAGATTGTGGAAAATGTGAGGTTTGGTGTTAAAATTAAGTAGAGGGGTGTTGGGTGGGATGGGTAAGGTTGAGGAAAATAAAAAGTGGGAGGGTAGGATTGGGGGGTTTCGAAGGTTTTTCGGGTTCGGATTTTGGGTCGAAAATGTCCATGGTTTGATTTTTGGTTTCGGGTAGTCCGTCCCCTTCGTTTGAAGTAGATTGGGGTCTACTCATTTGGGTTTGGTTTAGCCAGGCCTATCCATGATCCGGGGTTGGGGTCGTTTTGGCGCGAGAACAATGAAGTGGCACCTTGGCTAGACCTAAATTTATAAAATTTTTCTCATATTTCTTTAACATCCTTGACTACCTCCTCCAGAAATTTCAGAATTTTTCATCCAGTATTTCTGAAGTTATAGTCGATAGACCTTGAAAAATTAGGCATTTTGCAGAAAATCAACATTTTTGGTCACAATTTCCGAAATTCTTGATCAAAAATTCTGAAATCTTTGGAGAACCTAGATAAAGGTACGAGAGTTATTATTGCAAAATTTTATCATTTTTGATAACGAACTCGCTATCTTATAAGCTCGCGCCAAAACGGCCCCGCGCCAAAACGGCCCAGTCCCATGATCCGTGCTTGTAAAAGGAATATTAATTAGGGACTGGTCGGATTATTCGAACTCGAAATTTATATTTGGTTCGATCCGAACTCGAAACTAGGCTTTTTTGGTCCCGAGGCGTCTCATTATAAGATAAGTTTTTTTTAATTTAGGATATGGCTTGAGAAACTACCAAAGTAATATCCCCAATTTAAACGTACACCTTATTATAATTTACGATTTTTTCGACCCCCAAGGGTGTAGATATCGAGATTTTTAAAAAGCCTGGGTCTGTTCCTGGACTTTGGGTTTGATTTATTGTCCTGGGCCGGATCCGGTGCCTATAGTCCAGGAAAAAACTCATGCCCATGAAAAACCCAGGAAGGTCAAAAAATGCCTGGGCCTGGACTCTGGGTACAGAAAAAATCCCAGGCCTTGATCCATACCCAGCGCAATCACTACAAGGATTTTTTATAAATTATTTTTTCAATTTTAGATGTCAACAAACTCCAAATAATTCAACAATTCAATTAAACAAACTTCGCTCCTCGCTTTTAAATTTTCTAATAAAAATATTAAAGCCAGCTCCAGTTCATTTTAGTGGTCCTTATCTTGTTCGTCCAGCATTGGTTGAATGTTGCAATATTTGTTTGAATGAAGTTCCTTTAATTACTGATTGTGTTGATCCTCCTTTATGTTTAGTTGGTAAGAAGGATAAAAATTTTTTTATTAGGGGAAAATTTGTCCGCAAAAGATTTGTCCGCAAAAGATTTGTCCGCAAAAGATTGTCCGCAAAAGATTTGTCCGCAAAAAATTGTCCGCAAAAGATTTGTCCGCAAAAGTTTTGTCCGCAAAAGATTTGTCCGCAAATATTGTCCGCAAAACATTTCCGTAAATATTGTAGCCAAGGCTCTGTCCGTCAAAAATGACCCCAAGAATAGTCCGCAAAAATTTTGTCCGCAATAATTTTCCGCAAAATATTGACCGAAAAAATTATTAGAAAATATTTTCCGCAAGAATTTGTTTGCAGAAAAATTGTCTGCAAAAATTTGTCCGCAAATATTGTTTGTCAAAAATGTCCGCAAGAATGGCCGCAAGAATACTCCGCAAAAAATTTGTCCGGAAAATATTATCAGTGAAAAATTACCAGCAAATATTGTCCCCATGAATTTGTACACGAAATTTGTCCGCAAAATTATTGACCGCAAAAAAATGTCCGCAAAAACGTTTGAAAAAATCCGCAAAATAATGTCTGCAAAAATATTGTCCGCAAAATTCTTCTACAAAAATTATTGTCCGCAAATATTGTCCGTATAATATCCTCAAAAACTGTCCACAAAATTTGTCCGCAAAAAATGTCCGCAAATTTCTTTTAACTATTTTTCTCCCCAATTTTCAGGAACAAATATCCCCTCATTTCTATCAATTCTAACAAATGGTTGTTTAACTTCATCAAATAATTGGCCTCTTAGTTTAATAGCTGCTGGTCCAGTTTATTACAAAACAACAAAAAATTTGGCAAAATTTTCTCAAACTGAACAAATTTCGATTTTAACGATTGGAAGGGGTAAGGAGGAATGTGTTTCAAGACAAGCTGAAATTTTTACCATTTTGAAAAATTTTTTGGAAAAAATTTTGAAGGAGGGAGAACTTGAAGGTTTATTTTTGTGTTTTTTGAAGTTTAAAAAAATAATTTCCACGAGCGGGTTCGAACCCACGACCCCCTATTTTTCATATTTTTGGCTCTAAAATCTTGTTTTTTCTACTTTAAAAAATGTGTAGAGTCCAAAAATCACTTTAACTATTCAAAATAATGTTCCTTGCCCTTTTTCTAAAAATTAAAAAAATAATTTCCCCAAGCGGGTTCGAACCCACGACCCTTTATTTTTCATATTTTTGGTTCTAAAATCTTGTTTTTTCTAATTTAAAAAATGTGTAGAGTTCAAATATCGCTTTAACTGTTCAAAATAGTGTTCCTTGTCCTTTTTCTAAAAATTAGAAAAATAATTTCCCCGCGCGGGTTCGAACCCACGACCCTTTATTTTTCATATTTTTGGTTCTAAAATCTTGTTTTTTCTAATTTAAAAAATGTGTAGAGTTCAAATATCGCTTTAACTGTTCAAAATAGTGTTCCTTGTCCTTTTTCTAAAAATTAGAAAAATAATTTCCCCGCGCGGGTTCGAACCCACGACTCCTTATTTTTGCTTTTGGTTGTAAAATCATGTTTTTTCTAATTTAAAAAATGAATTAAGATCTAAAATCACTTTATCTGGGAAAAATAGTCCTCTTTGACATTTTTATAAAAATTAAAAAAATAAATTCCCCAAGCGGGTTCGAACCCGCGACCCCCCAATTCTAAACAAAATTTTGCCAATTTTTAATTTTTTTTAATTTCAAGTATCTGTAAAACAACCAGAAAATCTTCAACTTTGGGAACGTTCATCGTTAATTATTAATAGAGGATTTGATGAAAGTGGTGACGTTAAAATAAGTCAAATTGCTTCTTTTTCGAACATTGGTATAATTTTTTAAAGTACATAAGGTTTGGAGGAGCTTATCGGCTATTCCCGAAGCTTTTTTGCGGACTGTTTTTCTATAATTTTTGTTTGCTCATTTTTTCACATTATAAGATGAGAAAATAAAAATTGTAGAAAAAATCTGGAAAAAGTCCGCAAAATTATTTTTGTCCGCAAAACGTGTCCGCAAATTTTTTGCAGACAAAAAATTTTTTGCGGACTTTTTAGTTGGGGAATAAAGGGGGTGAGGTTGATAAGTACCGAACCTCGTTTTTAGATACCCCTTAATATTAAAACACTTCAATTTAAGATAGCCACAGTTAGGATACACCCCTCATATGATAAGATTTTTCAGCCCTAAGGGTGTGTGTCAAATGATTCTACGACACTTGGGGACGGACATTTAGGGACCGACATTTGAGAACATATTAAGTACTTGATTTATTTCTGATTACTTTAATCCACCTTAATTACTCGATATCCGATTGTCCGCAAAAAATTTTTGTCCGCAAAAAATTTGCGGACAAAAATTTTTTGCGGACTTTTTAGTTGGGGAGTAAAGGGCCCCAATAGATTATTTAAAAATGAGGTCCAAATATGCCTATCTTTCCTCTTATAAATTTTTTAATTTCCCAGGCGATTATATTTCTCGTCGTGCCCATGTTGTATTTGATACAGGCAAAAACAAAAATTTAGAAATTGATAAAAATCCAAATTATGCCCAAATGGCTTTTACAACAATTAATTTGGATAATTTAATTAAATGTTTTTAGGCTTATAAATGTTATGGAATAATTTTTAAATTATTTTTTTTAATTTTGTAATATTTACAAAAGCCTTCAGGCTTTATATTTTTTCGATTTGGCATTATTTAAGAAAAGACGGAATTTTTTGAGGACATTTTTGATTTTCGAGGAAAAAGTCCGCAAAAATTTGTCCGCAAGTTTTTTGCGGACAAATTTTTTCTTGCGGACACTTTTTGCAGACTTTTTTTTATTACAAAAAAAGTCCGCAGAAAATTTGCGGACATTTTTTGCGGACTTTTGATTTTCAAGAAAAAAGTCCGCAAAAATTTGTCCGCAAGTTTTTTGCGGACAAATTTTTTTCTTGCGGACACTTTTTGCGGACGTCATTTTCTAAATTTTTCTCATTTTTAAAATATGAAAAAATGAGGAAATAAAAATTGTAGAAATTAGTCCGCAAAAAATTTGCAGACAAAAAATTTGCGGACAAAAAATTTATCCGCAAAAAGTCGTCTCTTCTTGGGTGATGCCAAAATTCTTTTTATAATCTTCTAATTAATTTTTTTTAGTAAAATATTTTTAAACAATGAAAGATAATAGCAAAACTACGGCTACTTCGACTAACTCGACAGCCCGGGTTAATAGAGGAAATTCTGATAATGATGATGATAGAGTTTTGGTACCTTTTATAAGGGATGTGCTAGCCGTTGCAAATGTGAGTGATCAACCGCCAGTTGTCCAAATTGCTGTTGGGGCGAGTGGGGGAGTGTAAGTTGTTTGTTGGAGAAAAGTCCGCAATTTTTTTGCGGACGTCCGCAAAAAGTTGTCCGCAAATTTGAAAAAATACTTTTTGCGGACGTCGGCAAGTTTTGTCCGCAAGTTGCGAAAGTTCGCAAAAAATGTCTCCGGAAAAAACTTGCGGAAACTTTTTGCGGACTTTTATTTGTCAAGGAAAAAGTGTCCGCAAAAAGTTGTCCGCAAATTTTTGTTACGGTAAAATTTCTCAATCTTGCGGACGGTTTTTGCGGACACCCGCAAGTTGCATAAATTTTTCATTCCTGCGGACACTTTTGCGGACATCCGCAAGTTTTGTCCGCAAGTCAAAAATTAAGTTTGCGGATTTTTGTGAAAACTTGCGGATTTTTTGAGAAAATTAAAACATTTTTATTTCAGGGTGACCGGTTATTTGTTTGGCAAAACGAGCAAATTTGTTGCTGCATTTGTTGGCGGAGCAGTTCTACTTGTCCAGGTTATTCTCTTTTTATTTTTACACTGCTAGGAATTAAAGCTGGTCTAATAAGGGTTGTGGTGGTCCGTAGGTTTGTCCGCAAATTTAGGGTTTTTGCCGCTAGGGTAGGGTTGTTCGCACATGCCAGTCCGCAAGTTCAGGGTTGTGTCTGCAAGTGGGGATTTATCCGAAAATCGGGTTTATCCGCAATTGTCCCGAACCAGAATTTTTCGAGGAAGGCACAATTGTACGTTGTTGGGGGTTGTGTCCGCAAATATCATCCGCAAAAATTTACTCGATATTTGCGGACAAGCTTGCGTTGGGGTTTGTCCGCAAAAATTTATCCGCAAATTCGGTCAATCCTCATTTTCAATTGTAATTTCAGTTAACACTTTTTCCTTCTTCCACTACAATTCTATCAAATTAATCTCCCCAAATTTTAGTTGTTTGAATGTCAAGGCTATTTAACAATAAACAAAAAAAGATTGAGTCGAGACATTGGACAGGCAAAGGAACAACTTTCTGCTGTGCTGGGGACTGTTAATAATGGAGAAACGAAGAATTGGGTTGATAATTGTGTGGCAAAAGGAGAGGCTTTAATTTCGAGAAAATCGACGAATAATGGAATGGTATTTTTCTGATTTTTTCGTTAGGGAAAGTCCGCAAGTTTCGAAAGTCCGCAATTTTTTTAAAAATCCGCAAATTTTTCGAATGTCCGTAAGTTTTTTGGAAAGTCCGCAAATTTTTTGAAAAGTCCGTAAAAAAAGAAAATCGACGAACACCTCATTATAAGGTACAATTTAGTTCAGACCCAAGCTGTACTCCGCAAGTTTTTCTAAAAGTCCGCAAGTTTTGTCCGCAAAATTTTAGATATACCCAATCAAAAAATATCAGTATAAGATACATTTTATTTCAGACCCAATGGTCGGTCTATAAGTGAAATCCGAATATTTTTCGGCGCGCCGAACTTTGCGGATCCAAAATTTGATGACCTACACGAGTAAAAAGAAAGCTTCTATTTTTCGATGATTCTGGCGGAGTTTCAAGATTTTTTTCGGATTTTTCAAAAATATTTTTTCATCAATTTTTTGTCAGAAATTATTTCAAATCCATTTCATAAGGTCAAGGTGCCTGATTATGGAAATTTTTGAAATTTCCAAAGTCTGGAAACAAAATTCAGGTCCGCAAATTTTGTCCGCAAAATTCGGCGCGTGGAGAAAACTTGCGGACTCTTAAGAGAGTATAAAGAAGAGGAACCTTTTTAATAAAAAAAAATTTCTTTTAAAGGTACGCAACTTTTTAATTCAAAATATTCGAACAATTGGTGGATTTCTGGGAGGTGCGCTTCTTGGATTTGGGTTGTCTTGAATTTATTTTTTAAAGAAATGAGAGATAATCTATATTTTTGATATAATATTTTCAAATTTTGAAATTTTTTTTTCCTTCAAATTTTTCAGAAAATATATAAAATGAGTCTGAGAAATTGAAAAAAAAATTTTTTTGACTGCTGCAGGAAGAGCCGAGCAAGGAAAGGCCCGTCCCATCTCTGGTCGGGGTTTAATCCCGCGGGATCCTGTCCCGTAAAAATTTTGAAAGAAATCCCGTCACGGGACGGGATTTTTTAATATCGGGATACTTACGGGATACTGTCCTGAAATCCCGTACCAGGCGGGCGGGTAGGAAAAAGTCTGGATTTCGAGCAGGTTTTGGAAAATTTCTCGGGGCTTATTTTGTTCGGATAACCCGTCGCATCTCTGATCCACAGAAAAACACGCAGACAAGGGTGGTGACTCGAGCCGTATCCTTGGCTTATAGTCCAGAGTAGAGTGCGTACGGGACAGGATCTCGAACTGATTTTACGGGATACTGTCCTGAAATCCCGTATTTTAAGTAACGAACGGGATTATTGGGATTAATCCCGCGGGATCCTGTCCCGTAAAAATTTTGAAAAAAATCCCGTCACGGGACGGGTTTTTTTAATATCTGAAAAGCCTGAAATTCCCTAAAAAGCCAAAAATGTCTGGTAGTACTCAAAAGTACAGGGAAACCCCCTCAAGGCTTGGAGGCTAAAAATGGTTGAGACCAACTCATGACTAAAAAATTCAAGAAAATTATTTTAATCCCAAAACAAAAAATATTTTAATTATCAAAAAATAAACCATTTTTAAAAACACACAAATTTTTAGCAAAATTCTTCACAAAAAAATTTTTTTAAATTCTTTCAAGTCTCCATAGGCGTAACAAAATTTCCACAAAGTTCCACATCTTTCTGAATTTCTTTTGTTTTGAGAACAGTACTGAAAAAATATTTTTTTTGTTAATTTTTAAGCTAACAATAAAGGACGGTCAAAGGCTCACTCCAAAAATCATCGTCATTTGACTTTCTTATTGTGAGCTCTTTCAAATGAGTTATTATTTACCTATTTGATTTTTTGGCCCCAAAAATGAGCGTGGCTCCCCTCCACCTCCACACTTATGGTTTAACAATTTTCGGGGACCTATGATTCGATATCTCTCCTAATCCCCCCTAATCTCCGTTAAACTCCTCATTCCTCATAATCCCCAAAATAATATTATCTCACCTGAATCCTCTAATATCTCTGTCCTTTTAATCCCCATTATCCCTCCTTAATCCACTCAAATCTCCTTTAATCTATTCAAAACCACAGTCATTCCCTCCTTAAAGAATGGTACCATTCAAGGCCGTAGCCAGAGGGAGCTTATGGGCCCAGCCCTAAATGGAAAAATATTGTATCCTGTACGTCTAAAAAATTTACGCACGAAACGCCAAAATTTTCGTGCGTATTTTAGCGCACGTCCAATTTTAGCCCCCACTGAAATCGGCCATCTATGCCCTTGGCACCATTCGACTCATTGTCAGCTCGACGAGAGGAATCGAATGATATATAACTCGACCCATTTTTTGGAGCGAGGCCTTTGAAAAAAATTTTCAAAAAAAATTTTCAAACGTAGTTCCAATTTCAAAAATATATTTTCCGTCCAATTCGCTACGCTTTGAAAATGCTGGAACAAATGGCCCTTCCATCTTTTTACCATTTTTAGTGAAGATTGCAAGGTTATAAGCATTCCTTTAAAATAAAAAAATTCTTTAGTTTCTAATCAAAATTTAGAAAAAAATTTTTTTTACCCAGACATGTCATCCCCATGCATTCCAGCTTCCACAGCCTTACAGACTAATTTACGGCATTCGTCTTCCTTAAAATTAAAAATTTTTCAAAAATATAAAAATTTTGTCGGAAAAAATTTTCAAAAATTTTTAAAAAATTTTTGAAAATTTTTTCGATAAATTTTTCGATAAAATTTCCCAAAAAAAATTTTTCGTAGTCGGAGAGATTCGAACTCTCGCGGGAAAATCCCATTGGATAGCAGCTATCAAATTTAGCAGTCCAACGCCTTAACCACTCGGCCACGACTACGCTTACTGTTCGTTCCCTATTTTTATGTTAAATGCAAAGGGGAAAAAAGAAAAAAAGACAAATTAACGCAGGGAATGACCCTTTACAGTTTTTAAAAATTTCTAAAAAAACCGTCATGTCCGGCTTAAATCCATTTTCCAATTCAGCTATAGCACAAAGACAGCCTGAACCATCAGCGCTAAAAGGCTTTAAAAATCCACCGCCGGAGGCAGAAACTTCGAATAAATAGGCTCCGGTAGAATCAACGCCACAAACTAATAAATAAGCGGAGACATGGCCTTGATACTTGAAAAGAAAAAAATTTTATTTTAAAAAATTTCTTAAGAATACTCATGTCAATCGGGTAAAGGATAAAACACCGTCCGACTAAATAGAATGCAAAGTAGGCCAACTTTTTTCCTTTTCCCCATTGTGGAAGGAGAGCGGAGGAAGGGGAGAGGAGGGAGATTGAAGCAAAAGAAGGGAATAAATGGAAAAAGAGGAGGCAAAAAAGTCCAAAATTGGGTTTGACCCTCAACCCGAAAGTCCCAAACCCCGAAAACCCTTGACCTCGAAGAGTTCAACCCAGAAAACTGACACCGATTCACAACCCGACACGAGTAGTCAAAATAATCCTCGCCATTCCCACTCCTAATTCCGAACTTTTCAACCCTAACGAGTCTGGGGCCAGCCCAATCGGGTGAGGGACAAACCGCCGTCCATCAAAATGCAGTCTGGGAATTAAAGTGTGTAGACGGTTATGTGGTCGGACGATGACTTGTCCTGAGACATATCCCAGGAAATTTTGAAGTTTTTAGGTCAAATACCGATTTCTTGCCTATTTTCCCTTGGGGTCATCCTATTTGGAGGCAAAACAATTTGGGAGGTAAAAAATGGAAAATAGGCAAAAAATAGAGAAGCATGCCTTAATTTTAAAATATAATGGCCCCAACCTAGAAAGTCTTAACCTGTAAACCTAACCACAAAAAACCAACCGTGAAAACACAAATTCCAACCCAAATCCAATACGATTTTTAGGAACCCGCCCAGGAAAACTCTCAACCCTGACCTCGAACTTTTCAACCGAGTCGGGGCCCCAAAGTCCTAAAAATTCCCCCAAAATTATTCAAAAAAACCTGAAACAAATATTGCCGTAAACGACGCCCAGCCATCATAACCCGAGCTTTTTTCCCTTCATTATTCAACTCAAAAAGTTCCATTTCCGTTTCCATCATTGCTGTAACCTTTTCCAAGTCTGATTTACAACCTGCTCCAGCAGCATAAATTAAGTCAGTTATACGATGTAATTTTATAGCATTCTTGACAGAGACCAAATTTCCCATTGTAGAACGGGCATCTGCACCGACAATTACTCCGTCCTAAAAATTTTGGATTTTGGGGGTTTGAGAGGGTTTTCCAAGGGAAAGACCTTGGAGAAACCTTAGAGAAAGACCCCCTTCACTCGCACCTCTCGAAGACCTGATACAGGCCCTTTGCCCCCTTCACCGTCTATCCAAAACAGAAGAGACAGGCCCATAGCCCTCCCTCAAAAACAAAGACAGACACTCAACAGACTCTAAGATTATGTTAGTAAAATGGACAAATTCTCATATGGAAACCCTATGTTTATAGCCCAACAGCCCAATCCTAGCTTATAGAGATCGGCCTAGGTTTGGACCAAGGCCTGGGGTTTTCCTGCAACCAGAGTCCAGGCATTTTTTTTAACTTTCTGGGTTTTTCCTGGGCCTGGGGTTTTCTTGGGTCTAAAAACAGAAGTTTTCCAGAGTCTAAAAACAGGCCCAGACTTTTCAAAAATACCTGCCTCTACCAGCCCATAAATAAATTCAAAAATTCGAAACCTTAAAAACAGAAGCCACAATAGTCGTTCCAGTACTTGTAATATTCGTTTTACACTCCTTGTCGCCATTTTTGATGGCTAATTCGTTAAAAGCCAAATTCCGTTCCATAGCGGAATTATCAAACCCATATCCACCCAAAGGCGTATTAAGAAGTTGTTGAGAAAGTTTAACTGTTGGATACATGATTTCTGTAAAATTAAGTGTTTAATAAGGTAAAGAAACGTTAAAATTGGAAAAAGAAAAAAAAAATTCAAAAAAATCTCAAGAAAAAACTGAAAAATGATTACATTTTTAAAAGACGCTTAAATTGGATTTTGAATGAAAAGAGTGTGGAAAAACGAGAGAGCGGGAAAATGAAAAAGAGAAATTAACGAGAGAGTGCGATAAAGTTAAGCGAGACAGTTAGAAAGTTAGGCAATTTGATTTACTCAAGCCTTTATGGGATTTTTAAAGTTGATATTTTGATATTTTAATTTAGAAGAATTTCAATTTGTCAACTTTTAATTGGTAACTTTATTTGTCAACTTTTACGTTTTTCGGTAGAGGACGGGTTAGAAATTCGACCATAACTTTCTTAATTTTCGACCGATTCGAATAATTTTTACTTCATTCGAAAGGTCTTGATCTAGGGATTATTTACATAATAGCTGGACAGGTAATAGTGTCGTTTCCCAGCCCCCTTTTTTTCCTCCCAATTTTCTACCCTATGTTTGTACGGAATGGTCAAATTTTCCCCTTTCTTTCATCAAATTTGCCTTTCCATATTTTGCCTAAAAACAATCAAAAAAGATTAATTTGTGATATTTAAATAAGTATTAGAGTAATGAGAAGAATCATTTTCCCAATTAATAAAAATGGAAGAACTAAAGAATTTCAAACCTATTGATTTATATGAAAAATTACGTTTGAGTGATAATGATTTCGATGCATGGCTTGAGAAGCTTGGACTTCTTCATGGAAAGAGAACTTGCTAAAAATGTGGGGGTCGAACAACAATAAGTGTTAAGAAAGACGAAAGATATGGATGTTGGCGGTGTACAACCAAAAATTGTAGAGCAAGACAAGGTTCTTTTTTTAAGTTTTTTTTAAAAAAATCTTTACTCTAAGGTTATTTATGTGGTACCTTCTTTGAAGGTACGCATCTGACCACAAAAAAGGTATTTCATCTTTAAAATAAACGAAAATTCAGACATCAAGCTGGCAACAACACTGAAACCTATAAAAGTTATCTCCCGGAATTTATGTGGCGAAAACGATTTGGCAATATTGAAAATGTTTTTTATAATTTTTGGCATCATGTCTCACTTTTTTATCCTTGTGAAAGAAATGAATAAAAAATTAATCTTTTTTGATTGTTTTTAGGCAAAATATGGAAAGGCAAATTTGATGAAAGAAAGGGGAAAATTTGACCATTCCGTACAAACATAGGGTAGAAAATTGGGAGGAAAAAAAGGGGGCTGGGAAACGACACTATTACCGCTGGACAATTTATCGACCTTTCTACAAAAAGTTATTGCCTAAAAACTGACGAAAAGCTGATTTTTTCTGCCTGTAACATCGTTTAATCACTCGTAACCTTTTGTGGAGAGTCTGAATTAGATTGGTCTAAACTTGAAAAAGATGCCCCATTTCGAAACCTTTTGAATGCTACATAGAAAAATTTTTCTACTCTTCCTTTTTATTTTTCAGAATTTATTTTATTTCATTAAAAATGGAAACTTCTGAGCCTCAAGTTGAACACCAAGTTGGTTTACCTGCGAAGGATGTTCGTCCAAAACGCAAGTCGAAACCAAAGAGACACCCAACTTTTTCTGGTATTGAAAGCCGACTTGACTTTTTGATTAATAAAAAAATGGTTTTTTAAATTTTTTTGCTTGTAAGTAGGGTTATCGGTTCGGAACTGAACCGACGCCCGAGGATTTTTCGGCTCGGTTCTTCGTTTCGCTTTCGATTATCCAAAAAATTTCCAGGACCCGACAACCCTACTTATGAGTTATCGGTACTTGTGTAGTTTACCCCCCATGAGCCCCGAGCCTTTTTCTTCCCTCGTCCTTTTTTTCCCTCGTCCTTTTTATTGGAGAGCGGTATTTTGGCGTTCGGTGCGCCATTACACAAGTACCAATGCCCACAAAATTTTCCCCACAAAAATTTCAGCAAGCAATCGAGAAGGGCTTATGGGGGGTAAACTACACAAGTACCACAAAAATTTTCCACACTTAAAAATTCAGCAAGCAATCGAGAAAACCTATGAAATTGAGGATGATGAGTATGATATAAATGATGAACAAGGAATTAAATTGATGGAGTACCGGGACAAACTCCTTTCGAAAGCTTTTGATATGGAATGTGAACAGAGAAATTATGCGGAGTTTGAGGATGCTGAAGTTGCTTCAATGTAAGAAAAAAAATTTTTTTGATAAGATTTGACTTTGTTTTAAGATACCCCCAATTCTGCAGAAACCCCTTTATAAGATACGCACCCTGAGAAATCGTACTTTATAGGGAGTCACATAAATCTTAAAGGGGAGGGGGGGGGGGCAAAATTTGGTTGGTCATCGGCTGGGAAGAGCTTCTCAAGTGATACCCGTTATTTAAGATACCCAAATTTAAGATAACCTCTATTTAAATGACACCTCATTATAAGGCAAGAGCGTAGCCAGGGGGCTAAATACACATCAGTTTCGAGGGGAGGGGGCTGCTCAAGTGATGATTTCTATTTAATCGACACCTTAGGGGAGTACCCTCTATTTAAGCGACACTCTTTATAAGGCATAAATTCAGACCCAAAGGGGTGTCTTATAATGAGATTTGACCACACCTATTTTACCAGATTAATTTTTATTAAGAGTTGAATGTGTTTCAAGTTCACCCAATCCCATCTTTATTTATGACACGGATTTGGAACCTTTGGATCAGATGCTGACTACATTCATTAATACTCCTGGCGGTTTATTGTCAGATTATTTGTAGGTTTATTTTGACTAGAATTTTGGTGGCGTTTGGATGGGGGTTTGCGGACGATTTTTGCGGACTTTTATAGGAAAGCAGAATTGTCCGCAAGAGATGTCCGCAAATAGAAAAAGTCCGCAAATTTCAAAAATCCGCAAAGAATGTCCGCAAATAAAAGAAGTCCGTAAAATATGTCCGCAAATAAAATAAATCCGCAAAAAACAAAAAGTCCGCAATATATGTCCGCAAATATAAAAAGTCCGCAATAGATGTCCGCAACTTTAAAAATGTCCGCAAGATATATCCGCAAATAAAAGAAGTCCGCAAAATATGTCCGAAAACCGAAAATAGGTAGTCCGCAAATTTGAAAGTCCGCAAAAAATAGAATGTCCGCAAATAAAAAAATCAGCTATATTTGTCCGCTAATTTGAAAAGTCCGCAAGATATGTCCGCAACTTTAAGTAGGTCCGTAAATTTCGTCCGTAAAAAAAGTCCGCAACTTCAAAATCTTCAAAGTCCGCAAAATATGTCTGCAAATAAAAAAAAGTCCGCAAAACCCATCCAAACGACACAAGTACTCAAATTCTTTCAAAAATTTTTTTTAGAATTCCCGAATTTGAAGATGTTAGGGACTTTCTTGAACATATTCGCACTGAAGGTGATTGTCCGTTATATGATCGTTTTGTTCCTAAATTGGATACGGAAGAGTATTGTAAGTAAATTTATTTTTGGGGATATATGGGGGAGGGAAATTTTAATTTTAGGCAAATTTGAAATTTGCCTGAAAGTGAAAAAGTCCGCAAAAAGCGTCCGCAAATGAAAATGTCAGTTGAAAAATTTCGCATTAAGCGAACGCAATAAAAAATGTCCTCAAGTGGAAGAGTCCGTAAGTAGAAAAGTCCGCATAAAATGTCTATTGGCAGATCTAAAATCTTCCGGCAGATTTCAAATTTGCCTGAAAGTGAAAAGTCCGCATAAAGCGTCCGCAAATAAAAGTCTACATAAAGCGTACGCTAATAAGAATATCCGCAAGTGGAAGAGTCCGCAAGAAGAAAAGTCCGCATAAAATGTCCGCAAAAATGTGAAAGTTCGCAAAAATGAAAATGTCCGCATAAAGAAAATTAAAAAAAGTCCGCAAATTGTCATGTCCGTAGATGGTAATGTCCGCAAAAACGAGAATATCCGCAAAATATGTTCGCAAAAAAGTCCGCAAATGTGAAAGTCCCCGAATAAAAAAAGTCTACCGGCAAATTTTAAATTTTCCGGCAGATTTCAATTCTGCCTGAAATTAAAATTTCTAGTCCTCCCTTAATTTAAAAAATTTTTCAAATTTTTAGCTGATTACATTCTCAAAATACTCCGAAATGTTCGAGAAAAAATTCAGTTGCACAGGTCAATTAATTTTCGTCAAATGTATGATAAACAAGCAGATGAAGGGCAACAAGTTGTTAATAATGGTCAATCAAAAGCAGATTCTCTTACACCTTTGGATAAATTTGCTGAAAAGGTTTAAATTTTTTAGAATATTTTTACCCTCAAGATACCCCCCAATAAGGCCCGTAAACAGGATTTTTTCGGAGGGAGGAGGGCAAGGGGGAAAATTTTTCTGCGCAGAATTTTTGACGCAGAAAACGCTAAAAGACTGTAGGCCAAAAGATACACTTTTTTGCTCAATCCCCTCCCCAAATTTTTCCTTTTTTCCAATTTAGAAGGGGGGGGGGGGAATTCCCTCCCCCCCTCACCCCCCCCCCCCCTGGCTACGGGCCTGGGTGACCCGTCCAAATCCTGGTATGTATCAGGGCTGGGCTTATTTCGCAATTTCGCGTTTCGCATCTTTCGCATTCTCGCATTTTCTAGCGCGAAAAGTTTCGCATTTCGCTTTTTATTTTTTAACTTCGCCCAGCCCTATCAGGAAGGCCGTAGTTAGGAAAAATTTTCGAGAGGAGCCACTGGGGGAGGGGGGGGGATCATTTTCGGCCTCTTGGGTACGGGCTGGTATCTGGGGCAGACCTGTAGCTAGGATTTTTGGAGAGGGGACAGGGGGAAAATAATTTTAACGTCAAATTTTCGGCGCCAAAGTTGAAAATTTTGAGAGGATTTTGGAGGGCCGTAAGCCTCAAAAAATCAGTTTTTTTTTTCACCCTCCCCAAAATTTTTTTTCCTTTTTCCCATCTCGGGGGTGGGGGGGGGAGGTACGACAATTGAGGATACGAACTTGAGGATCTGACATATGGGGACGACATATGAGGATTTGACAAATGAGGATAAAAATGAAAAATAAAAAAGACTTGAAAAATCCATAAAACTCGGAAGACCCCCACTCACCGTTTTTTTATTATTATTTTAATTTTCAATTGTCGTCCTCATTTGTCATATCCTCAAGTGCGTATCCTCAATTGTCGCAATACCTGGGGGGGGGGGGGGTTGGGGGTTGGGAATTCCCCCTCATTTAATAAATATTTATAATTGAAGACTTTTACCCAAATTTTTAAAGTTGGCAACGATGAAATCCGAAGGGCAAATTGTCAAGGAAGAAGAACCTTCTCAGGATGACGTTGATGATTTGGAAATTTTGGAAATTTTTACAAAAAGTCCAACACCGAGTGAAGCGTCGCACTACAATGATGTTTTGCAGCCAACCACTTCCAAGGAGGCAACTGATATTGATCTGGAGATTATTGCGCTTGATAAAGAAAATGGTGAGAATGTGAATGTTGGAAATTGTGCTAATGTTGGGGACAATAATATGGTATGATTATGCATTTATTGAAGAAAATTTTTTTTGCGAATCCGGAAAAAACTTGCGGACAAATTTTTGCAGACAAATTTTTGCGGACAAATTTTTTTGCGGACATTTTTTTTATAGAATTTTGATATAGATATGAAATTTAGTTGTTCTTATTTTTACGTTGTGTTTCTTTTTAGAAAAAAGTCCGCAGAATTTTTGCGGACAAAAATTGCGGACACTTTTTTGTCCGCAAAATTTTTGCGGACAAAATTTTTTTCTAAAATTTTTTTTATCTTGAAGGACCGTGTTTCTGATTCTGAAATACTTTTAAAATTCTGGTTTAAAAAATCCGCAAATTTTGTCCGCAAAAAATTATTTGTCCGCAAAATTTTTGCGGACAAAAATTTTTTTCTAAATTTTTTTTGATTTTTTTTTCTAAAATTTTTTCTTATTTTGAAGGATTGTGTTTCTGATTCTGAAGCTTCAGCAGCTTCTTCAAAAAAATCTGATGACAGCATTGCAGTAGGGGAAAGTGCAATTAGCCCAATAGCTTCTCCAAAGAAGCAAGAAGTAAATGAGGTCAAAATGAAAGATTATAAGGAAGAAGAGGACGATGATATTATCTGCATTGATTGAGAATTTAATTGGAAGGAAAAAGGAGCTTTTATTTTTTTAAATTATTTTTTTTTCGTTTGTTGTGAACAGTCGGACCTCGCTATAAGATAACCCAACTTAAAAAACCCCTGCTATAAGAGAAAATATGATCCCCCTCTATTTAATATATATCTCATTATAAGATACATACAATTATCTGGGGTCAACTTCGAAGACCTTCATCCTTAGGACCCCTATAGACCTATTGAACCTGAAGACCTTTGACTTTTAAGACCTGTTGACACTGAACCCCTAAATGCCTATATTGACCCGGAGGACGTAGACCTGAAAGGCAATATCGATCAATTTAGAGGCCTCCATCCTTAAGACCCCTGAAGACCTGTTGAACCTGAAGGCTATTGACTTTTAAGACCTGTTGACACTGAACCCCTAAATACCTATATTGACCTGGAGGACGAAGACTTGAAAGGGAATATCGATCCATTTAGAAGCGGATAAGTATGGAGATCTGTATAAAGCTCTCTGGTTGAGTAGATCCCTTTCAAAATTTGTAGGTTTTCAGAGTCATTTAGGGTGTAGATCTTCAGGGGTGGACTCGATTATTTCTGCCTTAATGGGGGTTTTATACGTGAGATTCGACTATATCTCCTCAAGCATAATTGCGGATACTCTTCTTTTATCTTCTCGCATCAATCAACATTTAAATTTTTTGTTTGGGTAACTTGACCATAAAAGGAAGTATCCGAAAATGTGCTTGAGGATAAAGTACCCTATATTAGGCTGCTGAAAATTTTTTTTTTCATTCTTTTTTTGTCTACGACCTCAATACAATTAGTGACCGAAATGTGAGAGGGGGACCCCTGCTCTAATAATCACGTTATCCTTTTTTTAATTTGCAAGGAAACTAGGCTATGCCGGAGACAACCCGTCAGTGAACAAAGCTGTCAATCCTACCGCTACCTAGCCTATCAACACCCAAATTTTTTTATTTTTTAGTGGGAGGGATCAGGCTGTCCGCAATTGCGGATGCGTGGTTTTTTGGACTTGCGGTTAACGGTTATTTTTTTCATTTGCGGACAGCCCTGGTGGGGATGGTATCGAGAGTGAGTTGGAGAAATATTACGGGGGATTAAGGGGAATGGACGAATTGAAAGACTGACGGGGTCTCCTTCCAGCAGACGCAGAAAATCCTCGAGACCCCTACCCGAAAGAGAGAAAGGATCCCGAAAATGTATCGGTCACTAAATACAAAATATTATTTGCATTGTTATAAATTGAAGTTTACCAGACATTTTTTAAATCAAAAAATGTGCTTTTTAAGAGCATATTTATATTTTTAAAATTTTTTTTTAATTTTTACCTTGCCATAGGTGTTGGGGTCATTTTGGCGCGGGCCATAAAGACACAACTGTTTTTGGCGCGGATATAAGGGCGCGAGTAAGGTCTGCGGCGAAACGTCCCCGTCACTGCAAAATTAAATAAGGGGTTATTTTGGCGCGGGCCATAAAGATACAACTGTTTTTGGCGCAGATATAAGGGCGCGGGTAAGGGGCTGCGCCGAAACGTCCCAGTCAACGACGTTTTGTCGGACGGTGTTTTGTCCTATTTAAACACTAAAAAAGTTGCATACTATAAAAAGGAGTTTGTTTGTTGGTTCTCTCCTTTATTTTTGTTTTTCCTTTATGTTTTTCTTGTCATTTATTTTTATAATAGAATCAATTTTTGTTTTGTGTTGTTTTGTTAACCAATGGCCTTTTTTACCTTCAAAAATTATTTGCAAAGGCAAAATAGATACGTAATTCTAAGGAGAGAACCTTCAAACTAAATTCTATTAAGCTTAACAAAAATTGGTTTTTTAGAAACGTAAAAGTAATTGAAAAACTTTTCGGCGCTTTAAAGGACCGGGGACCTCAAAATGGGATAAGATTTTCGGACTAGTACTTCCTAGATTGAAGTGTCCGCAAATATTTGCGGACAATTTTTTCTGAGACTGAATTGTCCGCAACTTTTGTCCGCAAATGTCTACGTGCTGGACAATCTTTTTTGAGACTGAATTGTCCGCAACTTTTGTCCGCAAATATTTGCGGACAATCTATTAAGAGATTAAATTGTCCGCAACTTTTGTTTGCAAATTTTGCGGACATTCTTTTCCGAGATCAAATTGTCCGCTACTTTTGTCCGCAAATATTCGGATAAGAGTTGCGGACAAATAATCTTTACAGAGGGTTTGTCCGCAACTTTTGTCCGCAAATACTTGCGGACAATCTATTCCGAGACTGAATTGTCCGCAACTTTTGTCCGCAAATATTTGCGGAAAAGCTTTTCTGAGACTGAATTGTCCGCAACTTTTGTCCGCAAATACTTGCGGACAATCTATTAAGAGATTAAATTGTCCGCAACTTTTGCCCGCAAATACTTGCGGATAAATTTACGGACAAATAATCTTCACAGAGGGTTTGTCCGCAACTTTTGTGCGGATGTCCGCAAACATTTGCGGATAAAAGTTGCGGACAAATTTTACGAGATTTAATTGTCCGCAAGTTTTGTCCGGAAATTATTTTGTTTTATTTTTAGATTTTTTTGTCTATTTATTATAATAAATTTATTTTAAAAAATGACTACGTCTACGTGCTGGAATGATCCAAGGATCCGAAGCAGAGAAAAATCGGATTTTGTGTTGAAATACGACAAGTTAAACAATCCACGGGCTATGAGCCAAAAGAAATATAATGAGGTTTTATTGTTTTTATTCGATTTTAGGGGGGAACGGAGGGACCTCAAAAGGGGACACCTAAAAATGGGTAGAGGCGGCTAATGGGAGTAGGATGGACAATTGCAGCCCCGTAGCCAGGGGCAGAAAATTTTCGGCGCATGGGCCGTCGTTGTGTGCAATCCTCCGGGTTTTCCTATTGGGGCTATTAAGAAGTCGTGTTTTAAATGTTTGGTGATTTAGTGGGTATTGGATTTGGGTAATATGTCGCGTGAGTTTTGAGGATTTTTTGACGGGTTTTTGTGATAGAGCTGGTTCAGGGCCAAGGCCCTTGTTTTTCCTGTACCCAGGGTCCAGGCATTTTTTACCTTCCTGTTGTTTTCCTGGGCCAGGGTTTTTCCTGGACTACAGGCCCAGGATCCTGCCCAGGTCAATACATCAAACCGGGAGTCCAGCCCAAGAACAGGCCCAGGCTTTTCAAAAATTTCGATCTCTACTAGGAAGGTCTTCCAAACTATTCTAACCTTAAAATTTCTTTCCTAGACATTACAACAAATGGGGGAGTATGGCACAACTTGTCATGTTCAATCAGTCTACAATGTTTGCAATCAAAAAGATGTTAATGGACGGGATGTGTTGCGTTTGGTTGAATTAAAATCTGGAAAGCTTGTTATACCGTTGGAAGATGTTTTTGACGAAATTGAGAGGTTTTTTTGGGGATTTTATTGGGGGAGGGGGGGTGTTTAAGTTTTGGGCTGATTAAAAATGATTTATAAGTTGAGAGGGAGATTGGTCGCAGGAAGCATTTGGGGCGGGTTTTGAATCGAAGAACAAGGCCGGGTTTCGGGTTGGTTGTCTTCAAAACTTGTCCGCATTATTTTGCGGACCTTTTTGCCTAGGAAATCCGCAAAATTTGACCGCAATTTTTCCGTTTGTTTCAACTTTTTTGCGGACTTTTCTCACGGACTTTTTTCTTGTCAAGTAAATTTGCAAAGTTTGGCCGCTAAACTTGTCCAAAAATTTTTTCCGCTTATTTTAACTATTTTTTCGGACTTTTTTCCAAAAATTGTCCGCATTTTTTGTTTGTCCGCAAATTTGTCCGATTATTTGATCTGTTTTTGTGGACTTTTCTCCGCGGACTTTTCTTCCCAAGGAAATCCGTTAAATTTGTCCGCAATTTTCTGCGGGCTTTTCTTGCCAACGAAGTTCGCAAAATGTTGTGTCTGCAATTTTTTTCATTGAAAGAAAGTCCGCAAAATGTGTCCGCAATTTTTTCCATTCATTTTAAAACTCACTTTTGACCCCTTTTTTAAGAATTCACCTTCAACACAACCATTTGTGCAACATTGCAAAATTCTACCAAGCTATCAAAGAGTCAACAAACCTCGCTACGGGCAATATAAGCTTTGAAATGGCCAAGGATTTTATCAGTCGCTGCCAAACTTGCACAATAAAGTCGCAACAAAAATCGTCAAAAACTTCACAAAATACGGGGCTTTTTGCCCCAAAGCTGTCACCAACCAAATTTCCAAAGAAGAATGCGAGGCCGGAAAGCTCCTCTCCAATTTTGTTGTCTAATGGAGCTTTGAATTCTGGTGGAAAGAGTGATGGAGCAAAGAATGGTTCTAAATATGGTTTTTATTTTTAAGAATTTTGGGGGGTTTTGGGAGGATTTCTTGACCTTCCTCCTATCGAGGGGATATCAGATATAGGCTGGGTTAAGGAAAAACTTGGGCGATTTTTGGGTCGAAAAATGTTCGGGTATCGGATTTTTGGTAATACGTCCTCTTTGCAGGGGAGTAGCCAGGGGAGTTTAACCCCGTGAGTTGTTGGGGGGTTGTTTATAACCTTCTTCCCATCGAGGGCATATCAGGAATGGGCTGGGTTAAGGACAAACTTGGCCAAGTTTCGAGTCGGAAATGTCCGATGTGAGTATTGGATTTCAATTAGTCCACGATAGGAAAGTCCGCAAATCCATGCTTGCGGACTTTCCAAAAGTAGGAGGTTTGGGAAGGTAGGGGGAATAATGGGAGATAACACATCCTTTGGAATTGTAGAAATTTTCAGATGTCAACAAGTCCTCCCCTGCTCCCTTAACAAATTGATCGTCTTGGGTTCTTTTAAAATTTTTTTTTGTTTTCAGGCTCTAGTAATAATGGTCAGAATTTTATGCCTCATAGTCAACCTTCTTTTGTTGCACCAAGTCCGATATATACAGCAGGTTGGGAAAATTTTTTTAAATTTTTTTCCTAATTCTGTTGGATCTAACAAACCATCAGAAACCTTTTGGGGAGCCTAAAAATGAGGCAGTATTTGCGGACTTTTTTAATTGATTTGCGGACTTTCCTCTCGCGGACTCTTGCAGACTTTTTCGACTTTCAAACTATCCGCAATAATTGTTTACAATTTTATTGATTATTGTCCGCAAAAATTTGTCCGCAAAAAATTATCCGCAAAAGATTTTTTGGTCCGCAAAAATTTTTTGTCCGCAGATTTTTTGTCCGCAAATTGTGTCCGCAAAAAATTTCCGCAAAAATTTCCGCAGATTTTTTTGTCCGCAGATTTTGTGTCCGCAAAAAATATTTGTCCGCAAAAATTTGTCCGCAAATCCCCAAAAATTTTATTTTTTTAGTTAATCGCCCATTTTTTCCAACAACACCGCTATCAAATCAACCATTTTCTTCTATGACTTCATCGTCTACTAAAGATTTTAACAAGTCTGGATGGATGCCGACTTTTACGTCTACTCCTCTTGCCACAAAAGCTGCTCAACCAAGAATTGGTATTTTTAAATTTTACAATTAGATAGCCACCGCCCTATAGTCACCAAAGTTATGGAAACAAAGTATATTTGTCCGCAAAAATTTTGCGGACAAATTTTATCTGTCCGCAAAAATTTATTTGTCCGCAAGTTGTGTCCGCAAAAATTTTGCGGACAAATTTTTTATCCGCAAAAATTTTTTGTCCGCAAGTTGTGTCCGCAAAAATTTTGCGGACAAATTTTTTCTCCGCAAGTTGTGTCTGCAAAAATTTTTCAATTTATTTTTTCCCTTCAGATATCTCGTCAACTTCATTCTTGATTCCACAATTTACACCGCATCAAAATAGTAATACAAATCAACTGGCTAATAATTGTCTGATCAATAATCGAAGCGTAATCACTTGTGGACCAGCTTTACAATCTTCAAACGCTTTCACGCAAAATACAACAGTCATTATTAGCGATCATCCTGAAGTACCTCCAATTAGAGAGGTGGTGCAGAATTCTGAGGGGAATGCTTCAAGTAGAGAGCCGGTGATTAAACAGGTTTCTGAGAGAATTTTTAGACTAGTTTTTGCGGTTGGGTAAGGCCTTACCTTTAGGTACACACCTCTTTACAGGGGCGTAGCCAGGGAAGGGGGGGGGGTGGATATGAGTGAGAAAAGCTGCTCATCGGGTGGAAAGAGCTACCCAAGTGATACCCTTCATTTAAGATACCCCTATATAAGATAACCTCTAGGGTTGGACGATACCGTTTAGAAACCTCGATTATTGTTCCCTGTGGCTGGTCAAAAAGAGAAGAGAGAAGGGAAAAGTCAACCACAGGGAAAAATAAACCTCGAATTAAACGGTCCCGTCTAACCCTAATAACCTCTATTTAAGTGACACCTCATTATAAGGCAAGGGAGTAGCCAGGGGCTTCAATGGTGTAGACAGGTGGGAGGTTGAAGCTTTCCCCCCGTCCCCAAAATGAGGGAAAGGTGAAAAAATTAGGAGAAGGATTATCTAAAAAGTGAAATTTTTCACCTATAACCGTTCAAATTCTCAAAATTTTCGCCTGCGGTACTGAAAAAAGAAAAAATCCGAAGAAAACTATTTTTAGTTGGGTTGGTTAGTGGGAGGTTATATTATAGCGTGGTCGACAAAATTTGTCCGCAAAATTTGTCCGCAAAATTTGTCCGTAAAATTTTTTGTCCGCAAAATTTGTCCGCAAAATTTTTTGTCCGCAAAATTTTTTGTTCGACTTAAATAAAATTTTTAACTTTAGGAAGTCCATCCAATCGATGAAATGCTTCAAAAATACATTGATGTTGGAGAATGGAAAAACGACTTTATTTTTACCGACACCGAATGTCGTCAAATCCTTGGAGAGCTGGCTAGAACACATTTTGGAATGTGGGAATTGAAAGAATCTAGAACAAATCCTGGAGAATTTTATTTTTTTAATAAGAAGGATGGAACGTGTCAATGGAATGAACCTGATGCTTGGGTGGAGGAAATTAAGAAGAGAGTTTCGATTGAAAAGGTTTTGAGAATTGAACAGGATGATGAGGTTTGGGGGGGGGGGTTTTAATTGTTTAAAAAATAAAAATTTTGCTGGGTTGGGACAGGGGCTTTGACTCCTTTTTAGAGTTTTTTTTTTGTGCTAACTTTTGCGGACTTTTTTTTTTGGCGAGATGTTTTTGCTGACTTTTTTTGCGGACTTTTCGCCTGCTCTGACTTTTCTTGTGTACGTTTATGCTTGTTGATTTTTTTTGGTGGACTTTTTGCGTACTTTTAGCTTTGCGGACTTTTTCTAGCGGACTTTTTGCGTGTGCACCTTTTCTTGCGTACGTCTTTGCTGACTTTTCTAGTCCTTTTTTGGCGGACTTGTTTTTGCGGACTTATGCTTGCGGACTTTTTTTAGCAAACTTTATTTGCGCATTTTATTTTTGGACATTTCCCGAATATTTTAGACTTTTTTATGCTTTTTGGACAAAAACCCAAAAAAAAGAAAACTTCCAAATTAATTCAAAAATTTTTAGAATAATCAACTTGAGGACGAAATTCTTGGCGAGGGTGATATAATTGAACAACCTTTTGAGGAAGACAATTTTGTTGTTGAAGATCCAATACAACGTAGGGATGAGAATGTTGTTCAGTCTTTAGGTTTGAAAATTTTTTTTAAATCTTTTTTTAAGACAATTTTCGGTTTATTTTATTTTGGGGTTTGAAGGTGTTTTTTGCGGATAAATTTTGCGGACTCCGAAATTGTCCGCAAAATTTTTTTTTTGCAAAAAAATAAACAAAAATAACTCTTTGGGGATATCTTTGGAGGCGAGTGAAGCTGTTTTAAAGGGACCTTTTCTGGATTAGTTTTCTTCATAATTTGTCCGCAAAAATTTTGCGGACTCCGAAAATATTCCGCAAAATTTTTTTCACAAAAAATACAAAAATAATTCCTTGGATATCTTTTGAGGGGGGAGAGGTCCACTGTTTTAAAAGCTTCTTACGGATTAGTTTTCTGCATATGTTATCCGCAAATTTTTTTTGTCCGTAAAAAAAACTTATGTCCGCAAAAAATTCTCTTGATTATTTTTAGAAAAATTCCTCAATTAAATTCCATTTTAATAATTAACAGAGCCAGCCAAAGAACAGCAACCAGTCGTTGAAAACAATATTGAAGAACTTATTGCATCACCAACACAGCAAGATTTGCCACAACAAGATATGGAGGAAATTGTTCAATCTTTAGGTTTCGATTTTTTTATTTTTCCTAAAATTTGGTTTTGATTTCCGTGGAAAAAAAAGGGGGGGGGCTGGCTTTTTTATGTTATTTTTCTTTAATGGGAAAATTGTCCGCAAAATTTTTTTTCTGTCCGCAAATTGTTTTGTGTCCGCAAAAAATTTTTTTCTAATTTTTTCTAAACTAGCGGAAGGGTCTGCAAAAATTTTTTCTATCAATTTAAGTTGACGACTTGATTACTGAACGTGAAAATCAAATACTTAAACAACCTCAATCTGCTGTTGTTGTGGAAGAGGAGGGAAAGAAGAATGTTTGTGAAGGAAATTTGGAAGGTTTGGAGAATCCTTTGGAGACGGCTTTGGAAGTTCCCGTGGAGACGGCTTTGGAGGAGGCGGTGGAGATGGCTTTGGAGACGGCTTTGGAAACTCCTGTGGAGACGGCTTTGGAGACGGCTTTGGAAGTTCCTGTGGAGACGGCTTTGGAGGAGGCTCTGGAGGGAGCTTTGGAAGGGGCTTTGGAGGGAGCTGTGGAGGAGGCTTTGGAAACTCCTCTATCACCACCAGCAGCGCCACTGGCAGCAGAAGAACCTCCTTTAAATATTCAACCACCAAACTGCTCTCTCGCACTGATTGAAAAATTAATTGAGGAAGAAAACAACAAAATTTGTGAGGGGAATGTTGCTGTGAATCCTCCAATACTTCAACAACAAGAAGAAGAGCAACCTGTTGTGATGAATAATGGTGGCGATGAAAGTACAAATTTTCTTAGGCCGTTCAATACAACTGATTCGTTTATGGCTGCTGCTTTGGGTGGAGGTTTGTGATAATTTAATTTTTAATTTTTAAATATGTAATCCCCTGACACAATTCCCTAGCATTTCATAAGGGTAGCCAGGGATGGCCCCCGGAGATTTGGAGAGTGGACAGTTGGATACTGGACAATTGGGCAGTGCACCAAGAAGGATATCGATAGATTTGGAGGATATCAAGGGATATAAGGGGATTTTAGGCGATTAAGAGGATATAGGTGCATATTGAGACTGCCCAAATATCCACACTGCCCAAATATCCACTCCCCAATTGTCCGGACACGCCAGGGATCAATTTCGGAGGAGGGGGCTAACATTGCGTGTATACCAAAATTCTGGCGTTTACTTTTGCGTTTTTCGATGCAAATTTTTCTGTACTTCTTAGATTTGGACGGTCATAGATTTGGGCGTTCTTTATCCTTCTTCCAATTTTTCCCCTTTACCCCATTTTAGGGGGGTGGCTTCAGCCTTCTGGCTCTACCCTTGACATTTTTGGCATTTTTGGCATTTCATGACATTCCTTGACATGTGTTGACATTTTTTCTAATCATTTATTCATTGGAGCCTTTTTACTTTCCCATAGGCCTAAAAGGGTGCCGGAATTTTGGTCACCGGAATTTTGGTCACCAAGTCAAAAAACGGAATATTGGGCACTGAATTTTGGTCACTAATAGGAATTTTGGTCACTAATAGGAATTTTGGTCACTAATAGGAATTTTGGTCACTAATAGGAATTTTGGTCACTAATAGGAATTTTGGTCACCAAATGGAAAAAAATAATCTTATCTAAAACTGATATCAAAGTGATTCCGGTGACCAAAATTCCGTGCACCGCCTAAAACCCCCGAATTAATTTGGAGAACAGGTCATGATGTCCGCAACTTTTTATACCCTTTTTAAAATTTTTTAGGACTTAATGATGATACAATGGACATTGCCAATTTTATCGAGCAATTTGACGAACAATTAAATTCTCCTCCTCCAAATACTCGTGAAAATGTTCAACAAGTATTAAGCAATGAAATTGTAATTGAGGTTTATTTTTGAATTTTTAAAGAAAAATAAATTTTTGTCCGCAAAATTTGTCCGCAAGTTTTGTCCGCAAAAATTTTTTTTAGTTTGCGGACAAAAATTTTTTTAAAAATTTTTTAAGAAAATTTTTTAAAATTTTTCTGGAATTTTTTTCAAAATTGAAAAAAAATTTTGTCCGCAAAAATTTTGTCCGCAAGTTATTTTTTAATTTGCGGACAAAAAATTTTTGGAATTTTTTTGAGATTTTTTTCAAATTTTTCTGAAAAAATTTTCAAAAAATTTTTCTGAAAAAATTTTCAGAAAAATTCTTTTTAATTTTGCGGACTTTTTTTGATTTGCGGACAAAATTTGCGGACAAAATTTTTTTTTGAAATTAAAAAAATTTTTTTCTTTTTGCAGAAAGTCTCAGCAGAAGAGGTCAACAACAACAACAAAAATAATAATAATATTCCTCTTCCACGTCCAATTAAATATACTAATCAGACGGCGAAAAAGACGATTGGTGGTGGACGTGGTCTTTCATTTTGTCAATTTTCGGTGACTGGACAGAAGGTTTATTCTTCTTTTAAATTTTTTACAATCTAGAAATTTTCGAAAAACTTTTTTGAAAAATTTTTTCTGAATTTTTTTGTGAAAAATTTTTTTACGACCCCGGGGTACTGCCGACATTTCTACCTTGGGCACGGGAGTCTCCCTTTGTAAACCAAGCTTGGTGGGTACAGCCCAAGTAGGCGCGCGGCCAAGTAGGCGCAAAGCCATAACTTGCTTCAAAATCTTCGAATCTTACCAAATTTAGCACTAAACGATTCCTCTCATCGAGCTAAAGAGAGTGGTACCAAAATTGTTAAGGTCCAGAAAATTTCCGGGTAGTTATGGCTTTGCGCCTACTTGGGCGTGTCCCAAGTTTGGGTATCACGGGTATTTTTCTAAATTTAATTTCAAAAAAAGTATCAAAAAAATTTTTTCAGCCTTCCTTTTGAAAAATTTTTTGGTAAAAGAATCACAACTTTTTAAAAAAATTTTTGAAAAAAATTTTTTTCAAATTTGCGGACTAACTTTGCGGACTTTTTTTTTTTTTGAAAAAAAATTTTCTCGACCCCCAAAAATTTTTTAAAAATGTAACTAAATTAATTTTTAAAAATTTTTTCCCTTTTTTAGCGTGTAAACGAGGCTTTAAAATTTAAACCTAAAGAAGAAGCAAAACCTCCTCTTCGTCCTCATTCTTCTCCTAGAAAACGTCCACCAATGTTTAAACATGCAGCTTTACAACGTGTTCGTATTTCTTTGCCAGATGTTGAAAAATTGTTTAAAGAACCGGAAATGGATTGTAATCAATTGAAGAAGGCTATTTTGGAATTGGAACAAAAAATTTTGGTATAAAATTTTTTAAATAATTTTTTAGGAGGGAATAGGGGGGTGGATTAGTTAGAAGAATCCTGAGGGGAGGCGAATTGAAAAAAAATCGGGCCGGGTTTCTGGTTTTATTTTAAAAATTTTCTTTTCCCCCAAAAATAATTCGTGGTAGGAGGCTCTGATAGATCAGGAAAATCCCCTAGGAAAGGCGTCCAAAAAATTGCAGGAAAGACAAGTTATCCTAAACAGGACTTCCTTCGACTAGGAACTTTTTTTCTTGCGGACATCTTTGCTGCTTCTCTAGTCCTTTATTGCAGACTGTCTTTGCGGACTTCTATTTTTTTCGGAAACCCGCCCGAATTTTTTCTCTTCCCGACCCATCCCTCGGATGATCTCGATTCTTGTGTACGTCCCCTTCCCAATTGGCCTCTCTGTTTATATCAGATCATCATTTTTTCTTAAAAAAATTTTTTTTTCAAAGGCTTCAAACAAAAAGGAACAAAGATTTACTCCTCCTTCTACTTCTACATTTACACAACACCACCAATCAACCTCAACTTCTTCAACTTCGTTTAAGGCAAAAATTACAATTAAGCGTCCAGTGGCTAAAAGATATGGAAAAAATATTGACCAAATTTGTTCAACAAGTACAGGAAATAGACGCTCATCAAGTTCAAGCAGTAATAATAATGGTGGTCTTAAAAAGTTGAGGATGAAGAAGAAGAAGAAGAATGTTGTGAAGAAGGCTAAAAAGGTTTCTTTTTTTTTTTTGTTTTTAAATATTGGGAGAAGGAAGGTGTTGTGGGTGTGGGAAAATATTTTTTTTGAATTAGTCAAGGAGGGTGGGGGATGAGGAAAATGTTTCTTCTTTATTTTTGGATATTTTGAAAGTCGTTTTTTTTAATTAAGAGGGGGAAAGTTCCACTAATTTATACGCCATACCTGTGGGTTAGAAAATTGGTACACTACTATGGGACACGCCCAAGTAGGCGCGCGGCCAAGTAGGCGCAAAGCCATAACTAGCTGGAAAATTTCTGGCCCTTACCAATTTTGGTACCGATCTCTTTAGCTCAATGAGAGGAATCGTTTAATACCAAATTTGATAAGATTCTAAAATCTTGAAGCAAGTTATGGCTTTGCGCCTACTTGGCCGCGCGCCTACTTGGGCTGTACCCCACTACTATAATGTGTCCGAAACAGATTTTAAAAAGGCGAAACGCGAAACTTGCACACTGATGGGGTATAGCTCGTAAGAAGCCCTTTAACCACGTATAACAGGCTAACCTCATATATTTATCGCCTTGGAGAGGGTGGGGGGGTGTTATCGTGCACAAATTAGGGTTGATGGGAGGATGCCATCATTTGTATAGTTTCTTCACTACCATGTGGCAATCTAAATTTTAAAAAAGTACCTTAAAATAGGAGGGAGGGGGAGTTGCTGTATACATAAAAAATTTTGTGGACAAATAAATAAATTTGCGGACTTTAAAATTTTCTAAAAAAATTTTTTTCAGAATGATTCTTCTTTTATGTCTGACACTTCATTTTTCCATTCATTTGGTGGTCGACGTTCTTCAACTCCTTTTCTTGGAAAAGATGTTCAATTATTTATTTGTAAGTTTAGAAATTTTTTGTGTTTGTTTAGGGGGGATTTTTTGCAAAAATTTTTTTTTCTGCGGACAATTTTTGCGGACTTTTTCTTTTTTGCGGACAACTTCTGCAAATACTTTTTCGTAATTTTATTGCGGACAAATTCATTTTTCATGAACTTTCTGGCAGAAAATTTTTGCGGATTTTTTCTTTACGAATAATTTTTTCCAGACGAATTTTTTGTTGATTTTTTTTTGCTTTTTTGCGGACTTTTTCTTTTTTTTTGCGGACAAATTTTGCAGTCGTTTTTGCGGATTTTTAATTGCGGACAATTTTTCTGACGAATTTTTGCAGAATTTTTTTTCTGCGGATTTTAAAAAAACCTTTCTGGCAGACAATTTTTGCGGAATTTTTTTGCTTTTTTTTGCGGATTTCTAGTTGCGGACAATTTTTTCGGGCGAATTTTTTGCAGAATTTTTTTTCGGATTTTTTAAAAAAAGCCTCTCCTAGTCTACTTATCAACCCTTTTTTTTATTTTTAATTTTAATTTTTTTCTTCATTTAAAGGTATTCATTGTCCTGCCGGTTCTCACTTAAAATACACAAACGAAAATGATTACAGGCTTCATGTTTTGGCAAGACATCGAATTGTTACAAATGATTGTGAGGCTATTCATGAATATATTAAAAAGCAAAGATTTATTTACATTGGGAACTTGAATTTTTAGTAAGTTTTTTTTGAATTTTCTAAAAAGTTTTTTTAAAAAAACCGCAAAAAATTTTTTTGTCCGCAAAATTTTTTGCGGATTTTGCAAAAAATTTTCAAAAAATTTGCGGACTGTCCGCAAATCTATTTAATACATAAAAATAAACAATCCGCAAAAAATTTTTTTTGTCCGCAAGTTTTGTCCGCAAAAAACTTGCGGACAAAAAAATTTTTTGCGGACTTTTTTTCAGTTCAATTCAATAATAACTTTATATATCCGCACGGCAGACCTCATTTTTATAGATACCCTCAATATTATACACACCCTCTATTTAAGATTTGTTCCCCATGGACACCCTTGGGGCGGAAAAAGAAGCGTGCCTTTTAATGGGGTGTATTTAAAAGAGAGGGTGTGCATAGCATTAGGGATATCTATAAAAATGATGTCTGCCTTGGGATATAAAGTTATTTTTGAATTGGACTGAAAAAATGTCCGCAAAATTTTTGCGGACAAAAAAAATTTTTGCGGACAAAACTTGCGGACAGTCCGCAAATTTTTTGCGGACAAAAATTTTTTCTTATTTTTCAAATTTTTTTTTTGAAAATTTTAGTTGTGAAGAGTGTGACAAATACTTTGACAACCAACAACAGAATGCGTTAGAACGTGCTACTGAGTGGGTTGTACATCGTTTGGAAGTTCACGGGACGGAATTTAAAGAGAATTGCGCAACTATTATTGAAAAAATTTTTGCTTCTCCAACTCATGTAAGGGAAAAAAATTTTTTTTTAATTTTGCGGACGAAACTTGCGGACAAAGAATTATCAGCAAAAAATATGCGGACTAAAATTTGCGGACAAGAAATCGTTCGCAAAAAACTTGCGGACAAAAAAATTGTCCGCAAAAATTTTGCGGACAAAGTTTTGTCCGCAAGTTTTGTCCGCAAAAATTTTTGCGGACTTTTTAAAAAATTTAAAAATAAATTCTTAAAAAATTTTTTTCTTTTTCAGCATCCATATTTGACCACAATTAAGCGTGAAAAACAAGAAATTTTATCGGACAATGAAGATAATACTGAAGAAGACGATGTTGAGTGGAAGGTCTATAAGAAGAGAAATGATGAGGACAGTTCGTTTAACCCTTCACCAAAGAAAAATGGCAAAAAGAGAAAGAAGATGATGGTCAAGAAGAGTAATAGTTGTGCTGGTGGAAGTGGGGGAAGTTCTGTTAAAGTTAAAAAAGAAATTTGAAAATTGGAAGAGGAAAAAAAATTTTTTTTTTAGTTAAGAAGAGTAGAGAGATGATAGAATATTTTATTTATTTTCCCCTTTAAAAAAATACAAAAATACTCATATATGAGAAAAATGCCAATATATACTATTTTTTCCGTAAATTTGTTTCCTTAAAAAATTTCACTTATAATTGAATTTATTTTTCTTCAAAAATTTTTTTTTAAATTTTATTTTATGCATTTTTGCTAGGGTTGTTTCCGCGCTAAACAAAAAGGGGTTGTTAATATTTCCGGAAAACTATATTTTCCGGAAAAAGTTTAAAATTAAAATGTTTTGTTGTATTTGCCGGAAAACTTATAATTTTGTTTTCCGGAAAGCGAATAATTATTTTCCGGAAAATGTTTAAGTCTCTAGCATGTTTTCCGGAATGTGTTTTAGAATCAACTATAGAATGTGTTTTCCGGAAAACTAATTATTTCCAAAACTTGTTTTCCGGAAAACTTTTATTATTTCCAAAACTTGTTTTCCGGAAAACTTTTATTATTTCCAAAACTTGTTTTCCGGAAAACTTTAATTATTTCCAAAACTTGTTTTCCGGAAAACTTTAATTATTTCCAAAACTTGTTTTCCGGAAAACTTTAATTATTTCCAAAACTTGTTTTCCGGAAAACTTTAATTATTTCCAAAACTTGTTTTCCGGAAAACTTTAATTATTTCCAAACTTGTTTTCCGGAAAACTTTAATTATTTCCAAAACTTGTTTTCCGGAAAACTTTAATTATTTCCAAAACTTGTTTTCCGGAAAACTTTAATTATTTCCAAACTTGTTTTCCGGAAAACTTTAATTATTTCCAAAACTTGTTTTCCGGAAAACTTTAATTATTTCCAAAACTTGTTTTCCGGAAAACTTTAATTATTTCCAAAGCTTGTTTTCCGGAAGACTTTAATTATTTCCAAAACTTGTTTTCCGGAAAACTTTAATTATTTCCAAAACTTGTTTTCCGGAAAACTTTAATTATTTCCAAAACTTGTTTTCCGGAAAACTTTTATTATTTCCAAAACTTGTTTTCCGGAAAACATTTTCAAAACTTGTTTTCCGGAAAACTTTTATTGAACTATTCTTTCCGGAAAAAGTTTATTTTTAAAATACTTTCCGGAAAACTTTTTAATATTTTTTCCGGTTGCATAATTTTGCGGACAATTTTTGCGGATCTGATACAACCCTACAATTTGTTGCTTTATTATTTATTTATTTATTTATTGAAAATCTCTTATAAGAACATTCTACTTTTGACTTTCTTTTATTGTTTGTTTGAAGATTTGTTTTCAAATATTATATATCATAAAAATTATTGTTTAATTCTGTTTTATTGTTTTTAAGATTTTATCTGTAGAGTGCAGGTGCAGACAAGGCAAGATTATATTTTCCGGAAGACATTTCCGGAAAATTGGAGGAATTAAAATGTTTTATTTCCCTTTGGATTTTTCCGGAAGAAGTTTATTCTCGTTTTCCGGAAGACTTTATTTTATTTTATCTTTCCTGAAAACTCTATCTTATTCTTCCGGAAAGCTTTCAATTCTGTTTTTCCGGAAAACTATTTTATTTTTCACGAAACGAAGAATTATTTTCCGGAAAATGTTTATTTTCGTTTTCCGGAAAAAGTTTATTTTTGTTTTCCGGAAAAAGTTTATTCTCGTTTTCCGGAAAAAGTTTATTTTTGTTTTCCGGAAAAAGTTTATTCTCGTTTTCCGGAAAAAGTTTATTTTTGTTTTCCGGAAAAAGTTTATTCTCGTTTTCCGGAAAACTTATAATCTTTTTTAGAAAAATATGTTTTCCGGAAAAAGTTTATACTTTCTTCCTTTATTCACTTGTTCTTTTCAACACAAAACTTTCCGGAAAAAGCATATAAAATTTGTTTTCCGGAAAACTTATAATTAAAATGTTCCAGTTTAGACTTGTTTTTAAGGGTGTTTTTCTGATTAATTTCTAGGGTGTTTTAAGAGTTGTTTTCTCCAGACATATAAACTAGACTCTAAGGGCAACTTGCCCTTTAATTAATTTCTTAATGTTTGCCACGTTAATCACAAGGCAACATGCGCATGTTAAAGTGCTTGATTGACTGATTTAATTTTTTTGCCTTGTATAGCTAAAGAAGCTTGAAAAAAATAGTGTAAAAAATTGAGAGAGACTTAAAAATTTTTTTTTAATTTTTAAAATTTATACACGTCTTTTTAGCCCTTAATTTTTGCCTTTCATTATTCCCCTTCATTCCCTTAAAAGTCTAACTAGCTTCTTTCTTAATAAACAGGCATAGGCAGGCGACATTTGCGAACAGGCGACATTTGCGATTGTGAACATTTGTGAACATTGGCTGTTTTCTAGCTTATAGGGGGATACGGTAACTCCTGAAATACAGTAACCCAACCCTTCATTCCCTCTCATTCCTCCCCTTCATTATTCCCCTTCATTTCCCTCAAAAGTCTAACTAACATCTTTATTTAATAGATAGGCGACATTTGTGAACAGGCGACATTTGCAAACATCGGAAGTTTTCTAGCTTATAGAGGAATACGGTAACACCTGAATACAGTAAAACCTCGTTTATAAATACACCCCCTTGGGGGTCAAAAAATAGTGCCTTATAATGAGGGTAATTTTAAATAGAGGTCTTGGGGGTTGAACCTTGGGGGTTGAAAAGATCGTGCCTTATAATGGGGGTATTTTAAATAGAGGATATAGGTTAGACAGCCTTCCCCACCCATCGTCTAACCAAATTAAAAACCGTATCTTAAATAGAGTCCATATTGTTGAGTGTATCTTATAAGGAGGTCCTTACGAACTATGTGCTATAGACCGTGCCACGTGCCACAGGGCAAGACCCAACAGCCCCTTGCCCCCATTTCAATAGGTTTAGGTCTATGTTCGCAAATGTCGGATGTTCGCAATTGTTGTCCATATTGTTGAGTGTATCTTTATAGTGAGGTCCTTACGAACTGTGTGCTATAGACTGTGACTCAGGGCAAGACCCAACATCCTCTTGTAAAGACTCAACAACCCCCCCCCCCCCCCTCCTCCTCAATTCTCTATAGGTTTAGGTCCATGTTCCCAAATGTCGGATGTTCGCAATTGTCGTAATTAGAGGGCTTTTGTGTCCTCTGGTTGTTGTGTCCTCTGGGCAAGACCCAACGGTCCCTTGTTCCCATTTCAATAGGTTTAGGTCCATGTTCCCAAATGTCGGATGTTCGTAAGTGTCGCATGTTCCCAAATGTCGAATGTTCGCAAATGTCGTATTCTCAATTTTCATTCTTCTTTAAAGGAGTAAAATTTACAAGAGAAAAATTGTAAAAATTTGATAGAAAAACAGGTGTTTCAACAAAAAAAAAACAAAAAAATAGAAGAAAGCAACAGTGCGTGTTTCTTCAAAAATAACGACAAAAAATTATGGCCCCGCCCCGTCCAACAACTCCACGGTCAGAAGATGGAGAAGGAAAACCTCCTAGAGCTTGTAAGGAGAATGAGCATAAATAAAAATAATAATAAAATGTTCTTAAAAAAATTTTTTTTGGAGTTAAAAATCCGCAAATATTGTCCGCAAGTTTGTTCTCGAACCGGGCTGAAGTAGATACCCCTTAGGGGCTATAACCACCGTATAATGTATTGTTTCCTAAATAGAGGGTATCTTATAGTGAGGTGTATCTTATAGTGAGGTGTATCTTATAATGAGGTGTATCTTATAGTGAGGTGTATCTCATAATGAGGTGTATCTTATAATGAGGTGTATCTTATAATGAGGGTATCTTATAGTGAGGTGTCTCTTATAGTGAGGGTATCTTATAGTGAGGTGTATCTTATAATGAGGTGTATATTAAATAGAGAGTATTGCTTCCCCTACCCAATGGTCTACCTTATAAAATGGTGACCTAATATTGTGGGTGTCTTATAATGAGGTGTATATTAAATAGAGAGTATCTTAGAATGGAAGTATCTTAGAATGGAAGTATCCTAGTGGATACCCCCATCCAGTGGATACCCCCTAATACCTCGTTTATGAATACTTGTAGGTGAAAAAATCGTATCTTATAATGAAGTGTAGCTTAAATAGAGGGTATCGCTTAAACTCCTTCCGCATCCAGTGGCCAGGCTAATTTAAAATCGTATCTTAAACATGAGTGACATAATATTGGGGGTATCTTATAATTGGGGGTACCTTATAATGAAGGGTAGCTTAAATAGAGGGTATCTCTTAGGAAGCTCCCTCCTCTCATAGGCCTACCCAATTTTGGAAAAAGTATCTTAAATTGAGGTGTGTCTACTATTGGAGGTATCTTATAAAAAGGTCTGACTCTAAAAGAAGACTTGCGGATAATATTTGCGGACTTTTTTTTTTGCGGACATTTTTTGCGGACATTTTTTTGCGGACTTTTTTTTTGCGGACTTTTTTTTGCGGACTTTTTTTGCGGACTTTTTTTTTGCGGACTTTTTTTTGCGGACAATATTTGCGGACAATATTTGCGGACAATATTTGCGGACAATATTTGCGGACATTTTTTGCGGACTTTTTTTTTGCGGACATTTTTTGCGGACTTTTTTTCGTGATTAAAAAATTAATTTTTTATTCATCCACAGAATTTAATTCTCCCTATTCTTCCCCTATTTTCCCATTAAATAAAAAATGTTTTCCCTAACCGGTGACGAATTTAATATGAATCCCAAATTTTGTGCAGTTGTTCGTCAATGTGTTTTTTATGAAAAATATGGAGGGTGTAAATTTGGAAAGGACTGTTTTTATGCTCACAATGATGAAATGACGTTGGGGGTTAGGGTAAGGGTTTATTTTGAATTTTTTTAAAAAAATACCAGGCCTGATTTAGGGTGAAAAACGACGGAGAAGTTCATTTCACACCCGACTCAGTCGAGTTCAGGATCCTATAACTCGTGAAGGGATGGTTACTTTTTCGCGTTCTTGATACCATTCGATAGAGAATCAAAGGCTCTACAACATATCAAAAAATCAGAATTTTCGACAGATTGACAAAAAAGTTATGATCGAAAAACAAACATCTTCGAAAGAACGTGATTTTTTGGCACTTTTTCGATCATAACTTTTTTTCCAGTTAGTCAAGAATTTTGATTTTAAGGTATATTGTAGCTTATTTAATGCTCTATCCAATGGTACCAAGAACTTTAAAGATTATCAACCCGTTGATAAGTTATAGGGCTTGGGACTGAACTCAGGTGTACCTTGAAATTGGGGTAATGGGGAGATCAGTCTCGATGACATATTTTTGGCCATAACTTTTTTAATTCTTAACCGATTTAAATAATTTTTATAGCAATCGAAAGCTCTGAATGTGGGGATCATTTTAGCTAGCAGGATTATTCAGTTCCCATCATTTTGCCTAAAGTTATAGCCGAATAAATAACAAAAATCACGATTGCGCGGACTTATTTGACTATAACTTTTGGTAGGATGATCTGACCAACTCAATCCTGTCAGATAAAATACTCCTCACATCCAGAGCTTTCGATTAGAATAAAACTTGTTTAAATCGGTTAAGAACCAAAAAAGTTATAGCCCAAAATAGGCCTCGAGACTAACTGAAAAAATTTATTTTTAAAGAACGCAATGCAAATGGCACAGGCTATGGGACGTGGAGGTATTGGAGGTGGAGTAGAAATACGTTTTGATGAACGGTTAGTTAGATGCCTTGATGGTTTTCTGGGTTAAAAGTAAAAATAACGGAGAAAAATGGGGCAAAACACCGTCCGACCAAATCAACGTTTGGACACTAGAGCAAAATACCGTCCACTTTTACAGAAAAAATTCGATTTAAGTCGATATTATGTTACCTTAACATCTTCAGACCCTTCGGCTAATAGGTCTAGGTTAGTACAATACTCCTAAGCCTAAAAATTTTATTTTAAAATTACTCTAATTGCTTGGACAGTCTCTGTCCGGTGAGTTGTCGGACGGTGTTTTGTCATTACACGAAAATAAAGGAAGGGGAAGGGGTAGACTCTAGAGTTCGCCGGAAGTTCCGGATCCGGTCAAAATTTCAGTTCCGGTTCTGGCCAAATTTGCGGTCCCGGCGCAAGCACTACCCTCTTCAAGGAACACCTAATTTTATTCAAAAAATTTTTTTCAGTGAAAACGAAGTAAAAATGGTTCGAATTTCCGAAAGCGAAAAACACAGAGGGGAGAAACACCACAACAAAAATGATGACGATTCCGCCTCAAACGAGAATAGTGGTTATGGAAAATTTGATCGTTATGGGCACCATGGAGGCTATGCTGGGGGAAGATTCATGGGAAGAGGAGGACGTTCATTTGGAAGTGGAATTGGGGGAAGAGGAGGATTTATTGGAGGAATGGGAAGAGGAAGATTTGGAGGGAGTAGAGGAGCATATAGAGGAACAATGTGAGAAATTCGTTAAATAAAACGGAAAATAGACGTAAAGTATCAAAAAATCCTTAAAACCCCTTAAAATAATTTTAGAAAAAAAGAAAAAAATTTTTAAATTAATTTGAAGAGGAAATCTGGCAAACGCCAAAAATTGCGCACATAAGAGGAAATAAAGGGTAAAAGTTGTAAAGGAAAACTTTAATGGGAAAAACATGAAATATTACAGGGAAAACATAGGCTAATAGGGTAAACAACCTAATGGATAAACCTGAACAAACAGACAGAAAAAATAAACCTAAAACATTAGGAAATTAGACAGAAAATAATAGCAGAGACTGTACAAAAAGTACAGAGAAAAACAAAGTTGTAAAAAAGTTGTAAAAAAAGTTTGAACGAACAAGCAACTTTGTTTGTTGTAGAAATAGACAAAAACAAGTTGGGAAAAAACCAACTTGTCATAAAACCAACTTGTTGTAAAAACAAGTTTAAATAAGTTGTAAAACAGGCTGTAAAATAAACTTAAACAAAACATGTGTAGAAAAAGTTAAATAAAACTTAAAACAAACAAAGTTGTAAAAAATAAAAACCAACTTGTTTGCAAAAACAAGAAAAACAAGTTGTAAAAACACGTTGTAAAAACATGCTGTAAAAACAAGTTGTAAAAACAAGTTGTAAAAAAACCTAAACAAACTTGTTTATGTATAAACATGTTTGGGCAGAAACAGAAAAACAAAAATTTAAACAAACAAAGTTGTAAAAACATAAACAGAGTAAAACAGGGAACAAAAACATGTTGTAAAAATAAACCTAAAAAACATGTTTAGGTAGAAACATAAAAACAAAAATTAAAACAAAACTTAAAACAGACAAAGTTGTAAAAACAACCCCAAGCAGTTTAAAACAGAGTAAAACAAACCTTTTATGTTAGACAGTAAAGATGGAAACTTAAAGATGGAAGAACTTGAGAAAAATAATTTATAGGAGGTTTAAATTTATGGGTAAAAAATTGGGGAAATTTTCTAAAAATATAAAAGATGAACTAAACAGTGTAAATAATTAATTTTGCTTGGAATAAAATAAAAAAATAAAAAAAATTTTTTAGGACTGGGCGTGGCATTGGGCGTGGCCGCTTCATTTCCCCTGTTCGAAGTTCTGGCAATATTTTCGCCGAAGAGAGAGAGCACCGTAAACGAAAATCCAAAAAGGACAGGCATCATCGCTCTTCGAGGTCTAGCACTCCCCACAAGCGGTATAGACGTGAATCTACACTGTCTAGGTCTTCGAACGAGAAGGGAAGCAATTATGGGAACAGTAAGCATAGTTGTTCAAGAAGCAGCAGTCGAAACAGCCGGTCGAAATCGAAGTTGGTTTTAATGAATTTTGGGGATTGGAATTAGGTTAGGATTGGAAGCAGAGCTGCGTCGAAATTTCGATTTTCGACTTTCGATTTTCGATTTTCGACGTTTTTTTCTACCGATTTTCGATTTCCGAATTTCGAATTTTTTCATAAAATTTCGATTTTCGATTTCGATAATTTTAGTTTTTTCGATTTTCGTTCGATTTTCGATTTTTTTTGCAAAATTGCATTATCTTTTCTCTTAAGATTTTATTCCTGCGGCGCCAAAAATGAAGAAATTTGGCTACTTAGCCTTTCAAAATTCTCAAAATTTTCGCCTGCGGCGCTGAAAAATGAAGAAATCTGTCTTCTAGTCTTCCAAAATTTTTAAAATTTTCGCCTCCGGCGCAGAGAAGTGAAGATTTTTTGCTTAGCGATCTTTCAAAATTCTCTAAGTTTTCGCCTGCAGCGCTGAAAATGGAACTTTTTGGCTTAATAATCTTCAAAATTCTGAAAATTTTCGCCTGCGGCGCAAAAAAAAGGTTAAGAAAGATGGAGGAATAAAAATATGAGATTAGAAGATTGCGAGATTCCCTTTAATCCACCCAAATCCCACAATAATCCGCCCAAATCCCGCGTAACCCTTGATATCCCTCATATTCGCCTGATATCATATAATATCCCCCTTAATCTAACCAAATCCACTTAAATAATATTATCTTGACTTTCCACCCGAGCCTCCAATTAATCCATTTGCCTTATAATAATAAGAGGGATATAGGAGGATGGGATATCAAGGGTATCAAGGGGTAAGTAGAATATTGGAGGAATAAAGGATTTAAAGTGATCTAGGGTGCGGATTTAATTGGTCTCTAGTCAACCCTCTAATCCTGTATATCCCTACGATCACTGATATCTCTTAAAACTTCCATTAATCCATTGAATCCCCTTATATCTCAATATTAACCCTTATATCTCCATATTGCGGATTGTTTACTACTCTTTTAGTTATTTTAAAAAATTTCGATTTTCGATTACCGATTTTCGATTTTCGACGTTTTTTTCTGCCGATTTTCGATTTCCGAATTTCGAAGATTTTTTTATTTCGACGCAGCTCTGATTGGAAGGCCTCTCCTACAGCCTTTGAAAATATTTTTGATAAAATGCCTAAAACGGAAAAACGCCAAAAATGGCGCACGAGAGGGCTGACAGTTGGCGTAGTTTAAGAATTCAAAAAATAGACGTTTGAATTTTGACATACCTCTGGCTACTCCTGTGTCAGGGCAGCTCACCGTCCACCCACTAGAGTATAAAATACTGTCAATTTCGCTTAGAGCAAAAATTTTTGGAATAAAATTTTTAGGCATATAAGTTATAGGACTAATCAAGACCAATAGCCATATAGTCCAAAGATATTAAGATAAAATAATATCGACATAAATCGAATTTGTCGTCTGTAAAAGTGGACGGTGTTTTTTTGGTCAGACGGTGAATTATCCCTCAACGTGAGTTGTCCCCCAACCTCCCTCTGACCAAACGGTATTTTGATCAGACGGTGAGTTGTCCCACACCCGGCTATTCTTTACGCGTATTTTGGTCAGACGGTGAGTTGTCCCTTACCCGGCTATTCCTAACCTCTGTACCTTTATTTTTTAAGGTCTCGTTCCCGTTCTTCTTCTTGGCGTTCAAATTCACCCCACAAAAACAAAAAGAGTAAAAAGCAACGAAGCCTTAGCGGTTCCCCTTTGGACACTGGCCGAATGGAATTACGCTCCTTCTCAAAAAATTTGGCCAGAGAAAAATATTTGAAAGCAAAAAATGAGGAAAGACAACAGATTTATTACCGTAACCACCACCACCACCACTACAGTAGTCATCAAAACATTCACAAAATTAAATACATAAAGGACTCAAAGGAAGGGAAAAGAAGCTCGAAAAGCAGCAAGAAATGTTGGTTTGATTGTCTTTGGGGGGGGGGGGGTTAAGGTTGGGGGAGAAACTTGGGGCAAGAACGACAAGGGTAAAGTGGAATTTGGCCGGAAAATCTCCCAAACCGGAACCAAAAAATCCCAATCAGAACCAGGCAAACTGAAAATTGGAAATGGAAATAAGTTTGGGCGCCATGACGTTTTGGCGTTATTTTTGGCAGAATATGGCATTTTGTGTTTGGCGTGTTTTTTCTTGTGGCAGCAAAAACGCCAGGAAAAGGAGATCCCTCTCCGCAAGTTTTGTCCGGATTTTAGGGTGCCCCAAATGTTTGTCCGCAAGAAACTTGCGGATTTTTAGGGTGCCCCAAATGTTTGTCCGCAAAAAATTTGCGGATTTTTAGGGTGCCCCAAATGTTTGTCCGCAAGAAACTTGCGGATTTTTAGGGTGCCCCAAATGTTTGTCCGCAAAAAATTTACGGATTTTTGGGTGCCCCAAATGTTTGTCCGCAAGAAATTTGCGGATTTTTAGGTGCCCCAAATGTTTGTCCGCAAGAAATTTGCGGATTTTGAGACCCTAGAATTTCTCCTTCTTAAAAATCTCCATTTTTCAGCCTCCAACAAAAAGAAGCGTCATCGCCGCAGTTCGAGCTCTTCCACCTTTTCATCCGCCCCTAGCCACAAATCCTCCATTAACGACGACTCCCCCAAATCCCCTTCCCCAACAATTATAATGAATGAGGAGGTGAAGGAAGAAGAAAAATTGAAAGAGAAGGACGAAAAGGAGGAAATATTTGATGAGAATATAGAATTAATATATGAAGATTATAATGTTAGGGAGGAGGAAGAAGAAAAAGGGAAAAATGAGGAGGAATGTACACGTTTAAAGTTGCTGGAGAAATTTGAATTGAAGAGGAAGGAGAGTGAAAATGTAAAGAAATTTTGAATTGTAGGCAGGGTTGGGATAGGCTGGGGTGAGAAGGGGGTACACCCTAGAGCTGTCCGAGACTCTTGGTCTTGGAACCAAGACTTTTCTTGGTTTTTTTTCGGTCTTGGTCTTGGGGTGTTTGTCTTGGTCTTGTCTTGATTTTATTTTTTGGTCTTGGTTTTTTGGCCTTTTCTGGACCTAGTGCTTGGTCATCCAAAATCCTCAAAATTTTCGCCTGCGGCGCAGGAAAAGGAAGATTTTTGGCTTCTTGAGCTCCAAAATTCAAAAAAATTTTCGCCTGCAGTGCTGGATGAGAATTTACCCTTTGATATCACTAATATCCCCTTAATCCACCTAAATCCTCTGAAATAATATATCTCATTGATGTGGGACCTAAAAATAAACCAAAAATTTGACCTATGGGACCTAAAAATTGTCTCGAGTCTTGTATTATTTTTGGTCTTGAGTCTTGGAGTTTTGGTCTTGGTCTTGAGTCTTGGAAGAATCTCGGTCTCGGACAGCTCTAGTACACCCCAACGTACCTCAAGCCCAACGTACCGCAGAGCTATAACTTCGTTCAAAACTGTCGAATCCGGGACGCCCTAATATCGTTCGATTCAGCTCTTCGAGATGCATCGATCCATACCAAGCGACACGGATTCGACCATTTTGAGCGAAGTTATAGTTCTGCGGTACGTTGGGCTTGAGGTACGTTGGCCTGCTTTCGGAATTAGTGCTTCGCCGGAACCGCAAATTTGGCCGGAACCTGAATTTTGACCGGATCCGGTACCGGAACCAAAAGATTTTGATCATTTCTTCCGGCCTATCGGAACTAGAACTTCCGGCGAATCTCTATCAGGGATGGGTTGGGTTCGGGTAATTTCAGGCCCATCCCTGCTTCATACCAGGGATGGGTCAGATTATCGAATACGGATAGTCGAACCATAAACCCGGACTCAAAACCTGACCAAAAAATTAAATTAAAATTTAAACAGGATAATTCAAGCATCACCTCCCCTCAAGAAACTAATTTGAAGGCAATAAAATCGTGTTCTAAACGACCTTGTTCACGTTAAAAAATATTTTAGAAAAAAATTTTTGGATTGTAAAGTTATATTAAAAATTGAGTGATTTTCGGGTTCTTTTATTTAATGAGCATTTATTTTTAATTTTATTTCTTTTTTGACTTTATTTATTTTTGACTAGTTGTGAATATTAGCTGATATTTTGAAAAATATTTTAAAATTTTATTTTTGTGGATTAAAATTATTTGATGACTGATATATGTAAAGGGAAATGTGTTCCGGAAGAATTTTCAGGAAAACTGCTCAAGAAAACTGTTCCGGAAAAGGTTCCGGAACAAATCCGGAAACTGTTCCGGAAGACTGATCCGGAATCTGTTCCGGAAGACTGGTCCGGAATCTGTTCCGGAAGACTGATCCGGAAGACTGTTCCGGAAACTGTTCCGGAAGACTGGTCCGGAATCTGTTCCGGAAGACTGATCCGGAATCTGTTCCGGAAGACTGATCCGGAAGACTGTTCCGGAAACTGTTCCGGAAAAGGCTCCGGAAACTGTTCCGGAAAAGGTTCCGGAAACAAATCCGGAAAAGGTTCCGGAAACTGTTCCGGAAAAGGTTCCGGAAACAAATCCGGAAAAGGTTCCGGAAACAAATCCGGAAAAGGTTCCGGAAAACTAATCCGGAAAATTTTTCCGGAAGACTGTTCTTGAAAGTATTACTCACTTTCCGGAAATGTTAATCCGGAAATAATATTAAATTATAATTCCGGAAATATACATAATTAATCTGAAAACACTTTAAGTCATAAAAAGAGAGATGTTCGCAAATGTCGCTTCCTCAAATGTCGCATCAAAACAAAAAATTCAAATTTTATTTTATTAACTAAGAAAGCTAGGTGAAAAAAGTAAAATTGTAGCGAATAATTTGCTTTCAATAATAGGAGAAAGTGCATAAGGAGATAAAACCAAGGCAAAAAGTGCTTGAGGTGAGAGGACCAACGGTGAAAGCACGAAGGGTGACAGTACTAGAGGAGAACCAACCTTAAAATTAAAAATCAGAAATTCTGATAAAAATCAGAATTAAAATCAGAAATTCTAATTTTACTAAAAAGAAAAATCAGAATTCTGATCCTACTAAAATAAGAAACAGACCATTGGATTCAGAATTAAAGGATTAAGAACCATCGGCGACAGAATCAACTAAAAATAATTTTTATTCCGGAGAAGTTTTATAATTAATTTAGAATCTGTTTTCCGGAAAAAGTAAAGAATTAGTGCTAATAATATTTCCGGAAGTTTATATTTAATTTTTTCCGGAATAAGTTTATATTTACTAATTATTTTGTGTTTTCCGGAAAAATATTCAGAATTAATTCTAGACCTATCTTCCGGAAAAAGTTTATAATTAATTTAGTTCATTTGTTTTCCGGAAAAAATAAAGAATTAATGTTAAATAGTATTTTCCGGAAAAAGTTTATATTTAATTATTTTGTGTTTTCCGGAAAATGTTTATATTTAATTTAAAAAATTACCGGTGTAAAAACTTGTGGAGAAAGAATAAACGGAGACAATACGAGAGGGCTGAGTACAAAAGGATTAAAAACTCCCGGGGATAGAACAAAAGGGTGCAATACAAGAGGTGAAAGAACCACTGGAGAAAAGATGAGAGGATTCAAAATAAGTGGAGATAAAACACGTGGGGACTGAAAAAAATTTTTTTTCAACTTAAACTAAAAAAAATTTTTTTTACCAATATGACGGGAATAAAAACCCATGGAGAAAGAATAAAAGGTCCAAGCACGGCTGGTGTTAAAATGACCTTAAAATAAAAATTAAAAAATATTGTTGAAGGGTTATTCGTTGGTTTTTCCGAAAATAAAAAAATTTCCGGAAATAGAAGTATAGAAATTCCGGAAAATGTTATATTTTCCTTATACACTAAATTAATAATATTTCCGGATTAACATTTCCGGAAAATATATATTTGTGTTTTCCAGGTTTATGTATTTTGTTTGTGTGTTTTTCTGTTTCCGGAAATTGTGTTTCCGGAAGGTATAAAATAATAATATTTCCGGAAAAGACAATCAGAATTAATTTTATAGTCAGAATTTTTCCGGAAGGGGAATAATAAAATTTCCGGAATGGGGGAAATTAAATTTCCGGAAGGGGAAATAAAATTTCCGGAAGGGGAAATAAAATTTCCGGAAAAAAAAGATTTTTCCGGAAGGGGGAAATAAAATTTCCGGAATAATATTTCAGCGATATATTCAAATCAGAATTATTTTTAAAATTATATTTGTGTTTTCCGGAAGGAAAATAATACATATATTTCAGAAAAGAATATTTCCGGAATGTATATTCCCTTGGAATATTATATTTTCCGGAAATTAATATTCATCATATTCCTACCGGTGAAAGAACTACAGGAGAGAGAACAACTGCTTGACTAAGTATTGGTGCTGCCAAAACAAAAGGAGCACTGACAATAGGCGATAATACAACATCCCTTCTTCGTTTAAGTTCCCAGGAACGAAGTTCAGAAATTAGGTGTATCTATAGAAAAGATAAAATGAGAGGGTAAAATTGTATAAGTCGGACCTCCCTTATAAATACCCCCTTGGGGCTGAAAATGGTATCTTATATGAGGGGTACCTTAAGATAAGGTGTCTCTTATAATGAGTATCTTATAATAGGGTATCTCTTATAATGAGGGTATCTCTTATAACGAGGTGTCGCTTATAATGAGTTGTCGCTTATAATGAGTTGTATTTAAAATAAGTTGTCTCTTATACTGAGATGTCTCCTATAACGAGGTGTCTCTCATAATGTTTGTCTCTCACATATAAATAATTTTATTCTCTACTCACATCCCTTTCCATTCCTTCCAACATTGAAGATTCATTTAATTTTGAAAGTCTTTTTAAAGCTTCAGTGTTATTAAAGGGTGAACGTTTCCCATAAACAATCTCCAACTGCTTAGAATCCATCGCTGCAAATCCAGTTTTGTTTAATTGGTCTTTCTTTAAAAAATAGAAGTTAATAAAATTATAAATTTTTATAACTTAAATGAACTATTCCGGAAATATATCTTTCAGGAAACATTTTGAAAATACTATTTATAAACTTTTTCCGGAAAACACTGTTTTTAAACCGTTTCCGGAAAATATCAAATATAAACTTTTCCGGAAAATACTATTTATAAACTTTTTCCGGAAAACACTGTTTTTAAACCGTTTCCGGAAAATATCAAATATAAACTTTTCCGGAAAATATTAAATATAAACTTTTTCCGGAAATAAAATTTTTCCTGAAATTATAATTTCCGGAAAAATATTTCCCCTAAAAATATTAAATATAATCTTTTCCGGAAATAAAATGTTTTCCGGAAAATATTAAAGATAAACTTTTTCCGGAAAATACTATTTATAAACTTTCAGGATAAAATAATCTCCGGAAATTGAAAAAATATTTTTCCGGAAAAAATGTAGTTATATACTATTAAAATAATTAATTTTTTATTTTTAATATTATACTTGTTTTTGAGAGAAATTTGCCATAAATTGCTCCCAAGTATCTATCTTTCTGCGTTCATAATCACCAAAACGTTCGGTGACATTTTCCTTTGTAAAATATAAAGGTTGTCCATCCTCGCCTCTGATCTGGCGAAATTAATTAAAATGTGTTTCAGTTAATAAAAATACAAAATTAAAAATACATTTCCGGAAAATGTATATTTTCCGGATTTAGTATAATAATGAATTTATTCCGGAAATAAATAATATATTTCCGGAAAACATGATTTATAAACATCTTCCGGAAAAATATTGTATTTTTCCGGAAAATATTATTTCCGGTTTTAGTACAAGCTATAATTTAAATGAGTTATTCCGGAAATAATATTTTTCCGGAAAATATTTTTCTATTCCGGAAAATTAATAATATTATCCGGAATAAAATAGTATTCGTACTTATAAATGTTTTCCGGAAAAATATTGTATTTTCCGGAAAATTCTTAAGGAAAATATTATCTATGAAATTTTAGATGTTTTCCGGAAATAATATTTTTCCGGAAAATTAATAATATTAATAATATTTTTCCGGAAAATTAATAATATTAATAATATTTTTCCGGAAAATTAATAATATTAATAATATTTTTCCGGAAAATATGGAATAAATATTATCCGGAATTTCCGGAAAAGTTGTATTTCCGGAAAATACTTTCTTCCGGAAAATATTACTATGAAATTTATGATTTCCGGAATGTTATACTTGCTTGATTTTGTATTAATTTTCCGGAAAACCATTTTAATAATGTCTATCCGGAAAATAAATCCTATCCGGAGAATACAGAAATTATTTTCCGGATATTATCTATTGAGGAAAATTAATAATATTGGCCGGGCATTTTTTTTTCTGAAAGTATCCGGAAAATATTTTCCGGATAGCTCATAGAAGGGAACGATGCTAATAATCACTACAAATTAGCATACATCTTTTTCGTAGAGTGAACGAGCTTTTTTAAAAAGCAATCCCCTTTCAGAAGGTAAAATATTCTGTTGTTTAAGTCCATCTTTTTTATTCCCAAAAAATTTATTATTATTTTCTTCCTCATCAAATTTTCCACTTTCAATTTTTTCAACTTGCTCATTAATACCAGCTGCTTCCATTATTAAATTCATCCAATGCTGTTGATCCTCACTAGAAAAATTGCTGAGTAAGGAAGGCAACTTAAATTGTTTTTAATTTAATTTTAATTTTAATTTAAAAATGAATTCACCGAAGCAGCCTTCTCTAGGTCACGGCCACGGTCGTGCATGGAGAGAAGAGACGGAGACAGGAGACTCAACTAATTTTTAAAAATATTAGTTAGTGTTTTTAAGAGAGAATAATATTCCGGAAAAATATAATTCATTGGTAATAGTATATTTCCGGAATATGTATAACAAAAAGTTCCGGAATATAACGGAGAATATTATTTCCGGAAAATAAATATTTTTCCGGAATCAATGGTAATATAATATTTTCCGGAAAACATACTTTATGTCTTTTAAATGGTATATTTTCCGGAAAATAAAAATATAATTTCCGGAATCCATGGTAATATTTGCCGGTGAACATCCTTTCCGGAAAATGAATAAAATAAATGTTTCCGGAATTATTATATTTTCCGGAACTTATATATTTTTCCGGAAAAATTATATATTTTCCGGAACTAATATATTTTCCAGTAAATATATAAAAATATACTTTCCGGAATCCATAATAATATACAAATTAATATTTTCCGGAAAACCCTACTCCCTCATATTCACCGTTTCATTCTCTGCAGCAATCTCATCCTCAGCAACAATGCTCATAAATCTAGGCGAAATTAAGCGCATATTTTTATCCTCCCAACCAGTTGTATTTTCCCCAGCAAGGGTAAATCCAAGTTTTACCCCTTGCTTAACTAAATTAATGAATTTATCAACATGTTGTGCTTCTGCCGATTTTTTGTGTTTTTGGCGTTTAATGATTTGTTTAAGTTTGTCACGACGATTGTCTTGAGTTAATAATTGCCCTAACTAGAAAAATAATTTTTTATTTCAAAAATATATCGGACCTCCTTATATGATACCCCCTAGTTATTAAATACACCCTCAATATAAGGCACACATTAGGGTTTCGCCGGAAGTTCTGGTTCCGGTTCCGGTAGGCCGGAAGTTCCTGGATTTTTTGATTCCGGTTTCGGTCAGGTTCTTCAGTTCCGGTTCCGGTTCTTCAGTTCCGGTTCCGCTCCTTCAGTTCCGGTCCTTCATTTCCGGTTCCTTTAGTTCCGGTTCCGGCGAAACACTAGTACACATCTAATATAAACTCTATAATTTGGCCTGACGCCTCTGGGGGTGCTTCCTAAGCAATACCCTTTATTTAAGATACCCTCCAATAAGGTCATCAATATGACATGAATATACCCCCAATGGGCAGGAGGAGCTTCCTAATACCCTATATCTAACATACATTCTAGGATACCCTCCATTCTAAGATACCCCTTTCATAAGATACTCCCAATATAAATTTGATCTGCTAGTGGATGGAGGAGCTTCCTAAGCGTGATATCTTCTAATACCCTCTACGTTTCTATCTTTTCAACCCCAATCGAGGTATCTTTAAGTCAGGTCCCAACGTATTTTTGAAATAATTTTTTTAACATTTTCGAGTTCATCAGAATCGTCAATTATTTCTTTGGGTGAATCAAACGATCGCCTTTCTTGTTCTGAGGAGAGTTGTCTCTTAAGTTTTCTTTTATTATTCCTCTCTGCCTTTTTTGTATTTCTTTGTTCTGCTGCAATTTTTAATCGTTGGATAGTTGTTTGCCAGCTATAAAAATCAGAATTAATTTTATAATCAGAATTGTGTTTTCCGGAAAATATAAAATAATATTTCCGGAATAAACATTTCCTTGTAATGTTATAGTTTCCGGAATCTGGTATATTCGGAAATATCATTTACGAAATTTATAAACTTTTCCGTAAAATTCTGTGTTTTCCGGAAAATGTTTTAAAATAAAATAGCTTTCCGGAATCTATAAATATGTAAATCAGAATTAATTTTATAATCAGAATTGTGTTTTCCGGAAAATATAAAATAATATTTCCGGAAATATATTTAACTCAGAATTAATTTAAGATTTTGAAACGTGTTTTCCGGAAAATAGAAAATAATTTTTCCGGAATAGCATTTCAGTAAAATATAAAAATCAGAATTGTTTCTATTATCAGAATTGTGTTTCCGGAAAACACAAAATAATAACGCATAGAATAATAGTTCCGGAATATAAATTATTCGGTAATATTATATTTCCGGAAATATTATAAAATAAATAGTAAATTTTTTATTTTCCGGAAAATACAAAGATAATTTATATTGTGTATTTTCCGGAAAATACAAAAATAATATGTATTTTCCGGAAGCCCATTTATTAATTAGCTTTATAATAAGAATTGTGTTTTCCGGAAAACAGAACAGTAAATTTTTATTTTCCGGAAAATACAAAATGTATTTTCCGGAAAATAAAAAAATAATTATGTATTTTCCGGAAGCCCATTTATTAATTAATTTTATAATAAGTGTTGTGTTTTCCGGAAAAGAGAAACTTAAATTTTCTATTTTCCGGAAAATACAAATATAATTTGGGTTCTGTATTTTCCGGAAAAATAAAAAATAATTGTGTATTTTCCCGAAGCCAATTTATTAATTAATTTTATAATAAGAATTGTGTTTTCCGGAAAACAGAACAGTAAATTTTTGCTTTCCGGAAAATACAAAATAATTTGTATTGTGTATTTTCCGGAACAAATAAAAATAATAATGTATTTTCCGGAAGACCATTTATTAATTAATTTTATAAGTTGTGTTTTCCGGAAAACAGAACAGTAGATTTTTTATTTTCCGGAAAATACAAAATAATTTGTATTGTGTATTTTCCGGAACAAATAAAAAATAGTGTGTTTTCCGGAAAATACAAAAAAATAATTGTGTATTTTCCGTAAGTCCATTTATAAATATTTTCAACTTACTCTACGACCGTAGGAGGTTTATTCTTCATTCTAAGCAATTCTCTAGTGAGAAACTTAGCAACAGCTCCAAGCGGTGTTGCATTCGGTCTCTTTTCCCTCAACGAGTAATTCTTTCCCGAAGAAATAATAAAAGGAGGTGGAGGTTTATTTAATTTTGATTCTTTTGTAATTACAGGATGATGAATAATTTTATTTTTATTTTTGAGAATATTTCCCCTCTTTTTAGCCAAATTTTGTATTCTGTTAGATTTTTGATTTTTTAGGGTTGAGATTAATATATTTTTCCTAAATTCTTCTTTTAATGTATTATTAGTTGGTCTATTTTCCTCTTCTTGAATAAATAATTTTTCTGTTATTTTTTCTGGTATTTTTTCGGGTTTTTTCTTTGATACTCCTACTGTTCTTTTTTCTCTTTTTTCTCTTTGTTTTGAAGAAGAAATTTCATTTAGTGTATTTTTTTGTTTTTCCGGAATGTTTTCTATTGCTTTTTCCGGAAAGGTTGTTATTCTTCCTTTTTCCGGAATGTCTGTTGTTACTGTTTCCGGAAATGTTGTCTGCCTCTTTTCCGGAATGGTTTTGTGGTCATTTTCCGGAATGTCTGTTGTTCTTATTTCCGTCTGCCCTTTTTCCGGAAATGTTGATACTTCTGTTTCCGGAATATTCTCTATTTTGTTTTCCGGAATAGTCGATACTTCATTTTCCGGAATGGTCGATACTTCCTTTTCCGGAAATGTTTTATTATTTATTTTTCCTGAATGCCCCTTTTCCAGAATGGTCACTTTTTCCGGAAAGTCTTTTACTTCATTTTCCGGAAATTTTAATAATTCATTTTCTGGAATATTTTCTATTTTGTTTTCCAGAAATGTTGTCTGGTCTTTTTCCGGAATGCTCTTCTCGTCCTTTTTCGGAAATTTTAATATATCTTTTTCCGGAATATTCCTCTCTGTCTCCTCTTTAGCATCTTTATAAGAATTAAATTGTCCTCTTATCAGCTTAGATAAACACTTGGCATGTGAAATAATGTTTGAGGCCTTTAAAATTTTTCTTTCAATTTTTATTCTATTAAAATACCTTTTTCGAACACCTTTCTAAATTATCCTTTGTTTCGCTTGTTTCTGTAGAAATTCTGAAAATTTTAAAAATTTTATAGTTAATAAGGATTTATTAGCCTGTCATTGGCTACAGCAGCAAAGAAGCCACTAAAAGCTTGATCTATCTAGAAAAAAATAAATTTTTTAAGTAGAATAAAATATAAGGGTTTTAGAATTTATTTTCCGGTAAGCATCTATATGTAAAATAATTTTTCGGAAAATAAATACAAAATCCGGAAGCTATAACTTATTCCGGAAAGCATTTACTTTTTTATAAATAATATTTTCCGGAAGTATTTTATTTTCCGGAAAATACGATTTTCAGAAAAATGTATTTTATTTTCCGAAAAATATAACACCTTCCGGTAAATATTTTTAATTTCCGGAAGAATAATATATAAATTTCTATGAGGTTTCCGGAAAATATAACATCTCCAGGAAAGTACATCATCTTCCTGAAAAATCTTTTCTTTCCGGAAAAATAATATAAAAGGTTCTATTAGGGTTTCCGGAAAATATAACATGTTCCGGAAAAATATTTTTATTTCCGGAAAAATATAGTTTCTTTATGAGATTTTCCGGAAAGTACATCATCTTCCGGAAAAATATTTTCTTTCCGGAAAAAGTTTATAAATAATATGTATTTTCCGGAAATTTATTTATTAGATTAATTTAAAGCTTAATAGATAAAAACAAAAATTTAAATTAAAAGTTACCCAGTGTTGGAGTAATTCCAAGCCGGCATCTTCATTCAAAGGCACATTCAATGCCTTGCCATCATATAAAGGGTTTGTTTTGACTGAATGAAGGGTGTCTGATATTTCTCCGGTTACGACTAAATTTAAATGAGAAATATTATTTAAAAGTCTATGTTTTAGATTAAAAAATATTTCCGGTAAATATTTATTCTAATTATTGGGCTAATTTTTATTGCGTTTCCGTATACAATAAAATTATTTCCCTAATATTACTTGCTAATATTATATTTTCCGGAAATGTTATTCCAATAATAATTTATTCCGGAAATGAGTTGTATTTCCGGAAATACTATAAAATAAATATTGTTTTCCGGAAAAAATATTATAATATTTTTCCGGAAATCCTATAAAAAATATATTGTGTTTTCCGGAATACATTAAAATAATATATTATATTTTCCGGAATATTTTGTATTTTTCCGGAAACATTAAAATAAACTTTCCGGAAATACACATCTTTGTATCTTCCGGAAATATTCCAAAAATAATAAACTTAATAATAAACATTTCCGGAAAAGAATATTGTGTTTTCCGGAAACACTATAAAATAAATATTGCTTTCCGGAAAATTATTATAATATTTTTTCGAAAATCCTATAAAAATTACTTTGTGTTTTCCGGAATACTTTGTGTTTTCCGGAATATTTTGTATTTTTCCGGAAACATTAAAATAAACTTTCCGGAAATACACATCTTTGTATCTTCCGGAAATATTCTAAAAATAATAAACTTAATAATAAACTTTTCCGGAAAATAATATTGTGTTTTCCGGAAAAATATTATAAAATAAATATAGTTTTCCGGAAAATTATTATAAAATTTTTCCGGAAATCCTATAAAAAATATATATTGTGTTTTCCGGAATGCATTAAAATAATATGTATATTATATTTTCCGGAATATTTTGTATTTTCCCGGAAACATTAAAATAAACTTTCCGGAATATAACTTCTTTGTGTATCTTCCGGAATATTCCAAAAATATTAAACTTGATAATAAACTTTTCCGGAAAATAGTATTGTGTTTTCCGGAAACACTATAAAATAAATATTGCTTTCCGGAAAATTATTATAATATTTTTCCGGAAATCCTATAAAAAATACTTTGTGTTTTCCGGAATACTTTGTGTTTTCCGGAATATTTTGTATTTTTCCGGAAACATTAAAATAAACTTTCCGGAAATACACATCTTTGTATCTTCCGGAAATATTCTAAAAATAATAAACTTAATAATAAACTTTTCCGGAAAATAATATTGTGTTTTCCGGAAAAATATTATAAAATAAATATAGTTTTCCGGAAAATTATTATAAAATTTTTCCGGAAATCCTATAAAAAATATATATTGTGTTTTCCGGAATGCATTAAAATAATATGTATATTATATTTTCCGGAATATTTTGTATTTTCCCGGAAACATTAAAATAAACTTTCCGGAATATAACTTCTTTGTGTATCTTCCGGAATATTCCAAAAATATTAAACTTGATAATAAACTTTTCCGGAAAATAGTATTGTGTTTTCCGGAAACACTATAAAATAAATATTGCTTTCCGGAAAATTATTATAATATTTTTCCGGAAATCCTATAAAAAATACTTTGTGTTTTCCGGAATACTTTGTGTTTTCCGGAATATTTTGTATTTTTCCGGAAACATTAAAATAAACCTTCCGGAATATAACTTCTCTGCGTATTTTCCGGAAATATACTACCAAAAATAATAAACTTAATAATAAAAACATTTCCGGAAAATAATATTGTGTTTTCCGGAAACAGGTGTATTTTTGTATTTTTATTGTATTTTCTTTGTATTTTTCCAATAATAATAAAAATAAATACAAACCTGAAACAAACACAAAATATACAACAAAATACCGCAGCATAATTAAATATAAAAAGTGAGGGTTATTTTTTATAAAAAAAATATTTTCTGATTAAAAATAAAAATTAAGGTCATTAATTAATTTTAAAAAATATTTAATTTAATTAAAATACAAAAAATACAAGAAAAAAATTTTTGTACTTTAACTAATTTAATGCAACATTTCAACACTTACGGATATAAAATCACAAATAAAATTTACCAAAAAATAATTTTAAGATTAATGGGGGAAGGAGTATTAAGGGGAGACTATAAAGACATTTTTAAAAAAGATAAAAGGTGAGAAACATCCCAAAGCATTTTTTTATTCTTTGAAGTGAAGGAAGGGAAGGGAAGGGAAGGAAGACAAAAAAGGTGAAAAATCAACTCTTGTTAATCTGATTTGTCTTTAAAAGCGAGTTAATTCGTTTCTCCCGTTCGGTCATCCATTCAATCGGATAACAGGTTCAGAGGGTTGTAGATATTTGCGGACAAAAATATTTGCGGACAGAAAATATTTGCGGACAGAAAAAATACTTTTCTGAGACATTATTTACATGTAAATATTTCCGGAAAATACAAATTTATTTCCGGAAAAAAATTACCTGTATATTTCCGGAAAAATATACAAATATACTATTTTTCCGGAAAATATTACTTATATATTTCCGGAAAATGCAAATAATTGTATATTCCGGAAATATTATTTCATGGTAGATGTATTCCGGAAAATACAAATTTATTTCCGGAAAACATTACTTCTTAATTTCCGGAAAATATTTACTATTTTTTTCCGGAAATAATTACTTCTTATATTTCAGGAAAATACAAATTTTTTTCCGGAAAAAATATACTATGTTTCCGGAAAAATTACTTGTACATTTATTTCCGGAAAATACAAATGGAAAATACAAATTTTTTTCCGGAAAATATACTATGTTTCCGGAAAAATTACTTGTATGTATTTTCCGGAAAATACAAATTAATTTACGGAAAGTGCACTATTTTTCCGGAAAATACTATTAGTATATTTCCGGAAAATAGGCATAATGTTACCAGAATATTTATTATTTTCTCCTAGTCTTCCGGAAAATACAATTAAAATTAATTCTATTGTCCTATTCCGGAAGTATGTATATTGATATTTTCCGGAAACGCATCCAAACGTATGATAGTATCATCAGTGAGGTCTGACTGTATTTTGTTGGCATATTACAATTAAGTGATCCTGTTATAAATAAAAGCGTTAATCCGCAAATATCCTTTCCCTTTCCAGGCAAAAAACTTGGATGGGAAAACTACTGGAAGGAGACGAGGAAGATAATTTTGTTTTTCTCTTTTATTTTTTCAAAATTATTTATTTAATGTAATTAGTGTGTCAAGCACTTTTTAAGCTTCTTTTTTAATTACTCCCGATTAAGTAAAATTTAACCCAAACTAATTGTGTTGTATTGATTTAAAAGACGATTATTTCCAGGCAATCTGAAAAGACAAGTTTATTTCCGGAAAAGATTACTTATTATATTTCCGGAAAATACATATAATATTTTCCGGAAAAAATTACTGCTATATTTCCGGATGGAGGTGGGACTTTTTTCTATGGAGGTGGGATGTATTTTCCGGAAATAGATGAAAATAGATGTATTTTCCGGAAATAGATGAAAATAGATGTATTTTCCGGAAATAGATGAAAATAGATGTATTTTCCGGAAATAGATGAAAATAGATGTATTTTCCGGAAATAGATGAAAATAGATGTATTTTCCGGAAATAGATGAAAATAGATGTATTTTCCGGAAATAGATGAAAATAGATGTATTTTCCGGAAATAGATGAAAATAGATGTATTTTCCGGAAATAGATGAAAATAGATGTATTTTCCGGAAATAGATGAAAATAGATGTATTTTCCGGAAATAGATGAAAATAGATGTATTTTCCGGAAATAGATGAAAATAGATGTATTTTCCGGAAATAGATGAAAATAGATGTATTTTCCGGAAATAGATGAAAATAGATGTATTTTCCGGAAATAGATGAAAATAGATGTATTTTCCGGAAATAGATGAAAATAGATGTATTTTCCGGAAATAGATGAAAATAGATGTATTTTCTGGAAATAATTGTATATTCCGGAAATAATTACCATAAAATAATATTTCCGGAAAATACTTTCCTGACATATTTATTTACCTATACCTATAAAGTTTCCGGAAAATACCAAGAATATATTCCGGAAACATTATTTTATGTTGACTATTATCCGGAAAAATCTATTAAATATTTTCCGGAAATCTTAATAATAACAAGATATTTATTTATATTCCGGAAGTATTATGTTGTGAAGAGTTTCCGGAAATATATTAATACATACTTTCCGGAAAATTATACACCCTCTTATTTCCGACATTTAGCCATTCCGACAAATGGCCTAAACTGGGCTGTTCTTCCCACCTCTTCTATGAATTTACTCAGAATGCTGGGAAGTTAATACAGAAATTGTATGTATTTGTTTTTAGCTCACATTTGTGATATGATTGATCCGTTGAAGGGTTTTATATACAGCCCGACATGCACTTATCAAATATTTTTTTCCTTTCTGTCCATCAAATCTGGGTGCAGACGGATAAATTTTTTCTCTCCTAATTTTGACAGTTTTTGATTTAAAAATGGAGGAAAAAAGAAATAAAATATTTTATTAAATTGTCACATTTTTTGTTCATTATTAGTGCAAAATAAAAAAAATTGTTTAATAAATAAATTGTTCATTCTAGGTAGCACCCAGTCCCCCGAAACCACGACACGCGATGAATTTCTCGGCAAAGAACCTCGAAGGCTCTACCCCGACAAAACCCAATCCCCGACGCAAACCGTCGTGGAGGCAAATCCCCCGACTCCCGAAATCGGCTATTTCTTTGGTAAAAACCCGACCCGAACTACCCGGCAAACCCCGATCCCCGACGATCCCGCCCCCGAAGGCTAGGGTGGCCATCCTAGTTCATTCTAAGGTAATAAAGTCGAAACTGACTTTAGGATATTGGAAAAAAATCCGGAAAGAAGCGAATAAATCCGGAAGGACCCCTCATTATAAACGACTCTCGTTAAAGCGACCTCTCTTTATAATCG